ATTGGTGGTTTGTTGGAGGATTGGTTTGAATTGGACAGAAGATACAATTTGAGAAAAGCTTGAGAGTAAAGAATTGGAGACCAACCAAACACACGGAGAAGCCAGGTTTTTGTAATCTCAGAGCTTTAGGAGGATGAGGGTTCTGAAGGTCTAATCTATTCAATCCAGTGCTAAGACCTCTTTCCGAACATTGCAGTGGAATTGGGATGACACGGGGCGAAGAATGCGATGGGGTGTCTTGTAATAGGCTGCCTTGATGTAGACATGCCATCCGAACAATAGGCACCCCTTGCATGCCAGCCTTGCTAACGTCCTAGCGTTCCTCGCAGAAGAGGTCTCTGGCTCGAAAGAGAATGTATGTGATTACATTTCTGGTATAATGAGTTCAAGCAAAAGAAGGCTGAAGGATGTGTATTGTAAGAACTACTCAATTGGTGTATGAAAGAGCAATCTCTATTCAGTGATCAAAAAGCTTCACCAGAAACTTGCTGAGCTGGCGGTCATACTTATATATCTCAATCTTCTACTAGTCTGAAACAGAGGGAATGCTAACATAAACTCCTTGCAGGTGAATTCTTGGCCTGGAAAGGAAGTCACAAGGGTATGCGAAAAATTTACCTTCCATGTAATGTAATTGTTGCTTAGCATGTTATTGCTGTCGAGGCAATATACGTGCTTCATAGGTCATTATTTATGTGGATGCCACTCTCGCATGATATGTACGTAGATCACGATGAGTAAGCTATTGCGTGCGGTGCGTAAGCAGATAATGTATGTAAATCATGGTTGCTGTTCATTACAGTGAAATATTTCAGCCACAGTACATACAAATAAAAAATACCTTTGATATTCCAGACTTTATATTGGGGTTAAACTGTTCTGGAAGATAAATAGAGTAGCTACTGATCCTGGCCAATCAGAACGAAGCAAAACAAGATGTCACCGCAAAAGGTCATGATCTATCTAGAGAACGACAGAAAGATCCATAATCCAGCAGGGCTGTTGTGCTTACGCTAGATAATATATTTGTCTTCCGACCATTAAGCAGAGTATTGGACAAATGGGTATTTTGGTTGTGTAGTCCGCCATGGTGGAGACGATGCTGGTCCCAGAGACAGTATCATGCGGGAGCTCAAGGTCGGGAACTCTTTAAGGAGATTATGAAACGGGCCCTGTACCCGGAGCTTGTCTAAGCAATATGCAGCGTACTGAGCCAACCAGTCTAACAATTTATCATGTTGCGGGAGCCTGGGAAAGGAGAGCCGTAAAGCATCAATTACTGCGAGTTGAGTGTCGAGACTGTTCGGTTTGTCCAAGTCCGTTAAGCAAGCAGTCAACTTTTCATAAGCCAGCTGTTGAAGATCGGGAACAAGGTAAGTCTCAGAGAATATGTATAGACGGATATGGACAAGAAGGGGGTGGTTCTCTGACGTGAAGTTGGTTTCGGGAGTTGTGTTTTCAGGCTTCTCGTCAATATCCGTCTCCGTGCCTTCCAGCAAAATTGGAGTCTGTCCAATGTTCGTTCCGCTGACTGTGGCAGGATAATCGCCTCGGTATGCCCATTCAATAAATCGCGCAATTGTACCCTCTGCCACGTCTTCAAATACATACACGCCGCTCTGGCCTTCCTTGAGATTACTGTCCAAGGCTGCAAACAATGGTAGGGACTTTGCGTGGAGCAGCGTTCGATGGATCCTAAACGAACGTCCCGTTTGAGCAACTCGAAGGGAAACAGGATCAGAATCTAGAAATCTGACTCAGGTCAACGTTTACTACATATGCGCTTTCTAGGAAGGAGTAGCTCACTCAAAATACGGTAATTCCCGTGCTTCTTTCATTATACTCATTGTTTCTTGAAGGGGTGAGGTTTGACGAGGAGTGAGTGGCAGATCTTCATTCAAGGTTGAAGACTCCGAAGGGACGATCGGACTGAGCAGTTATGGTAGTCTTTGTTTCCTTTACTTTTTGCCTGCCATTTCTTTCCTAATCGAAAGGGAGGATAGAGGATCTCAGGACCTGTCTCATCTTGGGTGCGAATGGTCGACATGTGTCCTATCACGATGGGTGGAGAAACATGACTAATGAGTTGGATGTACTGCCTGTAAGGGGCCACGCAGGAAGTACGTACATGTTGCAGTAGGCGTTCTGAAGAGAATCTCAACAATCATTTTCCCTTTCGCGACGTCAGGCTTGTCATGTCGCTTTTTGATAACTTGGAAAAGAACGTCTGAAACTGCGCGGCACCTAGCTACTGAAGCAACCCACGCTTCGCGGAATCCCCACCATGGTTCCTCCTCTCTGTGATTGTGCATAATCATCCTCGATATTTCAGCGATAGAGATCGAGTGGCTTTACTCGTTTGTGTCGAACGGTCGAATGGGCCTTAGGGCTACTTCATTTCTCATCATCGTCATTCAGGTTGGATATACTGTAACCGCTGGCAACATTCTGTCGAGAGTTCCTTGATGGGCTAAACATGTCTCCTCCAAACTTTCTGGAGGTACCCATCCGTCTGACGCAGACGGTTGCGTCCTTGATAGCTCTCGCCTTCTGGAGAGGCGAGCTCAAGACATTCGACATTATCAAGTGTTCTAGACTATAACTCAAAAACTACGTTGAAAAAAGCAGAGTAGATAAAGCTAAGTATTGTCCGAAGAGAGCATAAAGTTTAGAAGTGCTCATTTAGTTGAATCGCGAAGTACCAGAAACGGGAAATGTATGGTCCTATCACTGAGACCTACTAATGCACATGATAGTGCAAGTTGCGCATCTTCCCGTCATATTGGATATCCAAATGAGCAATATGCAGCGATAGTCAATGAAGTAAATATCATTCAAGCACATATAGGGGCATCTGTCATGATGTTGAGGAGAGCCAAGACATGCTATTTCGGTTCAAAGCCAGACGGCTTGACCCTCATTAAGGGGGGCCAACCAGAACCGATCATCGAACAACGTCGCCAATACCAAAATTGCTGCAGAGCGAAGCTTACGATTGCTGAAGCTGTTGCCTACAGTCTTTTCTATAACTTTTGGTGCAGCCTTACCTTATCTCCCGGTTTACGCAAGGAAGTGGATTTCCATATGAAGATATATTACTGGTAAGATTGACAGTTATATGGTTTACCGGACGAGCAAGCTAGTCTTATATAGATTCTCAGAACACTTTGGCAACGACAAGGTATATGGCTTCATATAGATAGGACATTGCAAAAACCACATCGATTAAGGCTATGTTCCTAGCGATATATAGTGCAATGAGAAAAGGATAGCGTGATACCTCTATCTGTAGTCTGCACGTACATGCCCCTTAAATGATAAATACAAAGACATGGACTTCGGCCTGTGTTATCACCACAGGCTAGATAAAGGAAGCGGCAGGGAGAAGACTCAGGAAACGCGCAACGTGGTTATCGGGCTGTACAGTATAAACTGCGCTTGCAAGGTTCACGTGTCGGTTGCGGAAGGGGCAAGGAATATATGTAAGTATCGTGACGCTATACGCTCCCAATAGTCCCGATGGGTTTGCCTGTAAAGTCGTCACAACCTCGCTGTGATATCCAGCTCGAAATGCCAAATTAGAATTGGGCTGCAGTTAGTGGCATTGCTTCCACGATTGTGCCAGCATGCGTTTGTAAGTACCCGTGACTCTTACAACGTATGTCAAGGATAGCCCCCAGGAACTGCAGGGGACACGACTGGAAGGGGGAGTCTACCGGCCAATTATGGGCCTGTCGCGTAGCCGAGTTAACAAAACCTCCACTGGTCACTTGATCTTCAGGAATGTTACGGTATTTTTCTGTCACTAGTCCGAGGAACTGGCGAAGGCTCTCGTAGATCGAGAACGTTTCATAGTAAAGTGTTCCGGCGAAAAGACCCAAATCTCGAGCGGTCGTTTGAGGCTGACGGGGGATCGTGTGACCGAGACCCACGTTCAGAAAGTCCAGAGGCTCAAAAGATCGCATGGTCCTGGTTGTCTTCGGGGTGTAAATGAGTAGCTTGGCTTTTTGCGAAGACCGAATATCTGGTAAAAGTTCGTTGACTTCGTACTGACTAAGGAGAAGCAGTCTCGGGTCGTGCGTATTTGCGAGAACCCAGTGAACAGGCTTGAGAAATTCATCACTGCAGTCCTCGTCTCTCAGTTGGACAGTGCGACTGTAGTCCTGTGTCACGCAAAGATGTGGCGCTAGCGAAGTCGGAAACCCGTATTGGCCCGCAGAAGTATGCCGAAAAATCTCAAATGCGGACTGCACCGCAGTATAACCGCTATCAGGCAATTTTCCATTGGTTACAAAGTAACGAACATCATCATGGATGTGATGAGGGACGGCAGGGAGCTGGAGAGGGCGGCAAATTTGATGCTCCCTCTGCACTTCGTGGCTGATTTGTCGCTCTTGTTCCTCGTGCAACGGAGCGAGTTGTTGCATGCCCTGACCTGAGCCTCGCCAGACTTCCAGGAGCCCTTGGGCCATAGGGTTGTCCTGCACCATTGCTTCATCGATAGACCAACTTCCTAGCTTGTCCCACGGCGCGTATAGCTGGGACAAAGTCCGAGCCTCCCGCTCCTGTATATGTTGAACAGCCTCCCCTGGGGGGCTTTCCCCTCGCAGCAGCTTGTCCCATACTTTCTGGCGTCTGTGATACTGCAGACCTTGAAGTGCCCAGAGCGGACGCAAGCTCTGGAAGATATTGCATGTCTGGGTAAGGGCCCACCGAATCACATCGAGTGACGTCGTGGATGTGCCGCGTGGAGGCATACTGTGACTCACTTCGGGCGGGATTACGAACGTCACAGATTGTCCCTGACCCAGCCCACGCATCCTGTTGCATGCTGAGCGATACATTGTCAGTGATAGTACAAATGAACCTAGCAGAGTTTGACCCTTCCAAGTTACACTTACCTTGCACCACTTTATCTTTAGGCAAACGAGGACCTAGAATGACTGCGGCCCGGTAATCTGCAGGAAGCTTGAGATCCACACCGCGCGAATGCTGCTGATCGAGAAAAATTAAACAGCTTCCCATTCGTTGCTTAAAGGCGGACGACACCAGTCTCTCGCAGTGACCCTCGCGATCGATGACAGTGACCTCATCGCGCTCATCGAAGAAGATGGCAGCTTCCACATCAGACGATGCAGTCGTGGAAAGCCATCGATGTGCGACGCTTTGATTGCTTAGTTCGAGGATCTGCGCACCCACATCTATGATGACCCTGATCGGGGGATGTTGCTGGCTGATGAGATCGAGTAGCTGTTCCGCCTGAAGTTGAAGGCCCATCGTATCCTCTGCCACAATGCAGCGCCTGTTTTCCTCTCGGAGCAAAAGGCTCAGGACCAATGCATTGGTGTGGAGGAGCTGCGGTAGGTCCCGCTGCGGCGCAGACCGTGGGAGGAGGAATCGGTTATCATTCGTCCCGCTAAAACCCGTAGTAAGTGGCTGATTGGGCGTTGATGGCAGATCCCATGCCGAGGTACATAATTTATGAGGAAATTCTTTGGCCTCCTTGGGAAACACAACTCTGGAGAGGTAAAAGTCGACGAGACCCTTTTGGTAATGCAGATGGGGATACAGAACCTCCATGAAAGTCGAGGTATCTTCCAGGTTAACACCGGTGAGCACTTGGAGTTGCGGGGTCAGAGTGGATCTAGCTCTACAGATCCAGCCCTGGTACTCAGCTTCGGGGTCATTCTCCTTACCCAGCAGAGTAAAGCAGTGCCGAACTTGCTCAGAACTGAGGCCATGGTAGTAGTAACTCAGGCATGTCAGAATGATTGCGACGTCCGGGTGACCAAACTCAGCGTGCTCGGACGGAATCCCCTTCGCGCGGAACGGGACCGCCATCATGCATCGGCTCGGATGAAGACCGTAATCCACGAGCCACCTCTTTCCAGTCAGGGCGAACATGAGAATACCATGAGCCAGGAGGCCTCGCAGAACCAGTAGCTTCCGCAGAGTAGTCCCCTGTCCGAAGGCGTCTCGGAGAAATTGAGGCTCCTGCGGCATCAGATGAGCAAAACGAATAAAGTTCAGCGCCCGTTGACGGATCCGTCGGCTCCAAAGGTGCAGTGGTAGTCCCGTTAGCCCATGCTTATCAATAGCTGAAAGAACCATGCTCATCAAAGTGTCTGCTCTGTCTGTCCTCAGAAAATGGATGATTGGATACCGGGCACCACGGTATTCGACGCTCAGGCTGGATGGATCCTGGTTATGGAGTTCGGTCGCCTGCTGCTCCACCAATGACAGCAAGCTCTGTACGATTCGCCATCGATCACTGTGCCCATCCAGGGACTGCTGGCTCCCAATGGCATACACTAATTGGAACTTCGGGTCGAGGACCTCATCGCTCTCGTCGATAAGATTGCGGCAATTATCTTGCAGCCATGTTTCCAAGTTGATCACCTTCTGAGCCAGTTTTGGTGTCCGTTCAATCAGGTCTAGTCCGACCAAGCGAAAAGACAATATATGTTCTGGCAGCGCGATCAAGACTCCCCGATATTTCTGACACTGCTCGTACATCTTTCGCAGACTCTTTAGCATCTTCTTGTCCAGAGGCGTATCCCTGGAGAAAGGGACGTGATAGATCGGACGGTTTAGGATGCGACCCAGTACTTGCGTGAGTAGAGTCAGACTCTGTCGAAGAAGGGGCTTCAAGACAATGATTCGCGGCACTGTAGAGCCATTTGCCAGATTCAGCGCAACCATCGGGGTGATCACGGTAGTCTTCCCCTCACCCATATTCAACTGCGAGACGGCATTGCCAGGCTGGTCGGGGCAAATCATGCGCTGCGCGACTTCGGCTTGTTGGATGCGGATAGTGATATTGTTTTCAATTTCGAGTAGAAGCCATTCTGGGCTCCTCGCGGTATCCCAGCCCTCACTCCCCGCTGTCTCGGCTTCCTTGTAGAAGCCATCGGTGTCAGACCGGTCATAACAAGCTAGCAGACGCTTGGATCGGCGTAGAGACGTCACGCTCTGGGCAAACGCTAGCAACGTAGATTTCCACGAATCTGGAACGTGCCGCCATTGGTCAGCAACGAGGAGCGATAAAATTGAGAGCACGCTGATGTGTGGCCAGAGCAGGGCACTAGAAATGCGTTCTGCGGATCCACTGGCGACGGTTAACGTTTCATGGAGACGGTCCCAGAGATCGTCTCGCTGTCGCGTGTGAACACGGCAGTGCCGTTCAAGAACGTCCCGCCGCACAGACAGCGAGGTGGGCGAACATGGCCACTCACGCGCTTCCAGAGCCTCGAGGCTGTCTCGCAGGCCTTCCCCTAATTCGCGATGGTACGGATCAGGGTTGCCGCAAAACTCAGAAATGAGAGAATCAAGCTCCGGAGTAGTATCATTATCATAGCACCGTGGAACGCGCAGTCTGTTGGATGTGAGGGGCACCGGTAAAGGTGGGACTTCTGTCGGAATATCACGTGTCCGTAACAGGTCTAGAAGTGAAGGGGGGAAGAAAGATCTCTTTGCGGGACGGGCCTGTGGAGAGGGGGCGGGCGGAACGCTCCGGTTCTGCTCGTCGGGTTCAGTACCTAGCGCCTCCAAGCGGGCCTGGACTTCTCGCAAGAACCGGAGGAACGTGCGGTTTTGGTACCACTGGGTACACAGCAGGGCACAGGCCTCTGAGGCGTTCTGGCGGTCTAGGCGAGGAATGTCCGGTAGCTGGGGTCTTTCACACGGCCATTGGTCGGTGACGACATCCCGACATTGACGGACATGATTCTCCTTTTCGCCCAGATACCTTTCTCGCTCCTCTCGGATTTCCCTTTTGCGTGCGCCTGACAGACCTGACAGATGCGGTGGGTCTCGGAATGGCGTGTAATGGAGGCTAACCTGATCTGCTATTTCAGATGGGATGAGCTCTTCCCCCCGCTGCAAGTAAAGCACAGATTGCCCTCCGAAGCCAGGTACCGCGAGATCAGCAAATTGACCAGAAAATGCGACCGCAAGCAATGGACGCAAGCTGAACAATTGCTCATCTCCCCGGAATGCAATGGTGCAGAAAAGAGACATGAGGTTGTATGAGTCCTGTCGCCGGTTTAGCGACCGGCACAGCTCGTACAGAGCACCCCATGCGTCTCTGAATGACAATTGCAGCAGTTCATTGCAGGTAAGGCTGTCAACACGCAGGTTAGCCAGCCGTATGCACTCCCAATTGCTAATAGTCGCATAGAAATCTGAACAATGAGGCACGCCCGTTGGCCAGTCGCGAACTAGACTGGCGACCTCATAAACGCGGTTGCTTCGTTCACTCCCGCTGCCACGGTCGCGTGCCGAGTACGGAGACGGCTTTGGTGCGCGGCGTACCGTGCTACCTCCGAACTCAGCAGGGTAGAACTGTGCATGGCGCAGACGAGCCCTTGCAATTAGATGTGGCTCTCCCCGGTTCTGGTAACATCGCACATACGCTTCGAGGTCTTCGGTGCTGACATCGTGCAACATGGAGAACAATTGCGCGTGGTCGACGATCTCCTGAACAAGGAACTGAAAGTCGTCGTGCTGTGCCAATTCTCCAAGGTCACTGTTCCACTCAATCGTCTGCATGCACCGTAGATGAGATGGATAATACTTCCGACGGGGCGTCATTGCTGCAAGGCGTCCCAACAGTTCAATACAGTCCCTCTCAAGGGGTAAAGAAGAACGCAGTCTCGCCTGCCGCAAGATCCGAAGGGCCTCTGCGGTTCCCGATCGGTGGGTGGCGGGGTCTTCAAGAACAAAGCCGGTGAGTGCATGCATATAAGCTTGATATAGTGTTCCCAACATATCAGAAGATCCTCGAAGCTCCTGCAACTCGCCATCGAGGAAATACTGGAAATAGCGATTGCGAGAGTCCTCCGGTGGTTCAATGCGAATGACCGTATGATGTTTTTTCTTCGACAGTTGAGCATCACCGTACGGTATCAACACTGATCGCCGATCTTTTTCATTGACGTCTCGCAAGATGAGTTTGTTCTTTAGACCATAAAAGCATCCGACATCCTGGCTACGATCCACAGTGGCTTGAAGCTCCGGAGCTTCCAACAATCCTTCTCTGTTAACGAAAAACCGCAAGCGTACCCTGGCCAACTCTACCACGACCATGTTTTCGGGTGTCTGATACGCGATCATATAATCCGGCTTGTCCAATGCCACCAGGACCTTGGACAGTTGTGCGAAAAGCTGACTGTGTATGTCAACCATGATGCAACGGGATCGCATCATAACCGCCGGTCCTGCACCTGTAAGGCTCATCGACAGACGCCAGTTACCGGAATCAGATTGCCACGCCTGTGCCACCGGACGAAATTCTAGCGTTTTGTCTTCTAGGTTGAGCCAGTGCGCATAATCGAGAAGTAGACACTTGGAAAAGTCGCCAATGAGCTGGTCGTATGGAATAAATCGGAGCACTTGGCTGCCTTGCTGAGCCGTGATAACCAGACGATCTTCTTCTGTTCCGAAATGAACCTGGAAAATACAATGAGATTTCTAGATCCACCGGTGCTCGCTTAGAGAAGAGAAATTACCTGGTAGCCCTCGAATGGCCGCGCAGACATGAATCTGGATCCGGGCAGATTTGATGGGAGTACGGTGAGCGTTCGCTGGGGCAGTCAGCGCGAATGTGCTAGAGGAAGAGGTTCATAATTTCGCGCTTACCAAACCAAAAAGACGTCGAAAGGTCGGATGTTGCGTATAGCTCTCCGGAAGACGGCCAGGGGGGGAATTATCGACAAGGAGCTCGCCGCTGAGCAAATCATACCGCACCTGCTGCTTCTGTCGCACTCCATCGGGCGCTAACTGATTTATCGCCCATCGGGTCAAGCTACCGTGACCGAAGCTCCACGGGGTAGTAATGGCCGTGTTCGGCACACTTTCTTGAATTGCATAGTTGAGGCCCGATGCATCTTGCTGGATCAGCTGACGCGTATGTGCTTCGACACGGTGCAGAATTCTGGAGGTCTGCACCCACGCAACAGTCGCTGTCGGATTATTCCCCCTCATCTCCGGTGGCATACTCTCAAAGACAATAACGGAGGCGCGGATGAGATGGGAGAGATCCTCCGCGCTGCGTAAGAGTATCGGGACAAGGTGCGACTCGACGGCATACGTGAGCTGGCAGATTCCTCCGACCCGAACGAGTAATTGCTGCTGCGCATGACCCCGTACGCCTGTCTGTGAATCTAGAGTAGTGATGAGGCTCCCTATCCACTGCATTGTGACCTGCCGGCTGCGACATAAAAACGCAGCCGCCCGCTCGACTACAACACCTACTTCAGACAGGCTGAGGGTGCGGAGTGCAAGGACGATCAGCGTTTCCAGAGTATGATGCTCATTCCAATTTGCTTCAATAGAGTCGAGCCGGCGTTCCAGAGTCTCCAGTAGACACTCGCTGAAAGACTCGTCCTCGAAGACGCGGTGGGCCTCTCTCAACTCCGTGCTCTTGCTAGGTGTGCCTAGCTCCCATGCCGCCTGGCGGATGAGAATGCCAACGGACTCTTCGTTCAACGAGAGAGTGGGGGATGCGAGCTCACGCACGATGTTGAGCCATTGTACACGTTCACCCGCGCGCAAGCAGCCAAAAGCAACGAATTCGTGCAAACTCAGTGACTGGTGGCAGTGCGCTTGGTCCGCGAGGACCTGGTTCTGGGTGTGTCGGAAAGAGTCCACTGCATATTGAAGATTGGAATAGCGCCCTTGTGGGAGACGAAGCGTGCACGATGGTTTGACAGTTGAAGACTCTGTCTGGTCAGTAACCCAGCCATTCCCGCTGCTGTCGCTGTCAAGAAGCCGGAGTTGAAAGGGATACGGTCGATTAATTTCCTGAAAGTCCACCGGAAATGTTCGACAATTGTAATGGGTCCGTCGCCATGACTTTGTCTTCGAACCTAGAGTGAGGCGCTGGCCCCACTTGACGGCAAACCTGTGGGTCCCACTATAATTCAGCAGATTCTGCTCCATATCCTGCGCTTTCTTCAGTTCACGTCGACCAAAGTCCTGGACGATTTTCCAGGTCAAATCGCGCCATGCCGCAAACCAATGGGGACAGACTAGCTCAAACAGCACAGACCTCAAACTGCTTTCATCATTCGGAAGAGGCCATTCATAGCTCTCAATAGTGATGTCCTCGGCCTGTTCCACATATGAGCACTTTCTACATGACCGCACGCAGCTATAGCGTCCTCGCGAGTTCAGCTCCATATCGTGTTCGAGCTGTGCAGCTTGAGCGTACAGCTCGCGGTATTTACTTGATTTTAGGTTCCACTCCATTTCTTTTTCCCTCAGTTGGCCCTGGGCATACTGCTCCATCTCTTGCCGCAGTGGCGGGAGTTTAACAGACAATTCGTAATATGAGACCGCAAAGCTTTCGCTCCCAGGATCGCGATATATTGAACCACATCTTTGGTCCCGATGCCGGACGCGAATATAATTCTCGATCTCTTTTGCTCTGCGCATCTGGCAACGGTGTGGTAAGAGCAGTGGCTCGAGAAAATTGACCGGGATCTCGGGAGAATACTTTTTTAGAAGCGGACACACTGCGGTACACATGCGATCAAAGGTAACCCATAACTCTAACTGGGTTAGTCGCATGACTGACATTGCCTCAGGGTTACCCGCGAAGAGTTCAGTCGCGCATTTGTCATACTGGCCAAATCGATCCGCTATCGCACAAATGGAGTCCCCTGATGGAATCACTGTTTCAGCCCAGGCACCCATATCGTATTCGACCCAACGCTCAAAGTCCAAAACGGAGATGAGGTCACGTTCCTTTGGTATGGGAAGGCCGTGATGATCACGTTGGTCGCGAGTCTGGCCATGAGGATCAAACTCCGGGATTCTCACAACTGTAGGACCTGGCGACATTGCTGCCGCAAGAACGGTAGTCGATTGAGAAAGTGTCAAGTGGAAATCTTGCGGAGTGCACACAAATCTTTCTGGAATGATAATCGAGTCACTTTCCCTGAATCTCATCTGAATGTCTGCCAATCTGGTCTTAAGTGCTCTTTCTGCCGAGAGTGCACGTTGCGCCACAAAATTGTCGACCTTATCATCGAGTTTGCTGATACGACGAGCGATCTTGAACCGGATCACCTGTAGCTGATCAGCGCAGAGGGCGCTTGGCATGACGTTGGTATTCAGGGCGATTTGGGCAACGAGGTAGAGCATGAAATTCTTATATTGGCGATGCCCCTCGATATCGCCGAAAGCGCGTTGAAGAACAGTCTGTAGTGTGACTCGTATCACGAACCAAAGGGGAGATCGTCTCCAGGGAAGTCTACTATTTCTCCAGTTGACCTCATCGCGCATGTGCTTGTCAAAGGACGGCCAATTGTTGTAGATCCCTCGTGCTAGAAGCTGGATCATGAGGTTTTCAGTGACCATTCCAGGATGGATGGTGTCGCGCTCCTCAAGAGCCTGTGCTCCTGCTTTCCTAGTAGTGGGGACCATCTTGTCCACCGTCTCGCTAGAGAGGCGACCAATCTCTCCTGCTAACCAGGAGCAGAACTTCGGCTCGTCAACTACACAGGCTGGGACAGCCACGCTCAACCCAGGGAATTGCCGAAGAAGACTCCCCTCCGCAGATAAAACATCTGCTGCACGGGGGGATGCTTCAAATGCATCGAAAATCAACTTGTCGCCAGTCTGGTCATAGTAGGCCAGCCAGCCGCAGTTCTGAGCCCGGATGTGAAGCGCCACAGCCCCTGTTCACTAATATCAGTCAAATCCTGGAAAAAAGGAAGGATAACTATACCGTGAACTCGTATATTAGAGAGGGCATCTCTCAAAGTATCTTCGCATAGAGTGCCTCCTTTTACAGTCGACATCCAAAGGTTTAGCATATTGATCGTGATGTTCCAGGGTCCCGTTGACTCTGGTGGACAATTACTAGCAAAATCTTCCAGGGTGCTTGAGACCAGCCGATATAACTCCCGCTCCAATGGCTCCTCCTGGTCGGAAGCTTCTGTCTCATTGTGCTGAGGCAGCATTGGAGGGTGAACAATATGGTAATAGATGTATTTGATTGCGCGTGTGGACATTTTGAATGATTAATCGTAATCGATGTACTAAAATCGAACGGTTATTTTTCTTGTTTTCCTCTTTCTGTATCTGGATTGTCGGCTTTCTTCTCTGTTGCGTCTTTGGGCAAATAATTCAATATTCTCGGTCCTCTTCCTTGGATTTATATTTGCGCTTTCCACAGCTTAATCCCATCGTGCAGCATTGTTGGTTCTCTGTCAATGCATAAACGTCAACGACAATTGTCTACGAGGCCGGATAAGGCAGTCGTCAGAGTGTCAAGTGCCGAACTCTAAAAGGAGGTCTAGACATAGCATTTATTGTGTAGGATCCCTTCATTCCATGTTTGCATGACATACTAATGTAACCTCATATGACGAAGATCAATCGTCTATAACCTTTCCGTGGTTCAAGCTCGGTGTATAATTCGGTCTCCGTAGGAGACAGACATTCTCTGAATGTGAATCATCGAAATCATGCTTTGTAACTAACATAGGACAAATATTAATATTTTATTATCTGTCTGCCGACGCAGTGGCTAAGTTCCGCGAGTTTTGGCGGGCGAGCAAATATAGCGTCCATTCAACAATTAAAATTCGCAGGCCCAGCCTTGGTGGCATCTAGATTACAATGTGTCATTTTGTATCATTTAATTCGCATTAGCGGACCCATTGATTTGCTGCGCGTATGGAACATAGACAGCAGATAATATGTCACGAAGTGTGGCGGCAAGTAGCCTTTTCGTAGCGGGATCCGTCTCATGCGTGATTCTGCTGGGGTGAAACCCCGGCACTAGACGGACCTCACGTTGCATGAATCGCACTATTCGCGATCTTTTCTGCATTGCCTCCGCCATGGAAGAGCAAAAGACCTGAGCAACTGGATGTTCCACGCTACTGAGAACGGCGTGCTTCTTTACCGAACAAGGATTAGTTGCACACTGTAGAACAACCACGGTAGAAGGCTGTAGAGCCTCCAGGTATTGCGCAGTCAAGTCGTACGCGTCCTTTATCGCCTGCCGCAATTCACTCAATTGTCCAGTCCGGGCTTTCATCCGGGCCCAGTCATCGCTGATCATTGGGCATATATCGAAGACGGGAACGTCATGTTCGATATCTAGGCCGATTTCTTCGAGGATATTTCGAGTCCATGTTAAGGCGGAGTCTGGTGTAAATATGTCCTGAAAGTCTTTATCGTGATTCTTGTATGGATTTTGCAGTAGGACCACAGGCATATGGCGATATCCGGCTGCTAATCGAACGTTATTCTTGTAGCAGTTTGTGTCCAGTCGGTAACGTTCCTGAAGCGCTTTAGCGCCCAAGAACATAGGATCATCGTCACCAAGCTGAAGCCACTGATGTGTGGTCACTGGTGGGGTCTTTGCCAATGTCACACCTGTGATATTGTACGAATCCATGATGTTGGTCTTGCACATCGGTTGGAGCTATTCGAGTGATGTAGCTTTATTAGCCTTAAGTATTATTCTGTAAGGCAAGGAGAAAATGCCGACTAATAAGGATAATGTACTATGTCTGTAGGAATCTATGTTGCCCGAAGTTTGGGAATTTAGACTGACCCTTGGCTCGCTGACCAGAGGCCTGCTGGTATCGCTGGTTCTGGCTAGCCATGGTTCGAACTAAGTTTCAGCCTGTCGAAATGCCCATTGCGAATCCATCTCACTGGGAGCTTCGGTAAATAAGCAAAAGTATAGACGTTACGCTCATGAAAGCCTTTTCGATTCATCGGATGTAATGGCATTACAGTGATACGTTTGCAGCCCGTGAATACACCGAAGGAAAGATGTACCTTCGCCTATGACTCAGCAAGTGAACGTAACTTGGTTAGGTAAATAGTGACACCTTCCCATTCGGGGAACCGAGGAATAAAATTGCATTTCAGATACTGTGTATTCCTCTGAAAGCACTTGACACCAATCGTGGACGGATTCTCCTCAGATATATTAAACTTCGGTATGGGCCTTGGTTTCCAATGGCGTTGCCTCATTCCTCTCAAGGACTATGTGCCCGCCACAACATGTCTCTAGTATGTTCAGCGGTCAACATTCTGGCCCCTTCCAGGACTAGGAAAGTTTCAATCAAACCGGCACGATAAAGGCGAAAGGAAGCATCGCGACACCGTCGCAAGAAGACTCAAGCTGTGGATCTTCTCATGCGTCTGAAAGTCCCACAACAGTCTTGCTATACGAAACCATTGTCAAATGACATGGAATGACGTCTCACTGACGCGGAAAATAGAGCATTCTTGCCACCAGTTTTAAAAACATGTATATTGTGATGTCATTCATCCCAACACTATCCTCTAAGTTGTCCAACTACTGTACTGACTCTGTGTTCATCAATCTCCTGCTAGGATGATGACTTATTATACTTGCACAGAAGATGGCAATGCCTTTTGGGCTGATGCAGATTTAATCGAACATTTACGAAAGCAGCACCACGCTAAATTTATCAGAAGGCCTGGTCGCCCAGGAATCATGGACGGCCATGGGCATATCTGGTATTGCTTCAAATATGAACGGTCTACAAGCGATCATAGGAGTTTCAACTCCGACGGAGCCATGCTGAACCATCTTAAGCATTGCCATCGAGATCTTACAGCTTCCGTCTGTGAGCATTAGCCCGAAGTGCTTCGGGTATCATTGTGCACAGTTGGCTTCACACAAAGGTTCGGATTGACTCACAGAATCCGTCGCTGGTTACAGTGGATGATGTTGACGCTGATGAAATTCATAGGCTGACCCTCTTGCCGTAATTAGGACCTCAGCTGTTGCCGGCTCATTTTGTCCAGAGGACAAAGGTGATAGCAGCGAGGTTTCGTATAGTGACCCGTCATGGCTGTTTCTTAGGCCCCGTTTTCAAAGTCGAAGTTGAAACCGTCTTCGGCAAAATACACGTAACCATATGTCTATTTAATTTATGGTGTGATTAATCATATAGCTATCATCTACTATTTACATATCTTCGGGCTAGTGCAAGGACCTATATCCAGATTTGTTGTCATACTTAGCTTGCGGTAGCAAAGGATTGCTTTTGTGTATCACTGCGCCACTTTTTTCCATTGGATTACCTAAGCCCGACTGCGTTTGAACATCTATCATTTTTGCACACCCATCAAATTTCATCACCCGTCCTTTTGTTAAGTCTACCGTCGTGGGTTTGTTCTATTCTGGTTTTCAGGCTATCAAAAAGATGCATCCCGACTTTAAAGGGACTTTCGCCATGTGTCTTACAGCCGATTGGTATTCAGTATGGAGACCTTCTACATTTCTTTTGCCAAAGACAATCTGGCACTGTTCGTGAAGGGCCTGAAGTTATGCAGGTACGATCCTACATTTACTTGAGAATCTTTCGATTAAGTCTTATATTACTACCAGTCCATATTCCTTATTTCTGCACACGCGTGCAGTACCTCTTACCTATATTATTAGGCGATACAAAGTCGTTTTCACCTGTACAATTCTCCTCTATATGGATGCTTTCCACGTGACTCCGCCCGCCTTTTCGTAGGTTGGTAAATTAGTTTTGAGTAATGGAACTCAATAATCAGGGCCCGTCCCAGCTCAGCGTTCCACAGAATATTGGCCAGCCGGAGGTCCTGGTGCAGGATTCCCAGTGAACGAATCTCCTTCTTAGACCTTGCAATCTTACATGTCCTCTTGTCATGCTCAATCTCAGGTATAGGTTCACCTCCCTAGGCCATGATGAGCATGTGGCAGATCTCGCCAGCTCCATGTATGTAGTATGTAATGATTCGCATCATCCAGTTCAGTGGGGCGATTGAAGGATTGGTAGCGCCACCAGGCTACCCGCCTCTGTCCTGGGTACAGTTACCCATCCAGCATTAAATCCGCACCGAACCCACGCGGAGACAAATTCGGCAGAAGAGGTTATGACGAAAGAGTCACTTTGGGCATCGTACGAATACTCTGGTGCCCTCATTTCAAGAGAATCGGATTTTGCCTTTGATGCGCAATAGGCTGGAAAGGAATGTAAACGCCTCTGAAAAGCCAGCCTTATCAGGTATGACGCGGCAGTTGGTCTAGGTCAGCGAGAGGTAATTGCGAGGAGTTCATAGACTCATCCCAGCTCATCTTAGACGTGACTTTGGTGCTTGATGGACAATGCCGTGGGAATGAGGTGAGAGCGGACCCTTTGCGCCATGATATGATGGAATAAATGGCCACAGACTTAGGAAGATCACGATACAGGACCTTTTCAACTTTCCTAGAGCCCCCAAACCACTTTTTCGCATCCTCAACATTCATCTGTATTAGGAAAGTGTTTAATGAACTGGGAGCTCCGCTCTTGCATGGTACGCAGAACGGGGGAGTGAGTCTGGAGTGAGTAGGCTGCTAAATGCCGCTCGCGCGATAATTTGAATGTTGATAGACTCTGACGTGTCAATGGATTGTCCCAATGATATGAGAATGACACCACTTTAGGTAGCAGCAGTCAAGTCGTGCATACGTGCATTGCATCTTATGGTACATTATGGTGCAGACCCCAGCTTCTGAGGAACGTACCGCTACGCAAGGCGATTGACTACGCTTTTCTTTGCTGCGACAAAGCCGCGAAGCCCACAAAGCCGCAGGAAAGACAACACGGGCCATTATTCGGACGCTTATCAGCCATGGTGCTTAGACCAATGCCACGAACTACGAACATAAGACTCCCTTATTAGTCGCCGTCGCTGAGAAACCCGTCAATGAGCTCAGACACCCCTTGACATCGGGGCCAACGTCATGGGAGAGACGCCGAGGGCAATACCGTACTTCACTTGGCTGCGGCGTCACCGAGCGGCGGTCCTGGTATGCTGACCTGGCTTAACGGGGAAGGGGATGACGTTGAACGCGGTTGGCAGAACAGCGAAAGAAATCACCGATCTTCAGCGTCATCCGGCAAGGGGGTAACATCGGCGGGATCGAGTAACGGGACGGAGTAGGATCCGCCCAGACTCTTCTATCGCTGGGTGCGAATTTCAACACCCAGAACGTGGCAGTGTTCACACCGCTTTCTCTTTCCGCACAAAGGGGATATGTCAGGCCGGCTAGTTACACTGGTACTCAACCCTGGAGCTTCTTTGTGAACCTGCGGGATAGCCAGGGGCGAGCACCTCTGCACCATGTTGTCCAGAAATGTAACTGGATATGAGGCGAGGGAACCGTGCTCGCTGCTCATTGCGAACGGGGCGGATATCCACAGCCAAGACCATCTGGGCCACACGGTTTTGGACAGACTGATTGATTGGACGAGAATCGTGGGAAACCGTTGGAGAGTTGTTGAGGGCTGGGCCGGACAGATACGCCCTGACGCACGATGGTAAAATCCCATTGGAAATCGCCCCTCCGGGCCTCTGGGCGGAGACGGTGCGGCTCTTCGCCTGTTATTATGCATACCAATCTGACTACTCAGCTCTACTAGTTCAAGCCAATGTTAGCTCTGTCCAAAAAGCCTCAATCCGCCCACCTCTGATGGCCTTCTCCTCATACCGTAGATACTGGGCTGAGGCATGCAGGACAACATCTGACCCAGTTCCCCTGAATCTATCAGAACTCTTCGTCGAGTGAATTTTCATGACACGGTACATATCAGTGTGACTTTCGATAAATGTGCTGTATAAAAGATCATCTACAGGCTCAAGTACAAGGTAATACTCTAAGTTTGATTTGAACGGCTAGGATTGGTTGCGATTGAGCTGGTTAGATGTTCACTCATCTCCTATTCAGGTATATAGTTATATGAACTCTACTAGGTAGAGGAGGCCGGCTAATTGAGGATGAACGCCAGGGTCACTGCAACAGAAACGCGTGAAATCGACCAGGTACTCCGTACCACAGCAAGGTCAGCGTTGGTTGGCATCCCGAACCTGTGTGTCGTCCGCCGTTTGATCGTATAAAGCGGTTGCCGGCGTGCAAATCGTCGGCCGTGGTCTTCCAACGCAACCAGTGACGTATATAACTATTGTGCATCCCCTTCGGTCGGTCGCAGGTAGCGGCAGAATTTCCCGCTGTTTATCCTCACAGTCAGTCCACGGAAGCAGCCGTATGGGACATCGTTTCCCGATAGGAGCGGAAATTTTGCCTGTCGTGGAGCGAGACGGTGTTTGGGCTCGGAGTGGCCTCCAAAGGAGATCGTGGCAATGTTGGATGAACCCGGGGAAAGTCGTCGGTCGGTTGCGTTCCCTCTATTGTCCCTCTCGTTCTTCTGCCTGCTTCTCCCGTTCCTCTGCCTGCCGTCTCAGCTCGGCTTCCTTGAGGAAAAGCGCTTTGTAGTCTGGAGAGCTACTTCCATTCATCGCTACCGCAAAATAAGGGATGGAAAAGATGGAAAACTCCAGGGCAGTGTTGGTGATCAGACTGTCCCTTCTCATGGTCAGCTGAGCGGCCCTTCGGTGGAAGTATTAATCCGTCACCCGCGAACCGCCCTCTGGGTACGCAGCCCTGGGCCTCTGCTCTAAGGCCTGAAACTACACTTTGCGGGGGGACGTTACTATACTAGCATTCTGAGCCCTTTTGTATGAGAAAACCTATTCTAGTGAGCGCGTTTCGCACGTATATACACTTGTCCGAAGACGACACATTGACTATCAAGTTGAGATTCCTAGACTAAGTATATTTGAGCTTGACGAGTACTCATTTTCTTTTCGCTATTCAATCCTGCAACTCCTCGTCGGAAAAATATTTCTTTGGGGCATCAGGATTCACAAGATGACCTCTGCAATAGTTCGTAGAATCCTTGCCTGGCTCCTTCCTTACAGGCTTGCATTTCACATTCGTCCCTTGACGCTCGGCGCACTGGACGAACTCCATCTCTTTTCTGCACCCACAGGTATACTGTATGTAAAACGAAGTGCACATTGTGAAACCTGAGAGACGTTAGGCATAAGAGTTACATTAATCACAAAATGCCGTTTACCGTGATTCGTAGGTTTCCAACGAAAGACGAATTAGAAAGTCCCTTAGCAGACGGTGGAGAGAAATCAGATGGGCTTGGTGTATTTTGGGCGCTCTGGGGTGTACCGGAAGAAAAGGGTCAACTGGGAGGAAGCAATAGAGAATGAGCAGATTGAGCTTTACTACGTTCTATTTGTGAGCCTGCAGGCGCCTATTTATATACATGAGCAGGGCTGCTGTCAGATTGCTGTTTTGCTGCTGACATGAGTTGAGCGCTTAGGCTGCCCACTATCCAATAAAGACCAGTAATTTGTCAGTAGGACGCATAATGGTCACATCACATCACATGGATCACACTTCACTAGATTTAACCTATCATTGAGGCTAGAGGATGCACATGTACCTATCTTGGAAAAGATCATCGGCGCTGTCGCTTTCACCTATGTGACTCAAGAACTGTTTCGACCTCCGCGGTTAAGTCTTTGCATTTTCTTGCGTCTCTTGATTCTCTTGATGTCCTCCTGATATTGCCACCTAATTAAAAAAAGATCTTCTCCTTTGCCTTTGTCCAGATGAGTCAGATATCCTCACCTCCTCGCATACTTTCGATGGAGGTATCGAGCAGGGATGACAGCGAGTACAGAATATTAGTTCAAAATCGGGTCAGATATTTGATCATCAGCGCCGGTACATTCGAACGGTCAACACTTTCCATGCCCCTCAGCTCATTGCCTGAATTTCCTAAAGATTATACCTGGAATGTTGCATACGTCAGTCGAGATACATCGAGCGGTGAGGTCGCAATGAATCTACAGCACAGAAACTTCATTGGCATAACAGAGCTTTGGCATCCTGTGCTAGTTGACTGTCTCGATTTAAAAAGGATCAAACAGCTCACCGCTACCACTTACGAAGCAACTTACTCCTGTAACGTGTCGTTGGCTACTACGAGATCGCCAGTTGTCATTGCGAAGGTTGCCCGATTTGAGTGGGAAATACCTCGTTTATTGCTGGAGACTCTCATGTATAGTAAATTGGAAAACACAGGTCTTGCCCCAAGATTCATTGGCCATGTCCACGAGCATGGCCGTGTAATCGGCTTTATGCTAGAAAAGCTCCAAGGGCGTGAAGCAAAAATCCAGGATCTTTCGTCTTGTCAAGCTGCCCTCCAGCGCCTACATGACATTGGCATCCTCCATGGGGATGTCAACAGATACAACTTCATTGTTCAAGATGGGACGGTGCGACTGATTGATTTTGAGAAAAGCCAATTTTGTAATGGCGATACTGCAGCTATGCAAGCCGAGATGGATAGTCTATGTGATCAGTTAGTGGAGGACACCGGACGCGGTGCAGGTTTCGCTCGGTGAAATTGGCCTGACTGGGAAAGCCGTAAGTTCCTCTCGGGCTGATTCCAGGACCATGTTAACCAACTAGTTAGGCAATCCTCTGTTACGCCGATCGCCCTTGCTTATAGGTCAGAGAATGATCGCGATTATGCTAATTGATTTGTACTCGCCTTGTAGTATAATAGTTATTGCAATAAAGAATCCCCACCTTTCCCCAATTTATAAGGAGTCAGCACTAGTCGAGTGCTAGTAGGCAATATACCAGTCCGTTGGAAGGAGCGTGTATGTTGATTCCGCGTGCTATTTGCTGTCAAAAGACATAATAACATCCCTTTTTCTGAACCAACCTCCACGCCTGACGAATTCCGAGACGTTAGCGACATCGACCCCTTGATTACTCAACATCCATAGGTTTTGGGCTTCTCGACATTCCCAGAAGTGTTCCATGAATTCTTCATAAGAGTACACTTTGTCTCGTAGAGCACAAGCATTAGACTGAACCCTTGATGACCTCAGAGCCTTTTCCAAAGCAATTTGGCAACCACTACAGCATATCCCATTCTGTACATCACCGCTTTTAATATCGAGATACGGTAGGGCGGTAGTCACCATATAACGTAGTAACGCCTTTTCCTTTGATTGTGCCACTCGCGCCCTCTCATTTGCTTCACGTAAGGACAATCTGCTAATAAATTCTGCCGGCATGATTTGGGTTCTTTTCTTTCGCACAATCTCGTCCATTGAATATATGCCAGGCAATGACCTTATCGTAGGCACCAAGCTGTATAGGCCACGCGGGCTCGAGTTGAAGCGGTTTTTCACGACAGATGATGGTAAGAGGGAGGGAAGAGAATCTTCCCGAATGCAAGAGAAACAACATCTCGTGAACGACAGAAGAAATATGAAGCCACCAAAGGAGCCGCAGAAATGGCAGTCCCTCGTACAGAGTACTTTGAACAGGTCAGAAAGTGTGAACCAAGACGCAATTTTGGTTTTTAGTATAACACACAGAGCCTCAAAGGCATGGGTAATTGTCACTTCGTAGCCACGGGTCGTTCTAACGATTTGGTGCGCACGGCGATTGACATGACGCAAGTTGAGCAAAGATTGAATATCAAGGAGGAAGCATATCTCATAGACAATTTCAAGGGGCAGAATCTGAAGATGTCCAAGTCCTGAGGACGTAGCATTGATAGATCGAAGCAGCGAGCTGCGTACTTGGTCGTGGTCACGGGAATTTGTTCTGGCAACCGCTAGATCGAAGTCATGCCGATGATATGAACAGACGCGGAGAATCTCCATTCCAGGTGCTCTTTCGAACTCGCAAGGTGATGCGGCTACTTTTCCTGATTCCATAGCTGGGCATAAGTCACCGTTTGATATCTGACGCTGCTGAACTTCGAGACACGGTCGGTATTCCGTTTGTTCCGTCGCTTTTTTAGGAAGAGAGCCTTAAATTGGGGTGAAATAGTACCGGGATGCGTTCGTTTTGTTTCCAAAGAGTGGGATAATATTTAAATTCCGTCGAGTAGGAGATAGGGCAGAAGGGAGATGATGATTTGACTCTGTAATTCACAAGGAAGGGGCGCACTGGTCAAGAAATCACGTGATCCTTACTGCCTGGGGCATCAAAGGGCCTTGGCAAATGCCCAACTGGAGCCAAGCCTTCGATTTATGCAAACATCAGAGATGATAGGTATTATTGACCACCCCTACTGCTCACAAACGGTGGGGCAGTTCCCGCATAGTCATCGCCTGTGATAGGCTGGGACGGCGAATGAATAATACCGATACCGACCCCGCTTTTGGAAAACGCCCACACCGCTTAGTGGAGCAATTGGGCACGTTGTTCAACTCTCAACAAGTGTCAATCTCAATATTGGATAACTTGTGCTGTCGAGTTACCCATGTTTGGCATAAGATATTTTCAGAGCATTGTATTCCATAGGCGAGGGTTTTTATCGGCAAAGGTCAGCCCCTCGTGCAAACAACGACACAGCTATTTCACCATCAAGCAAACATTGTCACCATGTCAGCGATATCTCATGGCAGATCAAATTACGCCCCCTTGGGAGTTTTGCTAGCTCTCCCCTAAAACCGCCGATTGATGGGAAAACCGCGTCTAATATACGCTCAATCCTTGACTGATTTGAAAGCCATTACTGAGGATCCCCCCGACTCCTTGGCTAGTTTACCCTCTTAGACAGGAGAAGTACGAGAACGTACTGCAGGTCTTGAGGTCTGATCCGGGCCTATTAAATAAATTCACCTCGTATCCCACGGCCATAACTTATCCGCCTTCTCAACCGTCATATTCTCATCCCCCCTCTCCTCCGCCTCTCTAGCCGTCTCCATCCACTGCTCATACGCAGTCGATGGGCCTCCCGCGCAGCCTCCCATGCCTCATTCGGAACCCACCTATTAGAATTCGTATCCAAGGACTTCATAAGCCAGACTTTTAACTTCTGCACCGTCTCGAAGTCCTCATAGTCCCTGGAATGCCGAGCCAGCTTTTCCTCTGTCGGTATATACAGACACGAGCCCTGTAATCCGAGCTCTTACTAACTATTAACCCGAAAGCTTAATCAGCTCCTGCCGAACAGCCGCAGCACTATCTCTCCATAAGGTATGTGCGTAATAGAAAAGTCGGAATAAAGTCGGGTCTTAGAGTCTAGCGGGTCAGAGCTTTGGGACGAGGCCTTTCATGCATACGTTATATGTTTAGTGGTAGATTGAGGCGTCTTTACTTTCTTTCGCTCGTTATATTTCAGGTTTCTCGTCTTCTAGTGTGCCCTCGTCTTCTGAGTCAGGGGGAGCTGTAAAGTCTGGCGTCTCGTTTTCGTATATGAATGCCGGCTCGATACTTGCCGTTTACTAATCTATAAGACCGGTGATGACCGTTGGGTCATCTGCCGAGACGTAGATATTACTCTTATAAAAGTCGGGGTGCAGGAGAGTAGGGCTAGCTGTGTCTTGGATACGTTTATCATATAATAACCTTTCGAGAACATCTTTGCTCGTTTGAAGTAATTGTTAATGTTTATGAACCTGTCCTCGGTAGGAGAGAACACCTTCGTTAACGGACTTCTCTCGTGGAATTCGAGCACGTCCAGTGTCTATTAAGCCAGAGCTAATATTTCTGAGTTCGTTCCCTAAATTCCAATGTTTTCCATTAGTCAGTCATCCTCGAAGCACATATAGCAGTGTATTTGAAGGAAAAGAATACAAGGAAAAAAGAAGGTAAAAGATAGGAATGTGGTACATGGGACGCGTTAGGGGCGTAGAAAAAGAATTCACACTTACATAGACTGTAACTCAGACTAAAGTCATAGTTTGATTCAAAATGAGAATAATCCCTTAGTATACTGGGTTCTATCGCTAGATCAACGTGGAGCGGCTTCCCGGCCTATGCACTTCCAAGAAATGGCCACTATTCTGCGGCCACTTATCTAGATATCCAGCTTACTAAGTAATGACTAAGCGAGGTCGAACCCCGGTGCAGGTGCCACGGCTAGGCTACGGCGAGCTAAAGCTACCAACGATGCACTGAGATATCCGTGTGCCAGAGGGACTATTCGACCATCAAGCAACATTGTTGCCATGTCAGCGATATCTCCCTGGACAAAAGAGACAATTGCACCGTTTTGCCCAGAACGCGCACAGAGCCAGAAGATGTTTATACCGCTCTGCGCAGCAGAAAGGGCTGGCCATGGCTCGGCACCAGATCCAACAACTCGAACAAGACCTGGATGGTCAAGCCGAGCCCTCGCCTACGATGGCCGGTGGTGCCCGGACGATATTGGCGCTGGCGCAAAGATATCCCATTTGCATTCGGATACCCTCGACCCTCGCTCCGGTGATGCGTTTCTTACCAGACAGGATTAAACGGTTACTTAATCTCCTTGACCGCGCAGACTTGGCGAGAGTCTTCGTGGCCCTGGTTAGATACCGGTTATCTAAGGCTGGCGGAGAAGTGGCTTTGACCACCTGGGGAACTATGAAGCAGCCTGCGAAGGCTGAGGAGTCGGGCGAATTAGTTGACATAGAACAGACCGTGGGCTAAGACGACTGCATTCTGGGTGGTGAAAGCATGACACGCAAAAGCCGTCTCTTTATATCCGTTGCAGCGAGTATCCTCAATTCCCAACCACCGTTAGCTACTTCTCAAGTCATTCATTAGAAATTTATAAGTTTCGTATGTCACCACAGCCGCCCAAACGATTGCCGCCTGTGAGTTTCAAATGGGGTGACATTCGCTCCTGCTGCTACACAGATGTCCACTAGATCTATTACGGCGCATGACAATGAAATCGTCTCCACAGAGTCTGCCAGAATTGTCAACCAGCCTCCGTCCTCCACTCGTGCTGGATCAGGTCCGAACGGTGTTACCGTACTTATCCCCCCCGCAGCTCGAGTGCGCGCAGCTATGGATCGACGAAGCTCGGATCCTTCAAGATTTTTCATTCACGCTAGTCACGTTGGTTGAACGGATGTGGGGTTTGACCGACGAAGAGATGGTCTTTGCGCGACTCCGGATTTATGGGCCGTTTACGATGGACTGGATACAGCGTGCCATCCCGGACCTCCGTCCGGCACAGATGGTGATGGCCCAATGGATTGTGGAACACAACCAAATGATGATGGAGTGCCCCAAGCCGGTTGTCTCTGGATCGCACTGCATGCTGCAACGGCTTATCACGCCAGATATCATCGCAAGGCTCTTAGATCTCTCCGCCTCGCAGCAGAGGCGCGTCAGTCGACGGCTTCAGTCTATGGAAAACGTTTGGGACCCGACTGGGCGATATCCTTACTCTACAGCCGACCGACTGTGGAGTGCGGCGATGCGGATGGAGCGACGATGGTGGCGGTCCCTCTGGCCGGGGCGATCGCACGAAAGGCCAGTCACTCTCAGCCAGGTCATGGGCATTTTCCCCCTTCTCGAACCGGATGCCGTGGACCAGGTCGCGCAGTTTCTCAAGCGGCGGGCATGGCGTGTAGGAAGGACGTCTGCTACATTGGAGGACGTAATGTTGTTTCTAAAGCGAGAAAAGCGCGTCTCAGATGCGGACATACATTATGCGCGCAGGCGCTTGGGGCTGACGCAGGAACACACTAAAGATTGCACGCCCATTGGCGGGAAGTGAAAGTAGTATGGAAACTAATCTCTTCTTCTTCGTCTATTCTCTTAAACCAAGAATATGTTCTGTAACATGCCAGGTCAGGCTGGATATTCCTCGACAGAACCTTCCCCCGTAATCCTGAGTACACATCATACCCACCGGGACGAAGGCATCCCCATGCGCGGCATGTTCCATTGCTTCTTCCACTCATACTCCGCCACTGCCTCCCGCTCCTGTGCTTGCCGTAGCGCGTCACGTAGCTTCTGGGCTGCTTCCCAAACGCGAGGGTGGCCGGCCAGGTTCACCTCGGGCTCGAATAGCTGAAGTAGGGACAGCTCCTGCGATACATCAATTGCCACTGCGTTCATATTCTGGGAAATATGCAGGCAGTGCTCGTAGAACTGATTCTCGCGCTTCTGCAGCTCCCACTATTGTCGCTTGTCTTTCAGAGTTTCGGGAACAGACCGTCGCCGAGCGAATTTGACTGCTTGGAGGCGGGCGCGCGTGGTGTCTAGCGCCATTGTAGACCCACGGGCCAAGGCAATCCGGTGGTCGAGTGGGTTGATGTCCGGAAGATCAAAGCCCGCTGGCGGGCACACGGGCGGTGCTCGAGTTACTAATCCCAGTTTGAGGGAATCGGGCGAGCGACCGTAGATGCTTGCATCGTCTTCACTGCCAAGCATAGAGGGGTAGGATGACATTTCTTTCGCTTGCAGATCTCGCAAAGCGCACAGTGTTGTTGTCCATGACAAGCGTAAGGGCTTTCAAAGTGGCCAGCTGTGAATGTCTCAGGTATATCAGGCCTCATGACTGCAAAGGCCGCGTACTTATAATCTGTCCCCAGCCTCTGTGGCTAAATCTCATATTGGTCCCGGAGCACCCTTACACCCGCCGATGTCCTGATACTGATCTGCAGCACTTTTCGCCCATCGAGAGCCTCATCTTCCAGTTACATATCCACTCTGTGGATCCCAGGATAACGTGCTGCGAGCTAGGACCCCTTGCGGTCGCGAATCCATACGACCCTTCGTTTAATTTTGTCTATGAAGGAAGGTACGCACTGTAGGCAAGTCATCTTTTTGAGGCATGTTAGCTTTTGTACTTGGTCTTCACCTAGCTCGGAAGCGTGCCGGGTGCAGCCAGTGCCACCATTGCCATGTCTGGGTCAGCACATATGATTCTGCAACATCTGCCGGTCCCGACTACTCGTAAAAAGCCAGGTACAGTATTAAGTTATGTATCTACTGATCTGTCTTATTGTTTTTATTAACTGATACTGCTTCTCATTCGTCGATTATTGAAGGGAAGAATAAGACCCACTAGTTATATATATATATATATATATTATTATATAGAATGTCAGCAGTGTATAATCCCGGAAGATCTCCTCAAAGACCATGAAACTAATTTTATATAATTAAGAATCTCTTTTCGTGGTCACTCTATTAACATCTTATATTATTAATGTCGGACCGGCCCAGGGGCGCTAGTCCTAAAAGAGAAAGCGGTCGAGCGGGACTACGCCGGTCAAGGGTAAAGGAGGTGTGGATCAGGAAGTAAGTAGATTTGATAAGTAATATAGCACTAAGTCTAAAAAGGGAATGATACTAGCCAAATTAGGAAGCTAGATATCAATCTAATAAAAGTAAATACAATTGACAAAGTTGTCAAAGGGAAGCAAACTTCCTAAATGGGAAATAAGTGGATCCTTTAGATAGGAAGTGAATAAATTCAATTTGCTTGCTTCTCCTGATCCAGCTAGGGGTAGAAAGACGTTATTTATCGTTTTCGGTTGATGATTCTAGATCAGAATCATAGATCATCAGTTTGATCATTAAACAAAGAAAGTGGAGTAAGCAGGTGGGGTAGATGACAGTGAATAAAGAAATATGAATAAAATGATCAGAATGATATCAGTAATACGAGATTTCACATGAAAAAATCCTTGTAAAAATGATCCATAATGATTCATCTATTTCGTATCTATCTGAGCTGGGATTGGAGTGGTTAACGGCCAGGGTAGGGTAGGTTAATGGGAAAATCTATACTTTCCGTCAGGTTAACGGTTAGGTATAACCACTCTAGCTGGGATTTCCATGTAATTTATATGGGAACTTCAGCTAGGTTGGACATTTTCAAGAAAGATTCTTTCTGATATTTTGATTAGTAATTTGATAAGTCAGAGATCTCAGTTTTCCAGCCAACCAGCTATTGCAGAGGATTTCCATTTGCAGTTAATAATATATCAAGTATGAATCGCAGACAAGACTCAACCATAGTATCTAAGAATAGTTGTAGAATCTACAGGGAATTAATTTAAGCGCCCTATGGGGTCCACAGTCTATCAGCGAACACATAGGCTAAATGAATAGCCACAGAATCTTTTTGTAACAGTAACGTGAGATATTATAATTAGATAATTCTAAAACTCAAATTTAATTTTCCTGAAGTTGCGTGACCATTTTCCTAATAAATAAATCGGCGGGGTCAATCTATACTTCCTAAGAAAGTACTAAGCGAGGGCGCTGTTAAAGTCGTAGACACTAACCAGGCCAGTCAGCTGATCCTGATCGGGCCGGTTCTGATCGGTAGGGCGAGAGTGCTGGAGTCATCAATAATAAAAATTACTTTACTAAGTATATCTGCTAAGATTATTTAAAAACCTCCTGTCAGCTTAGCTCTGACATACTCAGTTCATGAAGATTGATAAGACGGATAAGTAGATATATAATTTGATACGCTAAGAAAAGTACAGGCCCTCAGTTCCAAGCAGGTGGTTCACTATAGTATATTTACTAAGTGCTTGGCAGTGGGTCCGGAAGACAAGTCTCTCTTGTTTGAAGGTCAGAGCGATTTCGAGACGGACTGTAAAGAACCGGCAACAAGAGAGATTAATTTTGGTGCTGGTTGATATTGAGCGCGATATAAAACGATTGTTGTGTGCCGAACGGGAATTATCGCGATGGCGGACCCACCCGCGGGTGCTCCCGAGGCCCTTGGGAACATGACCACACTGGGGAACGACGCGCTGGAAAACTCTGAATCAACGACCACGCGCAAGACGCGGAGACAAGCACGCGCAGACAACCACCAGGACCAGGCGAACTCACTAATCATCGAACCAAGCACCGCAGGTACCAACACACCCCGGGTGACCACCAAGGAAATCCGGCAGATCATCGAACACCTGCAACATACCATTGAGAAGCAAACCACGTTGATCCAGGCCACCAGAACCGAGCTGAGAGAAGTGAAACACAATCAGAGAGAACTACAAACTCAGAATGAGAAACTACAAGACGAGATCCAAACGCTCCGAACTCAAATCGAAGGGCTCGACGCACCGAATCCAACGCGATCGTGGGCCGCCGTAGCAGCAGACACGAACAACTGCGAACCAAGCAAGAACCGACGCACCGAAAAGGACAAGAACTGTATCCGAATCAGCACCCAACCGTTGCCAACTGACACAACCGGTATATACACCAATACTAATGAATTTGGCCGTTACCTCCCCACGTCGTCTGCGAACAACCACATCAGGACCGCCTTACTGAACGCACCATCCACCCACGGGGTACAGGTAGCAGGGGTTGGAACCACCAAAACCGGATATGTGATCCGTTTCAAAGACCCCGAGTCAGCTGAAACTGCCAGGAACAATACAGAATGGTTACAGGAGCTGGGCCATGAGACAAGACTGGTAAAACCACGTTACGGGGTAGCCGTACACCATGTCCCAACACAGGGGCTGGATCTTGAGAAAGACAAAACAGGAGCCATCCGGAAAATTGCACAGGAAAATGATCTCCAGGAACGTGGGTTCCGAATCGAAGATATCGCTTGGCTTAGGAAAAAAGACAAAGCATTAGGGCCGTTCGCATCACTGGGGATATGGTTTGACTCAGCGGAGGCGGCGAACTGGATGCTCGACAACGGCCTTCTGATCGACCAACGGTACATTGGAAGAGTAGAGAAATGTGAAATTAGGAAAAGACGCTGCTTCCGCTGTCAAGAGTTTGGTCACCTCGCATGGTCGTGCAAGGAGACACCACGGTGCGGTCACTGTGGCGACCAACATGAGCGAGCGCGATGCCCTCCAGGCGTTAGACCACGCTGTCTGGACTGTAGAGGAGAGCACGCAACCGGCAACAGCTTGTGCCCGACGCCCGCCATAGCGCCCCCCGCACGATGCTAGAAAACAACCTTCGAATCCTGCAATTGAATATGATGAAATCGAAACCCTGCATGGAAGCCCTTATCAACGATAACCAGACCCAAAACCTGGACATACTCCTTATCCAGGAACCATCTACCACTATGTATCGAAGCCATGTGAACCATAGCGCATGGAGACTACACCGACCAACAGTAACAAGCGATTCTGTCAGATTCAGGAGCCTTATCTATGTCAACCGGAGACTCTCTACGTCCTCCTACCGACAGGTGCACTGCGACCACCCTGATGTAACAGCAATCAAGATCCGGACACCCGAACTACAGATTCTGGTCTTCTCGGTGTACATCGAACCTATACCAATGCATAATCCGGGAGAAGCGTCAGCAAGACGTGTACTATCAGCCATACATGACACGATACATAGTACTCTACAAAATACAAACAAGACCACTAGTCTCATACTGTCAGGAGACTTCAATCGTCACCACCCGGCTTGGGGTGGTAACCATGTCCAATCCCGTTTCATCGAAGATGCGAGCGAATTGATCAATTTCTTCAACACCTACAGCCTTCGGAGCTGCCTCCCACGCGGCACGGCAACTTTCTGGTCACTAAGCCACCCCGGTAGAAACTCTACTATCGATCAGACATTGACGGACCGTCCGGGGATGCTTCTCAAATGCCATCTTTACCATGATAATTACGGCTCCGACCACCGAGCAACCTACTCGGAATGGAGCCTCCGAATGCCGCGCAACCCCGACACCAAACCAAGGAAGGCGTACGAACGAGCCGACTGGGAAAAGATCGGATGGGATATATGGGCAAGCATGAGGCCCTGGGAGACGCCAGACACAATTGAAACACTCGATGCCACGGTGGAGAAACTTATTCAAGCGACCGCGACGGCCATTGACAAGGACATCCCGAACCTACAACCGTCACCATATGCTAAGCGTTGGTTTACACCAGACCTCAAAACCCAACAAAAAGCAGTAAACCAAACACGGCGTAAATGGCAAGAGAGCTGCGCAAGGGCAGGACGGGACGACCCCTACACTAAGCTACTCTCTGAGGATATGCGCCAAAAGCGCCGGACATGGACACGGGCAATTGAGAAAGCCAAAACCGCACATTGGAAACAGTTTCTGGACAGAACAGGGGAAAGGAGGCTTTGGAAAGCGGCGACATACATGCGGCCACGCGAATCCTGGAGCAGCGTTCCGGCTCTCAAAGTCGATAACCGCAGCGTGACTGGAAACCAAGAGAAGGCCGAAGCATTTATGAATACATTCTTCCCGATGATGGCGCCGGCCCAGGAAGAGACACCCACACGAATCCCAGCGGAACTTCCATGGCAACCATCACAGAACTCGAAGTCTATAGATCCTTGCAGGCAGCGAAGAGCTCAACGGCGCCCGGAGAGGACGGGCTCCCGATGCTGATCTGGAAACGGCTGTGGAGACACCTTGGAAACCTCATCACGCGAATTTTCGCAGCATCGATTGACTTAGGGTACCACCCCCGAAAGTGGAGAAGCGCCCGGATTGTGGTTCTACGTAAACCCGGGAAGTCGGATTACTCGATCCCGGGAGCGTACCGGCCGATCTCACTGCTGAACACACTCGGCAAATTACTTGAGGCGGTAATGGCCCGGCGGCTGTCCTACCTCGCAGAGCACTACGGACTTCTCCCGGACACCCAGTTCGGCGGACGTCCGGGGCGAACAACCGAGCAGGCCCTGCTGGTGTTGACTAACGCAATCGACCGGGCGTGGTATGGACAGAGAGTAGTTACCTTGGTAGCCTTTGATCTGAAGGGCGCTTTCAATGGCGTGAACAAGACCAGTCTTGATATTCGTCTCCAAGCTAAAGGCATTCCTAAGGTCGCTCGAAGGTGGATTGCAAGCTTCATGAGCGGTCGACAAGCCAGGATTGGGTTCGATGACTACTGCTCCGAGGTGATACCGCTGGGAAATGCCGGGCTGGCGCAAGGTTCCCCCTTATCCCCTATCCTCTTTGCGTTTTTCAACAGTGATCTGGTGGACCAACCAGTCAACTTCCACGGGGGTGCATCAGCCTTCATCGACGACTACTTCCGTTGGCGGGTTGGTCGATCTGCTGAAGAGAACTTGGCTAAACTCCAATCCGAGGATATACCCCGGATTGAAGCCTGGGCTCGGAAAACAGGATCGAGCTTTGCTGCCGAAAAGACTGAACTCATCCATATCACCAGGAAGAGAAGGGAACAATGTCGAGGTCAAATCACCATAAACAGCAGCGTCATCACTCCATCCACAACTGCAAAGCTCCTCGGCGTCATTTTTGACCATGAACTACGGTGGAAGGAACATGTGCAACAAGCTGTCAAGCGAGCTACCAAGGTCAACGTGGCGATTGGGGGGCTGCGGCAGCTTCGGCCTGAACAGATGCGACAGCTATACGAAGCGTGTGTCACACCAGTTGTTCAATATGCGTCAACTGTGTGGCACGACCCACTGCGAGACAAAACACACCTGAGACAGTTACGCACCGTGCAGCGTACGGCACTTATTCGCATTCTCTCCGCCTTCCGAACGGTAGCCACATCCACTCTCGATGTCGAAGCTTATATGCTACCTACCCATCTTCGCCTACGCCAGCGTGCTCAAACCACCATCACTCAACTCCACACATTACCACGGAAGCATCCAATCCGGGAAGTCCTGCTTCGGGCCCGGAGACGACGAGATAATGTCGGATCACACGCCCGGTTCCCGCTCGCGGAGGCTCTGAAAACCATGAACCTAGAAAGGCTCGACGACCTGGAAATGATTGATCCAGCCCCACAACCACCGTGGCGGGCTGAAGCCTTTTCTAAAATCGACATTGCGACCAATAGGGAAATAGCGATGGAGCAGGCGGAGGCAGCACGGTCCGAGTCGGACCTTGTGGTGTACTCCGACGCCTCGGGGCGTCAAGGCCACCTGGGTGCCGCAGCCGCAGTCCTCGATGACGAATCGGTAACGACTGAGAGCCTACAGATACAGGTCGGACCCACGGACCAATGGTCGGTGCATGCCGCCGAACTAATCGGTATCCTTTATGCGATCAATCTTATCAATAGAATCGTGCTCCAACAGCGAAGAGCCGGCCAGAAACGAGCGAGAACAGTCACTATTCTCAGCGACAGCACGTCAGCACTGCTGGCTATTCAGAAACCCGGCAGTAAATCAGGCCAACAAATTATCTATGCGATCCTTCAAGCAGCCAAGAATACGAGAACGCACGGGGTTACAATTCGATTGCAGTGGGTTCCCGGACACAGCGAGATCCTCGGTAACGACGCAGCCGATCGGCTGGCCAAAGAAGCAGCTATACCTGGCAAGACACACCCGTTTTCCCCCCTGCTCTCGCGTGAAAGAGCATACATCAGGCAAGGAATCCTTACTCAATGGGAGAAAGAATGGAAAGAGTCCAGGGACGGCGGCCATCTCCGGAAAATCGACAACACACTGCCAGCAAAATACACCAGACGACTCTACGGAGCTCTGCCAAGAAATCGAGCATACCTTCTGACCCAGATACGGTCGGGACATTGCTGGCTGTCCACGTACGGCAAGTTGTTCGGCTTCCGCGATGATGACCGGTGCCTCTGCGGTGGACGGGAAAGTATAATACACGTCCTTCTAGATTGCCCGCTGCTCAGAGACCTACGTCGAGAGCTCCGGGCAAAGGTCGGCGATGCGCTCAATAGCATGTCAGTCCTGCTGGGCGGATCTGGATCTTGCCAGGAGGGTGGAAGTAGAGTCAGCAACGCTTCGCGCACTAAGACAGTCGAGGCCGTCTTGGATTTTGCGGAAGCATCCCAGCGATTTCGAAGCCGCGTGCCATAAGGGCAGCTAACTAACATCAACGGCGCAAAGGCCACAATAGGCCCCGACGAGGCTCTAAGTTCGTTTAAGAAGTGGTACAGGACCAATGTTTATTAAAGAGATACATATAGTGGTAGTAGCCTGCATATCGCCTTAGCGAGGGGTCAGGGTAAATGAAGCCATCCATCCATCCATCCATCCATCCATCCGACTGTACATTTCACGAGGAAGGGGACAATCTCAATGATCATGCATCTAACTGATAACGTAGCGCAACGATCTTGTGTTACAAGGCAGACGCCTGCTCCCATTGTCGCGAAAGTAGGACTAATTCCGGGATTGCTAGGCCTTGCAGTAGAACTGACGCGCGGTCAAAGAAGTTCGGTAAAACATGGAGAATCATCATTTGTGGGCGGCATTTCTAATCCATACCGGCTGCGAAGGGTAGGGCGGCCACTTACTGCTGCTCTTATCTCGAGGTGCATCCCAGCGCGAAAGGTCTCATATATGGGAGCGCAATCCAGGCAGCGGCTCATCATGGAGTGAAGAAGTGGCGCAAGCTCTGCTGGCTGCCGGTGCTCAGGTTAACGCTCAAGGAGGATATCACGGTAATGCGTTGCAAGCCGCGGCAAGAAATGGACAAGTATGCTTGGTACAGATGTTACTGAATGCTGGAGTAGACGGCAATGCTCGTGGGGGGATCTATGGAGATGCTTTGACAGCAGCTACAAGACGAAAGAACACAGAGATTTTTCAACATTCTTTTGCAAGTTGGCGCAAAAGATGACTTGAGCGAAAGCGAGGGTTTGGATGGATCTGACGCGACTGAAGACATAGGTGGTGACGTATTTGATATGCATATCATTAGTCCGTTGTATTGCTCTCACCACTGATGGATGCACATGGTGAATGAGGTCATAGCTTCCTGCATACCATCTATGCGACGAATCAGGACATAATCATTATAAACATCAGTACTATTCGGTTACAGAGGCATATTTTTGCCCGTCGTAGCGTGCGGGACTGAAGCAGATAACGATGTGGTCTTCGCTCATTGGTTGACTGATATTGCTTACATCATGCACCGTCCCGATCAACAGTTAGCGTTTCTTCGTAACATAGGGGTATCAGGTCTTAAGTGCACGTGACTATAAAGATGAATGCAGTAGACCTCGCCATATTGCTTTTTCGAATACCCAAGGGTTACCCGGAAACCCGATAAGAACCCCTCCCTCATATATTACGGAAATACGTACGAAATATTGGATCTTTAATAAGCATATATATATGTAATTTGCGTATATATTACCGTTATATATTTCTCTTGGCGGGTTTTGGGTTGGGGGTCGAAACCCAACCCGCGATTTGGCGAGGTCTAGAATGGAGAATTAGCCTCCAAGCATGAGTGGGGTCCGTGATATTTCAGCTAAGCCTGTGTACCCAGCAGACCAGTGTCTAGCAGTAGCTTAAAGTTACTATCTTCCGCACATCTTCGAATATGGCAATACGCTTGTGCTACAGGTTGGGCATCTTGTTGCTTTGCATTATGTTTGCTCTTTGACCTCGAGATGAGTGCAGCCTCCGGGCTAGGAAAGGATAGGGCTTGAAAGTCAAAATCACCTCTCTTCAGGGACGCAAAAGAAGGCGCCACCTGATTATGCGATGTTGCCTTCATATGCCAGAGTCAGATGCTCAGTAGGGAGAAAGTTCGCGGTAATGTTATCAGATATGAGTGGGTTCCGGGCTCAGCCAATGACAAGGAACGTGAAGGTAGATCTTGGTGTATGCACTTGTTTTTATAGCTAGGGAAACCCAAAGCAATCGCCCAACTATCCCTATAGTCACTGCCACATAGAAGGGTGCTACCGCAACAAACAAATGTCAATGATTTCTGCGGTGATACACTGATACCTGAAATCCCACACAGCCAAGTCCTACAGGTTCTTCAGCTATAGGGCTGCGTAGGTGGAGGGAAAGCTTGAGGTGACAAATAGCTTGGACTACCCTTGGTTCGAACATCTTCCTAAATGACTACAGCAGGTTGAGGGGGATCAGATGGTGGTAGACTTCTGTAGCGTTCAGGCAGCTGGGCAAACCACAACACGAATATGTTTCTCCCACGCTTCTGACGAGGGTTAAGCCTCTTAAGGAGGATAATGTTGCGAAAGCATTGATGCCCAGCATGGTGTTGAGGCGTCTACCCACGCTGAGGAATTAGTCCTTATTGTTTTCAATCTTCACTCGGTTCTCGGGGGGGAATGATCCATAAAAATCTTAAGGTTATAGGACGGGGAGCCATGGCTTACATGAGTTGCTTTCGCAAGGTGTCAGGCTTGTACGATTGCTTGACTGAAGGAATGACTAAACGTGGTATTGTACGGAGCGAAATGGATAAAGCTGAACAACGCTCGACAAATCAAATATTTACTTGTGAGACATTTCAGAGTTTGTGTAGCAGCTGAGACAGTAAAATTGTCATATGGCATCAGTATTGCGCTGGCATTCTTTACATCCGAAAGTTCGTTACAACCAAGCGTCCAATCATTTCTCAGTCACACTCAGCATGCTGTTTAGGTGGCTCCTCTTGTTCTTGTTCTTCTTCTTTCTCGTTTCTGATCCTCGAAAGCCCCAACTCCAATCACCATTGTCTTCGGGATTGTGGTGAACCTCTGAGTTGGCCTTTTCGCAATCAACTGGAAGGAGCTCGATGCGGGCTCACCACACGGGCAGTTCCGATCAGAAGCAAATAACATGAGATATTCGCAGCGCTATGTTCTTTGGACAGCGCTTTAAAACATTTTCCCTCGTTGTGGTCTTCGGTAGGCTCAGATTGGGTAACTGGAAACGGTTGTTCACGCGAAGGCTCGCCATCATCCTTCGTCTCACTCCCGCCGCCGGTAACTCTAAGAATGTTTCGCAAGCGTGAGGTCACTACAGCTTTGCTGAATGCTGGATCATTCACAATTTCCTTGTAGAACTCGTCCAGCTGGAATATTGTCTCATCCTGCGCAAAGCTCCTAGAAAGCATAGAGTCTAGATAGTGATGAAACCATTCTTTATTCTCAGGCAATTTCGAAAATACCGACCGGGCTCCTTAAAGCATCTGGGAAATCGACAGGGTTTCGCTGAGAGTCATAATGTACTTTTGGGCAAGCGCGTCGAGGTCGTCTATCTCGTGCTTCCTGGCAGCCTAGTATATCTGGACGCTTCTCTCATATTCAAGTTCAACGTTGTGTGACTCTTTTTGGGTTTCCGCACAAAGACCGTTTCATATTTCCTTTCATATGGGAAATGTATGATGGTGTGGCCAACATCCGCGTCGATCTCCAATTAGAATACATGGACTCCGAGACTATCTGGCTTGGACTAGCAGATGCCCTGGTATATAATTTTCTGGAATGGAGTATTTCTTGTTTCTGACGGTAATGACGATGACCCTTTATTGTTCATAGGGACTACGATAGAGGCAAGGGGATTAGCACGCATCATCAGAGGCAGGGCATAGTTGTCTTACGATAATTTTGGCTGGTCGTAATCCATTGCTGAGCTCCTCGTGAAAGCCATGGGTGCTTTTCCCTCAAATATTGAGCTCTTTTCGTTCGTGGTTGGTTGGAAGATTGGTCATGAATGGGAAAGAAGATACAATTCGAGTAGAGCTTCAAAGTAAAGGATTCGAGAATAACCAAACCCGCGTACAGGCCTCCTTGTAATCACAGAATTTGGAAGAACAAGGGTTCTGGTCGTCTAATTTATTCAACCCAGTGCTAAGACCTCTCCCTGAGAATCACACAGGAGAATATTGCGATGATACGGGGCGAAGAATGCGACCGGGTGTTTTCTAATAGGCTGCCTTGATGTGGACATGCCATCCGAGCAATAGGCACCCCTCGCATGACAGCCTTGCTAATATCCCAGCGTTCTTCGCATAGGAGGTCTCTGACTCGAAGGAGAGTGTATGTGATTACATTTCTAGTATGCTGAGTTGAAGCAAAAGAAGGCTGAAGGGTGTTTATTGTAAGTACTAAAGTGGTGTAAGAAAGAGCTAACTCTATTTAGTAATCAAAATTCCTCACCTGAAACCTGCTGAACTGGCGGTCATACTTGTATATCTCAATCTTCTGCTAGTCCAAAACAGAGGGAATGCTACACATAGATTCCTTGCAACCAAATTCTTGGCCTGAAAGTCACAAAGGTATGTGAAATATATACCCTCCATGTAATGTAATTGTTTCTTAGCATGTTATTGCTGTCGAGGCCATATACGTGCTCTACAGGATTTCTTTAATATAAGTGCCACACTCGAATGACTTGTGAACAAGATGAATCGACTAATGTGTGCGGTGCGTACAGTAAGCAGATAATGGAGTCAAAGCTCATAATGACGTTGATGACAGTGGAATAATTGACCGCGGTACATGCAAAAGATACCTATGACTTTAAATTGCCGTAAAACATAAATTGCCGTAAAACTGAGTTGAATAGCGTGATCACTTCTCCTAACCAATCGACATCAAGTAAATTGAGATGTCATCGTAGAAGGTCATATTCTAAATAGAGAACGATGGAAAGATCCATAATCTAGCAGAGCTGTTATGCTTATGCTAGTGACCATGTTTGTCCTCCGACCATTTAGCAGAGTACTGGATAAATGGGTATTTTGGTTGTGTAGTCCGCCATGGTGGAGTCGATGCTGGTCCCAGAGACAGTATCATGCGGGAGCTCAAGGTCGGGAACTCTTTAAGGAGATCATGAAATGGGCCTTGTACCCGGAGCTTTTCTAAACAATATGCAGCGTACTGAGCCAACCAGTCTAACAATTTATCATGTTGCGGGAGCCTGGGAAAGGAGAGCCGTAAAGCATCAATTACTGCGAGTTGAGTGTCGAGACTGTTCGGTTTGTCCAAGTCCGTTAAGCAAGCAGTCAACTTTTCATAAGCCAGCTGTTGAAGATCGGGAACAAGGTAAGTCTCAGAGAATATGTATAGACGGATATGGACAAGAAGGGGGTGGTTCTCTGACGTCGAGTCGGTTTCAGGAGTTGTGTTTTCAGGCTTCTCGTCAATATCCGTCTCCGTGCCTTCCAGCAAAATTGGAGTCTGTCCAATGTTGGTTCCGCTGATTGTGGCGGGATAATCGCCTCGGTATGCCCATTCAATAAATCGCGCAATTGTACCCTCTGCCACGTCTTCAAATACATACACGCCGCTCTGGCCTTCCTTGAGATTACTGTCCAAGGCTGCAATCAATGGTGAGGACTTTGAGTGAAGCAGCGTTCGATGGATCCTAAACGAACGTCCCGTTTGACCAACTTGAAGGGAAACAGGATCGGAGTCTAGAAAGCTGATTTAGGTCAACCTCTACTACAAATGCACTTTGAAAGGAGTAGCTCACTCAAAATACGGTAATTCTCGTGCTTCTCTCATTATACTATTCGTTTCATCAAGGGGCGAGTTTTGACGAGAAGTGGGCGGCAAATCTTCATTCAAGGTTTCAATTTCCGAAAAGACGATCGGACTGAGCAGTTGTGGTGGTCTTTGTTTCCTCTTCTTTTTGCCTGCCATAGCTTTTCTAGTCGGAAGGGAGGATGGAAGATCTCTAGACTTGTACCATCTTAGTGCAGAATGGTCGACATGTGTCAAAGCACGATTGGTGGAGAAATATGAGTAATGAGTTAGATGTACTGCCTGTATGGGGCTAGGCAAGAATCACGTATATGCTGCAGTAGGTATTCTGGAGATACTCTTAACAATCATTTTCTTTCACGATACCAGGCTAATCGCATCGCATACTTTGGCAAAGAAAGTCTGAAATTGCACTGCATCTAGCTACGGAAGCAACCCTCGCTTCGCGTGATCCCCACCATGGTTCCTCTCACCGTGATAGTGCATAATAATTCTCGGTGTTTCAACCATGGAGATCGCGTGGCTTTACTCATAATGTCTATCAGCCGAATGGCCCTTAGGGCTGCTTCATTTCTCATTATCGACCAGATTCAGGTTTTATATACTGTAACCGCTCGCAATATCCTGTCGAGAGTGCCTTGATGGGTTAAACATGTCCCCTCCAAACTTTTTGGAAGTACCCATCCGTCTGACGCAGATGGTTGCGTCCTTGATAGCTCTCGCCTTTTGGAGAGACAACCTCAAGATGTTCGACATTATCAATGCAATTTTTAGATTATAACTCGTAACTCACATTGAGAAATATAAAATAGATACAGCAAAGTCTTGTCCGAAAAGAGTGTAAGGGCTAGAAGTGCCCATTTATTTGAATCGCGAAGCACCAGAAACGGGAAATGTAATGTCCTATCACTGTGAGCTGATTAGCGCCCCTAATGCAAGCTGTATCACAACCGACCTGCCTCGTAATTTAAGAATCGGGCAATAAGTAGATCCCTACAGAGCCAATCAAGTACTAGGAATGATTCATGCCCAGGTATGTAGATATTAGAGCAAAAAAGTCTGTGCTCTCGTACGATAAGCCGCAGTGCCACAACCCAGCTTGGACGACACATAACGATATCAGCCAAATACGTTGAGGGGTTTCGACGGAAAGCTATGTGTAGTGTCATGACAGTTTTCGGAGAGATGTCATTCCATACGGTGTCTTGCGCTATTACCATGCCTACTCCAGAGTCTCCATACTTTTTCCCAGTCCCTAGTGTAGTGTTGGTGGGGATCTTCCATGGATACTTTGTAAGCAAAGCTCTTGAGACGGTCATGTTAACGATACATTGATGATGCAGTATCTCGCACACGTACTGTATTGTATTGAATACTAGTCGAAAGCCAGAGAAAAGCTGCAGGCCAGATGACAAGTAACTCACCGTAGTCCTAGTAATTGTCACTCCCGGTGAATATTCGTCAGAAGCCAATTGTTTTCTGCTCCAGCATACCATGACATAATACTCGACTCGGGTACATGAGTAACAGTATAACTTCCATTCTTTTCCGCCCTTGCCAATACTGACCCCTACATTCAGTCTCTCCATTTTAATGAGCCTATTTCCTGAACCTCGAAGTTCCTCAACCTCGGGTTCTACAAGTACCATGCAACACCTAAGAAGTGCGACTACGGCAATTATCTCTTCTGGGGAGTCCTTTGCTCGAGAACATACAACCGCACTAGCCTTTGGTAGTACGGGATTTGCCCTCGCTACGGCACCTATTGCTGGCCCTGCAATATTAGGTGCTGCCGGTTTTGGCGCTACAGGGCCTGTTGCGGCTTCATTTGCTGCAGTATGGCAATCTTCAATCGGGGCAGTTCAAGCTGGGAGTCTGTTTGCCACATTACAAAGTGCTGCGATGGGAGGTGCTGCTGCGGGAGCATTTACAACAGCTTCGAATATTGGTATCGCGATGGTGGGATCCGTGGCGATCGGAACACAGTGGAATTATTACAAGGCAGTACCACGGATGGGCTATGATGTCAAAAGTACTGGTAAAGCTGGATACTGTGGTACTATAGCTCTGTCTCTCTGAACGCTGCTCAAGGCTAACTCAAATATAGATAGCGATCAGCCAGATGATGGATTTGATCACAGGGCAAGTAACCCACAGTCTTGTGATAAAATTAATTGTTTGGAAAAGGAATGGGCAAAATTGCTTCAGATAGACCTATCTTGATTGAATATGCCAAACGTCGTACACCAGGGTTACTTGCAAGAGGAAACCCGTTCAAATACTTATCATAGCCATATCTACATATGTTTCGCCTTTTATCTATCCTTACTAGTCGATCCTTCGGCATCTCATACAATGAACGATGACGAAGGTAAGGATCCATACGCCGACAAATCGCCTTAGACAATACCTATACCAGTAGGTCTCTTTCTTGTAAAGAGTTATCGAGAGCCAAGAAATCCAATAACTAGCCTGAGCTTTGCAGCGAGTTGCTCTTGTCTATGGAGGTATGATAACACCTGGGAATCAATGTTACGTTTTGAACGAAAAGTACAAGGGAATTGATCAATTGCTTGATATCCACACGGAAGAAAATAAGTTAATGATTAGCAGGTCATGCATACCGCTTATTGTGCTTTGACCTAATTACTCATGCAAGGGGCAGAAGGGTCATCGGAATACAGAGAATCTAATATCTGTGTCACTGATTTGACTTGACAGGCGTTATGTGCTGGCTGGTCTAGGTTAATATTAATTTGAATGCTTTCCTACAGACTGGGGGATGTACATGTGCGACTAAATGCTCACGGTAATATTAGTATATCATTACTTGAATGATTATATTGTGAGTATTTTTAATCTATCAAATGGAATACGCTTGAAATGTAACACACGCCACAAGATTCTCGACTAGACAGAGGTTGGGTCACTATTATAAATTCCATAAATTGACTTCTCTCACATTTTTCGTAGACCTATTATCTCCTCCCTGAAAGAATGGGGTCGAGGAGGAAAAGTGGGTTTCCTAAAATAGGGTCTCTCCAGTGCAATGACGTCTCAGAGGGTACTGTTAGGGGGTTTCCAGCGAGTCGGTGAGACCGGGTAAACAAGAACAAACCCCAGTAATATTTCCAGACCCCATCCAAAACCCGTTATGGAAAGACATACCTGTATCGCAGAACAGACGCAATTGCCATTTGAAGCAAGTCAATCTTTACTATCTTATCAAGCAACCTGTCCCCAAGGATCCAAACGTAATCTGAGGTACATTTTCTTGACCGGCTGTGCAAACTGAAGTATTTATATTAGTTCCCCTATGTCTGTGTGTGTGTGTGTGTGTGTGTGTGTGGCTTAGCCGTACGCCTCTTATTCAAGCTATCAGGAGAACCCGTTTTATGATACTAGAAGACGCCAGTTGTAGATAGCCATCGGAAGCACATGCTCAAAGTAGTAGCTAAATCCGAAATGCAGAGAGTATGTAATTGGTAGGTCCGTCTTAATAAAGTATGCAGCCCGGTTGGCTGGGTGTGGTATATATGAATAGTGGTCGTGTAATACTGATAGGACCGGGCTAGTACCAGCCGAGGGTTTTTCTATCTTCAGTCAACTTTTCGAAGGATTTGCCTAACCACTTCATATAACTGGCTCTCTATAGTACGGTCGGGTGATACGTTCCGCCCTGATGGGTTTGAGCTTTCGGTATCCTTTGACGGTTGGCTGTCTCCAGCGGTTCTAGGAAAAGGGAATCCAAGCATGAGGACCAGGTACTCTTCGCATAGGAATAACCAACTGCACTGAAAGGCTCGCTGACAGGACTTGCTAAGCGACCTACTGACTAGCAGTCTCTCACTCATCACAAGAATGTGTGAACTATGTGCATGGGCAACAATCAATCAGTTACTATCTTACATCGTATTTATTGGGCATTTAATGCGAACAAGGTAAAGCGAGGACCATAGGATCAACTTAATCATAACCGTAGGGCCTAATGAATCATTCGGGCGTTACCGCGGTCTCAAGCAATACCATCTCCGGATAGCCAGTCAAGTGGCTCACTGCTCCAAACTTCACACAATATAAGGCATCTTAAAAGCATCAATACCGTGCAGCAACTACTTCAAATCTCAAGCAAGCCCAATCTCACCTGCAGGATCTCTACTACGGCAGCTTCTTCTAGGTTTCAAGCTTGCAATAACAGATATTAGTATACTTGCTAAGGAGAATGAGGTATTACGTGCGAGTCATGAAAAGCAGCTACAAAAGAGAAGACGCTTAAGGAAGCCGGTGGTATATAAAGAAGAAAGAACGACTGTCGAAGATGCTTAGAGAGCTATAAAACTAGATGAGGGGGTTCAAAATAAGCAAGATTTTGTGGTTGAAGCTCAGCCTCAACCTACGGAGAAGCCCTCGTGCGCGCCTCCACGCTGCAGCAGCTTCTTCAATAATTGTCAACGACGTACACGGTGCGCTAAACCACCTAGTAAATAAATATATGGCACGTATATGAAAGTATATTGATCTAAAGGCTTCATTTTGATCATGTCGGGCAGTCGTACCAGGGGGGGTGGACCGCACAACCGTGGAATACGTTAACTGGAAGGCTGAAGATAAGCACAATTCACTTTTGTAGATTCGTGCATCCTGGATGCAAATCTCACTAATATTCCCGGTGATAAAGGTAGTATCCCTTGTAGATACATCGCTTACGCTTTGCGCTCTATAGGATGCGTATAAGGGCTGCTGAGTCCTTACCGAAGCGGATACTTTCCATATCACCAGAGTATCATGCTTTGTCAGGATAGTAACGAGCTATGGAAGTGGAACTGTGGGGTCTGGGCTGAGAAAAAGCGTCTTAGGAAAAGCAGTATGTCACGATCCAGGCTAGCAGCATAAAGCTATATCTTGAGCCGAATGCCAAATTCCCAATAAAAGCTCAGATTCTTCGACCAGCCCTTCCAAGGCTTATCTATATGCTTCGTAACATGCCGAATATGCCGTCTATGCCTGCGTGTAAGTCATATGCAATCTCCACTCATAACTGTCCGTGACGGAACGTGGCACAACTTAATCAAACACCTTAATGATAGTTGATGATCATGAGCTTTGATGTCTTGAAGCTATGCTTTAGTATCATAACTAGTGAAATCAGTTTAGAAGTGTCTTGGCTTGTCAGCATTGATGTCAAGTAACTACTAAGATCTTTGCATATCGAAATTACCTTCTACCGGTAGAGATTGCGGCTTGTAGCAACAATGCCAACAACTTGATATCACACGAATTATAGATGTCAGTTTCTCTGGTGTCAGTGATTTCCGGACCCAACCACCTCCATCGTCCGGCCGCCTCCAGTAAGCTCTGCCGGCTCATTTCTTAGTCTTTCCTGCCTCGTTTGAGAAACAACTTAAGGAAACCATAGTAGTTCGACCGGCAAAACCCGGACAAATCACTGCCACAACCAACAGAGAACCATCATAGACGACGTAAATATCTTAAATAATTCTTCGAGCTAATTTCAATCAGGACTCAATCGGATTATTTTTATCCCACACTTTCCTACTTTTGGGGAGAACCAATCAGGTCTCATTCAATCAATTCTAATAGCTTTATACATATATTTCTAAAGCTTTCATGCCGCATCACTCTGCCCCGGGTTCGATCAGCTGGAAGAAAGAACTTTGACGTAACGCAATAAGCATGGACCATAATAATGATTTGAAGCGGGACAAGTAACGCCTGATTTGGATATAATGAGCTATGCAAAAGCCAGGCCTGTTATTGCCTGGTTGTGAGAGGCTCAGGAATACAGGGACGAAGCGGTGCAATCGGCTTTCTTAGTAGAGAAATAATTAAGAAAGAGTATATGAGGCCTGTGGAGATAGAATATGAAAGATGTGAGGAGATGACTGGACGTCCAGTTTCGCCATACCTGAGGGGGTGGTGCAATCGCCTTCGTAATGTCTTGCCACGTCATCACTGCTGATCCAAGGGGCTGTGCGTTCAAAGTATCCATAGTCCATGTCTGCTGACGCGTCGTCTATGCGCGCCCATTCGTTGTAAATCTTGCTGCCTGGAATGCGGTGTCGATCATATCCAGTCTCAGTATCTCTTATCGTGCCGGTTATCCGCTCAAGGTCACACGAAACCAAATCCTTCGGGAATACTCCATGTCTGTTGCACCAATAAAATTCTTGAAGCTCGTCGGGTGCCAAAAATCGCGCAAACTGCTTACGTGTTTGTGGGTCCATTTGTCTCTTGGCGTGCGGGGTCGAGGTCATGTGGCGCAAAAACTCTGCCGCTGTGGGTCTACCACTCGGATTTGACGCTGCCTGACTGTCTGCAGTCCTTTGCCTTGTGCCCGAATCGTCCACATTTGTTGCATTTTCCTGAAAACTTGCCATGTTGTCGATTCTTGCCGGTAAATCTTTTAGCCGCGTACAATTGCTCATCAATTCTCTGTGCTTCTCTGGCCAATTCGTCCAATGTTCCAAATTCTCTGTCCTGTGTAATCAAGGCCTCTCGTATGTGTAATTTCAATCCTCGTAAAAATGCTGCCTGCTTGGCGTCGTCGTTTCAGCTCAATTCTTCAGCGTCTCTCTGGAAGGCCACGTAATATGCCTGTACCGATGATTTCTGCGTAAGGAACGTAATTCGTCGGGATGCTTCCTGTATCTTGGTCTTTTCTGTCTTGGCAAATGCCGTCCTGACTTTCTTGACAAATTCCTGGTAATCGTCGTAAATTTCCGGATCCACTGATTGTTCTTTGCTCAGCCAACGGAGTGCGGGGCCACGTAACAATGTGCCCAAATAAGCTGACTTCCGTTTGTCGTTGTCGTCAAAGGCGTCGTCGGTAAGGAATCGTAACGTACAGTACGTAATGACGTCTTCGAGTTGGTTGTCTTTTCCGTAAAACAATACTGGCTTGCTCATGTCTTCGTATATTTCGTCACGGTATTCGTCCACGTGAAATTCCAATTCACTTTCTGTACCGTCTGAGTCGTTGGGTATGTCTGCACCCTGACTGTCCTGTACCTGCACTGCTTGTCTCTGCGAACTCGTTTCTGACGATGTCGTGTAATAATGGGGATCGCCTTCCTCAAAAGCTCGTATATTCGCTGTGGTCTGTACTAATCTCGCGTTCTCTGGTGGTAATATCGGTTCAACCAGTCCTAATCTTCGTCTGTCACGTGATGCTTGTTGTCGTTCACGAGCGAGTTCCGCTTCTACTCGCCTAGGGTAGGGTATCTCGTCCTTGCGATCACTCATACGGTGGGTGTGGTAGTCAAAAACAAAGCTATGGTCTCTTGGGATTGAACAGAGAGTATTAAGCATCTGGATAAGGGGTGACAAGTGTTGTTTCACCTATAATACCTGAATTTGTTCGAACAAGCGAATATACCTATATTAAGGAATTGATATATTGAATATTCCACACTCATGGCTACAATATCCCCTGTCAATGTTCCTGCGATAGAAGTATTTTACGGAGTAGAGTTGAACAACCTGAGACCCTTATTCCACGCTGATGTGAGTATTATTATAGACCTATCTGGTACATTACATTCCGAGGTCGAAGGACCGTTATTCAGTGCCAGTTTAGCGTCTATCGACGTCGGAGGTTTCCCACTGCTGCTAAAAATGAGACCTGAAGAGCATGAAGGGTGGCACACAGGTTCAGGAATAATGCAGGAACACACTACTATGATACTGTAAGATTCAAAATCGCCTTCCGCCTGTGTTACTGTTCTGTTTTCTCAAGGCCCCACTACCAAGAGTGCACCCCGTACACTAACCGGTCCCGGTAAGCGAGTCACAGGAACATAACGAACAGTGGTATCGTTCATCCTCCAGCATGATGCCATATATTTTTTTATTACGTATCCACATTACCAAGGATAACGAATCTACTAGAATTTTCGGCCACTATCAAATATTGAAGACGATGTCTATATACACAGCAGCCATCCAGACCCACCTTTTAGAAGGATCTTCGCTATAGTAGAGATAAGGAGAGGCAAGGAAGGAAAAGGCGAGTATGTCCCATTTATTATACCATGGTGGAGAGAATGTGGAGAGAATCTACTGCTGTTTCCCAGTCATTGAGAATTTTGAAGAGGATATGGTATTTGAGTGGTCTGGACACAACAGGTTGCAGCGGAGCTCTGCACACTGTTACGTAAGACAGAAGGCATTATTAACCTTTCCCTGGCTTTTCCATGTATACATCCACCATCCTTTCAATGACAACTAAAGCGACAGTTCTGTTCTGCTCAACCGAATACAGGCAAGTAAATCCATGCTTTCACCCACCCAATTGCGATTATAGAGCATGCGACTTGATTGTAATAAGACCTTGATTTAGACAATCGAGAGATATTACAAGACGCTGTATCTTCGCCTGGGAAACAGCACCTCGCGCCAGCAATGTTGTGAAGGGTACAAAGTTCGGCCATTATTCATTGTGAGTTGGGCGTTTTCTCATACCCCTGAGATTGACGTCTGACAGGTCATATCCTGAGTTAGGATCTGCCCTATATTGAAGAAGTAGCTTGGCTACTGCTTCATGCCCTCTTTCTGATGCCCAGGTAAGTGGTGTCCAGCCTGAGCTATCCTGAGTGTTAGGATCCGCTCCCTGCTCAAGGAGTAGCTTGGCTAATGCTTCATGCCCTCTCCATGATGCCCTGGAGAGTGGTGTCCGACCTGAGCTATCCTGAGTGTTAGGATCCGCTCCCTGCTCAAGGAGTAGCTTGGCTAATGCTTCATGCCCTCTCCATGATGCCCTGGAGAGTGGTGTCCGACCTGAGCTATCCGGAGTGTTAGGATCCGCTCCCTGCTCAAGGAGTAGCTTGGCTACTGCTTCATGCCCTCCTTCTAATGTCCAGATGAGTGGTGTCCAGCCTGAGCTATCCCGAGCATTAGGATCCGCTCCCTGCTCAAGGAGTAGCTTGGCTACTGCTTCATGTCCTTTTTCTGATGCCCAGATAAGTAGTGTCTGACCTGAGCTATCCCGAGCATTAGGATCCGCTCCCCACTCAAGAAGTAGCTTGGCTACTGCTTCATGCCCTCCTTCTAATGCTTTAGACAGTGGTATCTGACCTGAGCTATCCTGAGTATTAGGATCCGCTCCCTGCTCAAGGAGTAGCTTGGCTACTGCTTCATGTCCTCCTTCTGATGCCCAGGTGAGTGGTGTCCAACCAGAGCTATCCTGAATGTTAAAACTCGCTCCTCCCTCAATTAATTTCACCATCACGTCTAGGGCACTTTCTTCCATGGCAACACTCAACGCTGTGTTATTCTCATTGTCCCGAGCATTAACGTCCATGAAGTAGTACCTATCCCGCTTTGTGCTTGTTCCATAAATGATGGCACTCACAGCTACCTCCTTTTGGTGCAGCTGCCATTCTATGGAACGATTTAAAAGTGCCACCGCCATATCCTGATGGCCTCTTTTTATAGCGAGAAGGAGGGGTGTGTTCCCATCAATATCTCTACCATCAACCTCGACCCCATCATTCTGCAACAGATCGTCAAAAGCGCTTTTCGACGCAAATGTAATCAGGACATGGAATGCCGTTGCCTGGATGAATGGCCAACCTCGGGGCGTATAGACATTATCAGGATCAGAGACTCTCCATAAATTTGCTAATTTTTGTAAGGTTGACTTTTGACCCCAGTGAAGGAGGGTGAGGAGATCGGATTGAGGGATATTTTGTTGTTCCACCTCCTTGATGTGCTGAAACAAAAACCGTACAGCGTATGGTATCAACTGGAATGTCTGGAAGAATTTGCTACGGGATAGTCGCTGACCACCTTCCAGGACTTCATCATGTGTCATGTATCTGAGACAAGCTCTTGATATTTGAAAATGACCAGCTCCAACGACGGACTGAGAGAGATGCGGGTCACACATAATACTGCTGAGGAATTTATTGAGCAGAAAGTCAGCCACTGACTGGTGTATAAATTGAGCTTCCCGATCAGAATCTTCCTCCCCAGGTTCATATTGTTCCCATATTTCACGCGATTGAAATTCTACCAATCCTTTGGAGAGATGTCTCACGTGAACCTCAAATTTAGTCACGGTATCAGACCAGCTGCTGTGACTTCTGAGCTGCGTTCCAGGTTCCATGTCTATATCAATAGAAAGTGCATCCCGAAGCTCGTGAGCAGACAGGGGTCTCTTAGCAAATAGAATCCATTGGAACAGCTTGACCATCTGCTGTCTGTCGCTTTCATGCACATCATTTAGAATTCTAGAGTATAGCCCGTCAAGAGCTTCGGGGATGTCAGCCAACTTGCTGCGCAGGTCTTCTCTCTTGGTGCCAATAATGTTCTCTTCAATCACCCTGTTACAAACAAGGACTGCCCATTGAAATCCTCCTCGAGCTTTCGACAAAACTTCACTTTCAAAATACTTGCGATCTTCCTCTGCTTCAATTTCTTTCAGCATACCACCAACGACGCGTTGTATATCGTTAGTATTTTGTTGTTCCATGCAGATGGATGGGATCATGTGATGACCCAGGATTGGATAATGTCTGGAAGAAAGACATATTTTTGCCTGTCCACCTTTGCACTTGACTGCCTCCATAAGATCTTTGAAGTATGTCAGTAAGGTTCTGGCAGAATCCTTCCCACATTCATCAAGTGCGTCAATAAAGACGATGACCGGACTGTTCTTTGTCCCCTCTGTTAGGATCTGCGATAAAAGCTTGCGAAGTTCTTCTTCCGGCCAGGTCCATCTACCTTCTTCGTAGGAACCATACCGCTTCTCCCGGTCTACAAACGATTGTGTGAGCTGGCAGAGGTAGTCCGGAAAAGAACATAGCATAGCATTCAATAGTGCTCTGAAGAGCCCCAGCGGCGTTCTCTGCAGAGTTGTCCCTCGACCGTGGATGAAAAAAGATACAAGCTTCCCAGCGTTTTTATCGGCCATTGACTGGACAGCGAATTTCATAAGAACGGATTTACCAGCCCCAGGATTCCCTTTGATCCACAGAAGCCCTTGTCGGCTGTTCAACCATGCTTTATATTGTGGGTCTTCAAAGAGCCAAGCGCAAGTGTGCATTGCCGGATGAATGTCGTTGTACCTATACTCTTGTTCGCGGAAACTAAGTGACCTAAGGCATTCTGTTTACAATCAGTCAAGAATACTAGTGGTAATAGTTGACTTGATATGCCCGGATTCTCTCACCTTTCTCACTGTTACACAAGTCTCTTTCCCTGGAAAGAGTGGCCGGTACAACTGACAAGAGAGCTTTGGCATAGGCAGCAGCAGTTAGGGCGGCATATCCTTGCCATCGTTTATTCTTATGCGAATCACAGTAGTCACAGATGCCGCGAATAACTAGTGATGGAAGTTCGTCCATGAGCCCAGCAGCCTCCATTTCGAAACAGAGTATGTCTAGGTCCCGAGCAATGAAATCTCGAGTCTTAGCATCTTTCATGACCTGATCTCCAGAAGCGATCAAGCCATAATGAATACAAGGGTCATCAGTTCTCCGCTCAGGTCGGTTCACTAACTGGGTTTGATCACATGCCAAACAGTTGTATTTGCTATCATCATGATCGTATGTTGGCGAAAATAGCCAGTCGGCTTTCGGCCGCGAAAACTGTTCCTTTAACTCTTCACTGTTCTGCAGTGTATCATTCAGTATATCACCGATCAGCCTTTTCCCGGTCATATAATCACTCTTTACTTGAGAAATGGCCTTCAACAAGACTGGAGGAGGTTTATTAAGCAAGCCGGTGTGCTGGAAGTGTCCGCCGCGCAGTGTCTTGCCGTAGTCAAATTGTATAACGCCACCCGAAGTGGCAGTCGGCATGCTGACCACAACATCACCAAGGCGAATGTCAGCACTCTGGCTCGGGACTCCACCCCCAATACCCACCATCAAGCCGAATCGGATATTTCGAAAGGTAGAAACCATATGTGACGCCACAGCTGTAGCGGATATCGTCCCATAGACACCACCAGGCAGACAAGCCACTATCACATTGTGGCTGCCAATCCTCCCAAGTGTGTAGACATTGTGATCGGATGCGGGCTGGGAAAGTGGAGGATGAACCTCATCCAGAATGGCCTTTGCCGCCGCCAGTTCTAGCGACAAGGCGCAGATCCAGGCAACCATATAGTCGTTGTGTGCGAAGGTCATATTATCTAACACACAGAAAAGTGAAACTTCTCCATGAAATGATCAGGTGGTTTTGGGTCGGAAGAAGATAGAGTAGGCAATAAAATTGCAGAGTTAAATATTCCAAGATCCAAATCTGAGGTTTGAATTGGAGGGGTCATCTGACACGTGTAACTGTGAGGCTGTCGCGGTTAAAGGGCCAATCCTGGTCTTGAGAACATATAAAAAGCAAAAGGAGGAAATGGTGTGTATTAATACCATTAACGTAATCAACGGTTGGACGGCCCATCTGGTTATCCCATATAAAAGAAGTCATTTTAAATCTTTTATATCTCAACCACTACTAAGGTTGATTAGTTCTGACTTTACATATAGATAATATATAGTAGAAAAATTGATATATATTTTTTCCATATTTTTAAATTTTTTTCTTATATGTAATATATTGATATATCTAGAATTACAGGTAAAATACATATATTGTATTGTGATAAGATACTATTCATACTTATATAGATTTTTGAGGAGTATTAGATAGGAATTTATGTTATTTCTAATCTATCTATGCAATATTGAGTCTTTCAGACTTATAATGGTTGAGTTATCTTGTGTTCAAAAAGAGTCTTTTGTATAGTATTACCAGATGGGCCGCCCAACCGTTGATTACGTTAGTTAACTATAACATGATCTTCCCAGAATCCTATCAACAAGCCGCGGAAACTAGTTTGCTTTCCAACATCACAAAAACCTAAAGACTTAGGTACAATTAAGTTCTGGGAGCTCTCGTGAGGGCGTAGCTAACTACACCTTAATTGGAACTAAATGCCTCACAACGTTTGACACGTAGGAATTTGGTTTCTCGAGATTAGTCATCGAGTCATCGAAGCTTACTAGATCGACAAGCGGGACGCCGGATCATTACGGTTGGTTCCGTCAAGCTCAAAGGCCGTAATTTGAAGAGTAATAATCCCAACATGTCGGAAATGATCTTCCGCGTTCTGTTTTCTGGCGCCCACAATGTCAATGAACCATTTTAGTATTGCATCGAATATCAGCTCTGGGTAATCCTTATATACCTTCCAATTGCGCTTAATGAACGAACTCTGCAAACATTTCCTCAATGGGATTGAGGTCCGGTGAGTATGGAGGCAGGTACAGCAACTTCACCCTGGCGTTACTACAATTCTGTCCCACACGCTCGGTATGATGAAACGATGCATCGTCCATTATCAGCACAGGTTTGGGTTCCGGCTACCTCGCAATGATGAAGCAGCTGCTCCACAAATTTTTGAATATCAATGCATCACTAGTTCCCTGGAATTTACAGGCAAGCATAACACTATGCTGGGCATACGCTGGCAATACTTGATATCACCGTTCGCGATGAATCCGAGAGATTTGCACTGGTGTTATCCCAATGGGGGACTATGCTGTTCGCCGGAATCTAACCCGCTTGTCGCATCCCGCCTCATCGATATGAACATGGCGGTACGAACGAAATTCAGACAGACTGTGAAGATAGCAGTTCCGTAAGTCCGCATTATGGTCTCCAGAAATCCGACGGGCTGCTTTCTTTGACCATCCGACTGGTATAAGTGCCCTCCTATAACGGCGGTTGTCACTACAATCTCAAATTCATCCCATAAGAAAGTCGTCATTCGTCTAGATACAGATCCGGCTTCGTGAGGAGATGCTCGCAAAGGGCGTCCAGCATAGGCAGGGTTACCATTCGCGGTCGGCCGGCTTTGATTGGAGGTGCTTTGACACTGCCGAAAAGTCGCAGGTTCGAACGAATATATCGAATGCTGCGCTCATTGCAACCAGCCACGTCGGCCATTTGAGCGGTTGTCAATAATCTGCTTAGAATCATGCCGCGAATGAGCTCAAGCTGAGATGCTGCTAGACTTGGGGCCATTTGGAACACATGAACAGCTGCTCACTTGCTGCGGAAAGATGTGAGAAATGGTGTGGTGCAGGAGATGACTTGATGCGATTAGTTACCTGTATCATACTGCTATGTCACTGTAAGAAACCGAAAGTTCCAGAGATATACAGTGCTCGTATCATACAAAACACCACTAGTACTACCAAGGCGCTAAAGAACTAGAAGTGAGGCTGCGAAACAAGTAAAGAATGTTCGGGGCGGAAGCCGATTTCGAATGTCCCTGTAAAACCACTGTAGACACTCATAATGTCTCAAGGCTGCTGATTATCTTGGTTCACTATCAAGGGTATATTAGGACAGCTCCAGGTGTACTTGACTGCATATTGCCGAAGCAGAGTAGTCCAAGCTGTAATTGAGATTCAATATTACCAACTCTACCATAAGAAGCAGTAGTAAAAATATATCAAAGATATCTCTGTGCACGATACAAGACACTTGATGGTTGCTCAAAATGTAGTTGTTACATAACAAAGCTGTTACTGTTGGTAGACATGAACATAGCAAACTCTTCGCGCTGTACTAAAAAGGTTCAAAACTTATATCATAAAGTTGTCCACGACGAAGTTCAGGGAGACATGTGATAAAATCGCATATGATTTGCAATTTCCCACCATTCATTTAAGGGTTCATGGCAAGCAGGGTCTGGGCATCGAGTACACGCGTAGTGTACACGCCTAATGTGGCGTCTAAAGCTGAAGTCGGATTTGAACGGCTTTTCTCGCACGCCGTATATTGAGCAAAGAAGGCACTCCAGTGGTCGTATGGTGACACACTTGTTACCTAAGCCTGCTGCAGTCCACCCTGGAAGCCTCTCACTCGAATGGATAGCCCTTAGACGTGACGTAAGGCTGGGACCGATCTGTGACACTGCATCCACAGCTGCAATTCTGCAGTTTGTTTCGTCTTGTTCCGAAGTTGGCGCGAAACGGAAAAGAATAACAATCGCTTTCCGTCTCTCCTGGGAGAGGGCAACATCGTCACACACGTTGTATGTTTCCAACGGAAGGCCATGAACTTGCCGAATTACATCCTGAACCGGTTGCTCCTCGTTAAACCGGGACCGCTTTTTCTCCTTCATCTCGCGACGAGAGGCCTGGAGTGCGGTATAATACCTCGTTCTTTGTTTCATTGCTTCCGCATACAAGGGTGTTCCTGCAGCGCTTGCAAGAGTTCCATGTTTCCGCTGTATTTTCTGCTTGTATTTGAGCCAGCATTTCAAGCGACGTCTTACTAAGAGATTGGCTCTAGCTTCAATTTCCTCAGCTCCGCTAAGGTCAATGGGCCGTCGCCGGTCGATCGATCGACTTTGGCCACTGGCCATTCGAATGATCATGACCTGTGGCTTGAGTTGTCTCCAGGCGGCATTAAAGTCTACAGGTAGATAGTCAGGTCGGTAATTCTTCTGATATACCGATCCAGATGCATGTTGCAGTAGAAGGTTCTGTTGAGCCTCACTAATTTCGCCTGACGAAACGTTAGCCATGCCTCTTCCATGAAAAGTGTCTCAAACGCTTACAGCTGCTATTGGCCGCTTCCCCTGCGCCCCGCCGCAGCCAGTAGGGGGTGATAGGGAGGTCGAACCCGGTAATTTCGCCGAGTCGCTTGAGCCAACTGTTTAGCGTCCTGGCGGAGATATCGAAAAGATGTGCATCAGGGTCAGCCGGGTGAAGGGTGAGGGAACCAGCTGATTTAGACACTTGTAACGCATACAGCTGCCTGGCAGAACTGATATGAAGATGTCTAAAGGCAGACTTGCGTATCAACAGCCCGAGAAACAACGTCTTGGGACAGAACAGCAAACAAGGCTCACTTGGGACTTCAGGAATACCTATTTCCAGGCTGTATCTGTCAAATCGAATGTTTGGGCACTTTGTACAGCAATTCGGAACATACCATGGCTTCTTTTTACCCCTATAACCTTTAGTGTTGCGCGGTTTTACTTCCAGAACCATGTGGGGTCTCTCTCGGCCGGTAGGAAACAAGGTAATCGCTACGTCGGCATGCTTTAACGATACAAGTGCCCCGGGTCGTTGTCCGGTTATTCCCGCCAGAAGAATAATCAGAGCAAGCTGTACTGGGTCCCATGGCTCGGTTGCGGTTGTCCACAGCACCTTCAGTAATTCGAAAACATCTTCTGATCGCAGTATGGGCTTTTCCTTTGATTCTGTCCGAAGTTTATGCTTCTTCGTTAGTTGATCTCGGACCTATGTAGTCAGCCCTCAGTAAGGTGCGTGAAGCATGGATAAGGGACCTCATACCCCAACCATTCCATTTTTTACCTCTGAGGGAATTGTCAGACCCGTCTTCTCTCTTCTGAGTTGCGTCCAAATGTTCCAGTACGTCTGCAAGGTTGATGCCGCCTTGATATACCGACGACGAGTGGTAACTGTGTAGTCAAAGAAGGTATATTGTGTTTTTAAGCTTGGTGGATCAGCTTTTAGCAACTCCAGTGCATCACGCTTAGTTTCCGCGCAGAATCTGTAACCCATTTAGAGCCCTACATCGATAATGCACATCAGTATGTTCCTACCGGCACCAGAGCTCCCACACTCTCTTCTGGAGACGAATCGTGTCATCGTCATATTGCCGCCTTTGGATAATGGAGTCGTCTAGGTCTCTCTCCTCTTGCAGCCAGTCACGTTGAGTACTTCGGCCCAGGCTTATACAAAGCTCATGTTCTGGCGAATCACTTCTGTTATCGTCATTATCCGCACCTTCATAGGCCGGTCTGTCTATCCCGGTTTCCTGGTGCTTTTCAGAAATGTCGTATCTCCTGTTATCACAATCGCCATATTGGTGGCGGTGCAGTTGCTCTTGGAACTTAGTCATCGTAGAGATGTCCATCTACCTCCCTTGTATGATTAAGACGCAAGGGGAGATTTAAAACGGCAGGCAAACAAGTGAAAGATAGTCAAGGGTAGGGTAGGAAATGGTAGGGGAGGAGAGATAGAGAAGGATGCACGAGGACGGAGCAGGGTAGTCGGGGGTCACGCAGGTGGCAGAAGGGAATTTTTCAAGTGAAAGCCAAGGGCATGTGCATTATGAAATGGGAGGAAGGGAGCTTGGAGTAGATGTCTCATCGCTTGGTTGACTGAACTTTCCTCTGTCCGAAGAGGGCTGGAGAGAGCTTCCAGCTCTTTATATGTCTTCATACCAAGCAGGAACATAAATGCCTGGCCGGCCAGGCCAATACTCTAGGTTTTGCCACCCCCTGATAAATCGATGTGTGGGATGCTGTGTCGCCGAGCAAGATTCGTATGGGTTCTGCGGGTTTCAGCAAAGGGTGGAACGGTCGACATGAAATCCACGATGAATGGTGCCTCAGCTAGAGAACGCTGGTAGGCTCCACGTTGCTCCGTCGATTGAGGGCTCCTGTCCACCCGCACGGTGGGGAACCGTGGTGGGCCGCCATGATGATAATTCCAAGGTAACAATCGAAATAGAGTTAGAGCGTCGGCGTCGAAGGACCGTAAAAGCGGCATTCCAACAACCACAAAAGAGGCAGCTCTTTCACCGAAGTGTTGCTTTAAGATATAAAATATAACACAGCTGGTATTAAATATAATATAAATAAGAATTTATTCTTCTTTAAAATTTAATATAATAAAAATTACTATTAAATTAGTTCTTTAAAATTTTTCTTTAATTAAAAGTTCTCTAATAGCAGTTTTAGATAAGATATAAACTCACACCGGAAATACAGTTTAATAATAGTTTATATTAAATAAATTTTTTTTAATTATTTACTTAGATTTAGAGAATATAGACATTCTGAATATAATATTCTAATAAATTAGAATACTAAGAAAGTCGGAGAACAGATTAAAACTAGAATTATAAATAAAAAATAATAATAAAATAATAAGTATATTTTTAATAATAAGATTAAATATATAAAGTAGCTGGTATACTAAATATAAATATTAAATTTTAAATAATTTTTAATTAAATATTAATTAAAATTATAATAAAAGTACTTTCTTCTCTCTCTTCAAAAGAATTTAGATTAAGATAATAAATAATAAAAAATAAAAAGATTTATAAAATTATAATTTAGAATAAAAAATTTCTTATTAATAGAATTTATAAAAGACTTTTATAGAATTTTTTTAGAAGAGATAAGATTAGCTAATTTAATAAATAATTTCTAGAATTTATTATAAAAATTTAAAATATACTATAATCTTCTACTATCCAGGAACTGGAGAAAGTGGACCAAGATATAATAATTTTTTTTAAATAAAATATTATTTAAAAATATAATTTTTAACTTATAATTAATATCTTCTTCTAGTATTAAAAATAATATATCCAGATATATTTTAGCTTTTTAAATTAGATATTAGAATTTAATAAAATAAATATTAAATTTCCAGTTGCCCTGCTTCAGATAGTATAATTTTAATCAGATATTATAAATATAATCAGGATTTCTAAAAGTATATTATAAAAATTCTAGAATTTTAATATAATCTATTAGAATATAAATTTTATTCTTAATATAAAATTAGATTTAATTATATGGTATTTTTTCTAGGCGGCTCACGACATATAATATACAGATTTATAAAATTAAATAATAATTATAATTAATAAATATTTTTTTTTAAATCTAGAAAATAAATCAGGTGAGATTAATATAATTATTTTTAAACTTATTAGAATTAGAAATATACTCAGAAAGAAAAACAGAAATGGAAAAATTAAAATTAATTAATAAAATTATTTTTATTAGAATAGCTATAATACTCTTAGCAATAAATTTAGATATTTAATTAGAAGTGCTAATTATAAATATAATAATTTAAATAATTTTAATATATTTTTTTAATATCTGATTTCTTTTCTTAATAGTAATCTCTTTGGTGGTGAGTATTTTAATAAACTAATAATTAATATTTATAATTTATTAGACTTAGTAGATTATTATAATATTCTTCATAGTAAAATTCTACTAGAATTAGAAGTAGCCACTATCTATCTCCACCGCGAAGACTGAGATTTGATTATAATAATTATATTATTTTTTAGAATTTTCTATGATGTGTTGTGCGAATTTCTCGAGCCCGTTAAAATTAATCAGAGATTATAGAATAGTAGATATTTGGTTGGCTACTTATTCTAAAAAAAAAGCTATGTAGTATCAAGATATAGGCTGGCGGGGTAGTAGAAAAATAACTTAAATAAAAAATAAAAATAGATAAAAGACTGACTGGCTGATTATAATTAGATTATATATAGGAAGATAGATAAGATGTAGCTTAAAGCTATAAACAGGGTCTGGAAGACTGGTGTGTTTTGTGTCCCTTCGGGTCACGTGCCCGGGCGGTCAGCCCGGGCCGTACTCTGCGGCTAGCACCGTGACATAAATAGAATTTAAGATATCTTTATCCAGGGGTATAGTTTGAGTAGATAAAAATAAATTTTAACTTTTACCGTAATAATTATTCTTTGAATAAATTAGTATTAGATTAATAGTATCAGTATCTGACTCAGGTATAACCACTCTAACCCAAACCCGACCCAATCCAACACTAATTAAATTAAAACACATACAGTGAGATTAAGCTTTGAAATAATAAATTCTGGTATATTAATTCTGCTAAATAATATTTATTTAATGATAACAGACAGAGAAAGATGAAGTAGATATATTAAACAGTAGTATTAGGACAGAAATAAAGCTGAATTACTCGGAGACCCGATATCAGCAAGATGAGGCAAAGTAACAAACACAACAACTTATTATCAAATTAAATCAAGTATGGAGAAGCAGAGATCAAACAAAGAAGCAGAGAACAAGGTCCTTGGATACCACAAGGACATGCTACCATAATATAGCAAACTCCATGGTCTTGTTATATGATGATTATGTTAATTCTAAGAAGAGGTGAGGAGGTGCCTCTGTAGATACATGATGGTTAAACTATACTAACTAGGAAGGAGCGGTAATCATGTGACACCGAGTTGCATGATGTGGTTCGGACTGGAGCATGATCCACGGATGGGATTAGGCACCAGGATAAGGCTAAGCATCAGACCAAAAAGCTTGTCGGGCGGGAAACAGACATCGGAGCGGCTGAACGGTCGTCCTGATGGGGCAGAAGCAATATAATCATAGGCCGGTTGGGAGTTGGAAGGGTGGCTGTCGGGTTTAACTACCCTTCTAGAACTTGAGCTAGGTTCTGGCCAGTCTGGTACGCCCGAGACAGGGTGACACTGGACCACATGGAAGAAGGGAGGCTGCCCTTCATTTGCCGCAAATCTTTCTCTGCTACTAGACCTCCGACCGCACCGAACATCTGCAGCAGCGAGGCAGGATCATTAATCGATCGATTTGTTCTGGTGTCTGCACTGCATGAGCTCACCGAAGGTGGGTTATCTTTCAGACTGGGGCAATTACGAAGGAAATCGATCAGATACACTTCATTGCAAGGATTGCGAGATATGACACGTAACCAAAGTGCAAAGTAGAACTGTAGTACTCTTTCCGGTGGCATCCATTGTTCTCAAAGTACGAGAGGTTACCTCCGGTCGTGACGGGCGTCGCAAGTTGAAAGTGTCGATCACGCTATTCTTGAACACCAGATGGCTCAAAGGCTCAAAGCATCAGGGGCCTCCACAGTTTGCAGATGATGAACCCACTCGTTGACGCTGCACTGACATTTCCAGTCACTTCAGCTTACTCTGCAGAAGATGTAGAAGAAGAAAGGACCATCACTAGGTCGTATTGGGATTGGGTTAATGGTACGATCGCGAATGATTTCTGTTCATTCTTTAAATAGTTAAGTGCCCTTCCAATGAACCCTGAGGATCAAGGGTAGGGGGCCAGGGTGTGAGCCCCTCCTAAGTAAATCTCCCCTTCTCTCGATTATATCCCGATTGCAGAAAAACAATAATCAATGGATTGATAGAACAGTGGATGGTGGTGGAATGAGAGAGAGAGAGAGAGACAGAGAGATGGATGCCTAAGGTAGTAGGGAGGCACCACCCAAAGGGGAATAGCCTCCTCTGGCGGGTAAACAAATAAAACTTGGCTGACGAGTCTAGTAGGAGTTGATTGGTTAAAATGCTACACTAATAGAAGCTAGTGGCGTACGCTAGGCCATATACGGGAAAGCGCGTCCGGATGGAACTTCATCCCAATCGAGCAAATTTCCCGGTTCGGACTGCTGCCTGAGTCTTCTTCGGTCTTCTTTGCAAATCTCTTTCCCATCATTTTCTGTCGGGTCGCCGGCCGGATTGACCTCCCCAGCTTTTCTGACATGGTCTTCTCTGCCAATCAACTCCAGCTTAAGGCGGAGGATCTCCTGGCTCTTATTTTCTCTAGCTAGTAGATAGCTACAAAGTACTTCTCCTCTTCGTTCTAGACGAACCAACTACTCCCTACTTATCTACCTAACCAACTGATGGACCTGAATGGTGGTCCCAAGTCCTAGTCTCCCCTACTAGTGCTTCTATCATTGTACATTCCCCTCTCCACCAAGTATGCGTCTCCCTGTCCACGCGATTAACCACTTTGGTCCACGGGGATGAGATGGTCTACGTAGGCCTCCCCTCTCGGACAACGGCAACCCGTCAGAGCCGTGAACATTCGTCTCCGCTAAGTTACGTATGTTCGGGCGGGCCCTGACAGCGAGGACTCGCAGGCGACGAAGCCATTCACAAAATGGTTCGGCCACTAAAGGGGGAACCGATCGGGCTAAGCTTCCTGGATGGGGACCTTTATCGGAAGTCTTCTCTCTGCCTAGGCTGGCTGTTTGTCCCCTCGTTCAGCGAAGCCCCCCCTGCGGAAGCAGGAAAAAGAAATGCGAGCCTCTTGCACATAGCTCCGCATAGTCCGCGGGCACAATCTTAAATGGCGTCGATGGTGTCGTCTTAGCCCTTTCTGTCATCCTCTCTCCTCTTCCATCCTTTTCATTTTCTTCTTTTCTCCCTTAATCCGCCGCTCGTTGTATTTTTTGCCTACACCAATTATTAACCCCGACACTCGTTTTTTTTTTGGGTTTATCGCTCGTTCCCTGGCAAGGATTTACGGCCGTTTCTGCAGACCTTATCTCATCACCCCAACGCAGGTTGAAATACCTCTCAAATATTCATAAAACATAATGTTTGATGCTGTGATGAGCTGGTTCCGCCCCTCCGGCCAGGAGGAGGTGCAGGAGGTGACTTGGGATCCCGTCACTCTCACCATGAACCAACCTCAGAGCCCGGCCGCCCCCACCATGGATGAGATCGTCACCGATCAGCCTGTACGTGCTTGATTTCTTTTTCATCTTGGACCGCTGCAGACCTGAGGACTAACAAACAGCACTTCAGACCCTCAGCGAAGGAATGGACTTGCGCCTGCGTGGTGGTGACGGACCGGAGGATGCGTGAGTGATCGGCCCCCCCAACACATACGAGGAATGCCCCTTTCAAACCCCTCCTTGTGCTGACTGCTCGGTTTCTCTCAGTTGCTGCTTCTGCTGCCACTGCTGCAGCTGCTGCGAAAAGTGCATCGGTGCTGAATAATTGCCTTCCATCCGCTTCCTTCCCGAGTATACCCTTTTATTTTTCGCGACTCCTCGATCGACATTTTCACCCAGCGTCCCAAGACCGCATTCCTTATATACCTATGCCGCCTCGACGGACTCTAATTTCGCGCTCCTTAATTGCCCCTTTCTCCTGTATAATACTTTCGTCACGACATACATCGCCAGTAGATTACTTAGAAGAATGCGCAAAAATTCAGTTGCATGCATGACAGCCGTCCTGGTTTTTGTACGGTTAACCTTCTTCCCGCACTCTTCAGTATCTACCTATGCGCACGTCTGTATATGCGATGCCCGACATGCCCATGTACCAGGAAGCGGCCGCATAGCTTGAGGGCTCCATTTTGCACATCCTAGTAACACTTGCGGGGGAAAGCGCAGCGGCAGGCATTGACCTTGACAGTCCTTATAACTGTGGATAATCACATAAAGACACGAACAGAGTCATCGGAGAGTGGCCATCATCTCTCGGTTCAGCCTTCTCTCTTCCGCCTGGTAAACTGCAAACTGCCCTTCGCCCATCTCCTCAACGATCCAGTGAATCTCGGCTATTAGAGCTTCGGCTTCCGACCGCCTTGACGGTCCTTGTCCCCACACGGCTTGAGCGATAAGCCGACGAGCGTTGAGCGCCTGTGGGGAGGACGGCCCTAAATGCGGCCGGGCATCCATCCATGCGCAAATCGGTCTCTCGGTCCACTCTGCCTCCTCGTACTTCCCAACCTTTACCAGGTGCTCCGCTAGCATATGCGACGGCACTGGGTTCGATTTATATGGTGTCTTGTCCACCAGCATTCGAACGGTCTGTTCCGCTTCGGGAAGGTTCAACTCGTCCTGAAGGGCGTAAATCCCTTGCCATAGTCGGTACCACTGCTGGTAGTTGCTGGTGTAGAGGCTGCCCGGGGGGGAAGTGGCTGCTTCTTCCTGATCCAGTTTCTCCTGCAGGAGTCGTAGCAGGAGTATGAGCTTAGAGTGCTGGTCAGCGGTGCTCTCCTGGTCGATGGGCAGCTGTGCCAATTCAGCCTGTGTAAAGTTGCCGAGAAAATTGCGAGCGATCGAGTAGTCTATACCATTCCAGAAGAGACTAACGGGGACCGGTTCCTCCCACTGCGAATCCTTAAACATCTCCAAGGTCACAAGCATCTCGGCGGTGAACCGGGAGGTTGATGACTCTGCCGCCATGTTGATTAGCGATGTAAAATTTCGAGTCGCTAACACCGTCCACTTTCGATAGTCTTTCCATCTGACTGTCAGGCTGCGGATTCGCCGCTATTAAACTATATCCTGACTAGCCTTTTCCAACGTGGTGAATGGCCGCTGTTGCCTCTATCCCGGTATTAGGCGTCTGATTGGGAAGAAGCGCTCCAGATCCCACTTCTTACCTTGGTCTATCTTCCCCTAGGCCTTGTGTCTGCTCCGCTAAGATCTGCCATGGATTCAGTTTTCGTTTCTGACCGCCACCATGCAGTACAGTTACATCGCCTTCCTTTTAGTGCGAGGCACCCATGCTTGCGGACAACGCCGGGTCCAGTTGTTGCTCATCTATCCACTATGCAATTGGGGTGAGGCTCATCTGGAGCGCAGTTGATCCAATGGCTCTCTAGCCCAATATGGAGCCTCCCGGTCCCGCGGTGTATATTATTGCTTTCTCCGTTGCCGTACAGAGTCAACGATACACGATTTCAGTATCTTGGAGCCTGATCGCTGGATCTTCCGGCTTCGACTAGGATCCCTACCATAACTAGCACCTAGTGCGATGTTAGCGTGCGCCTAGAAGTACTAGAGGGATCCTAATCCTTTCACGACACCAGCCCAACGTGAGATCTGTGACAGAGACCGCCAAAGCAATCACTGCACACCAGGCCAATACTTTCCGGTATGCTTACTCTGGTGACCATGCAGCATTTGGCATAGAAGGTGGCCTTCTGCCGTCGGATAAGTTAAATACGCCAAACGCGTCTATCAAGGTGCCAGTTGGTCAAGGCTAACCCCTCGAGTCTTGCAAATCGAAGCATACGAGAAGAGTGCACCGTACCTGTCACATAATTCCCCCCCTACTAGTCCCGTAAGCACGGATCTCCTGTCGGACCTACAGATGCCTGCATCTATCCGACCAATTAACTCGGGACATGTCAGAGGCATCGGCTGAGCCGATCCTTGTAGCAGCACCCTGGGGCTCACCAATGGAAGGCTGCATAGACTGTTAGGTCATGGTAACCAATCATAGACTGGAACTGCAGGAAATGCTTGGTCACTTTTCTGATTACCATGCACCAAAGTGGCCATGATGCACCCTTGTTCTTTCATCGACAATAAGTTCTACGGCCACGTCAACATCGATAGTAGATACGTCATCATAAAAGACTCACCCAGGACTGTTTTTGACCGACAATTTTATCCCAGGCAGCAATTTTAGGTTTTAAGTCTCACTTCTGTAAATGGGAATTACCATCTATTATTTCCAATTATCTATCTGGTCCCTGGAATCTGTCGTGGGGCTAGCCTATCTGGGCGTAACAGAAAGCTATATCCAGTGAAGGCTTTAGGGCTGATGCTCTGACCCAAGGGAAGCCTGCTGCAGCTGTAGCCTGGCTGGATCATGCGCATTTGGCGGCACCTCTGACATGCCCTCCTTCATCAATTCATTTTCCATTTTGAGATCTCCCTAGAATACGGCTCTAGCATCTTCGAACCCCACTCTAAATGGCCTTTTCCAGTCCAGATGATATTCAACACGTACTGTTGTTCTTGATGGATGTGTTCAGTCCGGGTGTACAGAGTTCGGCGGCTCTTCGAACAGTTCAAGACTACCTTGTGCATGATTCTACCCGCCGTCAGTTGCCGACGCCACACTGTCAACATAAGTCTTCATACCACTGTGATACCACAGGTGCATATCAAACAGCAGAATACGGGGTTTCTATTTATTTCGAGAGATATGCTATCCAACATAGTAATATAGCTGGTGTATACTTCGACTATTTACAGAGCCTATATCTTTTCCGAGTAAGCTACAGTGCTTCTCATTCAGGGATATATTTCTCGGTGGGCCTGCCACAGCGCACTGCAAGCTATAACTAAGTGATAAATTCAACAAGATCAACTCCAATTCTAGCAATCACGTATGCCAAGTTTCATCTCTTCGAAAACCCCCTCGCCATATATCCTTAGCACCATCTATGTTGACCGCGTTCATTTAATGCAGTAGCCAAATGTAGGCGACAAATTCTGTCCGTCACAAACAGATTTTGGAGCTGTAGTTCTGGGTTAAGACGCCGAAGATTGACACGGTACTGCTACTTATCAGCCATGTTCGATCATTAGTTATACCAACTCGGGACACAACATACTCGTCTTGTTTTGTAAGTCCAAACACAAACCTGCTTGTACGGCATGGCTAGTTCCGGTGAGGTCTATAATCTATGAGCTGCTGGGTTCCTGCTGTACCTTATGGATGTATGGGTTCACTTACTTGCAACGTGTTTGGTCATATTCAACCCGATAGATGAGAATCCAGTGGGAAGGAACGCAAGAGAGCCAATTAAGGCGAGTAGCGAAGTTATCTTCATTATCCAATCTGTTGACCAAGGTGTCTGGGTGGAAGAGTCGGAAGAGGTATGTAGGATCAGGATTAATTGAGTGGGATTTTGGCTGCTTTTATATCTTCATATGCAGAGCTAGAGGTGCTATGTTTGACTGCATGTTGTTTGAGACCGCATCTAACAACAAATACTCATTTCAGCAGCGATATCCCATCGGTTACACATCGTTCAACCCATGAGTCTTGCAGATTGTATTCCAATGTTGTGATCTGCGGCGGAGATGCCTGATTATCTACTTCCTTACATATTCCAAGCGGTGGATGTCAACAAGATAGCAACCTAAGGCTCTCATGCAAGGTCTTAAATAGACGGCAGGGGGAGGTACTTCCCCAGACCTACTGGGACTGGGAAACGTTGTGCTATTGTGTGGCATTCATCACACCCTTGCTTATGTCGCTTGCGGGGTAAAGCAACAGCGAAAACGCACTCGATTTTGGGTACCTCTCATTTTATTGGCTCTATAGCTAATACTTGTGAGAGTACTGTGACATAATAAAACCAATTTTCGGCTACGGTCATGTCAGAGGTTGGAGAAGAGCGGAAATCTTACCAAGTTCATGCCATCTCTTCTCTCCACAGTACACCTTCAACGCGGGGTAGCTTTACTTCACTCGTGCATGGGGCTCGTTGGCAATGCCAAATCAAATCCTTGCGTGTTCTGGATTCGGGTTGGATTTCTGCGGTGATATGTGAGGGATAAAAGGCACAGGCTTCCTGATGACTCTTAACAGTCTAAGACAGTATACATCAACGACAAGGTCCTTCCAGTAATAGATGCCAGCTGAAGACTATGGTGTATTCCATAACGCACAGGTTCCAGAGATTAGTGTTTTGACAATCGTCCTTTGTAACCATTAGTAGCTTCCTAGCCCAATTTAAGTCCTCCTTCCAAGGCAGTAGTGATATGTCGGCTTTAGTTCCTTGCTGTAAGTAAGGAGACGGGTATATGTCAACGTAGTATAAAGTGAAGCAGGCGAATTTTACAAAATTTGCAATGGCCCATATGTGTTCAATCTTCGCACAACATCTGATTACTTTATATGATTTGTCATAGACCCACCACCTTCAACTCGAACTACAGCACTTGGACCAACATCACGGGTTGAACATGGACAAGGGTTGATAACCCGGGATGCATTCTTTGTCTGCCTCAAGTGTCGCTACTAGTTCCATCTTTTGTAAATTTTGGATATGTCCGTTTTCTTCTATCGCAACAAGCCATCCAACAAGAGAATACCGACCTGGATCACGTAATTCTGGCAATGGTCAACAGCCCCGTCCCGCAGAGCATACGGATTCTTGTTTTGTGAACCCCCCCCTGGAACGATATAATAATTTCGCCGTCTCCACTATATTCCGGCTCGGGAAACACCCTTGGGTCCTCTTTAGGCACGACTGATTGATAATGATATCGTAAGAAGTACAACCTTGGGCTGAGGACCTGCCACCCATCTTCCAGGATAAAACATCTTTCTGGACGATCAGCGCTGTCACAGGTGACGGGCCAGTGTGAACAAATCACATCGAAGGCACACATTGCGCGATGAAGACTCTGCACTCTATTGCGTCAAACACGCATACCATTATACCTGAAGCATCACCTCGTGTCCTATACGAGTCGTTAAACTTTTCTTCCTCTATACTGCCCACTTTTCATTTCTTCTACACTCCCGTTCTTGCTCGATCTCCACCGCTTCATACCGACAAACCTCCGGCTTTCAGTTTCTTCTTACGGTAAAACCAAAGCACCCCACGAGCAAGCTAGATTCCACACCAGATAACTTCAGTCAAGTCAACAGAACCTCAGTGGGTCTCAAGTTGAAGATCGGCAGTATCATAACCTCGTTGCGAGAACTCGGGGGAAATCTCGGGGAATCCGCGCTGAATCTGCCCCCGCGAACCCTAAGCGGACTTCCTCCGCAATCCTCAATTTCCCCGAGGATACGGACTATTCATCCAGCATTCCAACTATACTAGTTCTAGTGATCGGAAATTCCCCGACACCCCTGCATCAACAGAAGCATACCATATATAATGTCACTTTTTCCCCTCTGCCAAGGGAGGGGAAGTGAGTGTCCCCTCCTCTGCTATTCCTCGCCATGAAGCTTCAAACGGCTTCCGTACTGCTCGGCAGTGCTGCTGCTGCCTCGCCTTCCATGCAGACGCGGGCCTCCGTTGTCATCGACTACAATGTCGCACCTCCAAACCTATCCACTCTGCCCAATGGCTCCCTCTTCGAAACATGGCGTCCCCGCGCCCACGTCCTGCCCCCCAACGGCCAGATCGGTGACCCCTGCCTGCATTACACCGATCCCTCCACGGGCCTCTTCCACGTCGGCTTCCTTCACGATGGCAGCGGCATCTCCAGCGCCACCACTGATGATCTAGCCACCTACAAGGACCTCAACCAAGGCAACCAAGTCATTGTTCCCGGGGGTATCAACGACCCCGTCGCCGTCTTCGATGGCTCCGTCATCCCCAGCGGCATCAACGGCCTCCCCACTCTCCTCTACACCTCCGTCTCCTTCCTTCCCATCCACTGGTCCATCCCCTACACCCGCGGCAGTGAGACCCAATCCCTCGCTGTCTCCTCGGATGGCGGCAGCAACTTCACCAAGCTCGACCAGGGCCCCGTCATCCCTGGCCCTCCCTTCGCCTACAACGTCACCGCATTCCGGGACCCCTACGTCTTCCAAAACCCCACCCTCGACTCCCTCCTGCACAGCAAGAACAACACCTGGTATACCGTCATCTCCGGTGGTCTGCACGGCAAGGGCCCCGCCCAGTTCCTCTACCGCCAGTACGACCCGGACTTCCAGTACTGGGAGTTCCTCGGCCAATGGTGGCACGAGCCCACCAACTCCACTTGGGGTAACGGCACCTGGGCCGGCCGATGGGCCTTCAACTTCGAGACCGGCAACGTCTTCAGTCTCGACGAGTACGGATACAACCCCCACGGCCAGATCTTCTCCACGATCGGCACCGAGGGCTCTGACCAGCCCGTCGTGCCCCAGCTCACCAGCATCCACGACATGCTCTGGGTGTCCGGCAACGTCTCTCGCAATGGCTCTGTCTCGTTCACCCCGAACATGGCGGGCTTCCTCGACTGGGGCTTCTCCTCTTACGCAGCTGCCGGAAAGGTCCTCCCCTCGACTTCTCTGCCCTCGACGAAGAGCGGCGCCCCGGACCGCTTCATCTCGTACGTCTGGCTGTCCGGTGACCTGTTCGAACAGGCCGAAGGGTTCCCCACGAACCAGCAGAATTGGACCGGTACGCTGTTGCTTCCGCGAGAGTTGCGCGTGCTGTATATCCCCAATGTGGTGGACAATGCTCTGGCTCGGGAATCTGGTGCCTCGTGGCAGGTCGTGAGCAGCGATAGCAGTGCGGGCACCGTGGAGCTGCAGACACTGGGTATCTCCATTGCCCGGGAAACCAAGGCCGCCTTGCTGTCGGGAACGTCGTTCACCGAGTCCGACCGTACTCTGAACAGCAGTGGTGTTGTGCCGTTCAAGCGCTCCCCGTCCGAGAAGTTCTTTGTTTTGTCCGCGCAGCTGTCCTTCCCTGCTTCGGCTAGGGGATCGGGACTCAAAAGTGGATTCCAGATCCTCTCGTCGGAGCTGGAAAGCACCACTGTCTACTACCAGTTCTCGAATGAGTCGATTATTGTCGACCGCAGTAACACCAGTGCTGCGGCGCGTACCACGGATGGTATCGATAGCAGTGCGGAGGCTGGCAAGTTGCGCCTGTTTGACGTGTTGAATGGCGGAGAGCAGGCGATTGAGACGTTGGATTTGACTCTCGTGGTGGATAACTCGGTATTGGAGATCTATGCCAATGGTCGGTTTGCGTTGAGTACTTGGGTTCGGTGAGTATCTTCCTATTTTATCAATGAAGTGTTTATGATGCTAACGTGGGGATAGTTCTTGGTACGCCAATTCCACGAACATCAGTTTCTTCCAGAATGGCGTGGGTGGTGTTGCGTTCTCCAACGTGACCGTTTCCGAGGGCTTGTATGATGCTTGGCCGGATCGTCAGTCTTAATCAGTCTTGAGGTGATGCCTAAGTAGTATCAAGGATCACTCCAGGTCAGGTCATACTGATCCGACAGTTAATGTCAGATGCATCGCGTTCAAGAAGAACGGCAGACATTAATCATGAGGTGCAGCAAAGAAGGGGCTCCCCGTTCTTCGCAGCCCCTACCATGAACGCCGATGAGGCCGGGTCTATTGACAATATTATTTTCCTTCTTAACAACTGTTTTATTATATCACAAGAATCAAAGAAATCCAAGCCAGACTGCAATTCCGTCAACAATAACGCCATCGCTATGTAAATTGCCCCAGTTGTTTTCCCTTCCCGATACTTTACTGAACTGATACACGATGAAGACTTGTACTCGACGTTCGCGGTGAAATATGACTCGGTCGGAGAGGAGCTACTCCCAGCTCGTCAATCTGCGGAACAGGCTTCCTTTGCCCGACAAGTTGCGCGGACCCGTTCCCTGACTCTGAGGGTGCGGAATATGAATGTGCACGTGGTGCCTGTGGACCGGGGTACGCTACGATACTCCCCCTCGCTGGCTGATCAGACACTGTCGAGTATGTGCTTAGTGGTTGATACTGAGCCGGCGGGGTCAATGTCGTAGCAGGTGAAGTTTCGGGATCCAGGTTCAGCGAGACCTGCGCCCACGGAGGTGGTGCAAACTGACCGCTCGGGGCTCTCGAGGTAGAGGTAGAAGAAGAGGAAGAGGGACTGCTTGCAGGAGGAGTGATGCTCGGTGGCATGGCAGGGCGTAGAGTGAAAGGGACGCTTTTTCGGAAGACATTCGTGGTGGGTTGGACGCGAAGCACTTCATCCAGCTCCTCGTCCGTCCAGGTACGTCTAATGCGGACTTCGGGTGACGGTTCTGACGAGTAGAGATGGCCTAAGATAGAGGTGCGACACCATGTCTCTGCGTCTTCGGGGGTCGCGAAACCAATGACCAGGCCACTGCTGCTGTCGCGGAGATAGGTCATGGTGGGAGAGTGAGGGAGGTAGACGGCGGTGGGCTCGGCGGCGAAGATGCGGCCCTCGCGGTTTGATGCTTGGTATGCATTTGCATGGGTTGCCGAGTTGAAGACAAGCTTCAGCTCCTGTTTCTGGAAGATGAAGTATACATCGAACGCAGGGACGTCGTGGTCGGACATTTCTCGTGAAGGGACACGGACTCGTAGTGATGTGTTGTAGTGCGTACTGTCATTTGAGAGAGAACCGGGTGTTTTGATGGCTTAAAGGGGTAGGATGATAGGTCATCTGTTCAGGGTTATTTATATCCCAAACACACTGAATCTGACAGGGTCTGACACTACTACTAGTCTACTGCTACCCTGGGGCTGAAGCTGTGGCGGCTTTACCGCGGCCCCAATGGCTGCACGATCCGAATCCACTGCTCCGCCATCCCTCAGCCTCGTCAGGTCCAGTCGGGCACATCTCACGTCATCGATGCGGATTTCTTTGTGGTACTCTTTGTATGCTGCCCCCAACTTGGTGTGTCCGACGGTAAAGGGAGTGATGGTGAATTGATTGGTAATATTGGTTGATGAGATGGTCTGGGAAGTACTACACTACTAGTATTGAAGATGATGATGGAGCCCGACAAATCGATTGAGGATTTGCCTGCGTTATTGGCTCGAGATGGTTGCAGCTGAACAGTTGGACAGACTGCGCAGGATGGATGTCCCTGTCAATCCGGGAACCTGCATGAGAAAGTCAGCTTATGTGACAGCCAAGTTCATGTTTCTTTGGTTAGTTGCACATAGGGCAAACAGACGTTGCTTCATACATCAACCAGCTTCTATGGCTCAGTTGGTAGAGCGCATGACTAGTAATCATGAGGTCCGCGGTTCGAATCCGCGTGGAAGCATTTTTTGTCGTTTCTTCTCTCTCCTTGTTGTTTGCCTTGCACGGCGCATTTTCTGTACTGTTGGGCGATATATATTTTTATTTTTTTTATTTCTTTTTCGTAGTAAGGGGTGGTTGTGCTGTCTGCAGTTGTTCCAGTAGTACATAGTTAGGCCGATGGCTTAAGTTGTTAGAAGACTATTAACAGCAGATTAGAAATACAACTCGGTACTTCCAACATCTCAATTCTATGAGATACATAAGAAAATTCTATGACGGAATGGTTAGAATACAATACATTATCAAGGGTCCGAGTGCTCAATTCCTTGTCCATGAATTCATCTTAGAATTTGTCAGCCTCAATCATTCGCTTACTGAGCAGCTGCCGGACCAACGATATTCCGGACTACCCCTCGTGCCAGACTTTACCCCGCCTGCTTAAATCCAAAATTTTGTCTGCCCGAGCGGCAGAATCTCATAGAACCTTCCAAAAAAAGGGCGGTCAGCACTCGGTTGGCAGTTATCCCCGCTTCCTGATTGGTCAGCAAGCCCACCGCCTTGGGCTGGTGCGTTCTTCCGTGGCGTGAATCATCACTCAGCACCCGCACTCCGATCAGATTTTCTTCAGGAACTCATAGAACATTGTTACCCGTCTCGATCATCTTTTTGTCTCCTACCAAACAGACCACAATGTCGGCCGACGCTGATACCACGGAGTCGCAATTCCAGAAGATCGGGGATATCGTTGAGCGGAACGATGACACTGGTCTCATGCAGGTCGAAAGTCTCTGCATGAACTGCCACGAAAATGTATGTCCGATTGTACCACTGGGATGCAGTATGATGTCTCAAGGACCTGCCTAATGCGATGGAATCTAGGGAACTACCCGCCTGCTACTCCTCCGTGTACCTTTCTTCCGTGATCTCATTCTCGAGTCCTTCGAATGTCCGCACTGTTTCTTCAAGAACAATTCCATCAAGTCTGCCGGCCAGATCCAAGAATTGGGATGCAAATATACCCTGGAAGTTGAGAATGCGGAGGATTTACAGCGTCAAGTCGTCCGAAGTGATGTAGCCGTGTTCAAAATCGAATCCCTTGGTATTGAGATGCCGAAAGAGGCACAACTCACAACCGTCGAGGGTCTCGTTCAACGGATACATGAGTCCCTGTCGAGTGAACAACCCCTCCGCAAAGTCCAGGCGCCTGAAGTTCATGACGCCCTGGTGCCTCTGATTCAGAAACTAGAGGATTACCTGAACGGGACCGGATTTCCCTTCACCATTTCTTTAGATGATTATACTGGTAACTCTTGGATTGCCCCCAACACCGCAGATAAGGGCAACAAGTACAAGCGAACCGAGTACCCCCGGACTCAAGCACAAAACGAAGAGCTTGGCCTTAGCTCTGATTCTCAGCCCGCTGGCATCAAGCGGGTTGACGGATTCGGAGATCCCGAAGATCTGGATCTTGTTGATGGGGTTTACTCCTTGCCCGCTAATTGTCCCGGCTGTGCGAAGGACTGTGAGGTCAACATGCAGAAAATCTCCATCCCGCATTTTAAGGAAGTATTCAGTATGGACACCTTATTCTCATATTCATTTCTCACGGTCGATACTGACATGGAATACTAGTTTGGGCAACTGTCTGCCCTCATTGTGGCTATAAGTCAAACGAAGTCAAGACCGGAGGCGCAATTCCAGAGAAGGGCACCCGTATCACATTGTCCGTTCAAAATGAGGTAGACTTGAACCGAGACGTCCTTAAGTCTAACAGTTGCTCTATGTACAGTGAGGAGCTGGAGCTTGAAGGTAAGGCCTTCTTCGTGATGACCTAGGTATATGACATAGTACTAAGATCTTCTAGTTCAATCCGGCACCCTGGGATCACGATTCACCACCATCGAAGGTATTCTGACTGAGATTCGTGATCAATTGACCTCCACAATCTTCGATGTTGAGGACACCGCTCGGCAGGGTGGAGATAGTATGCCTGGGGATGAAAAGAGCAAGTGGGACAGCTTCTTTGCACGCCTTGAGAAGGCGATCAGCGGTGAACTGAAATTCACGATCACCTTGGTGGACCCGCTGTCAAACAGTTATGTGCAGGACCTGTGCGCGCCTGCGGCTGATCCGCAGCTCACGGTTGAAGAGTATACCCGGACTGAAGAGGAGGAGGAAGAGTTTGGATTAAAAGATATGAAGACTGAGGGATATGAGCAGGACGCCGAGGAGAACAAGCAGTAGAAGGGGGGTGTTTGGGTCTGACGTCGACTAAGTTACTAAATATATCCAGATCAGCGGTCGAATAAATACAATTATATTAGTAGAACTCTGATACTCCTTTGGAATATCCGCCTTCAAGAATTTTATTATTTCTAAAGCCTATGGATCCATAGTATTATCGATATATAAACAGATTTACTAATTTCCATATCTCCAGCAGAATGAGTGTCCTCGGTGATCACATGAAATTCAGTTATGGCATATATCGCAGCATATTGTGGACTCTATTGTCTTAGATCTGTTGTTGGGTTATATATATTTCCTCCACAGCAACCGGGGAACTTCAATCTTGACATTTCGACGATCGTAAGTACTAGCTCATAAACATCATCAGCTACGCCACCTTAATCCTTCAACACCTCTCCATTTCCGACACATTCATCAAATCTGGTACTACATTGAACAGCTACTCATAGTCCTCATCCTAAGAGTGAATCGTCTTGAGGCCAAAAAGGCAGATGCGACCGTGGAGAAGAGTACACGGCAAGGGTTCAGGAAAGCACGGTCCAAGTTGAACCCGACCGACCGAGCCATTCCAAATATTGTCACTACTTACGAGGCGGCCTGCGGTATACACACAAATAATTTAGAGAAAAGAATTCCAATTTGCATCATTGCTATCATTACTATTATTTACATTCACCGCATGACTATACAAGACTTTTAATAACACGGTGATCGCTACACCAATCAAACATGAATATCCAATCATCACCCAAGTACTTCTGTCTCATCTCTCTCCATTTAGTCCATAGCAGCACCCTCCTGGCAAGCAATCGGGCTAGAGCGGTAGTTCAGCTCTGTAGTGGTGTTGTAATTCCACCAGAAGCTCAGGTGCTGCGGGTAGGATGCAGACACGTTGCAGGTGGTCGTGTAGTCGGGCAGGTCCTTGTTCAGGATGGCAGTGTAGTTGGCCAGAGGGCAGGAGTAGCCTGGTCCGGAGGTGCAGTCGTTGAAGGGGAGCACGGCCTCGTTCAGTACCAGACGCACGTAGGTGCCCTCGTCCGATAGAGCGGTGGCCTGGCAGCTGAGGCGCTCGATGGTCAGGTGGCCACCCTGGGGCACGATGTTGCCGGTCGAGTAGGGGTTGCCGAAGGCGACGCGGTCCAGGGGCAGGTCTTCGGTGGGGATGAGGACGCCCAGGGCGGCGAGGATGGGGGTGATGTTGGTGTCGTGGGCGCTGTAGTATGTTAGTGAAGGGTTTCTTTGACAGGAGGGGTGAGTCTGCGTGAGACGTACAAGTTGAAGAACAAGGAGCCGGCTTCCTTGGGTCCTTGATTCAGGAGAGTGAGACTGGCATTGGCATAGACAGCGCCCACAGCGGCCATGTTCTTGTCACCGGGACTGTGTTGATCATTTAGTTGCCGATCCAGGTTTAATTTGAGGAAGGAAGGAATAATCTCACCCTGCGCAGTAGTAGTAGTTTAGATCCTCAACGTAGCCGAAGCTGACCCATTCGTCTTGGGTGAAGGCGTTGATCCAGTTGGAGAAGGGACGAGCATTAAGCTCAAAGGAGGCCATTACTGATACATTGTCAGCTTCCGTTGGACTCGAAGATTATCAGATGCCACAGAGAGTGTCACATACCCATCAGGTTGTAGACATCGGATGCAGTGAGGTTCATGCCAGGGTTTTGCGAGTTGAGACGGGCAGCAGCAATCTTGAACTGGGGCAGCTGGTTGGTCAGGTTGTCGCAGGTGGTCTGGTCGTTGTCGGTGTCACAGGTGGGAGTCAGGCTGTCGGCACCCATGACCTCGGACTCGGAGATGATGTTGAGGGCCGCGTTGGTGGAGTAGTTGTAGCCAAAGAAACCCTCGCCGAACTTGCGGGCCGTGTTGATGACCCGTCCGTAGCCACTGGAGAAGAAGGGCACGACTGTCTCGCCGTCCCAAAGGTGGCCGTAGCGGGCCTTGTACTCGTTGCCATGGTTGTAAGCATCCAGCAGACCGGCGTAGGGACCGCTGGTGGTCTCGGCATTGTAATAGCACTCGTTGGGGACGTAGTAGGTCCAGTCGTTAAGGAAGGCCAGGTCACCCTTGTATTCGGTGGTGTTGATGCTGTAGACCTTGGCTAGAGCCTCCTCAATGCTCTTGCCGGCGGAAGGGGAAGGGTAGCGCTCGCCGTGACGCTTGATCATGATGACTTGATCGACCTCGCAGCCGGTCGGGGGATCGCGGGCGATTCCATACGACACCCGCTCAGAGTAGGGTCCGTTACCACCGTAGTGCTTCAGGATGCTGTAGCCATCGCGGAACTCCTGAGAGAACTGCTTTTCCTGGGTGGACTGGGGAATGGCAGCGCCGTAGGAGAAAGCGGATGCGCCCGTGGCCAGGGCACAGGCCAGGGTGAGGAGAGAAGTGCGAGGCATTCTGGAGTTACTATTGACGGAAACGGGAGGAAATGCTTCGAGGCTTAGAGATGGCGAGCGGGGTGCATTTCGAGAGGGAGGGGTCCGGAGGGCGTTTTATACCCTGCGATCGGAGGTACATTGCGGTCCGGCATGCATCTGTGAGCTGGTCGCCTCATGCGTCGCCAGGAGTCGGCTCGAGAGGTGAGCTAGAAAAGTAGCGGAAGCGAGGACGGAGGAATGTCTACCAGTGACAGACTCACACATGAGCCCACGTGCTCAGCATCCCAAAGCGAGCAGCTCTCGGCTCGATGTAACAGGGCTGAATTCCACCTCTTAGTGGGAGCTGCGGGATTCGAATCATACACAGGAGTCCAGAGGCGTGGTTTCGGTCAGCTCTCCCATTGGCAGGAGGGACGGGCGGGACGGAGACAGGCACGGACTGCCGTTGGTCAATGGCAGCAGCTTGATCTACTAGTAGTTTAGTGGTCATGCACCCGGCAAGGGCTTATCTCCGGGGTTGCTGCCGGTGTCTTCCCACTCCCTTCTCCATCCCTCGCGTCCCCGCTGCTCGCATTGGCAACGGAGTCACCGACGAAAAGTCTGTCTCAGAGCATACCATAAAGAAATAGCAACCTGACAAGCTAAGGTACTGACAAGCGATGATGTCCCTTATGGATGTACTGCTTCGCAGAGGTAAACAACGGCTCGGGGTTGCCCGCCCGGGCAATCCAGGCCGAGCTCAAGCTTCCTTGGCCAAAGCTTGGTCTTGCCAGCCAAGGCGCCACTCCCTCGGCCACGCGGTTCTGCCACGCCATGTTACTCGCTTTCCCATGGCTTGGGACGTCTGGAAGGAACGGAAGACCAATGTAACAATCACACTCCGCGATCGGAATCGATCTAGTGTCAGGCAACTGGATTAGCTGACATGCGGCATTTGTCGCTGAAACTTTGCACCGTTGGCCTCACCAGTACAGGTGGTGTAGGGAGCCTGGGGAAATGGGACCAAGCCGGGGTGGATGTTTCCTTTCAAACCCACCGGGCCAGTCTGCGTCAGGCCTGCCTGCACGTGCGAGTCACGGCTTGTTCTGCCAGGGCGATGAGATCCGGTTTCTACGCGTCGCAAATTACATCCTGAGTCATGCCAGTCCGGGTGTAACCGTAGAGGGAGTGACTATCGCCTATGCATAAACCATGTGACGGGACTGGAGAGTGCTCAAGTGAAGTCGCTCTGCTAGGTGGCAAGTGTACCCTGCAGCTTCAATGAGCTTCCCCTGGATCCTAACCTTAATCGTCCTTGAACCGTTTGACGTACATGTCCTTATCGCTTGACATATACCCGGCACCACCTTCCATGTGGGACAAACTCTTACTCTTATTTGCCGCAGGAGCAGCGCTATCGAATGGTAGTTTAGGTAGCCGGTTTCCCGAGACTAAATACGCTGTAAAGGATTAAAAGGAAGAGGGAATCCGTCGCTTCTATGACGTAGGAATAAGATTGTACCAGCCAAAGACCCGCTTTGGCATGGCAGGGACATAGCTGGCACATGGCTACAGTGTGGAAGTGATCGTCTTTTTAAGGCTGTGTTTCTCACAAGACTAGATGAACGACTCAATTCAATCAAATCCTCAGAACGGAGTCTCGAGCAATAATCTGAAGCACTATGCAGTAAGAATCTGAACTTTGTCTTTGTTCTATCACTTGGCTCAAATAGTTCAACCATGCAGCAACAAAGCTAATAATTCAGCCAAACCAGCCGGAAGTGGCTAATTCCCACGAGGCTCAGCTAATTCACTAGAGTTGAGTATAACTGAAGACCTTAACACCGTCTTGGCTCCGTGGCTCCGTCTTTGTCTCGCATGATTTGCAAACGGCCAGTGAATGTTGTGGTACGCGTAGCAATGCCACATGGCAATGGTACTGGTACATGGGTTAGATATTGTCTCATCACATCCATCCATCCAAGCACTTACCTCCAGAACATGAATACACATCCGATCCAATAGAACACTAGCCCAGCTACTGTCCGGCCATCTTTTCCGTACGCCAAAGAGATCCAGTTCCAGTTGCCGCGGATGGCTGCCTCTTCATCCGCTGACACGCCGTGTATCTGAATTCCCTGGGTCGCCACGATAAGTGTAATTACTATGCATGCTGCTAGTTGGGACAGACTTGCCGCAGCAGCACCAAGTTTCCATGTCCACTGAATGCAACGGGTCTCTTTCCGCTCCGGCCAGAAAGAGTCGAATATCAGGAGGAGGCTCAAGACGCCTAATGGAAGGATGCAAGCGCACATCCCGAAAGCGAAGCTGCTAAGTAGGTTGCTGGTGTTAATCCGAGCATCAGGGAACCCGGTATAGATTGGTCCTGTAGTTCATTGTAGCCTGTCGAGCCGTCAGGATAGATGAACAAGGGGGGAAAGGCAAGCGTACGGTTGCTAGCAGAGATGATCAGGAAATGTCCAATGATAGTAGCATGGTCAGCTAGGTAGACCACGAACCCGGTTCGCCTGAAGAAACAGATCTTGTTGTACGTGCAGGAGCTGCTGGAGTTGACCCATTGCACCTCCTGCCGGGAGATGTTGCGTATCAAGGGGGCCATGACCGAATATGCTATTTTGACCCTGGAAAAGTCTCCGCTGATGCGGAAGTTCGCCAAAAATCCAAGATATAGACAATGGCTGTGAGTTAATGATCCATGACGTGACATGACTGTTAGTGAATGGCCCACGATGTATATATGGCGGTTATAAAATGACGAGATTATACAACTGGTGTACATGTGTAGAGCCCCGTGTCCGGACCTGGACTGCCAGGGGCAGTTTCCGCCTATAGAGCCGCTCATCCTGCTGGCACGAAGCTTTCGGGAAGGCATCATTCTTTTGTCTGCCGATCACTCCTGGATCTGACTCAGGTTTTTGTCTCCCAGCAAACCCATTGCAAGTTATGCGACACGGAGTTCATTCCATCATGCAGCGGACGGTGTCTCTGAAAAGAAGCCCTAAATGAGCACGTCATGGCTCCTCATGACTGGGATATGGTACCAGATAAATTTGTGCTGGGGTCTGACGTTGGAGCGAAGGCATCGTCCGTTGAGCCGTACATGACATTCTATGACTGGTTGCCATAGTTGTTAGTCCAGGTATTTGATCATACATGGAAACTCGGCAAACACAAGATAGAAACTGGCAACTTGTATGATAAGATGCGTTTCCCCAGCGGGCATCCATGGCAGGTTTAGAATGAGGCGTATATCTACGGTCCCTCCATAAAGTGCGGATAAACAGGCCTGTCACAGAGCTCCTCTTCCACGAATGGCCTATTAGATCCAGCAAAATGAGCCAAGAATAGTAGTGTCCTCCTCCAACTCTCTTAGATTGGGATTATCAACATTGGGCATACTGGAGTCGCTGTCGGCCGTGATTTGGGCCTGGCGGGTAATGCGACATGTTAGATTGGCAGCGATGCAGGTGGAGCAGGAAGAGACACGGTTGCATTTAGTCTACGAGAGTGAAATTCGGTTAGAATGCAAATGCACCTAAGGTTCATGGGGTTAAGACGAGTGTCTCACCTTGCGACTCCGGCACTGGTCACACAGAACACCATCATCAACAAATCGATCAAATGAATCGGCAATGGTCAATGAGGTAAGGCATGCTAAGGGATGAGACGATGAGAGTCCAACTCACAGCCGGTCTTTTGCTGTTTCCACGGGTGCCGATACCGACCTCCATAGCGCGGGACATTGGCTGGTCTACACAGTACGCTCTGTGGTTGCATGTGGGGGAGGGACAATCGGTGCAACTCGCGGCGGAACCGGAGCTGCCAGGCAGTTATTCCAGCCCCATCCAGTAGATAGTAGTAGTTGGTAGTCAGATCCATGCAGACCAACCGAGTCAACGCTAGCAGTGTGAGAGACTGCCTGAGGCAATCATTCTCAATATGCTCTTCCCTCTTTGGGAGGGAATGTAGGAGTTGCCTCGCCATCGGGATGCCAACTAGAAAGGCCGAGATTGAGGTTAGCGCGGGACCCGCGCTAACCCGAATCTCGGTCGGCACATTTCCCCATCGGGCAGTCCTCGGATTCGGAGAGGGTAACACACAAAGTACTATGCCCAACATGCTTGCCGACCAGAAACACCACGGTCCGTGACCGGGGACTAGGGAGAGACCCATCCAAGATGATGCCGAACACTCGCAATTCCATTCGCATAAGGTGGTAGAGAGGTATAAAGTCACCGGGAGAAGTCCATGGTCTCATAGTCAAAGCATTCCAAACCCTTCCGACCAAGTCCCTTGAACTTCCTCCCCATTCCCCACATCACAATGACTTCCTACCCTCCCAGAAAGTGCTGCTTCCAGGGCGTCAAGCACGAAGGCGACGCAACTGGGGACTTCATCACCATTGATGACTTTGAAGTCTACAAGAAGGCCCCCGAGGGTGCCGCTCCCGAGAAGGCAATCATTCTGTCTGTCCCACCTCATTGCAGTGGTAGCAAATCGTTAGTCTGAACTGACCGCAAAATAGACTGACTGATATCCTGGGCCACCGCTTCAAGAATGCTCAGTTGATCGCCGACCAGTTCGCCGCCAATGGCTACTTGGTCCTGATCCCCGATCTCTTCTATGGTGATCCCATCCCCATTGGTGGCTCCGCGGGCCTGGACCTCCACAAATGGCTGGTGGGCGAGTACCACGAGAAGAAGATCGCACACACTCCCCCCGTCATTGACCCCATCCTGGAAAAGTGCATTACTGAACTGCGCACCAAGTACAACATCAAGGTAGGTCCAGCTCTCCGCTGCTAATAGCGGGCCGGACGAACGCTGGGACTAATGTTCTGACAGAAAATCGGTGCCATCGGATACTGCTTTGGCGCCAAGTATGTCGTTCGTTTCTTGAAGCCCGACCAAGGCAAGGTGGATGTCGGTTTCCTGGCGCACCCTAGTCTGGTCGAGAAGGAGGAATTGGAGGCCATCAAGGGTCCCCTGGCCATTGCGGCGGCCGAGAAGGACCATGTCTTCCCCGCCGAGAAGCGACACGAGTCGGAGCAAATCTTGGAAACGCTGGCGTTGCCCTATGCACTGACTCTCTATGGCGGTGTTGGACACGGGTGAGTGATTTTTTCCCCTGAACCCAATGAAATACGCATCAGGCTGATCATGTCATAGATTCGCGCTGCGGGGAGACCTCAGCGACCCCAAGGTGCTGTTCGCCAAGGAGAACGCCTTCATCCAGGCGCTGCAGTGGTTTGATGAGCACTTGACGGTGTGAGTGGGCAACTGCGAGTCGGAGGGGAGGGGGAGATTCGGTAGCTTAAATAGCTGCGAGCAGTAGACTAGTAATGGCTGATGACCACGCTATAAATATCATGATGGCTAGAATGAATGTGCATGAAATCCGTCCCCACTTGTCTGTCTCTTACTCCGGGATCCATTCCCCAACAGGGTTACGTAGCATGACCTTCAATCCAGGATTCAATACGAGTCCCAACTAATGAGTCCTTGTTTTTAGTATCATGTGAGTGAGGTGGATGTAGAGTTACTATCAACTGAAGGCCTGGGCACTCGGCGCAGAGTATATTAATGTACAACATTCCCTAGAGTGAAAGAGAAAAGAATTCGAAGAAAGGGAAGATATTTGGATTCCGCAGAGCAAGATTGGGTAGACAGCCCAGACCGAAGCAAGCGTGACTTGTGCGGAGTCAATATAGGAGAGCCGTTGGACAGACAAACCGACGATATACAATAGTACTAAGTAGTACGTAGTAGAGTGGAGAGATGATCCGCTGTGGGTATATTCTTTTTTTTGCACTGGCAGGCAAGTTTCGGGACCAGCCGACCGGTGGCAGGCCGATAAGCTGCCGGGCGCAATAAGATCCGCCCGCCCCCCCGTGTACCTTTGCCCGTCTGGCCAAGAGAGAGAGAGAGAGAGAGTGTGTGTGTGAGTGGTGAGTGGTGAGAGAATTGAATTCTAGCCACTCCTCCTAGTAGTAATCTAGGATGCGCTCAATACGAAACCCACCACTGGCCGCGGCTCCTTCAAATCCCCCCGGTCACCACGTGATCCTCCAGCTGCCTGGTGCGTCATTGGCGAGAAACTCGAACCTCGCGATCGGACGGAATCTGACTTGAACTTGCTTTGCCTTCACTTTCAGTTACTCATCTCAACTTCCGTCCCGCACTCACTGCTGCCACTCTCCCTTTCCCCCTTCTTCTTCTTCTCCTTCTCCCCATTACTTGCTATGGTTGCATGCTAGTTCCTCCAATTCTTATCGCCAAATGACTGCATCGCAGTCAGGTCCCTTATCGCTCTCGTTATGTTCCGCCATTTTCAGATGCCCCCGCCCCCAAATGGGAATGCCTCCCAGTCCGATGCCGCCGGGAGACCCAAGGATCGGACTCGCCGGGCATGCGAGCGCTGTCGCCAGATGAAAATCAAGTGTGACGGGGCCACCACCTGCAATCACTGTCGCACTTCTTTCAATGGTGCGAGGCCCTTTCTGGTTACATCTGATGAGACCGCAGACGGCAGGCTGGAGCCAAGCTAACGGGTACAGAGTGTGTGTATCCGGAGCCACGTCGCAAACGCAAAGCTTCCCCACATTTCGATCGTCTGCAGGAGTTGGAGAAGAGGGTCAAGGCGATGGAGGAATCCTATCAAACCATTTCGGCCACCAAAGATTCGTCCCAGTCCCCCAACTCGGCGACGCAACATCCTCCCCCGTCAACCGCCGGCGCCAATGATGTCGGATCCGACCCGACAGATCCCCGGCCTCAGCTCCGGTCAAGCCAAGGAGAGGCCCGCTTTGGTTTCTCATCTGCCGACCGTGCTTTCATCGAGCGTCTCAAAGCAGAGCTGGGAGACTGGCCCGGCGCGGATTTCGACAGCCGGCTACGCATTCGAGAGAAACCGGGGGTGAAATTGTTCCAGTCAGCCACTCCGGCGCCGCGGGTCGTCTGCTTACCCCCCCGTGAGCGAGCGGAGCACTTAATCAACATTGCGCTGGACGCAAGCGTGCTCTATCATGTCGTGCACCGACCCACGTTTGACTCGGCCTTCGAACTACTCTACAGCCTGGATCGGAGCGACTATGGGGAAGGGGAAATGCGCCATATCCCGCTCGTTTACGCTCTCATGGCGTTGGGCTGTCTTTTTGAGAAGATCGGCGAGGGTCCATCGGAAAGCGGGGACGACATGACCGCAGAGAGGTATATTTCTTTCCCTTCTGCTGTATCGTTGAACTAGGTGCATGCTAACGCAAGCAGAACGAAATATTTCGCGACATGCCGTGATCTGGTGGATCTGCACGACTGCAATGACATCGTTACCTTACAAGCAATATTCTACATGAATTTATTTATCTTAAGCACGGAGAGGCTATCACCGTGCTATACATGTCTGTCGCACGCATTTTCTCTCGCCGTTCGCATGAACCTGCAGCTGCCGAATTCACGAGACAATCTGATCGTCGCGGAGATAAAACGACGGCTGTTCTGGTCTCTGCGACAATTACTGATGGTTGTAGCCTCGATGTGCGGCTATCCGCGGCCGATCAACAGCAATGAAGTCGACATCGAGCAGCCGCTAGATCTGGATGATAACGACCTCAAATCGACCAGGATATCACAGTCCCTACAAGACCCTGCGCTGATTCGGAGTATGTCGGGTTCTGTCGCGTTACTGAAACTCCACAACATTCTGGATCGAATAGTTCGCGAGCTTTATCCGTCGGGAGGCGTCCGGCGGAAAACCAACAGCGGATCCATGAGCCACCTGGTGAGCAACGAAATTGTTACGCAGCTCGAAGAGGAGCTGCAGAAATGGTCCACATCGCTCCCGCTGGGGTATAAACGGGGAACGAGTCGATACGCACCCCACTTGGAGAAGTAAGGTCACCAAGCATGCTGACCAACCCGAGGTTCCACCCGGCTAACAAGTCACAGGGCGAAATACGAGCTATGGATGACTTATGCCCACGTCCAAATTCTTCTATATCGACCATTCCTGCACTATTTCGTCGACAGCACCGAGGGGAACGGTCATGCAGAACATGGATTCCACAAATACGCCTCAGCGTGTGTTGACGCCAGCCGCAATCTCATCCATTTGACGGAGGATATGCACCGGGATGGTCTCCTGTACGGAGCACACTGGAGGATTGCGTACATGGTCTGCACAGCAGGTCTATCGCTGATATACGTGGTCGTGGGCTCGAAGAACCCAGATACCGCGAGGAATCTCAAGATGGATTTGAACACAGCAAAGAGAATGCTGATGTGCCTCACCCCTTACAGCTCCCATTCCCGTCGCCTGCATGTGGCATTAACGGTACGGTTACAGATGATTTCCTGTTCACGTTTCTCGGCTAACGTAAGCGAAATTAGGTACTGACAGCTACGTTCACGAAATCGGATCACGGCTCGCAGTCTCAAAGTCCGAATGACACCGCAGAGGCAGCTCCAGATAAACCTCATGAGCCGTATACCGGGCCAACAACAAGACAGGCCTATGGTGCATCCCCTCAGGGAAATCAAAAATATAATGGTCCGGGAGCGGGTGAGGTGGTTGCTCCCAGTCCAGAGTTATTCACGCGCGGCGTGGAGACGCATCCCTCCCAGCCTAATCGGGTCGAGGCATACGGCATGATTCCTGCATCACAGCCGCCGTTATCTCATTTAGATTCCACCCCGGTGCCGTCAGGCTATGTGGTTCCCCCGCTCCAACCAGGTGCACCAGGCACGACCATGCCAACTCCGGCGCCCGAAAACACCACTCCCCAATCAGCTGAGCGAGTCATGGAGGCGCTGGCCGGGGCCGCTGCCACTTATGGACCGGAGCCAGGACTCGGAGATCAGACGTACTACTTAGAAGCGCGACCCTTTAATTTGCAGCGACCTACGGAAGGCGAGGAATACCTGTTCGGGAGAGAGTTTGGGGAGTTTGACGGGATGACGGGGGATTTACTCAGCTTCGACTATCTGTTTTAGACCGGCTTGTAGTGTGATTGTGTGGTATTGGGGATAGTGTCTAATGTGCGGGCACCATAAAATCCGACCGCTAATGACTGCGCTTGCTGCCGCGTGCGCGTGGCAACCGATTATGAACTCTCATATTATTATTTTCTTTTTTTCTTTTTTTCGGCTCTCTTAATGTTTGTTCATCTATCATTTTTTTTTTTTTTTTTTTTTTTTTTTTTTTCCCTCTGGTCCACTCCACTCCGAGACTTGACCACCCAACATCCGAGTGGCTGCTGGGGTGAGAGTTGTCCGATTTTACGGGCGGCAGAGCGATGGGACGGTCTAACCCCAACATCGGGTCCCGCAGGCCGAGTGCCGGCCAGCCGACGCTGCAACGTCCAGACGTGCTGATCCCAACCACTGCACAAGGTCGGACCCAACGTGGCGGTCAATTGCGTGCCGGAAAGATATGCTTAGTGCATTTCACGACTCCTTTTTGGACGAGTCTGTCAGATTTTGAACACTGCACGGCCCGAGCCTCCCTGAGGATGTATCGCGGCCTCCTTATATATCTCATATAATGGTGCCCAGGCGCATCAATCCTACGAACAAGGGCTAAGCACTAGTAACCAAACTATGCGATCGTTTGTTCAATTGTTAGTGCAAGATCAACCACTATAAACTTCGACTTTGGATTTCTGAGAATACAAAGAACCAATCACTAGCAAAGATCAATTCAGCGCCATGGCCGGCGGTAAGGTAGGCGTTAGATCCCGCTGTCATCAAGAATTATTGTCCACTAGCTAGCTGTTGACTAACGTCGAGTTACTAGCGACCCGACGTGCACCCTGTGATAGACTTGGAGAAGGATATGGTAGGATGGGACGGCGAGGATGACCCAACAAACCCGAGGTGAGAGATAATCGTTCACATCTGCCACCACGAAAGATCGAGCATCTGACACGGAATAGGAATTTCCCTGTGTCCCAGAAGTGGTTTCTGATGATACTGGTCAGTACCATCACGTTCATCAGGTATGCTGAGAGTTCTTCAAAATAAACAAATAATTGGCTCTTACTCACGACCTCTACAGTCCATTCGCGTCCTCGGTCTTCTCTCCGGGCGTGGTATATGCGGAAGAGGAATTTGATGTCACGTCGACGATTTTGGGAACTCTCTCAGTCACAGGTTATCTCATCGGTTATGTGGTATGTGTGGTTTCCGTGTTGTGCAAGAATATGACTTGAGCTTACCGAACTTGCCATGTAGACTGGTCCTCTCTTTTTCTCTCCGCTGAGTGAGATGTACGGCCGACGGATCGTCCTCAGTGCGGCCAACACGTTTTTCGTCGCCTTCCAAATTGGCTGCGCGCTGGCCCCCAATATATCTGCGTTGATCGTCTTTCGTTTCCTGACGGGTGTTGGTGGCTCGGCTTGTTTGACTACAGGCGGTGGTGTGGTAGCGGATCTGTTTGTGGCTGAACAGCGTGGAATCGCAATGGCAGTTTATACTACGGGTATCTTGATCGGACCCGTGCTAGGACCACTTCTTGGAGGTTTCATCGCTCAGCGAGCGGGTTGGCACTGGGTATGTCAATTCCACCTGTCTTTTCATCCACATGACTGATATTGATACCCCTGGTAGGTGTTCTGGGTGCTGGTCATCGCGGGCGGCACGCTCTCTGCTCTGGTCATGGTTTTCAACCGGGAGACCAACCACGTCGTAATCATCCGCCGCAAGACCGAGCGTCTTCGCAAGGAGCTCAATCGTCCCGAGCTCTACAGCTGCTATGAACCTGATGGAGCGGACGCCAAAGGTTCTTATACCGGTACCCTCGGCAAGCGGTTGATCATGCCCTTCTACCTCTTGGTCCGTTCGCCGATCGTGTTTCCCGTTGCGACCTATCTGGCCACACTGTACGGATGCCTCTACTTGCTCTTCACCACCGTCACCGATGTCTTTAAGAAGTCCTACGGCTGGAGCACGGAAATCAGTGGCCTCGCATATCTCGGTCTCGGTGTCGGCTTTATCAGTGGCCAGATCGTCTTCGCCTTGGTCAGTGATCGCATGATCACCCGGTTGAAGTTGCGCAACAACAACGTCTTTGAGCCGGAAATGCGCCTGTCAATCACCATGATCTTTGCCTTCTTCATCCCTGTCTCGTTCTTTTGGTACGGATGGTCTGCGCAGGAGAAAACACACTGGATTGTGCCCATCATCGGCCTGGCACCCTTTGCGTTCGGCATGGTGGGTATTTACAATACCCTGCAGACCTATGTGATTGACTGCTATCCTCGGTACGCTGCCTCCGGTACCGCCGCGATGGTGGTTACCCGGTCGCTGATGGGTGCTCTGCTGCCGCTGGCGGGACCGCGCATGTACGCGACTTTGGGCTACGGATGGGGTAATTCCCTGCTGGGATTCGTCACACTGGGCATGATCCCCGTGCCAATGCTCTTTTACAAATATGGTGGCAGCGTCAGAAAGTCGTCTCAATTGGAGTTGTGAGGGGTTGTGCGGTTCTCACACGATTTATCAGAAAAGGATGGATAGAATGAAAGTGAGGCTTGGGGAGACGATGCATCGAAGGGATTGGATATTTATTTTTAGTTCTGTGTCTCTCTATTTTGTTAGTCTATTACTGCATACACATAGACTTGAGCTCTCTGGGAGTCTCATGTGGCGTTTTGGCGCTGGGAAGGTGATGGCTAGTATGAGGCTGGTCCAGGATTGCATACAGGGAAAGGGTTAGTTATGTTAATATGTGATGTTGGGTTTTATGATAGACAATAAAACATTTTACAGAACGGAGGAAGCCGACTACAAAGTTCTTAACCTTGCGGAGATGATCGACGATCAGTGCTGATCCTCGGCCAATTCTCTGCTTATTTCGCGGTGACAATAACTTCTCCCCCACCTTGGCGAAGCGGTCAGCTCGAGCTTAGCTACAACCATTTCTTGGTGCTCTCTTTCCCCACCCCCACACAAGTTCCAGTATCGTTCATATTGCAGTACCATAAGTTGTACTCTTCCCTTGAACCAGACCACCAACCATGGCAGACTATCTCACCGTTCCCATTCTTGATGAACTCGTCCGACGTGTCGAAGAGGACTCAAGCAACGAGGACACCGTGGAAGCAATGTCATCGGCATTCTATCATACTATATTCTTATCGACAAGTGGTTCACAGTGGCACCCACGTCAACGGGCAGCAACTGCTCTACAGGTTATGAATACACCATCCGCCAGATTCAACGACATTCTTTAGCAGATCGCACGGTTGACGATCACATAATGGTCAGATAAGAGGTTTATGATCCACTTTCAAGTTGTACCAGTCGCCTTCAGCATTCCATTCAGCATCGAAACACCGGATTGGCAAGTACCTGGACAATATTAGTCCATAGTCAGTCGGTCTACTTCTACGAGTATCATGGACTATTAGCTAAATATGAGCGCCTCGTGGCTTGGGCACCATCTGGTGCAATCGCAGGAGCAGAATGCTTTTCATGTATGAAGCGATAGTGTACAGCTTGAATGAGTGCTAAGGCATATAGCCACAGAACGATACACCTCCTGCTCGATGAGGCAGCGGACAGTGGATGAGTACAATCTGAGAGGCCCGAGGGGCATTATTGTAAGACAAGGAAACATTAGATATTTATTAGAATCTTCTAAAGCACTATAAAATTACGTGGGGTTTCCCAAGTCATCTATAGCAACCCATTCCCGGGGTTTTGTCTCCTAAGCCATATGCTAACCCCGAAAAAGCGCCATCAAACCGGATCGTGAAGTCGACATTCCTAAGACAGGGTTTATCATAATAATAATGGTTCTTACAACGGCACGGGTTTTGCTGTAGAGAGAGTCGCTTGGGTTCACCTTCGTGTTGAACGTGGTAAAATCCACGTTGAAGATACCAGCGCACGTCCTTGGGGCCCGGAGCATGCGGTGGCCTGCTACATCTGCAGCGCGAACAAATGTAGCGGGGACTACTCTCACTTGGAAGTGCGTTCAGGTTAATACAGTCAGTGTGTTGCCAGGAGTAGCAAACTGAACACATTACCCCGGACTCTTCGAGTCCGCTGCGCTTGCCACAACAGTGTATCAGCAACGGGTAGTTCATCACACCCACGTTCGCCAATTGGGGTATATCTTGGCTTTGGAAAGTTCTGGGGTAACACCGCATTCGGACAGGAGTTGACGCGTGTGCAAGTGCGTCCACAGTGCGTCGGTCCAGGTTCGACAGGATGAGTAGTATGATTTCCCAAGGTAACTTCCATTCCTCTCTTGAGGTCATGCGTTCTGGCCAACAGTTCGACGTGAGGATCACACAGAGGGCACGGAAACCTGCAGACTGCTGGACCCCTGACATGGTAGAAAGTAGCATGCTGGGGCTGCTGGCACGTACAGTGTCGTCGGCGATCTCCGCGAAGACAATGTGACATGTCGACATTATGATCAGGCGGGTATGGCGCCTCTGGTTTGTGGTCCGTTCAAGGTACTGTTGAGCCTTCCGAACGGCTGAGCGAACCATGGACTGGTCTTCCAGGTTGTCGTGTAGGACAATCAGGAATCCTCGGAACCAGTAGATATTGCCTTCGGGGCAGCTTCAGGGTGGAAGAGTATGGTGGAACATTGGGAGTCCGATGTCAGTGTCATAGGACACTTCGAGGTCCCAGGCTGCAAGACGTAAGATGGCAATACAAAAGTAATTCATGGCTGGGGAATCATAGCGCCAAGTTGATGGGTCAATGAAGTGCCAGCGCCAGACGCAAAGGAAATGGATGTACAGTCGGGCTTGCAGTTCGTTCAAGGGAAGGGGAAAATCAAGGACAAGATGCAATGGTTCCAATGTCAGCTGTGCCAATTCGTCGTTCCCAATTTTTCCAGGCAACTGCGTAGGTAAAGGTTGCGGCTTCTCACAGCATTTGACGCTGGACAAGCTAGAGGCCTCACATACCGTGCGCAGGTCATACCAGTCAGTCTGAGACTGGGCACGAGTCCCTACCATCTTGAAGTATGTCACTCCCAACGTGCCAGCATCTATATCCACAGTGTAGACAAAGCTGGAATCCGAGCTCAGCGGAGCGGGAAAAGGAGCTTCCTCCCACTCATCCAGGTTGTCCGGCTGGTCACATAGCTGCTTGATCTTTGTCAACGCCCTGGAGCGATCGGTTTTGTCGGAAAACAATTCTCCTGCGTTACAGGAACGATACCATCGACCTATTTTGCTTAATCGTTAGCTTCTTTATACTCATTTTCCTTTTTGACTTTGATATGCATGCGTTTGGTGCCAAAAAGGCCGTACTAACCTTTGATACGTATATTCCAGACGTGGCTCTCGAAGCGCCGTAGGTTTACCATAATGCTAGATGGAGCCAGAAGATGAGTGGTGTAATCAGGTCAGGTGCGTCATAGACACTTTCGAGAATGGAATAGAAGATGGGCAGGGTTTATGATGTGGAGATACTGTGATCAATGGACCTCCACCTTGAGATGCAAAGGACGAAATAGAGAAGCGGTTGCAAGACAAAGAGCCAGGAGAGGCTGATTGCACCTATTTAAGCTGGGAAGGCAATGAAAATCATTACAGCAGTCAATAATAATAATGGGGGAAGCCTGGTGATTGGCTGTAGAATGCCTAGAATATCAAAACCGTTCTACAACTTCGTCTATCAAACTGCCACAAACATTGGGGACTCGGGGTGGGGGGGAGATGGGGACTCGCCGCTCTGTTGATTGGATGTATTCGGAACTTATTCCAGTGGACAAAAGAGGGTATTGTTAAGCATTCTTCTTTCAAGATTGAGGTAGAGAGTCCAGGGAGTAGGCGAATACCTTTGTAACCCCATTGTAAAGAAACTAGTCTTTGTCTCACCGAATCTTATCCTGCCGTAAAATTCATGATTATCCACAAGAAAATATATCAAATCAGTGACTTTCTTATATACTAGGCTTTCCTCTTATACTAATTTCCTTTAACCACCATGCTCTCAGCCGGAACGCCACTTGAAAAGCGTACCATCACAGTCCCGCGAATGGGTACGAATTCCTCTTCACAGCGTTTCCATTCCTCCACCTCACTCCTAGTCAAATTCACGGGCATTACCAGCCTCAGCTCATGCGTCTTGACTACCTGAAAGTTGTATTTTCCGTAGAGAGGTACACCTGGATCGGTAGCATCCAATTTGATCTCCAGCCCCAATCGGTCCGCCTCCCCAAGTCTCCATTCCAACCACTTACTGCCGAAACCTTGCCATTGAGACTCGGGTCCCGTGAAGCCAATGGGAAGGTCTATAGAGGACCGGTAGTCAGTTACGCAACGTAACGGCTCAGAAGTTCTCCCTATTCAGAATTCGATGTGAAGAAAAGGGATCTGTTTCCCGCTCTGACCAATTCATGATTCAGAAGATATTTGACTTACATGCATGTGGCCCTTGGACCATCTCGTGTCGTGGCTGCTCATGTTGCTGCACAGCCTGGGCTACAAGGCTCCTGGTCACACCTTCAGAATGCCAGTCAACCTCGACCGGAGGGTGATTGGCTAAAAAGCTGGCATTGTCGAAGAAATACCACTTGGCAGCGGCGGCAATCCGTTCCTTCTCTACTACATCCACCACTTTGATCCACTTGATCGTCGGCTGCTCGCTGATGAGAGATGCGCGCTAGTTCTCGATACTTTTCTGGAGATTCCTTTTCCAAATCGCCATCCTCAATGGAGAATAAGAGGCGGAAGATGCCGTGCAGGTGATTCTCAAACGTCTTCCATTGAGCCGTGATGAGCTCAGGGAAGTCTTTCTTCTTTGGCACGTTCAAGTAAAAATGTCATTAACAATATTGTGAGCTCTGGGACTGGGAGTAGCGAGCAAGAAATCAATAGGGTGTTATTCATGGTGTTAACAATCAGGTCATTCCAGGATGTGCGGGGTCTTCAGTTATTTAAGATTATGGACATCTCTCAAATCCAAGTATTCTTTTGCCTGAGGGCAATAGTTGAAAATCAGGTAATTCTTTGGTCTGGAATTGTACGTTGAGCGACACACGGCATGGTTGGAGGTTATCATAGTACACATAATGCTCTGGCAATCAAGACTACAATGTACCCTTCGCATCTGGCAGTTTGGCCGGGGGCAGCAGGATCCTGCTGTGATTTTTAAGTACACATAATAACCGTTGGGGGCTGCGTCAGAATGAATGCTGCAACATTTGTTTCAAGATTATGCTTCTTTCTAGATCGCATATCGTGAACCAAAAATAAGACACAGCTCCCATGGACTTAGACGCTCGCTTTCAAATGCATGACATTGATACTTGCGGCAATTGCAGAGTGATGTAAATTGTATTGTCTAATCGTAAAGCTCATAATACTCATTACACAAGATAAGAAAAACAATCATCAAACACCAAGTAGCTAGGTCATTCTGTACAGTCTGGGTCCTTTCTCCCCATCCCTCCTTTCCTGCAACCTCATTTACTCCCCTTCAGCTGGTCCAAATGTAGTCGCAGCCACCGCCATGGCCAGCTCGCCTGAGTGACTGATACTGACCTGAACCTTGGCCAGCTGCTTCTCTTCCGCCAGCTTCTTGACTTCACCATGCAACTGTGTCCTCGTTAGCTTATCATTACCACAGACTTGGGAATAGAGCAACTCACATGAACAGTCAGGATACCACCTTCACTGAGGATCTCAATCTCATTCAGCGGAGCTCCTGCTCCCTTCGACGGTACCTGCAGGCTCTTGAACACGGCCTCTTTGGCTGCCCACCGGCCTGCAAACGAGTGCGCCGGATCTGGCGCAGCCTGGCAATACTCCCTCTCAGCCTCAGTATAGTTTCGCTCTAGAAACACCTCGTTCTCGACATTAATGGCAGTCACCGACTCAATGTCCACACCCACCGAGGTTGTTCCGTCCGTCGACACAGCTCCCTCCACCCATTTCTGGCACGCATGAATCAATGGCTCACTGGTGGGAGTCGAGGGTGTCTCCACGGCCGTCAACACCCCGGAGCTGGTCTCAGATGCCGAGTCCTCCGAATCTGGATGCAGGCATTTGGCATCGAAATAGTAGCTGCCGTCGTCAACGGCAACCCGCGCAAACGGGTCCAGGAATACCCGCATCTCATCCTCGGCCGCCCAGGCGGACGACGTCTTAGCCTGGAACAGGGTGTTCGTGTTGAGCCCCTCGATGAAGGCACGGTTGGCCATCTCACAGCGTCGAAGGGCCTTAATGCGATACGCCTCGTAGGGGGTCTGGTCCACTGCGGCAAATAGATAACGTGGGGATACACCCACAACCAGACCGCCCTTCTGGCCGAAACCGAACGAGGTGAGCATGAAGGCTCTCACTCCGCGGGTCTGGATGGACTCTGCGGGATACACAAGGTGGTCGAACTGCTGTAGAACCGAGTCCACGTTGTCCGCGTTACGATTGCCTGGCACCACTCCCGTCTGCAAGATCTGCAGGCCTCCGTTGAGCATCCATGCCCCTGCAGCGCCCTTGGGGTGGCCTGTCAGATACTTCTGGCACACGACCATGACTGGGTTACCCTTGGTGCGACCAAGATGGCTCATCATCGTGTTGATCACCTCTGATTCATTCTTATCATTGGCCTTGGTCGAGGTACCGTGGAATGAGGCCACTGCGATATCATCGACGGTGAGACCCCATACAGCCAGTGCTGCCCGAATGGGTGAGATACCAGGCTCTTGCTGTCGTAGGTCCAACCCGTAGAGATTCTGAGCCTGGCGGATCTGTGACGCCGCCGCCCTTTCGATCACCTGGGCCAGGTGTGGCGAGAGCGAACCATCCTGTCGGGCCTGCTGAAGCTGGCGAGCCGCCCCTTGCTGGATCTGCGTCCGCACCTCTTCAAACTGCTTCTGGCGGAATGTGGCATCCAGAAGGGGCGACAGCGATGTCGTGGTGGACTCACGGGCGGCTGTCAGGATTCCTTTGCCAGGGGCAGGCACGGAGCGACCGATCTTGTCGCCTGCCATCTGTGAGTATGCGACAATGCCGTAGATCGGCACTCCCATCTCGAGTGCCAGCTGCGCCGTCATGAGCACCTGCACACCGCATCCTGCTGACTCGACGAAGCCTGCACGAGAGCTGGCCGTCGGGCGGGAAATTTCCTTTGGAGTCCGACCGCGCGCAAGCTCTTCCACTGTGTTGGCCGTGGCCTTCATATTGGCGAACTCGTACGACATTTCCTCCTGCAGGTCATCTGTGCCGCCTACTAGGGCCACCTTGACCTTGCCCGCCTGGATGCCCTCACAGGCCGTGTCCAAAGATTCAATGGCAGTGGCACATGTTCCTGACGGGGACTTGATGGGACCTGCCGCCCCCATGAGCAGCATGTTAGCCCAGGCGTCCATGGCATTGGGGAACGACTCTTGCAGGATATCATTCTGCACATCACGATCGAGATACCGATCACGGTACACTCCACGCATGGCGATCAGCCCACCTGCGCCCGTGCCAATGCAGTTGGCCAGCTCCGAGACATGTATATGTCGGTACAGCTCGTAGGGGTCCTGAATGCCCGCACTCAACATGGCCTGGCACACACAGCATAAAACATACAGCGTGATCGGATCCACCTGCGACACAATATCCGCTGGGATACCGTACGCCTTTGGATCCCATCCCGTTGGCAGCTGGCCGGACACCAGTCGGTCGAATGGTTGCGCCTTGGGCACCAAGAACCGCGCCCCAGGCTTGAACTGCACATTGTACTCCTCCCCGTCTTCTCCAGCCGGCGAGATAGACACCTTGTCGCCGTGCTTCGTCTTGAATGCGGTTGCAACGGCACGTGTCGCCTGGAAGACAGGCAAGTCCTCCTGCACGACCACCTCCTGCAGGAACTCCTTTTTGGCTGGGTCGTAGCCGTCGTAGAGCTCGGGCTCGATGAAGCGCAGACCCGCGTGTTCATGGATATACTCGCCATACTTCTCCGCAAAGTCGGCTTCGTGCACAGGCTGGTTGGATTTGGCATCGACCCAACCGACGTAGGGAGATCCCTGCTGGTCGCCCTCGAAGTGCTTGACCAGACCCATGATCCAGGCCATCTCGACGTACCCTTCCGGGCTGAGATCGCCGGTCCGCTCCATATCCCAGCGGGTGCGGGCACTACCCCAGGGTCCTAGCTCAGAGTAGCCCACGACGACAATGGTCTTATTCAGGTCGATAATTTCGCGTCCAGGCAGCTGAATACATGCTGTCATCGCCTGGTAGTCCGGTAGATCTGGATGGCCGACCGTCAGATTGGCACGCGGCTTGCGTGTAGTGGGAGCAGTGGTTGGCTGTTTCGGCTCCTCTGGGCCCTTCAACAACCGCTCGTGCAGCTCGTCCTCGGCTGCGATGGCCTTGCGTGCGCGAGCCTGGTGCTGCACCTGTTTACGGGCGGCAGTCGACAACCCCTTCAGGTCAGCCAGTTGCTCCATCTTGCCACCCAGGTCCGCGTACACGGGGGCGTCCTCGCAGGCCTCCGCAATGGCGGGGGTCATGAGTGCCATGATATTCAGTGCCATCTCAGCCGACGAGAAGGTGATCACGTCTTCAGCCTCGATGGCCTCTGCGACGATGTTATTGGCGCTCATCAGCCCTGTGCCGCGGGTCCAGCCGATAACGGCGCCGCACACGGTGAGATAGTCACCCCAGCTCTCGGACTTGAAGCGGTTGAAGAGTGTTTCCAGGCCAATCTTCGACTCGGAGTAGAGCCCGTCCCCGCCGAAGGTACCGTGGTTGGGTGAGAGCGGCAGAATGACCTGCGTCGGGTTGGCTCCATATCCACGGGCCTCCTTCTGTTGCTTGATGCAGCCTAGGAGACGCAGCAGGTTAACCAGCATGGCGCGGTGGGCCACCTCTGACAGACCATCGAGTCCGTCAATCTGTCGGCCATTCTCGGAGATGGCGGCGAAGGGAATCACGCAGTCAATGTCACCGGCAGTACCCAGAGTGTCGTTGTATAAGTGAGAAATGAGGGCCTGGCAGTCCTGGCGACTGGCCTGGTTGAACGGGAAGACCGTCAAGGACGAACCCCGACCGCAAAAGTCGCGGTAAAGACTGCGGTAGAAGTCCATGTTGGAGCGACTCGTGGTGACGATGACATTGGCACCGGCTGTTAGCAGGCCGCGTGTAATCTCAGCACCGATGGACTGGGGCCCTGCGCCAGTGATGAGCACCGTCTTGCCGGCGAAGCTGATGCCGGTAGAAGTGGCGGCCTGGACAGCATCGAGGTAGTTGGACGTGAGGGCATCGTGGTATTTCCAGCCACTGCCGATGGGACGACAAAGGCGCACGAAAGGCAGACTGTCAGTACTGGGGGCATCGAAGCGGCTTCCGCGCTTGAGCAGCTCGACGTATTTATCTGGGCGTCCACCAATGGTGCGTGGGATCTCTTCGTATTCGATAACTCCCTTGGGGGTGACGGTGGTGCGAGGTCCCAGAGGTGGCAGCCGGTGGATAAAGACGGAGTCTCCCTGGAGTGCGTCACGATAGCCCTGGAACAGCTGCTCCAAGGGCTGGATCTGCAGCTGCTTGTCGCCGTGGCGTAGTGGGTGGGCAATGTGATACTTGACTAGGTCGAAGGCGCTGGGATTCGAGCGGTTCAGCACCTGCCAGATCTTCTCCTCGTTCGAAGTGCTACCAGGTCCTAACAGCAACGAGGCGATATCCACGCGAGCCCAGTTCCACCAGGCGTCATAGCTGCGACCGCGCTGGGGGTTGAAGATGGGTGAGATGCGAGTCAAAAAGCCATCACCAAACTCCGCTTGCCAGGCTTCCAACTTCTGGTCGGCTTCCTGCCACAGCTCCTCGCTGTGCGCTAGCTTCTGGACCAGCTCATCGCCATCGCTATCCAGCATCTTTCCGAGTGCCAAATGGAGCTGCTTGAAAGCGTCGTTCTGTTCCGTGCGCAGCCGTTCCAGCTCCTTGGAGTCTATCATGGCACCACCAGCGGCAGCACCTCCGCCAGCAGATGCTGCAGCTGGGCTAATAGTAATGCCACAATGACGTCCGTACCGGGCCACGACACTGTCAACGAATTCTTTGGCTGCCTGGGGGCTCTCCAGCCGGGCAGAGGGGTCCAGGCTGACGGAATAGCAGAGCACAGCTGTCTGGCGCTGTGATCCTAGCCCCCAGTGTGTCTCAAGGTGACTGCGGATGCTGTTCTGGTTCCATCCAGCTGGGAACCTGGCCGAGATTAAGCGGGCGATGAGTGCAGACATGACTTTGCCAGGACGGCCGGTGAAGCTGCCTTCGAGGGCTGCCCCAACAGCTTCGAGGGGAAGATCTTCGCAGCCGTCAGGTGTACCACCGAATTCAGCCACAAGATCGCCAATAAGTTCGTTCTGTAGCGTAGATTTACCTGGACAGCGTTAGACTGGGAATTGTTGGAGGACTCATGTCGGACGGTCTTACCTCCAGACAGGTCCCGAATGCATTTCTGTAGGGGCACCTGGTCAAATGGCTGCTTCAGCTTCTGGGCACTCAGGGCCAGCACAATATCCAGTGCAGATGCTGGCACATCGTCGACTGCGACTGCCGCTGCGACTGGAGCAGCAGCTACAGGAGCGACGGGGGCAGCAGCGGCCACGGCAACCGGTGCTGGGGCAGCAGGGGCAGGTTGAGCCTCTGGGGTGGCGACTGGTTGTGACTCCTCATATTCATAGCATATCTGGGCGTAGTCATCACTATGGGAGAGGAACTGCCGGCGAATCAGACGCAGCTGGTCCTGCAGCTGGTGATTGCGGGCAACCGTCTTCTTGCCCATGGTGGATAACACCTTGGCTGGGCCAACCTCCACGTACCGCTCCACGGCCTCATCTCGTGTGAAGAACTGTTTCTGTGTATCAATCCTGATAAAGTCAGTGGCGAACTTGCAACTAAAGTATAGGAATGACACTCACCATTGAACCGGAAAAGCAAATTGGTAGCTAGTCAGGTTACGTTAGCTGACAACCCTTTGGAATCCAGCCTAGTGAGACACTTACGCCAGAAGCTCAATGAGCAGTGTTCGTGCCAGAGCACGTCGCTCATGCTCCGACTCTGGGAGTGATTGAATCGGCTCTCCCATCTTGTATTGTGTAATGTGTGGTGATCAGAAAACGACGATGGACATCGCGAAGGGGGATATGAGGGTTGTGGTACGAAAATGCTGCTCATATAGATGTCTCTCTATTCCACGCGGACAGCATTAATCCGATCTGATTATCTTTGGCCACTCGCCGAGCACTGTCGCCTTCGCAGATGTCCGAGGGACCCCGGGGGTTTCGGCGCATCAGCATGGAAGAAGGAGGGTTGGCCCGGCGGCCGATGCCCGACGGCAGGATTCGAGGGATTTACAGCCCCCAATTGCACCAGGAGACATTTTCTGCAGTTGAAGATGCGTCAGACAGTTCTATGTATGAGATGTCTACTATGTAGCTTATATACGAGGTATTCCATCAAGCTGGCACAGTCATCTTAATTTACGACCTTCAATCCCCTATTCCCACATCAAAGTAATATCACCATCACTATGCCCGACATCGCATCCAACGGTGCCCGCAACGGCGCCTCCCAGAATGCAGAGACCAAGCCAGAACCCCCCGTTCTCCATGTGGTAGACAGCCGCACGGGGAAGTACTTCCCCATCCCTATCGTGCGCAACGCCATCAACGCAAGCGAATTCAAGAAACTCAAGTCCCCCGAGGATCCCGCACATCCTGAAGATCAGAACGAGCAGGGCATCCGGGTGTTTGACCCCGGATACTCCAACACGGCTGTTAGTGAGAGCCAGGTTACCTACATGTGCGTTTTCTCTGCTGCATAGGATTGATCATGGCGAAGAGTAACTGATAACGGGGCGCAGCGATGGCCTGAAGGGAACCATCCAGTACCGTGGTTACAACATCGAGGATATTGTGGGCAAGAAGAAGTTTATTGACACGGCACACCTGCTCATTTGGGGAGAATGGCCGACGCCGGAACAGGCCAAATCTCTGCAGGAGAAGCTCTCCAGCGTACCTGTCCTGGATGAATCCGTCTTCAAAGTCATTCAGGCATTCCCGTAAGTTTCACCCTAGTTTTAGCCTCTAGTCCTTTCCCCCACGGTCTAACGGCTCCAGTCCCAACTCGTCCATTATCGGCATGATGATCGCCGCTCTGTCAGCTGTCCAGAGTACCCAGATGGATCGCATCCCCGCCCATGCGGCCAAGAACCTCTACTTGGGCAATCCTAAGGCCGTCGATGATGAGATCGTCCGTCTGATGGGCTCGCTGTCCATGATCACCGCTGCTGTCTACTGCCACCATACCGGACGGGAATTTACCCCGCCACGTCCGGAACTTTCCTACATCGAGAACTTCCTGTTGATGATGGGCCACGTCGAGTCTAGCACAGGACTGCCCAACCCCCAGTACGTCGACCGCATTGAGCGTCTCTGGGTCCTCATTGCCGATCACGAGATGACCTGCTCGACTGCCGCGTTCTTGCAGACAGCCTCCTCCCTGCCGGATGTATTCTCCTGTATGATCTCCGCACTGTCGGCGCTCTATGGTCCGCTGCATGGTGGGGCCATTGAGGTAGCTTACAAAAATTTCGAGGAGATTGGCTCGGTTGAGAACGTCGCGGCCAAGATAGAACGTGTCAAGGCCGGTAAGGAGCGTCTGTACGGCTACGGTCACCGCATCTACCGCGTCACAGACCCGCGCTTCATCTTCATCCGCCAGATCTTAGACGAGTTGAAGGAAGAGATCGCCCGGAACCCGCTGCTGAAGGTGGCGTTTGAGGTGGACCGCGTCGCCTCGGAGGATGAATACTTTGTCACCCGGAAGCTACGGCCCAACGCCGATCTCTTTGCGGCGCTTGTGTATAGTGCCATGTAGGCCTTCCGTGAAGTAGTGGTTTCAGACATCAGACCCGCTAACGCATTGGGAATAGGGGCTTCCCGACTGAGTTTATTCTACCGTTGTCGCTGTTGTCCCGCACGCAGGGATTCATGGCCCACTGGAAAGAAGCCATGTGTAAGTGGCCCATTTTGCCACTGCGTGTCCCACTCTGAGACTAACGATGTGACAGCGAGCACGGCACGTATCTGGCGGCCCGGCCAGATCTACACCGGACACTTGAACCGCGAGATGGCGTAGGTCTAGGCAGTTTCGCTCTCATCGGTGAGACAATCTTAGCGTAAACCGGTCAATAGCATCAGTAAAGCTAGGACTAAAACGCATGCAAGCCGACAGACCACCTGGGCCAGGCGTCGGAATGTTTCCGGCCTTCGTCTGATGAAGGTATGATATGACTGAGACATGCATTTCCTCGAGATCACATGGAATGTGGATAGGATGGCGTCTATGAGATAAGGTCTGCAGATAGCAAATAGAATGGCCAATGGCTAGATTGTGAAAGTCTTAGACTTTCCACTAAACTCAGCGTAGCGAGGGCGACTCTGACATAAAGTACGAGGTAAATTTATGTATTTGCGTGATTCGAAAATCAAACCTGGTGATATCTTCACGGCAGATGGTTCGCTGCCTCCAGAACAATGGATCCATGCCCATGATGAATGTCAGCCTCAAGTGCGACAACCGATGTGCCAGTCCAATGCTGTTGTCTTGTTCTCGGGCAGGTAGGACCGGGGGTATTGATAGCGGCATCCTCCGTGACAGGTGGCATCCCTGCCCTATAGAATCACTGCAGTATGCATGGACTGAAGTAGCCTATTGGCGAGATTCGTAATCATCCGGTTAGGCCCAGCTAGAAGTACCGCCTCGTATTCTCCTGCATGCATCTTATCACACTATCCACATCTGGAATTGAAGCTCCGAGCCTGGACATCACTTCCTCATCCGGCTGAAGGGCGCCCTAGTCTCACTCTCAAGCAACCGTTTTTTGATGCATGGCATGTCACCGGCTGACTCTATTGGGGAACTCCTCGCTGCCTATAGCGGTTCCAGCCGAGATCTTCAAGATTTGACTTTGGTCTGTTGCTTGGCCGTTCTTCACAGCTAGACGGCTTTTGCGGATCGACGCGGGAGTGGTAGTCGCGCGTCAAAGTTACTTAGACGCCCCTGTTTCACCTGAGACGATGTTTGACAGGCCACGATGCATGATCGACAGTGTCTTAAGTGACTACCTTATCTAACTTTCTTTGCAGTCAACGGAGACTCATCAGTGATCGGCATTGGGCGTGCTGGTCGGTGGGTCGCTGGTGCTTTGGCGACTTCTCTGGCCATCTCGTGTCTGTCAGGTATCGCTGCTCCTAGGTGATTGATAATACAGCAAGGTTGCAGAGCTCCTTCCGCTGATACCGAACAGATAGAGAGTCTCACTTATTTCCGAGGACCGCAATCTCCATATCCGAAATGGTGTTAGGGGCGCAGCTGCAAGTGAGCCATCGGGGCCGCTTTTCTGCTAGCGAGCGGGAGGAGAGGCGATGCGGTTATTCAGCAGACGACACTAGTGAGTTAGTGGCTCTTAGTTAGACCACCCTAGTGAGTCGCTTCTGAAGATTGCAGAACTCACCCTATAGGAAGGGGAGGAATGAGGAGATGGCACTGGCAGGATTGCCAGGCCCACCACCCACGCTGCCGGTCCCTCAATCACCCACCAGTGCTTAGCACGACACCACCAGCCTGAAGGTGGAAAGAGGGCCGGACTGGTGTCAAGCAGACTAACGTGCTATCGGTAGATTATGCAGGAAGGTGATATTAGATTGCTGAAGGGCTTCCTTCCTCTTCCTGCTAGCAGCGAGTGACAAATTCAGCGTAATCTCCAACGTGGGAATGGAATGGCGACTGGTTGGATTAGGATACGAGGTCACTAAGACCCCCAGACGCCCTAACCAGAACTTCGGCTTCACGACGGCCCTTCCTTTCCCCAGCGGTCCGAAACTAGACCCACCTGGTGATGGCTTGTTGTCGATCCCTCCAGAGCTAGTGCAGTTTTGCAAGAATCACCTTCAGCAATTTGGTCTACGCCTGAGGGAGGGAATAAAGAGAGGATGGGAGGATTCCCTTGGCGAGCATGCAGTCAGCGTGAGCTGATCCCATTCACATGTTTTCTCCGAAATTCGCACCCGGGATAGCAAAATAACCGATCTTGATATCTGACTAAACTTGTATATAAGCAGAGTGAATAACTAGGCCTTCTGGGTACCACTCTGAATAAGCGGATATCAGCAATCGAGTAAGCCGTTGCCGCTGTGTGGACCAACGATGCATTAGCAACAGGGGTTGAATTGTAATCTGAAACCTCGTACTCCCTACCTGCCACATGCAAAATGTTAGTCGTAATATCCCCCATTTTGTCAGGATGGGAGTCTGACATAGGATAAGCTCCGGGACAGAGGGTACCACAACGGGAAAGGTTGGCGGGGGAGAGGATGAGACGATCCTGCAGGAGACACAATGGTCGTTGGTCCTAGCTGAGAATTGCCTGGTTCTGACTGGCCAGGTCGCATGGTCAGGGGCGATGTTCCATTTGATGTGGATTCGCTGCATCGGCAAGCGTTCATTTTGGACCGCGTCCGTCACTGGTGACTGGAGCCTCTCACAAAAGAACGTCAGCAACAGTTCCCGGAGCCGCTCCATCAGATAATGACGGTCCGCTGGGTCTAGCCACTGCCAATCGATCGATCTACCTCGTGGCGCCACGCCTGCTAAAGGCGGCAGATCGTCGACCACAGGTCCAGACGTCTTTTGGAGACTGGATCGTTGGGTGATGCTGTCGCTGGGACATTTTGCTCCGATATCTCCAACGATCGCATCCTGAGCCGGAAGCACCTCCAATTTTGCCTGACGCTGGGATCTTCATCTTATCCATCTCACAGCAGCGGGCGTCCTAGTTGGCCCCCAAAGCGACCTTCTCTGGGGTCGGAAAATGGAACCTGCACAGAGGTGACAGGGGCGAATAATGGAATTGACGAACGATTGCAAGCAATTTAGCAAACCAACGTCCGGCTGAGTAAGATGGAGATTCTAGGTAGCTAACGTAGTAACACGACACGTAACTCTTCCAGAGCTTGAGGGATGTAGCAGGTTGCAGCAGCCTGGCTACATCCCTGCGCGAAGGTCAGCCACCCCTGTCGATGAAGATGCGAACGCGCATGTCTCGGGTGGAAATACCACGCTGAGGACTTGCCCATTATGGGTTAATTCCGACATCCGAATCATAATATTAACTTAACAGGCTTCACGGCTCGTTTGGCTTTCCTGCTCTGGTGTTGCCACTCGGGAGGATGCAGCCTGGGAGAATTCAACATCCGGACCAGTGCGGGTAAGCGCCATGTCTATCACGGAGCGATGGATGCGCCACGCGGAAAAAGACAGGTTGAAAACACACGGACGCACCTTCCTGCCAGTGGGTCGAGGCTATAGCACCCTGAGATTATGAAAGACCATTCCTCCTCCGCCGGGTCCTCTTCAGCAGATATTGCTATCGACCGTGCCAAGCGCAGGATCCTAAAGACAGGATTATCCCCTCAAGCACGCTGAGCCATCAGAGGCTAACAGTCGTCCCGCTGAGGTCAGCGCTAGGAATCCTCCGCCCACCAGGATCTCCTTCTCCCAGGCGCCATCCAAGAGAATGAGGAAGCTTGATGAGCCTGGTGTGACGCTGGAGGAGGTGGGAGTGGCCCTCTCCCGATAACGGCCCGCGGGTCCAAGTGGTCATGGCGTGCTGCCCAGAGATACCTTCGGTCTTGGTATATCAGCCGGTGCATGGCCTGTTCAGCGGGCCCCCAAGTGTCAGGTACACGGTAGCCAAGCTCTCCTCGTATTCCCTGAATCAGTGCGTCGTAAATCATCGATCCTTTTGCCTGAGCGTGGCCAACCAAGTAGCTGGCAACCTGTGCGAGCATCATGGCTACTCCCCGCGCATCAAGCGTGTCCGTCCAGAAGAATCGACCCCGCCAGACCGGGTCGCTGAGCCCAGCGTGTGATGAGTGTCGAATCCGCAAAGTGCGCTGCAATAAAGAGTATCCCAAGTGCTCAAGCTGTCGGGCGTCCAATCTGCCCTGTGAATTCTCCAACAAGGGCAAGCGCATCAACCATACCAAGAAATTGTAAGTGGCCCCTCTCTTTCCCCCTCATGGTCCGTGCCGCCTGGGTGGGATGTGATCGCGAGTTCCCTGTCTAACAAGCTTTTCCTATAGAGTGAATGATGTGGAGCTCCTGGGCAGTCGTTTGGGCAAGATTGAAGAGGCTCTCTTTCGCTGTTTGTCCGTGGTTGAAGCTGCCAACACCCCGCGATACGGCACTCCATCTCAACCCGCTTCTCGACCAGATTCAGAGGGTAATGAAGACCGAGAAGAGTCTCGCCGCGGCTCGGTCGACTCTGAGGATAGCTGGTCGGATGGCTCGTCCGATCCGCTCGCTCGCGGTGAACGAGATCCGCAAGCAGATCCAATGCACTACAGCAGTCCGGTAGCATCGCTCTACTTTGAGGCACAAGCTGCGAGCATCCAGCTGATGTCGTCAATATCATCAACGGAGAACGGTTCCAACCCAGCGAGTCCGCGTGGGCGCGAGGGTCTGTCCCCGTCGACGCCTCTGGGAGGGTATCTGTCGGACGCCAGCGAGCTCTTCCAGCAGCTGGCCACGGGTCCTCCGCCTGTCTCTGAGCCCAAGTACGATGATCTCCCACCAGCATTGCCCCCGCGAACCTTGCTAGAAGGCTTCGTGGAAGCATACTTCACCGACCTAAACCCTTTCCTCCCTCTCTATGATCGACAAAGCGTGCTTGATGCCATTGAGCAGCAGTATGGGCCGCGAAGCGATGGCCCCGACCTGGCCTGGGTATGTTCATTCAATAGCATCCTACTGCACACCCTCGAGGCCAAGTCGAGTGCCGCACGGCCAGGGGGACACACGGGAGACAGTACCCTGGAGCGAGGGTTGGTGGTCCATCTTCTGCTCAATGCGCGCCGCTGTTACAATAACTTTGAGCGCCTTCTGCAACCACGTCTCGCCAACGTCCAGAGCCTGTTCAGTATGGTAGGCTCCAATCTCCCATCCGCCCAACTTAGACCTCATTCTCACATATGCAGGCACTGGTAGCACTCCGATACTTCAGCTTCACAATGTTTGAGACGGTATTTGCGCAGGCTTGTCAGTTGGCCCGCACCATCGGGCTGCACCAGACGGCCGCAGGGGCTCCCCAGGAAGCAGAGCGGCGCCACCTCTTCTGGTGCCTGTTCATCATCGATGTTAGTGTTCCCTCCCACTATTATACAAAGGCTTTGACTGACTGAACATAAAGAAACATGCGGCCTTGGCGGTTGGCAAGCCGTGTCTGCTCCCTTCTTATGCCTGTGCTATCCCAATTCCCAGCTCCAAGTGCGGGTCACTCATCGAGGACCAGTTCACGGCACGGATAATGCTGGCCACCATCCTCGAGGAGATGTATCGTCGGCTACATTCAGCCCGCAGCACGCGGCGTGGCCGCGAGCAAATCTCCCGCCGTGCTAGCCAGCTTGCCCGCCGCTTGGAGGACTGGGCGGTACAGCACGAACATGCCCTGCATCCGACGGGCACGCCAGAGGCGTCCCAGGTGCTGGCAGCCGCGGAACTGCAGTATGCGCTGTATATCAGCCGAGTTCTCGTGCAACGGCGCATTAATGGGCCGGAAAGCCGGTCCCTTCGATACAGTCATGCTCGCACAGGTCTGCAGTTGCTCCAGAAGCTGTGCAATGGTGACCACCTGGGAGGACGTCGCGTTGGCTATGCCATGTTCGCCAGGTAGGTCTGCTGCTCGGCAGACTGTCCGCTCCTAGGCCACACATACTAACTCTTTGCCAGTGTCACCCTCAACTACTCCCTCATCCTCTTCCTGGAAGTGTACATTCAGGTGCTGCAGGATCACCCCCGGGCGGATGCGTCGGATGTGGCGCTGCTGACATCCTTTGCGGCGCGCGCGGACATTCTGGCCGCACAGACAACCGCGACGTCGTATACGGCCCGAGTGCGCGAGGTCAGTGCTCTCTGCTGTCAAGTCGTCACTCGGCTCCACCAGCCCCTCGAAGGGGCCGAGTCCCAGGTGGATCAGCCGGCAATGCCGGACCCTTTCTGGGATCTGAGTGCCATGACAGCCGATGCTGGGTGGGACACGACACCGGCAACGCCCCAGTTTCCTAGTAATCTGTCAGCCCAGCCGGATCCTTCTTTCTTCCTTGATGCGGGAGGCTCCGTTGGACCGGGCTTCTCGCTGGGCGGTCCCATCTTCACGGATGGTGGGCCGGTCATGTTTGACAATCTACTGGACTCATTTGCTGGCCCGGACACTGCGTTGGGATTGATGCAGTGAATGATCTCGTTCTGTTTTGACGCTTACGATGTTACGCTGTTACTTGAATTTTTTTCTCGCATTGGATCTGATTACTGGGATTCCGCATTGCAAGGTTGGCTGGCACTGTTATTTTGTTTGATTGCATGATTGTATTGTGATAGATAGATCGATAGATAGATCGCTTAGACATAAACATAAACCACATATTCATCAGAAGTCTCCAATATAGAATAATCTCCTTCCATTCCTCGGTTACAAACTGAAAAGGTTCACAAAATGGCATGCTGGTAGCGACATAAACTCCTCCGATGCCACCGTCTTCAGGATCTGCTGGACTCTATCTGTCGACAGTCGAAGACCCAGATTCCGCTCTGATTTTGCGTAAACCTCCTGCGGCGTCTCCGGGCGTCGGACATGTCCCAGTGGATATTCTACCAACACTTCAGGCAGCGTCGTGCCGTCCGTCAGGGTGACAGTGAGCGAATTCGCCACACTGCGCACCGCCATATCATGATAATCGGCTGTGTATTTGGGGTCTTCTGCCATGGTGATCTTCTGGCGCAGGGCATCGACGCGCGGGTCCGTCGCCCAGGGACTGTCGTCCTGGTAGTCGGCCGTCTCGACCTGCGCTCCCTTCAGCAGCACCACAGCGACCATGTACCGCAGGCAGTGGTCACGATCTGCGGCGTTATGCAAAGTTGCGCCGCCCTTGTTGATGATCGTCATACCAGCAGCCTGGGTCTTGGCGTGGATTGACTGGATATCCTTGGCTGGGTCAAGTCCACGCGCCCGCAGGGTATTGGCGATCTCCAGCGCGGCTTCCACTGCCGTCATTCCATGGCCCTCGGCCGTGTTCACCTTAAACAGCACCGTTTCAATGACCCAGGTGCCAAATGGCTGGGGGAGATCGAATTCCTGGCCCTTGAACAGTACATCGTAGAAACCCCAGCGGGGCGTGGTCAGCACCGTGTTGGCACCTGGTTGTCCGGCCTTGGCTAGTAGTGCGAGATGCACAGCCCGCATGCAAGCATCACCCGCTGCCCAGCCCTTGCGCGGACCGGTGTTGGGTGCCTGGCGGTACACGCGCAGTGGGTGGCCGTCCATCCAGGCGTGAGATACGGCACTAAGGGCTTGCTCGCGGGGAAGATCTAGCAGCCAGGCCGACACGGCGGTCGCGCCAATCTTGACCAGGATGGTGTGGTCCAACCCGACTTTGTTGAAGGCATTCTTGATCTGGAAGCAGCCCTGAATCTCATACGCCTTGATCAGGGCCTCCAGAACCTGCTGCATTGTCACGATGCTGTCGGGGTCGCCCTCTGCCAGGGCTACACGGCTGCGGACATCTGCGACGGCCAGGATGGCACCAAGGTTATCTAAATCAATATTGTTAGTGTATGTGACTTGACAGTCGCTAGAGTGGTCTGTAGCTCACCCGAGGGATGCCCCCATTCTGCACCGGGAAAGGCATCATTGTGGTCGAGGTAGCGGATCATGGCCCCCAGATCAAAGGCTCCCTTGAGAATATCCAGCTGGTAGGCTGTTCCCGGTAACCGGAACAAACCCGAGGTGGCTGGGGCGATGGGGAACGCCGGTCCAACGAGCTGTGCACATTGGGGACTGGTATGGATACTCTCGAGGGCAGCTCCAAGAGCATCCATCAAGGCGACCTTGGCCCGCGCCCAGGCATTATCGGTGGCGATCTGGTAGTCGTAAACATAGTCGACGATGGCCTGGATCACAGCATCGTAGGGCTTGCGCGAGTTGTCGTCGGCGGCAGGAATGACAGTCATGCTGGACGGGCAATGATTGGAAGATAAGAGAGCGCACTAGATCTTCTCTCTCCTCTTCCTTTCAATGAGGAATCATTTCTTGCCTTTCAAGTACTTTATGAAATGTTGCATTCAGGGCTGTGGCGGGCCGGATCTTGCATCCTGGCGTGGTTCGGGTTTCGGCCGCCGGATGAGACTCTGCAGCAACACCGAATCAATTGCGGAGATGCTTTGGCTGCCGAACAGCTTTCAATCGGCAGGATTTGGTCTGTCTGACTCAGCTATCGAAGCAATGTGAGACAACGAAGTGAGTCTTATAATCGACCTCAAAAGCTATCTATCTCTGGCCTCTTCTTCTTGCCCAGGTCGTTGTTATCCCGACCAAATGTCGCCCTAGTCACCCACCATGACTGCGACAACCGAGCTTCATCCCAACCCTTCACCCTCGCCTGCTGGGGATGTGCCATCCGTGGCTTTTACCCTCGAGCATGGCGAGGTCACTGCCGCACTGTCTGTGAGTAGTGCTGTGGCCACCACACTGCAGCCCTACCGCGCCAGCTGGCTGGCCGACGACACCATCTCTCCCCTCAGTCTAACGCTGTCCTTCCTCGGCCATTTGACCCGCCAAAAGGCCCCTTTATCAGCAGTCCAGACCGCTGTGAGGGCCTTTGAAACTCAGTATCTCGGAGGCATTGACATCCACACGGCTGTCACTATCCTGCCAGACGCCCTTGGTGCCAAAAAGACTGCCCTGCGAGATTACTATGCCGCCGCAGCCTATACCGGTCAGCCCTTATCCAACTCACCCAGTGCCTTGTTCAAATCCGCCCAGACAGGCACCTCACGCATCACAACAATCTTTGGCGGCCAAGGAACGGCCAATCCATCGTGTGTGCGCGAGTTACGGTCTCTCTATACCACCTACCGCCCCATACTCACTCAGCTCATGCAAGAATGTGGCCCTGTCCTGTCCTCTCTGTCCCAGCGCCCGGACACACAGTCCTACTTTCGCGGTCGTATTATCGACTTGAATTCCTGGCTGGCCGGCGCAACAACCCTCAATGAGGACTTTGTCAGCGCTGCGCCTGTCAGCCTGCCCATTCTAGGACTCTTCGACCTGGCCCACTACTGCGTCATCTCCAGTGTTTTGGGTCAGACCCCCGGGCAAGTGGCTACTTCGATGCATGCCATCTCTGGCCATTCCCAGGGCATTGTTGTTGCCGCTGCTGTGGCTCGTGCCGACTCGTGGACATCGTTCTACGACAACGCCCGGCTGGCTGTCGAGCTGCTGTTCTGGATTGGCTTTGAGAGTCACCAAGATGCGCCTCAGTTGTTCATCGCGCCCGACCTTGTTGAGCAAACCAAGGAACAAGGGCATGGAGTTCCTTCGCCAATGCTCTCCGTGCGAGGACTTGAGCGGCCAGCACTGGAAAAGCTTCTCGCCCAGTGTAATCAGGTTCTCCCTGAGTCGCGCCAGCTGCATATCGCCCTCATTAATGCCCGCACAAACCACATCGTCGCTGGTCCTGCAGCGTCACTGTGCGGTCTCAGTCATATTCTCGCCGAGCTGCAAGCCGCTGGGGAGAAGGATCAGACTCGCATCCCCTTCAGCCAACGCAAGCCCGCCGTCACGCACTCCTTCCTCCCCATCAGCACTCCTTTCCATACCCCCTACCTGCAGGCAGCCTCCCAGCGCATTAAGGAGCGGCTTGCCGATCGCGCATTTTCCGCAGACCAGCTACAAGTTCCTGTCTTGCACACCGCGACGGGTGAGGATCTACGAGTTAACCCTCAGTCCAATGTCATTGAAGCCCTCGTGGATGCGATCACCACCGAGCCCGTTGACTTCCCCCGTCTGTTGGCCGACGCAACCACCACCCACTTTCTCGTTCTCGGGGCTGGTCGCCTCAGCGAATTAGTCAAGCAAATCAGACAAGGGTATGGCCAGCAGATCATCGCCGCCAGCGAGCTCAAGCCTTCCAGTGCCGACATCGGTAGCCAGGCTGACCTCTTTGCACCAACCCTCCGCCCGGCTCCTTCATCCTGGGCGGACGCCTATCAACCTCGCCTGGTGCAAACAGCCAACGGCCGGTTGATCCTCGATACGAAACTCAGTCGCCTGCTGCAGGTACCCCCGATCATCACCGCGGGTATGACGCCCACTACCGTGCCCTGGGACTTCGTGGCAGCTGTCATCAACGCTGGTTATTTTATCGAGCTGGCCGGCGGAGGCTACCACACCGAAGACGAGATGCGGGTCGCCATCGAGAAGATCGCTGCCGCCATTCCTCCTGGCCGCGGCATTACCTGCAATCTCATCTACGTCAATCCCAAGGCGATCGCCTGGCAGACACGGCTGATCCGCAAGCTCATCCGCCAAGGAGTACCCATTGATGGGCTTACTATCGGTGCCGGTGTGCCGTCGCTCGAGGTTGCTCGCGAGTACATCGACGACCTTGGCATCAAGCACATCTCCTTCAAGCCTGGATCGGTCGATGCCATCAACGCTGTGCTGCAGATCGCTGATGACCGACCCGACTTCCCCATCGGGCTCCAGTGGACCGGTGGCCGGGGAGGCGGCCATCACTCGTATGAGGACTTCCACGCGCCCATCCTGGCCACCTACGCGGAAATTCGCAAGCGTGACAACATCTGCCTCGTTGCCGGCAGTGGATTTGGTGCTGGAGATGATACCTACCCTTACCTGACCGGCCAGTGGTCAGTTGCTCGGGGCTACCCCGCCATGCCGTTTGACGGTATTTTGTTGGGCAGCCGCATGATGCTCTGTCGCGAAGCCCACACCAGTCCAGCAGTAAAGCAGCTGCTCGCCACCACACCTGGTGTTCCTGATGGCGAGTGGGAGAAGAGCTACAAAGGCAGCGCTGGCGGCATCATTACAGTTCGATCGGAAATGGGCCAGCCCATCCACAAGGTGGCCACGCGAGGAGTCCGGCTGTGGGCCGACTTTGACCAGACGCTGTTCCGCCACCCTCGTCCGAAGATGGTGGAGGAGCTGGCCAAGCGCAAGACTGAAATCATTGCCCGGCTGAACAAGGATTATGCCAAACCCTGGTTTGGTCAGGATGCCCGTGGACAGCCGATTGACCTGGCAGACATGACTTATGCCGGAGTGCTGGCCCGCATGGTTGAGCTGATGTATGTGGCCCATCAGCAGCGCTGGATCCATCCGTCATACCAGCGCCTGGTGTCAGATGTGGCGGTACGCACCCTCGAACGTGTCGCTCCGTCCGTGGAACTGAGCCTCGATCTGCTGGATGCACCAGCTACTTTCCTGCAGGTGCTGTCCGAGAAGTGTCCAGCTGCTGCCACGCAACGCCTGCATCCCGACGATGCGGCTTTCTTCCTGCGGCGCTGCCAGGCGCGTGGCCAGAAGCCTGTCAATTTCATTCCGATTCTGGACGAGAACTTCGAAACATGGTTCAAGAAGGATTCGTTGTGGCAGTCAGAGGACCTGGAGGCCGTCGTAGGGCAGGATCCTGAGCGCGTGTGCATCTTGCATGGCCCTGTCGCCGTCCGCTATGCCACCGACAAGGACGAGTCAGCCCAGGAGATCCTCGACGGCATCGCGACCACTCATACCCACGCGGCGCTGCAGGACTTTTACCAGGGTGATCTCCAACGAGTGCCTAAAGTCGTTGATGCAACTGCCGCCACCTCCCATACCCAGCCCGAATCTTCGTATGATGTGAGCTCCCTGGATCTGGTGACAGACAACTCTTTTAGCTGGGTACGTGACCTTCTCGAGACGCCTACTATCATCCGCGAAGGCATCCGCAAGAAGAACCCATTCCGCAGCATCCTGGCCGTAAAGCCAGGTCAGAAGCTGGTCGTCAATCACGCGGAGCAGCGCATCGTACTCTGTGAGAGGAGCACGGAACAGCCAGTGATCAGCATTCAAAGCGATGGTACCCGGACCATTTCTGTGGACCTTCATCAGCCCAGCAGCTTTACCGCTGCCCCTGCAGTCCTCTCACTCCAGTACAAGGCTCGTTCCACTGGACTCTCTCCGGCGCTGGAGGAGGTTGTAGACGGACGCAATGACCGCATCAAGACCTTCTACCGCAACCTTTGGCTGGGAGAGGCGACAGACCCTACCAAGGATAGCCACTCCACCTTCCACGGACCTGAGATAACCCTCACTCGCGACCTGCTCGAGGACATGTACCGGACTTTGGGTCTTTCGCCGACGGGCATCCGACCGCAATCTCTGCCCATGGACATTGCCATTGTGATCGCCTGGGAACCGCTGGTCGAGCCGCTTGTCTGCGCGGGAGTTGAAGGGGATCTGCTGCGACTCGTGCACCGCTCCAACGACATTGACTATGTGCCCTCCGCTACACCTTTCCAGGTCGGCGATGTCCTGCGCTCGAGTAGCCAGATCCAGTCCATCACCATTGAGCCGACGGGCAAGTCGATCGTTGTGAAGGCCACCATTGAGCGGGCCGGAGGACCCATCGCCTTCGTCACCTCCACCTTCTTTATGCGCGGCACCTACACCGACTATGCCTCCTGCTTTGAACGCATCACCGAACCGGAGACCATGCTCGAGGTCTCTACTCCCGTAGATGAGGAGCTGCTGCGATCCCGACCGTGGCTTCAGTTGGATGAACCCACGACCCCGCTCGTCGGCAAGACGCTCTGCTTCCGACTGGAGACATCCATCGACTGGAAGGATCAAACGACCTTCCAGACACTTCAAACGAGCGGTACTGTCTCCCTCCGCTCCTGGAACGGCAAGCAAACGCCCATCGGTCGGGTCTCCTTCGAAGCTCGCGACGGCAAGGCCAATCCGGTGTCGGACTTCCTACGTCGACGTGGTCAGCCACTGGTCGCTCGCAAGCCGCTTGAGGTCACTCAAGAGCTAAACCAGGCCTCGGAGGGCGTGCAGATTCCCGCATCCAACGCGGGCTACAGTACCTTCTCCAAGGACTTCAATCCCATTCACATCTCGTCTGAGTTTGCACAGTATGTTGAGTTGCCTGGCACTATCACTCATGGCATGTACACGTCAGCTGTGGTACGCGCAGTCGCTGAGCGCTGTGCGGCGCAGGGTGATCTTACACGTTTCCGCCGTTGGGCCTGCTCGTTTGTCGGCATGGTGCTGCCGAGCGATCAGCTGGAAGTGCGCGTACAGCACGTCGCTATGATTGAGGGACGATTGCTGCTGAACGTGACGGCCGTCAAGGCTGGGACAGATGAAGCGGTCATCCAGGCGGAGGCCGAGGTGGATCAGCCCTCGACGGTGTATGTCTTTACCGGACAGGGCAGCCAGTCGCCAGGCATGGGGATGAGCCTGTACAAATCCAGTGCGGCTGCCCGGGCCATCTGGGACGCAGCGGACAAGTTCTTCATTGAGACCTACGGTATGTAATACCCCTTGTTTTTCTGTATCCCCTCTAGCAAGCTAATAATGGCACTCAGGATGGTCGGTTCTTGAGCTCGTCCGCCAGAATCCAACAGCTTTGACGGTGCACTTCCGGGGCAAACGCGGACGTCAGATCAAGGCCAACTATATGGCCATGACTATCGATGCATACAGGGCCGATGGAACGTTGGTGAAGGAGCCCATCCTTCCGGAACTCACGCCCAAGTCCACTTCATACACATTTGCGGATCCGCGCGGTTTGGTGTTCTCGACGCAGTTTGCACAGCCTCTGGTCTTGTTGTTGGAGCGCGCGGCAGTCGAGGATCTCCGCCAGCGGGGAGTAGTTCAGGGGGATGCTGCGTTTGCAGGACACTCCCTGGGCGAATATGGAGCATTGGCATCGTTTGGCGAGTTTATGCCCTTCACGGATCTCCTGCGCGTGGTGTTCTATCGGGGTTTGGCCATGCAGGTGGCCATTGAGCGCGATGATCAGGGACGGACGAACTTTTCCATGGCGGCGGTGAATCCGGCTCGTGTGGGCAAGTGTGAGTAACCATTGATACTCTCCTGCGTGGATGTGGGGTTTACCGTGAATGCTGACATGCGGTTTAGTCTTCACGGAGAAGGCATTGCGGCAGATTGTGACACAGATCGCTACGACAACGCACGCCCTGCTCGAGATTGTCAACTTCAATGTCGATGGCGAGCAATATGTGTGTGCTGGGACGGTGAGTTCTCTTTCCCCCATAACGAGGTTGGTTCTTTCGCTCATGATATCAGCTCGAGAACCTCCATGCCCTGGCCGCCATCACCGACACTATTGCGCGGTCTCCTACTGGGGCTGCTCTCGCACGCGAATTTACCGACGCTACCACGATCGGTAATGCAGACCTTGCATCAACGAAGCTGGTAGAGCAATGCATTGCGGAAGCACGCCAACTCCCCGCGCCAGTGACCTTGAAGCGCAGCCTCGCGACAATTCCCCTGCAGGGCATCGACGTGCCCTTCCACTCGGCACATCTGCGACCGGGAGTGGCATCGTATCGCAACTTCTTGGAGGAACGTATTCCCAAGACTGAGGTGGATCCGCAGAAGCTGGTGGGCAAGTGGATTCCCAATGTAATGGGGACGCCGTTCTCGCTTAGTCGGGAGTATGTCGAGGGGGTGTATGGGCTGACGCAGAGTCCGATCTTGAAGGAGGTGCTAGCAAGATAGAGAAGAGCGGGAATGTGGTGTGGGCCTTTATGTGTATATGATAGACTGTCTGACGGTTCGTCTGTGTTTCTTGTTACCTTGTAGTAGTTGGTTGCTGTCTACTTCTATCCTTTTGGAATACATTAACAAATCACTTCAATTATCACAGTACAGTCGAATAACATTCCCGCGCTAGATGCTCTCGGTATAAAGATACTACTCGAGTATGCTTGACTGGGTCTTTGGGTTTTGTAGACATGTTCGTGTCTTCATGACCCTCGTCCCCGGTGGTCGTGTTGTGCATCAATCTTGGATCAGGAAGTAGAAATATAAGAAACAATAATCCAGTTAAGTTCGAACTACTTAGTTCACTTCCAAACAACCATAGCAGAAGTACTAGGTGTTCCCTCCATTATATATTTTGGGGCAACTCAGGTATACTCGTATTACGTGTTATGTTTTTTAAAGCAGGCCAAACAGCGTGTGCATGGAGGAACTCGGTGGCTCCTTGCATCCTAATCGGACGGGCTTGAAAGAGATAGGACTTCAATACCATATGTTCAGTTGTTGGACTTGTGGAGGTACTACACACTGGGCTCTTCATTAAGAGGGTCTACTCGGAGATTGACTGTTAGTGTGCCAACTACTTATAGCATAAGTATTCACTCCATTATATATACCAGCATCATTGGTCTAGTGGTAGAATTCATCGTTGCCATCGATGAGGCCCGTGTTCGATTCACGGATGATGCATTCTTCTTTTTTCCTCTTTCCTCTTTTTTTTCCCCCCCCGCTCTTCCTTCCCAGCCATGTCCATTCGTTCATTCTACTATCTATTTTTGCTATCTCGTATCTCCTCTCCTCTGTCTGCTGTCAATCCACCTCCAATCATCGCCAGCCCTCAGACTGCCGCCCTGCAGCTCTCGGGCCTGCCGATCGCAACCCACCGCTGCAGTTCCCCCACTCCACGGCTCATCTTTAGTAGAAGTTTAGACCTGCCTATCTGTCTACTTTGTGTCTTTTTGGATGGCTGTCTGGTTCAACGGTTATCCACAGTTGATCAAGTGACTCTCTTGCAGTGGAACAGCTACCCTGCACCTAACTCTTTTCTCTCTCTTCAGCCACTTGCCAGCCAACGGGGTCCCTTCTGCCTCTGATATTGGAGGACGACGCTATCCATCTCGCACTTCTCTCGCTGGGTTTCGCTGGCAGCTTCACATTGGCCCGTTGAGGTTGACATGACTAAATACGGTTCAAAGTAGTGCAACGACTATCTCCTTAGCTTAGGATGGATGCTCAGCACGAATCATCGGGCCGGGATTCGCTGGTGATCGGGAGTCAGCCGAGGGGAGGAATGACGAGCTTCCCTGGAAGTGCCATCATCAACCTTGGTGGGAGGGGCAAACCAGAGGAGGAAACGACAAACGAGTAAGGCAAAGCAAAGGCAATGCAATGCAATGCGAGAACCAAAGCACAGTCAGTGGATTCCACCCTCACAGAGGGAGAAAGAGAACAAAACTCACCAGAGTAAGGCAATGATCCGCAAACCAAAGGTCCAATGGGAAACCCGACGGAGAATTAACAACGCCCGGTTCCACCGTAAAGATGTCAGGTTGATTGCCTTGGAGGGGGACCCTCTCTTGTCCTCTTGCTGTATCTCCCAGAACTTCTTGGATTTACCCACTGTGGAAAAAGTGATGCTATCTCGGGACAATGAGGACCCTCTTGGCCCGAGCGTTTGCAGCCTGCAGAGATTGTCGCTGGGATCGCTGGCAGAAACTCTACTTCTCTCCTACAATAACTTTTTTCTTCTTTTATCTTTTCAATCATCTTGGAGGGAAACTAAACTTAAACATGGGAATAGACTTTAGATTGATGCCCAGCCACAATACTACTCAAGTTTATGTAGCTGAGAAAATCATAATGTGACTGGGGATGGGAGGCTAAACAGAGAGATCGCACCATCTGCACTCATGGTATGACTGTACCCTCTCCAAGCGATGGTAACGAGGGCAACCACAACCGCCCATTTGAACAGTGACTGTGCCAGTGTCAGTGCCCTCAAGAGTCTTTGCCGCGATCGCGATGGCGTCGATTCCAACCAAATTGTTATGCTTTCTCCCTCTCGGGCAGGTGGGGCCGTTGCGTAACTCGGAATTCTGATTGCATCGCGAAACCGAAAATATTCCCCAAAGCAAAAGGTGTGAGTGAGTGATGGATCGATGGCAGTGGAAGTGTAAAAAGTAGTGACTATCAAGAAGTTGTCGATCCTGCGGAGTCTATCTCCTCTCCCAGACTACTTTGTGTACTACTTTTTTTTACTACGTATACTTCCTAGTGCTGCCTGCCATGTCAACCCCTCCCTCCGATCATCATCCTTTCTCCTGACTAGATACTGTAGACTTGTTGACTGCCTAATCAACTGAAAACGAACTAACTACTTGGTAGTCTGTCTTGATAGTCTTTCGTAGTCTTCTGCACCACTCCGATCTCTGCTCGCCAGCCACCGGGACAGGCGATATTTGCAAGGCAATTTGGCCCCTCTACGAACCTACTTTCGCCCGACAAGTTGAACATGAAAAATCAAACAGAAAAATATTCGCCCCCGCGGCGGACAGATGAATTCTTTCGCACCTTCGGAGACAAAACATCGTCATATCTGCTGGTGGACATGCGTTGGCCCAATAAGAAGGACAGCCAGCAGCGCGTCGAGGATGAAGCGGTGAAGGGCAAAGCGATGGAGATCCACATCGGGCAAGCCGTGGAGGTGAAGCTAAAAACCCTAACGGCACTAAGAAGACGCAGAATGATCAGAATCCTCCATCCCAGCAGCTAATGGACCCACGAACTGCTGTAGCCGCAAGACAGCTGCCGTTGTGTCGCCAATCAGCGAGCTTTCGGCCGCGTAGCTTGCATCCCGTCCACTCGGCAGCTTCTCAACTCCTCCCTCTTCGTTTGCTTTTTTTCGCTGCTACTCACTGCTTCTCGGGGACCAACTGGAGGTCCATGCTGTTTTCCCTTTCGATAAGGATGTGAAAATTTTTCTTGTTGGTCAGACCATGACGCCGACACCAATCTGGAGGGGTGGACATCTTGCGCATGAGCCAGCGATCTCAAATTGCTATTAAAGACTCCATCTGGTTCCTCTTCTGCTCCCTCTTTCTCTCTTCCCTTTCTTCCTTTTCAACTTATCTCGCGTCGATCGCGTTGTGAAATATCTTTATATTGTGACCGCATTGCTGGTCCTGTATCACTACTCTTATTACCTACCTTTTTCTTTCAATTGTTCTGTTGTGAATCATCCCAATGTTCAAGCAGTACTCCCACATCCTGTCCCACAAGAGGCGTCGCAGCAGGGGAAGCACCATCAACCAAGTCCTGTCGGGCGCTCAGTCGGAGCCTGCATCCGAAGCAGCCACTGTCAGCGAGCCCGTCGAAGTATGGACGCACTCGCAGGTGCTGCCCGAGGATGATGAGCATCGCAAGGACTGCTTCACCACCCTGACCCCGCGCATTCACAAGTACGACCATGTCGCCCAGCGCGGCAGCGATCGCTTCGTCCAGGACCTGACGGCATCGCTGAACCTGGATGAGCCCCAGACCAGCTACCTTTCCTCCCCCGTCGGCAACTATGCCAGCTTCCTCTACCCGGAGTGTCTGCCCGAGCGTCTTGAGACTGTCGCTTATTTGACGGAACTGGGCAATCTGCATGATGGTATGTGAAACCCCATTAATTATCATTACCATCTCCTGGCATGGCTCGGACCCACCACTGACGTCTTAGGCAAACAACAAGGCAAGAAAACCGATGAATCCGCCGAATCCCCCCGTGTCGCCGCTCGGAAGCAACTGCTGGAAAAGGCCATGTCGGAGCTGTCGGACAAGGACAAGGACGGCCACGAGATCATCGACTGCTACCGCAGTAACTGGCTGGTCACCCCGGAGGTCCCTACGGCCGAGAACTGCGCCAACCTCGACGACTATGTCGCCCGGAGACGCCTCAATGCGGGCATTGAGTAAGTCATCTTCACATCCTCCCTGCATAGCTATCCATATAGAATGGATTGCTAACACCGGATACCAGCGTCTACTGGACCCTCATGGGCTTCGCGCACGGCACTCGTCTCGGAAAAGAGGACCAGGCGGTGGTGCGCGACGCACTGGATGCCGCCGAGCGCACCATGTTCTTCACCAACGACTACTACAGCTGGCCCAAGGAGAAGCGCGTCTCCAAGAAGAAGCCCGTCGCCAACGTGATTCTCTTCCTCATGGAACACCAGAACATGTCCGAGGAGGATGCCGTCGCCAAGGCAAAGCAGCTGATCATCGACAACGAGCACGAGTTTGTGCGCCGTCGCGAGGCGCTCTACCAGGCCAACTCGGACCTGGCACCACAGCTCCGCAAATGGATGGAGGTGCTGGGCGCCTCCCTGGCTGGTATTCACTACTGGTGCAAGAATGCTCCGCGCTATGCGGTCCCTGAAACCACAGAGGAGAGTGAAGAGGAGGAGGAGTCCGAGGAAGATGGCTCTGAGGAGGAAGAATCTTCCTCTGACGAAGACACCGACGACGACGAGGAGGAAGAGGAAGAGGAAGAGGAAGAAAAGGCTGCACCCGTTGAGGTGGTGCCGGAACCCGAGGAGAGCGAGGAACCCGTGGAGGTGGCTGTCTGGACTCCCCTGGTTACCGAGGAGGAAACCCCCGACGTGCATCTGGATACCTCTGCCCTGCTGGCCCCCAGCAGCTACGCTCGCTCGATTTCCCGCAGCACCCTGCATAGTGATCTGCTCACATCTCTGAATGCCTGGCTGCAGGTCCCCGCCCGCCCGCTGGCCTTCATTCGCCAGGTTATCACCGAGCTGCAGGACTCGACCGGCATGCTGGCCGACGTGCAGGACCAAGCCGCGCTGCGCGACCAGCGCACCCCGGCCCACCTGGTGTACGGACCCGCACAGTGCATGAACAGTGCGGCGTACCTGTTTGTGCGCGCCGCTCGCATCGTCACCAGCCTCAACTGCCCCGGCATGCTGGACGGGCTGCTGCAGGAACTGGAGGCGCACTTTGTCGGCCAGTCGTGGGAGCTGAACTGGCGCTTCTCGACCCACTGCCCCGGCGAGACCGAGTATCTGGCCATGGTGGACCAGAAGGCCGGCGCCAGCTTCCGTCTGCTGACGCGCCTCATGCAGGCGGCCAGCATGGGCGGCGCGACCCTGGACTTGGAGCCTTTCACCAAGGTGCTGGGTCGGTTGTCGCAGATTCGCCACGAGTACCTGGGTCTGCTGGAGTCCGCGGCTAGCGACCGCTCGTTCGGCGAGGACCTCGATCAGGCCAAGGTGACGTACCCCATCGTGCGGGCCTGCAACCTGGACCCTGCGGGCCGGGCGGTCATCTTTGGCATCTTCCGCCAGAAGCCGGCGGGCACGGTCCTCCCCATCGAGAGTAAGCGCCAGATCGTGTCGCTGGTGCAACAGACCGGGGCGCTGCAGGCCACCTACGACCTGATCCGGCAGCTGGGCCGCGAGGCCATGAACACGCTGAGCGAGCTGGAGACGGCGGCGGAGGAGCTGAACCCGTCGTTGCGCGCGGTGGTGAAGTCTCTGGTTGAGGTGCCGGCCCCGGATCACCTATAAAAGAAATTTGATACCTTTGACGGAGACGATGCATGGTGGTTGATACGATGATGATGACGATGATGACGATGACACTCCTTGTTTCTCTAATGTCTACATGTCTACTTTCCTTTGGCGTTTTCTGTGATGATGATTTACGAGACTTTCCTTGATGTACGGCTATGAGATGATATGATTAATGACGATTATATTCAAGCATTCGAACGCCTGCCTTGTAAACATGTAGAAAGAAGAGTCTTATTCTCAGCAGACAGTTTTATCGCTACAACATTATGAACTACAAGGCAATCAACACCGACTTTAGCTCGGTCCAGTAGTCTGTCGCATATCGACTCAGCTCTCGTCCCTCTCCACTGCCCTTCCAGCCCCCAAATGGCATGTCAAACGCCATGGTTGGACTGGTGCAATTGACTCCCACGGTGCCGGCCTCGAACTTCTTGGCTGCCCGCAGCGCCCGCGAGATATCCCGCGTGTATATACTGGCATACAGCCCGTACTCGCTGTCGTTGGCGCGTGCCATCACGTCTTCCTCGTCGGTGAAGGTGTTGACGGCCACCACGGGACCGAAAATCTCCTCCTTCATCAAGCGCGACTCCTCCGGCACATCTTTCAGGATGGTCGGCTGCACAAAGTACCCTTTGTCGCCCTCGCGCGCACCGCCCAAGTACACCGAGACACCTTCCTGCTTCGCCAGGTCCAGGTAGCCCTGCACGCGCGCAAACTGGGCGGCATCGGCCTGCGGGCCGCGCGTGGTACCCGGGATGAGAGGGTGGCCACTCTTGCCCATCTCCGTCATGGTGGTCTTGAGCTGCTCGAGGAACTGAGGGGCAATAGCCTCGTGCACGTAGACCCGCGAGCTGGCAACGCAGACCTGGCCGGAATTGGTGAGGATGGACATGGCGGCGGCCGGCACGGCCTTGCTCAGGTCGGCATCATCCCAGATCACCAGCGGGGACTTGCCGCCCAACTCGAGGGTGACGCTCTTGAGGTTCGATTCGGCAGCCATCTTCTGGATGGCGCGACCCGTGGTGGTCGAGCCGGTGAAGGAAATCTTGCGGATCTCCATGTGACGGGCAATGGCCTCGCCGCAAGGGCGACCAAAGCCGCTAAGCATGTTGAAGACACCCGGGGGGATGCCTGCTTCCTGAGCACAGCGAGCAGCCACCAGGCAACTCAGAGGGGCCTTTTCGGAGGACTTGATGACGATGGTGTTGCCGGTGACTAAGGCCGCGGCAGCCTTGAAGATCATGATCACGACGGGGCCATTCCAGGGGACAATGGCACCACAAACGCCAAAGGGTTGGCGCAAGCTGACATTGACGAAGCCGGGAGTATTCAAGGAGGATTCGCCAGTGATATCAAGGGCCTTGGCAGCATAGACCCGCACGAAGAGGGGTATGATGCGGCCGAAGTCTGGGTTTGGTCATGAGTTAGACATGTCTGTCTGATAGGAATGTCGAGGGAATGAGCTTACTGTCACTGTAAGCGGGTTTGCCCATGCAAATGGCATCAAGGTAGGCCATCTCATCGGCGCATGCCTCCAGACGATCGGCCCATTTCTCCAGTAACTGGGCCCGCTGCAGGGCTCCCGTTTCCGACCAGGCTGGGAAGGCAGCTTTGGCGGCTGCAACGGCGCGATCAACATCCTCGGGACCGGCTTCGTAGACCGAGGCACTGAGCTCCTCGGTGGCCGGGTTGTACAGATCAAACTTGGACCCGGAGAGGGAGGGGACAAACTCGCCGTTGATGAAGAGGCGAGTCTCAATGTTCTCCCGCTGGCCGGGATGTTGGGGGATGGATTGAGACATGATGATAACAACTCAATCAAGTGAATGAAGAGGGAATAGACGTGAGTATTGACAGGCAGGAGAGCAAGAGGGCCATGATGACCGGGTTAATATACGTAAATCAAAGGATATTAGGCCAACCGCAGCATGAGGGGTTACGATGGCTCGGCCTCTGCACTAGTGCACTGGTGTAACCGATTCCTCCTATGAGAGTCCCAAAGCAAATTCGTATCCCTGGAAGATCGTCATCCGTGGCTCCATGATCGAGGAGCTCTGACGTTCCAGATGTTTTTGGATGCTGTCATGGGATGAGAGTTGTTTGCCGTTCTCTGAGACAGCTTGACAGGGGAGAGAGCCTGCTGCTGACTGCCGTGCCACCCGCATGTTAGCCAGTCACTAGTCACTAGCTATTCCGCATGCGGGATAGAGTTTCAAGCACACGAAGATCTCGCCCCCAAGCTACTCATAGCTACTATGGTACATTATGCTGACGGTCTGGATGTATGGCCTGGCTCGTCTCAAGTGGGGCGATGAGGGCTGAAGTATGAGAAGTGAGTTGTTCGATGGAAATGATATATTAGTACTAATAGCCATCCCTTGATGTGGGACTGAGACGCAGACTGAATTGCGATGTCCTTCATTGTTCAGAGGGAGCACAGAAGTCCTGGATGGTTGCACAATTCAGCCGGTATAATTGCCTTCTGGCATGAGTGGTTGAATGACTCCTTGCGACAGCGTCATCACTATGATTGTTAAGTGTCATCCTGTCATCCCCTCGAGTGGCGGAGATAGGGACGGATATCGGAGTTATCGTATCCGGGAATAATGGAGGTTGTCTCGACCTGTTCCATCAGGCTATAATATTGGTACTAAGATGAAAGATGATGAGGTGTAAATGCTGCAGTCAGAAAAAAAGGAATGTGACTAGCCATCTTTGTTTCTTTATGCCAGCATTGCCGATGATTCTGGTTATAATTATGTTGGCCTTGTCCATCACGGCGGAATTTCCCCATGAGTGGATACCACCTTCCCATTCCGGAAATATGTCCCGTCTAGACAAACAGTGCAAATGTAACATACAGTGTTTCCACAAAAATACATGGTATTTTGCATTATGGACAAACAGAACAAACCAGATAAACCCGCTCAATGCCAATAATATGGAAAGATCGAAGGGGAATCGATGAGGGAAAGAGAGCTACAAAAGACCCCCAATACCCCCCTGAATTAAGATGGGAACTCTACTCGAGATGTATCTCTTATTAAAACTGTCAAATATCTCTGTCAGTCATGACTGGCTCACTACCGTCAGTCCTGCAGACCTTACTGGCTGATTCCCACTACTTCTCCCTGCAGAGATCCGTCTGCCACCATAACCACCACCGCCAGCATGACATCGCCTCCATCGAATCCATGGATTCATGGGCCCAGTTCCGTCTCATGAAGCAGCTGCTCTGTGTCAGGCATCCTCGCCAGTCTCTTCCATCCTCCTTACTCCGGGAGATTGATCAGGTGTTGCTTGAGGAACGTGCCAATCGCCTTCTTCTTGACGCTGCTTCCATTCCAGCTCTTCCAACTCCATCATCATCATCATCAAAGCCTCTCCCCGCCACGCTCCATCTGTGGCAAGGAGACATTACCACGTTGGATGGCGTTACTGCCATCACCAATGCGGCCAACGAGCAGATGCTGGGATGTTTCCAGCCGGCCCATCGATGCCTGGACAATGTCATCCATGCCCGGGCAGGTCCCCGCTTGCGCGAAGAATGTTTCCACCACATGGATCAGGGACAGCGCACCTTGCCCGTCGGCCACGCATGTGCCACCAAAGGATACTGTCTTCCTGCCCCCTATGTGATTCACACCGTAGGCCCTCAGCTGGACGCGGGACAGCCTGTGCCCACCGCGCACCAACGTCAACAGCTGCGGCAATGCTATGAGGCCGTCCTGGATGTCGCAGAAGCTCTGCCTGCATCGGATCCTCGGGGCAAGTCCATTGCTCTTTGTGGCATCTCGACCGGACTGTTTGCCTTTCCCGTGGAGGAGGCTGCATCCATTGCCATTCAATCCGTTCTCGACTGGCTGCGGCACCATCTGCACACCTCCATCACCAACATCATCTTCAACACCTTCACCGACACCGACACGGCCGTCTACCAACAGACACTCAAAAAAATGCACTATCCAGTTCCTTCCCTAGTGCCACCTCCCCGGGTCCATGGATCCTCCCTTATCCAAGCCAAAGCTTGGCTGGCTGCTGCCGATACCATTTTGATCAGCTGCGGAGCCGGGATCTCGGCGGCCACTGGACTCGACTATACCTCGACCACTCTGTTCGATCGCCACTTCCCGGCATTCAAGCAATACCAGCTGCGACGGCTGTATGACACCTTTGGCCGCACCAACCGTGACTGGCCATCTGAGAGCGTCCGCTGGGGATTTTACTTCTCCCATCTGGCCATGGTGCGTCGCTGGCCCCGCTCGTCCCTCTATACCTCGCTGCTAAAATGGCTGGCATCACGTTTTCAACCGGATCGGGTTCACGTGCGGACCTCCAATGCAGACGGACTCTTTGCAGCTCATGGACTGCCCGAAGCGCAGCTCTCCACACCCCAGGGCCAGTATGCCTTCCTTCAATGTCTGGAAAACTGCCGTCCGGATGCTGTCTTCCCATCGGCACCGTATCTTGACGCTGCCCTGCCGCATCTGGATCCACAGACACAGGTCGTAACGGCGCAGGACAAAATCCCAACATGTTCATTCTGTGGTGGCGCCATGTCGATCTGTGTTCGGGCGGGAGACTGGTTCAACGAACGACCCTTCGCTCCCGGCGAAACGCGATGGCACCAATTCCGCGAGGCCTTTCTCACGGATCTGACACGAAACGTAGTTATTATTGAGCTGGGTGTCGGCCTTTCCACGCCAGGGGTGCTGCGGTGGGAGAATGAGGAGCTGATCGAGCAGGGCGATGGACGCGTACGGCTGGTGCGCGCGGGTTTGGGCGATGCCGTGCAGGTCCCTGGGGAGCTGGCTGCTGCGCAGCTGGCCACCAGCATCGAAGGGGACTTGCAGGATGTGGTTCGGGCGATAGTGGCTCCGTAGACTGGCCAAGTGACATGTAGATGTGATACATCTAATTTGCTAAAGCGATTCTTTGCTGGACTTTGCTGTTTCTTCCTGACATGGTCTATATATTTCTCCGGGTACGGTAGTCCATCAGCTACACATGCGTATAACTACCAAAGCAGTTTTCTGTCCTGCGCGATGGCCTTCCATCGAATGGAATTGTGACCATTCCGTGAAATAGCCAGGAGGATGTGATCCAAGTCGGGTTAGTCCCGTCGTTCTCTCCGCACCAGGCAATGTGGCTGTCGAAGATCGGCTTTTGGCGCAAATTTCCGAGCGGCAATTATTGAAACTAGTTCGGCGGGTCACCACCAAGTTTGGCCTTCAGAAATAGACACGCAAATGGCAGCGTGTCAGACTGCAATAAATCAACGGCACCCATAAACCCCTGTATCTGCAGGATCCTCAATTATTGATATCTTCTTATGTAGACACACATCATGTAGGGTAATTGAAAGACTGAGTTAGTGATGAGAACTCGGTGGTAATCTGGAATGGCGCCGGTATAAAATCATGCATGGCATCCGTATAATCACCCCTGTCATCCGGGCAGAGTGTGCTGACCTCAATACCTCGGCGCGCCATGCCTCGCTACAACTGGTGGTATTCTCCGCTTGTCCTGGGCGTGATATATAGCGCCTTGGTAGGCGCAGTTTCCCAACATCCCCCCAGAGAGGTTCACAGACATGTCCTGAATTTTCAGGTGCCGAGCCTGGTCACCGCAGACTCCCTGCACAACGTTCATCTGGACTTTCTGGACAGTAGCTTTGAAGGTCATATCAATCTGTTCTACGGGGACTGCCATACCGGCCAGGGGCATCATGAGATCGGCCACATTGTCATCGAGCGTGACGCTCATCCAGAGCGCTTCGTCTGGATCACACCCGCCGATGCGCCTCATCTGCACTGCCTCCACGCCATTTCTGGATCGACTCTGCTCGCTCGTTCCGATTCCATTCCAATTGCCACCCGCTTGGCTCGTCGGGAAAGCATCGCCGACGTGGCTGATGTGATGGGCCCCTGGTTTGACGGCGTCGCGTACATGCAAGGCAAGGAACCCGGAAAGGCTGTGGTGTCGGCAGCAAAGAACTCTTCCGTGGCTATTATCGGCGGTGGCATCTCCGGAATGATGACAAGTCTGCTGCTCAACTCTGTCGGCATGACCAATTGGCACATTGTGGAGTCATCCCATCGACTAGGTGGCCGCATTCGCACTCACTATCTGAACGATTCGCGGCCCGATCAGTACCAATACCAGGAGTTGGGGGCTATGCGCCTTCCCATGAACATCACCTACGCCGATACCAACGAGACACTCCAGATCCAGGACATGCGACTAGTCCTTCAGTTGGCCGATGTCCTCAATGAGCTCAACGCCGACGCTGATCCAGCGCTGCGAGTCAACTTCATTCCTTTCATCCAGGATAATCCGAATCTTCCGACTGACACGGGAGGTGTTCGTCTGCCAGACGGCCGAATCCCTACTGCAGCCCAGGTTGCCGCCAACTCGTCGCTGGCATACACGGCGCCTCCCGACAACGCCAGTGCCGTTGCGGACGCCAAAGCTCAGTACATGCAGTACGCCCAGACAGACAAGATGGGTAAGATCCGGGAGGTTGCTCGCAACATGTACCGCGCACACAAAGCGGCTCTGGAAGACGGGTTCTACCACTGGTCGGAAGCCGCATATATGCGGTACGCGCTGGGGGAGAACGCAGATGTCGTCGACTACGCCGCTGGCACGGCCAACAATCCCATTTGGGATGGATTCTACGATAGTGTCTACTTTGCGGCCACCACCTGGTTTACCATCGACCAGGGGATGGAGTCTCTGGTGCGAGCATTCCTACCGCACGTCGCAGACAAAGCCACCCTCGGGCGGAAAGTGGACGGGCTCTCGTACAACGAGAGCTCGGGCAAGATTGCCTACACCTGGCGCGAATCTCCGGTCCAGATCACCCCTGAGCGCAGCGAAGAATATGACTATGCTGTCGTGGCCGCGCCTTTCACCAAGGTGCGCATGTGGGAATTGCCGCGATATTCGTCGATCCTGAGCCGGGCCATTTCCGAGACAAACTATGAACCCGCCTGCAAGCTCGCCCTGCTGTATAAAACCCGCTTCTGGGAGCACCAAGAACAGCCCATCTTCGGGGGCTGCGGCACTGTGGACATTCCGGGGGTGCAATATGTATGCTATCCATCGTTCAATCTGAATGGTACCGGCCCGGCGGCGGTTCTTGGGGCATATTCCCATGGAAGCCCGGCGCGGAGTGTACAGGCGTTGAAACTCGAGGATTGGGTCGCATTGGCACGGCGCAGCATGGTGGAGATTCACGGGGCGATTGCAGAGGAACAATTCACAGGTAGGCCGGATCCTTTGAATAAGTAGCCCTCAGTCTCATGCTTACTGTCCCGATAGGTATCTCCCATGGTCACTGCTGGGAGAATGATGAACACCAAAACGGCGCCTGGACACACCCCCTTGTTGGGCAGCAAGAGATTTTCCTGCCCGCCTACTACCAAACCGAGTTCCAGACCATTTTCGTTGGCGAGCATACCACGTATACCCATGGCTGGATCGCCGCGGCTCTAGACTCCGCCGTGCGCGGGACTACCCAACTCTTGCTGGACCTGGGGCTGGTGGATGAGGCCAAGGCGATTGTGCATGAGTGGATGGGTCGATGGATTGAATTGTAAGATATACAGGTGCTCAGGAGTTTACAATCTCAAGATACAATAGTTTTCTTCGTTCACAATTCCAGGTAATTAAGATTGTGTCTGGGCTCGGATCATAGCGAATTGGGGGTTCTCGGGCAGCACCGAACAGCCGACGGTGCCGCCGAAGTGCACGGTCATGCCCCGAAGGAGCAGTTGTAGATCCCCCACTTTCCGACTGTCAACGTAGTAATCCACGCGTCGGTCATGTAGGAAGCCATTAGAGAAGATCAGTAGACTTGTGTTCGTAGCGTCTGTTTTGTATGTTTATGACAGTTGTAGTCAGATCCGATTATGGCAAGTCTACGGGTATACAATTCAGCGAGTAGTGTATCCCGATCATTTTGTATTCCGAGAACACAATGCAGAACATTCAAATATCTTGCTGTACAACATACAAATGAGAGTGTCCATCCTTCCCATTACGGTCCTCCAAGTTGTCCCCGGTCGCGTGTTCGTTGCTGGCTGATATACCGTCTCCACTGAACCTAAGTTAGCATGACTGCATCTCCGAAAATCATCAGCAAAAGACGGGTAATTACCATTGGATTGAAGAAGTAGACGGGAACCCCCAGCAGCAGAATTCCACCCACCACCCCCGCCAGAATTCCCATGGCTGCCGGATAACTATACTTGGCCACCATGGGGTTCAAACCATAGCTGACCCCAAACCCTATGATGTTCTTCGTCCCCACGACCGTCACCAGCGCCGGACCAGGATTCTTCTCCCATGCTTCCGTGGCAAACGATGTCGTGCGGATGAGGGTCGAAACGAAGGCTACCTGATAGAGCGTCCAGCCCATGAAAGGCCCTCCCCAAGTGGCATCGCCGCTGGCGGTGAATCCATATAACAGCAGCGAGGCTACTGCCAACAGCCCTGGGAAAATCAATAAGAGGAGATGATGTTCGGGTTTATGAACACCCCCGGCGCGTCGGGCCAACCAAACAATGACACGGTCGCCCAAAATCCCCGCGTAGAGCATGCCGCCCAGCCCGCCAAAGACGCCGCCTAAGTTGATAAGGCCAATGCTGGCGGCACCCCAGCCGTAGTTGTACTGCAAGACCGTGTCATAGGTGAGAGAGACACCGACGGACCCGCCTAAGATGACAGCAGAGAGGAGTGTGGCATAGATGATGCCGGGCGAGCTGAAGGTCTCGAGCATCTGCCACCAGGTGAGCAGGACGTCGCGTAGGGGATGAGGGCAGAGGCGTGGCCAAGCGCTGAGCATCTGGCGGTAGGTTTTCTTGGGAGGCGTGTCGCCGTCGAGGTCGGCGTAAGAGCGACCCTCTTCACTAGCGAGGTATTCTTGGGTTTCTGGGGCAGTCAGGACTCGGGTCACTCCATATTGATCGGTGATGACGGCGTGGTCGCCCACGAAGATTGGTCGACGCTGGAACCGCGTCTCGAAGCAGGCAAACACCACCAGCACCAGTCCGACGGCGACGGTTATAACAAACACCCAGTAGAACCAGCGCCACCCTAGCGCAGCTACTTCATATGAGCTGGCCAGCGTCAGAAGGCTCGTCACGATGTTTTGAGTGGCCCAGTAGATGCCATAGATGGTGCCGCGCTGGTGAATGAAGGTCACCTCTGCCAACATCAGAGGGAGAAGCTATGGTAGGTTAGATCAACCACAAAGAGGAAATACAGCTGTCGCACCGATTCCGTCGCTCCTGTAGCAAATCCCAAAAGGATGCGTAGCCCAAAATGCTGGGCCCAGTTCTGTGACAAGGCACAGCCGATCAACGACCCCAGCAGAACGGTGTTGGCGATGAGCATCACCGGTCGACGTCCGCAGACAAGGGCTAACGGCAGGATGATGTAGTTCCCTGACACTGGTGAGTTGCTGACGGTAGCAGAGCTGGAAGAGACACCTTACCAATTCCAACAAATAGTGAGGGGAAAGTCGAGAGCCAGACAACCTGGTTGGTGCTGTGACCTTCTGCGCCGTACATCTGAAAGAAAACATCCAGAACAGAGCCCAGCCCACCAATGACCGAGAGTGACATGATAGCTGAGAGAATGAGCTTGGAACTTAATAGTCAATTGGGGGAAAGGGAACTTACAGAACCAACAACAGCACACCACGATGCCTGTCTTCTCCCACAGTGCAAAGTTCAAGGGGTCATTGGGATCGTCGCTGGGCACCGGCAGACGCTGGATGCGACCAGCCTCGTCCACCAGCACCTGATCAACATGCTCGATGCAATCGACATCAATCTTCTTGTCGGCCATTCTGCCGGATACTCATGCTTGAACAACAAACGGGTGGCATCGCAGCGCGCGACGGAGGGTTTTAAGCTCGCAGCTTGTGTCCACTCCCCGAAGAGACTAAGCATATTTTAGAGAATGCGGGGAAGATATGGGGAATGCTGGACACGAGAAGGCGCCGAGAGCAACAGCCCCGAAGCGCATTAGATGCCGCCGAGCAGATTGTGGATGTTCTATTGCTGGCATCGTTCGGTGAGACACTCCACACAGACACGCTCGGTCTCCGGTTGTGGAGCATTTAAATATGCTTAGGGACCCACTGCCAAAGGTGCATGCTAGCCTGCGATAATCACTGAAGATCTGGGGGGATGAAATGGTTGAAAAACTGGCAAGTGGTTCGGGGCTGGGCCGCCACGCTCGGGGCGCTCGGGGCGCTCCGAAAGAACTCGAGAATGGCCGAGGAAGATAAAGACACATTCACATCATGTCTACACGGGATGAACTGGACCTGAAAATTCTGGCCTGTGAATTTCATGGAGCAGACTGTCCTATATACTTCAAAACAACTGTTATGCTGGTCTGCCGTCCTGCACGTTAAATCCCTCTCCCCACGCATACTTGTCGCAAGCCCATTGCCATCACTCGAGCTGCCCGGAAGTAGTTTACTCGTCGGGAACGAGCAACCGATCGATATCGGGACCTAATCAGACGGTTGAGTTAGCGACTGTTAACTCCATCTTCCACGCCGTTGAGACGTACCATATTCCTCCTCATACGCACTGAAGGTGATGACATTGTCATCGCCGCTCTCCAGTTGGGCGTTCAGCACCGACGTGGCCGGCGTGTTTCCACTATCAGACGGTATGAATGCCAGAATCTGCGACTTGCCGTTCACCGTGACGGTGGCGTAGCGCTGGGTGGAATCCCCGTTTTCATACCGCACCTGGATGGTGGTCGTGGTTGACGCGTCGCTGGAGATGTTGCGCATCTCGAGTGTCCCATTGTCGGACCCTCCGATCCAGCCAACAGATTCGTCGCCCGAGCAGCCACTGCACGAGATGACCTTCGCTCCGTTGGACAGGACGCTGGTGGATGCCTCAGCTTCGGGGTCGGTTTCGTCGCCCCCAGACGACCAGGTGCCGTCTGTGGAGGGGATCCAGTTGGAGCTATCGATCTGTCGGTCGCAGTCAGTCGAAAGCACTAATAATCGGATTTGCACGTGTATCTGACCAAGGTCGCGTTGGTTCCACTCAATGTCAAGGGTAGCCAGATGTACGTCGAAGCCATCAGATTCGATGAGACCCAGCGGTCGCCCATGTACCTGCCGTTGTCAACACAAGGCTATACATTCTTCTCTAGCCATGCTCACATCACGCTCTTCCCAACCTGCATCACAAAGGAGGTCTGGGAGTCGTAGGTGTCCGTTCCCGCGGTCGCAAAGTCACTCCAATCACTCCATGTGCCATTAAGGTCTGTGGAGGTGGTGTACTTGTTATCATTGGCAGCTACTCCAAATGTCAGTCGTCACCCGTGATACTGTCATTTTCACAAACCACGTACACCATCCTATGAGATGTCAGTCAGGCGTTCTATGAAGGGGACTTCAGATCATCTGACCAGTCAATTGGGATCCAAACATGAAATAGACGCCGTCCTGCTTGTAGATGGCTGGTGCCTCGTAATGCTCCGGAAATAGGTGAGTGGTATAGGAAACATTGAGGTAGTTGTCGGTCAACCGGTCAATTCGCAAGCCGTTCGGGCGCTGTCAGGTTAGCTGATTTCGCACGTTGAACTGATACTCAGCTTACATCTTCAGAAAGCAAGTATGCTGTTCCATCGTCATCCTTGAACAGACCGATATCGCGCGACTGATGGCCCAACGGCTGGAACGATCCACTACATCCCGATATGAGATGGTCTTCCCCGGTGCGACAAAGGGCCAAATGCTTACAGATAATCATACTGTCCGCAGACGCTTGAGGAGGTGGCTACCCCCGTTTTCGCTTCGGCGTAAGAGCTATCGTCAATGTGCATCCACATCACATACGTGGAGGTGTCCTCATTGTAGATGATCTTGGGCCGTTCGACGATGCGGTCGGGACCCAGGTCTCCGCTGCTCTGCAAGGAGAGCAATTCACTCTCAAAAGCCCACTCGACCAGATTCTAGAGGACATTGTCAGACACCTGCCTATTCTACAGATGATCCGATCTGGGATGACGCACTGTGCTAGAATAGCAATTGATGGACTGGAAGGCACTCCCGTTCAGGTGATTCTCGCCAGCCCAGTAGTACGTGCCGTCCACTTCAATGATGCCTGAGATTCGCAGAATCAGACATGGCCGACCGGATATTTTTGGTCTACATCCGGGGGTTTAAAGACTACCTACCACCTCCATGGGCTTGTATATGTTGGTTTGTCCCTGCAGCAGTCCATGTCGCGCCCGGAACCTGTCGCTGTTAATTCTTGGAAGTCTCTGGCTGCATCGGGACAGGCACGAACTATCTGTAACGATGCAGTCGCAACATTCGCGATTGCCACAGAAGCAAGAAGGACATGCGCCAGCATGATGCTATGTGGAGATCAGGCAAGAGGCTGTATACAAAGACGAAGAGGTATCGGACCGCCAGTGGCAAGCATGTCGGGAAGCGATCAGGATTATGTACATGATGCAGGTGAGGGGATTAAGGAGATGGAGTGATTGGGGGATTGGGGGAGAAATCCCCTGGCCGCAATTATATTGCTGACGCTGCCACCTCAACCGTGTCTCATGTTTCTTCAGGGATCCTGGCTGGCTTTGCTGCAGGATCTGCATTCTTTTTGGGATATGCTTCGGTGGAGGTTTGAAACCCCGCCCGTGAGCCCGATGATCCTTGCCGAGTCCGATTCTTTCCACCAGCTGCAAGGAACAGGCCACTCCTCCGTCCATCATACTCGTGACCTCTAAAAGATCACGGCCTTAGCTCCGGTCACAGTTCAGTCAATGCAATTCACAAGTCTAAGGCCCACTAACATGACCACGGAAAGGGTGCCATCGTCGACAGTCCGCGAACATATCCACTTTGAGGGTGACGTTCTTCACCCTGCTCTGCGGATTGTCTCAATCTACATTTGTGGGATTGGGAAGATCACACTGGCGAGCTCGGTGATCTCTTCAACACCAAGACCTTGGAGGCATTGAAGAATTTCGTCGATCATGGTCGAGGGAAGTCCCTCCTTCTTGCGAGAGTAGATGTCAATGCCAGCCGGGGTGAAGAGGGTCTTAGCAAAGTATGTGACCATCCATTGATTGTCTTCTTCCACGGCCTGGCCAAAGCCGAGGCATTCCCAGTGTGAGCTCGCGATCATCAGCCAACCTTTACCGCGCCAGTCCCAGGCCCCTTGGTTCCTCGGGGTCGGGGTGTCCACGCCATGAACCGACTTGACCTTCTTTGATCCGATGGCTTGATATTGTACCAGATCATCAATTCTCACCACGCCGGAGGAATCTGGGGGAAGCAATTGGTAAGTGATGTTGACATTGCACTTGCCCTTCCAAAGCGGCAGGCTCGAGTGCGTGACATGCCAGGTGCCAAGTAGGAAGTCATTGGTCGGAGGCACACACTTGCGACCACGATTGGCATAGATCTTAGGAAGTCCGATGATGAGGGAAGAAGCCATGATTGGGCTCAATGGCGCGTGGGGTTCGCGATAGAGAGTTGACCATGGAAAGAAAGGGGGCTGACGCTCTCGATGAGGTAAATCGAAATCCATCCCGCGGATTGCTTACTTAAACCCCAGCCTTTGCTGCCAGGATCCCTCCATGCAAATGTCATCCATTATCTACTGCGCGCAGCATGCCAATTATCAGCTGAATCTTCGTACTGACCTCGCAAACTATCGTTTACTAAGGCTAGCACCTAATATCTTGGGCTGTATACAAAAAGAAAATTTGAAACATCACGGAAGCCATCACCATCACGGCCACTACACACTGTAGACAATTGTCGGTACATCATCTTTCCCAGATGAAGATGCCATCATGCTGCGCAAAATTAACGCTTCAACTAAGACCTATCACGTCAGCTGCGCAGTCGTCGCCGGCGTCACAGACCCTCCACCAGTCAGCTGCTTGGTCGTCCCGTTCAACCATCGGTTTGCAGCCGCGCTCGAATCGTAGTACAATGTGTACCCAGCACTGTACAGATTGCTCAACGTCCGGTCCGAATCTGTGAAATTGTTAAGCACCGTGTCGTTGGTCAATATCCACGTGGATGTCGCATCCAGTGAGACAGCAAATGTTGAGATGCCATAGCCCGAGTAGGCTGTTCCCGTCCACGAAGAGTAGTCCGTCAGCGACCAGCTAATACTGCTGCCATTGTACGCCACAAGGTCTCCCTCCAGCTCGGATGCGGACACTGTGATAGTTGCTTCAGCGGCGGCTGTGGAGTCCGCGAAGTAGCTAAAGTCCTGTGTAACTTGAGAGTAATTGGCAATGACCAAGATCCCCGACGTAGTGTTGATAGCAGTACTTGCCAAGTGGGAGCTGGCAATGACGTTGCCGAACCAAAGCGCTGCCGCTGCCTCAGGGAGGACAGTCAGACGAGAGTTGGTGAAGTTGATCTCCGAGCCAGATCCCCGAGTCCCAGATGAGAAGACGACTGCCCCCGCCAGCAGGCCCGCAGTGAGATCGGAATCGTAGATATCAATCTGGGCGGTATCCAAGAATGCAACGGGAGCTTGTTCGGCATACCCCACGATGTTCTCAGCGTAGACAGTGCCCTGGCCGTAGATGATGGCACTCCCGATACCCGCCGTGTGGGCCACTGAGTCGTATACATACACGTAGCCCTGAGGGCTGTCCCCGGCAAAAGAAGAGGATCGATAAGCTCCCGAGTAGTGCTCCAAGTTTCGTCCCACAATGGTGCCGTAGCCGGCTGCATACAGGCCGTGCGAAACTGGACCGGAGCTGTACAAGCTCGAGTCAGAAATGGAAACGTAGGTATTGTTTCCGTAGGAATAGACATTGGCTGCCCCGTTGTGCACTGTCACGTTGACATGGTCAAGGTATGCCACGGACTCGTTGGCCACATTGACGGCTGCATTCAGGCCAAAGAAACTGGACTGGTAGAGATCACTGGAGTAGCCGTGCTTAACAATGGTCGAGTAAGAGACATTCACGTCTGATCCTTCGGTGATAACAAGGACACTGGTATCACTGGCAGTGACGGTAAGCGTTTCATGCGATATAGTATCAGTCTTGTCGGAGTACTGGTAAGCCCCCACGATGGAATCGACTTGATATGTGGTCGGGGTATAATCCCAATCCGACGTCAACGCATCATCAGCGGCATCGGCAGTAAGATCAGCAAAGTCACTGGAATCATGGACAGTAACTGTGGCCGCGCCAAGGGCAGCAAGGACAAGAAAAGCCAGCATTTTGAATGCAGAAGATGGACTGGGATGGACAGAGATGCGTTGGGTCGACTATTTTAGGAGGAAGTGTACCGGGTTTAATATATGAATCGCCGGAGAGCTGCTTCCAATCACTGAACGTTCAAGGATAATTTGAACAAACACCATTTTCACGGCTTATGGAGAGGACTGCCGCGTCATCTCCTAAGGACAAGCGTTGTAATTGGTGATCATTCATCGGGCTTTTGGGAAGAGTCATTACAATGGGGACAAACTAAGGCCGCGTCCTCTTTCTCGGCTCCACATCTCCATCACCTTAATCAAGCTTAATATCTCCGCAGCCGACATTCACCAGGACAATACGGTAAGTCCTGAGTTTATATGAGCTGATATTTGCTCATAGAATATGTCTGTCAAAACTTTTGCCGACAAGCATAAGCTAAACAGACAGCTATTTTGATATTGGTAACGTGTGAAAGCCTCTCTATTGAGCCTCTTGAGGAAAGAGTAGAAGGTGTTGGAGTTGCTTCGCAGCATAAATTCCGTGGGGCCGAAGGATATTAATCATGTAAAGCCGTTAGAAAGCATATCTACCCCAGATACCGATCCTCAGGTAGCAGGTACGGCAAGTTGGTCATGAGAACTATATGGCGAGGTGTTGAGTCCCTTGGAGTAACGCAATACAGGCAGGAGAATGCATCAATCACATCCAGTTCCCCGCATTATTCCCCCACATCTCCAGAGTGGACACTCCTACAGGGTCTTACATTTGATCCAGCACACGTGGATAGTGAAAATAAAACAAGGATTACCTGAGGGAGAAACCCGAAGCACGTCGATGGGCCACGTTCCGACTTGATATTGAATACGACGAAAGCAGGGGATAATGCACGCAGGATGTCTATATAAGCCACCATAGCAGGGCCCCATAACAACACTGGCAGGCCGTGGAGCACTCAGTCAATCAAAACCACAAAACTGAAAACTGCATCTTGACTCCTTTTATCCCTAACATGCCTCCCCGGCCCTGGAACGCCCTCACAGGAGGAATTCTTCCCCTGCTGGCAGTAGTAAATGCTGCAGCAACATCAACTACCAGCTCCCTTCCCACAACAGCTGCATACTATGTCAATGGGTCAACCAAGACATTTGCCCATACAACCCTGACTGCCACCGGAACCGATGAAGCAGTCATAATTGTCAAAGAGACAGGCGTTGCTACACTGTCTGATGTGACACTAGTCAAGACTGGTAACACGACCAGCAGCGATGACAGCTCCTTCACGGATCTGAATGCCGCAGTCGGTGTGGAGACCAATGGCACGATTTATATTACAGATAGCACCATCACAACCAATGGCTTGAGTGCCAATGGACTACACACCTATGAGGATGGCACCACCGCCTATCTCTCCAATGTGTATATTCACGCGGAAGGAGATGGTTCACATGGCATCTATACCGCAGGGGGAACCATCTACGGCGACAATCTCAAAATCTATACGTATGATGGCCATGGCAGTGCCATCGCCACTGACCAAGGCGGGGGCCTTATTGTGGTAGAGGACTCAGCCGCATATACATATGGTGCCCTCTCAGCATTGGTCTATTCCACAGGAAATATCACAGTTCGTTCCCTTACTGGCACTTCGGCCATTGCTCCTGTGGCATGTATTGATGGAGCAAACTCGTTTACCTTGACCGACTGTGATGTTTCCTCCGGAACGGAGAACAATGGTGTATTTCAGATCGTGAGTACAGTCTCGAGCAGCACAACGGAAACCGCTTATGCCTATGTGAACGGTGGCTCTGTATCCGAGACCAATGGAACCTATGCCTTGCTCTTTGTGGCCAACATCGAGGCCTATGTGTACTTGACCGATGTCGCCATCTCCATACGTTCGGGAATGCTAGCCAATATCACTGCTGACAGTGACTGGGGTACTTCGGGTGAGAACGGCGGCACTGCCCATGTGTATCTCACGGGGATTGATGTCATCGGCGACATCTACGTGGATGACATCAGCGCGATCAATTTGTACCTGATCGGGTCAAGTTGGACAGGCGCGCTGAACGAGGCGAACACGACGGGGTCTGCATCCGTGTATCTGGATTCCAGCAGTACTTGGACACTAACGGGGGATTCCAATGTCGAGAGCATCAGCTGTTATCGACAGAATCATCTTGCCGTTTGGCTTCGTTGCTATTGCGACAGGTGGTGTGACTTATGGTGGTCTCATGGTAAGTTTCTAGGCAATAGACCGTTCTAATGAATTCTGCTAACGCGCATTGGCAGAGAGGCAAGGAGGTCTTCAACGGCCTCGCCCACTTCATCAAAGGAGGTATCTTTTTCTGGTATGGTCTTCTGACTCTGGGACGCATGCTTGGCTGCTGGGCCGACCTGGGTTGGGCCTGGAACGTGAAGCCATCCAGTCCCATTGTCGGTAAATGTAAGGCGAAGATCCCCACGGGTGAATTCACTGAATCATTCGTGATCTTCCTCTACGGCGTTACCAACGTCTTCTTGGAGCACCTCACCGGTTGGGGTGGCGCGTGGACTGCCACCGACCTTGAGCATGTGTCCATCTCCATCATGTTCTTCGGTGGTGGTCTCTGTGGTATGCTCTTCGAGTCGAAGCGCGTCAAAGGCTGGTTGAACAGTACAGTTCTTCAATACCCCTCCCACATGAGCGCACACACCTCAGCAGATACCGCATGGCAGCTCCCTGACACCCAGGGTGTATCACTGAACCCTATGCCTGCGCTGGTCATCCTTCTGTTGGGTATGATGATGGGTTCGCACCACCAGGATAGTATGGTATCGACCATGGTGCACAAGCAGTGGGGTAACCTCCTTGTCGGCTTTGCACTGGCTCGTGGCATGACCTATGTCATCATGTACCTCAAGCCTCCGACCTCCTACCTTCCATCTCGCCCGCCAACCGAGATCGTCGCTGCTTTCTGCTTGATTTCGGGTGGTTTGGTCTTCATGCTTAGTGTAAGTCCAGCAAAGGAACCGCGATTCATCCACAGGACATCTTAGCTGACTCATAGGACAGACCCGGAGCGTGATCCAAACCCTGGAGTACTATGACCTCGACGCGATGTTTGTGTTCACAGTCACTATGGGACTGACCGCCTTCATCATGTCGTGCGAAATTCTCGCCATTGCCTTGAAGGCCTGGGCGGTGAAGCGGGAGTCGCGCCCTGCGCTGCCGCCTTTCCAATTCCCGGCCTCCGCCTGATTTTATTCATGGCTTCCGTTCTGCCGGAGTCCGTCTGACTCGATACGAGTGCTCTGACGACATCGGACAGATACGCAAAACGAACAAACCCCAAAAAACACCATTTGCTTTTGACAGCATTATACCCCCTACAACATTTGATTTTCTTCGGCCTGGTGTCACGGCTCGGACATCAGGTGACGATCATAATACGATCATATATACCACGGCCTTGTTCTATGACTCTCTGTTTATCTCTGATGTGCCCCCGTGTTAATGAATGATATCCCTGTGATGGAAGGATAATGAGGAGGTGGTTTATGACTTTCCTAGTTCTACCGACATAATGAATCCACAATATAAGCATTGTATATGGACTATTTACATTTACTCTTAAGCTCTACTGTATCCAGAACCTCGTCTTAAGACTGAGCTATAATACCCCATGCCACTTCCCCTGAATCCACTAGATGCAGATCACTTCTTCACACTTGGACATACGGTGGAAATTGATCCCGGGGTTAAAGCTCGCTAAAATCCGAACCGCCCGACGAAAGCTTAGCCAAAAAGCGTGACGCCCGACGTCGGCGAGAATTGCCGGTCGGCAGACCCTCGGGGGGCGTTTTCGAGGTACACGAACCGCCACCCGGCGAATTTTGATATCCTTCACGAGGGATATTATTGATAGTCGGCTTGACTGCCTTTGCCTGAATGGCTGTAACAGAGGCTCATATGCAATTGAATATCATGTAAAATTTAATTGATTGGCGGTGTCGGACATCCTACCGTGTCATTCAGGCATTAGTAATGGGATGAGGGGCAACAAGTGGGGAGGGGCATTTTTTGGGGAAAGAAGACGGTTCACGGTGGATGCTGCTCATTTGAGGCAAAGCCCTGTGGATATATCTAGTCGCCATTCCCTCCCTTGACATCCTTGTCACTAGAACTGTTCCATATACCCCTTGTCTATACTTCCCATCAATACCCCAAACCTAACCACCCGTCACCATGGCCTCTAACCCTCCCGGAGCTTGCTGTGCCCAGGGCTTCAAGCACGAAGGCACCCCTGTCGGTGAAGTCAAGAAGATCAACAACAGTATGTTATCCGACTGGATCTTTCCATCCAGGACCGTACCTCTCTTCTAACAACGTCTTCTGCAAACAGTCGACACCTACATTGTCTACCCCAAGGACAACAAGACCCCCGAGAAGGCTGTCCTCTTCCTGAGCGACATCTTCGGTCTCTTCAACAATGCTAAGCTCCTCGCCGATGAGTTCGCCAACAACGGATACCTGTGTGTCCTCCCCGACCTGTTCAGCGGCGACGCCATCGACCCCGTTGCCATGGAGTCCGGCAAGTTCGACATTGGCGCTTGGTTCCCCAACCACCAGCCCGCCAACGTCGACCCCATTGTCGAGTCGACCATCAAGTACATCAAGGGAGACTTGGGCGTTAAGCGCATCGGCGCTGTCGGTTACTGCTTCGGTGCCAAGGTAAGTTGGAACCCACTCTCCAAAAGGTATTTTGCGATCATTTGCTAATGAGGCTCGTTTCCAGTACGTCTGCCGCTTCATGAAGGACGGCCAGATCGACGTTGGTTTCAACGCTCACCCCTCTTTCGTCACCCACGAGGAGCTCGGCGCCATTCAGGGCCCTCTGTCCATTGCTGCTGCTCGTAAGTGGAATCCTTGCTTGCAACGCGTGCGAGGGCGCGCATGCTGACTTGGTTTCAAACAGAAATCGACAACATCTTCACCACCCAGCTCCGTCACGAATCTGAGGAGACCCTCATCAAGACTGGCAAGCCCTGGCAGATCAACCTGTACAGCGGTGTCTCCCACGGCTTCGCTGTTCGCGCTGACCTGAGCGTCCCCCACTTCAAGTGGTCCAAGGAGCAGGCTTTCTGCCAGGCCGTCAACTGGTTCAAGCAGTACCTGTAAATGCGTGCGGTAGAGAATAGAGAATTAGCGGCTTCTTCTGTACATGTTACCATTAGTTAAATAATGAACCGGTATGAGGCATGATAGTTCTGAAGATCCATCAAGGCTATATAAAAAATACTGTGAAGAGAAGTAGGTGATGTAGAGCAGAAAGGAACGATAAGCGTTATCTGCCACGTGACCCCGGAGGATCCGCGCTTGGAAGAGAAAAGGCGAGACCAGATCAGCCTTCATTTAAAAGCAACCAGATCCAGCCACCCCCGGAAAGCACTAAAGTAGTGCCTCTGCTCTCTTCCCTGGGGCTGTCTGGCCTTACCTTTCTAGATTATTGTTTCCCGCTATCTCTTTGCGCTGTTTGAGTTCCATCCGTTGGCCTGTTTCATCTTCGCTCAATTCCCGTCGCGTATACCGGAGTTTGCGTGCATTGCATCCCGTGGCTTCAGAACGAGTCATTGCCAATAATTCAAAGCCCTTAGGTCCCTCATCAAAACCAAGAGAAATACTATTTCCCGAATTGTCCTACCCGATTTCGCTCCTTTCTCTTACACTACGAGACGTTCTTAAGCCCTTGTCGCCAATCCATCGCTCCCTAGACTCCGCCAGTCCCGTGTCGTGCATCACACCCTCGACTTCCACGTCGCCTTCATTGATTGACTCCCCTTCGATACTATCGGCCTTTATAATACAGTTGTAATTCACTGCCTTGACATATCGTCTCGCTACGGCCATTCGCCCTCCACTATGGCCACTCCCGCCGCACTTCCGCCGCTACCCTTCAACCCGTCCAGGGTACGGTCTTACGTCCTCCGCCTACCGCTTTTCACCCGGCTCGTGCTTCTAGCGATCATTGTTTTCTGGCTGCTGGAGCTGCAGACAATTTGGAGCGTGGTACAATGGGGCTCCGTGATACCGGAGGAGGTTGGATTCGGCACCAGTATGTCTCTTCGGGCACACGTGGCCTTGCAAGTACAGCCAGGTTCTGACTCCTAGGACAGTGTACCGTCTTAACACCTACCCTTTCATCCACTTGGGATTCTTCCATGCCTTCTTGAATATCCTGGCGCTCACTCCCTTGTTGGAGCGCTTTGAGGCCGAGCATGGCACGTTGACCGCCGTTGCGCTGTTTATTGGGCGTAAGTTGCCTCTTGGAGTGCTCTGGGATGGATGAATGGATGTGCTAACGGATTTCTGCTTCTCGCTTAGCTCTCTCTACGCTCCCTGCAGGCATTTACATTCTGATTGAGAAGTTTGTTTTGCATAGAAACACTGCCGTTGTGGGTTCAAGGTGAGTGTTCTGTAGCATCTCCGGGTTGTGAGATGGTATCTAATGGGTATTTAGTATCTGGGTCTTCCTTCTCCTGGGTTCCGAGGCCATTCGGACTTTTAAATCAAACCCCTACTTTAGGTATGTTCGAGCACGAGTCTGCTTCAGAGTTCTCGGCTAATACAGCTTCAGTCTCGGATCGACCAAGATTCCCACATGGACGTCGCCCCTGTTCGCATGCGCTCTTGTCTCGATCCTTGTACCTAACACCAGTTTCCTTGGCCATCTCTGCGCTATTCTGGTTGGATACTTGCGTAAGTAATTGGTCTTCTGTAGACCTCCGTTCGCAGCTAATCTGCTCGACAGTCGGCCTCGGGGTCCTCAAAATTTTCGTTCCCCCGGAGAAGGTTTTGAGATGGATTGAAGGTAAACTCAACCTGCTCGGTAGACTGCCACACTATGTGTCAGTGGATCAGAAGACGTACGGCCGTTATGGTGTCCTTCCAACGACTACCACCGGCGGAGAAAGGGGAACCCCGATGAGCTTCCTCGGCTCATCGCAACGCCTTGGTCCGTGAGGACTAAGGACTAACGCTATACCTAAATGGTTACATTCTTGTGCATATTTAATTAGCATTATACAGCATTCAATAGTGACTCGCAATTTTTGCGGGGAAAGCAAATAATACTGAATCTAGGGGAAGTTGTGCAGGTGGTCTATAGCGGTTGACGTAAATTTGCGGGCAGATCGATTAGTGCTCCGTAGCGGCGGTAGACATCTTGCTCCGATCAAGCACCACCATCACCATGGGATATGGTTCTCGAATGCTTCAGATCCCATGGCCTTGAAATGTAAGATACTTTTTATTGCTACTCTGAAGCTTTGTCTACGATATTGCGCTCCCCATTCCCCCTTTGCCCCCTCTATCTCCGTGCTACTCACCCTTCACCTTACCCCGGATTGTCGCGAAGGACACCTCAAAAGAGACCAGACCACGTTGACAGATACCCATAACAGCTGCGATCCGCAAAGTGCGGAGTAATCCTCACTTCCTCTTCGTGCACCTACCGCACATCCTCTCTTTTATCTGCATCGTCGCCGGCGTTATATGGCTCCTCCTTCTCCCTCTCAACGATTACTCCCGACAGACCTACATCTCCGAGAACGCGCTCCTGCCGGGTCAAGTCCACGCATATTTCTCCGGTAGCGAGCAGCACATCTTCCGCGGGTACAAGAAAGAGCTAGAGGGGGTGCTTGAAGGACAGACTGGCGAGGGACAGGAAGCGTGGAACGATGCCTTTACTCCTGCGTATGTTGCTGGAGCTCCGCACCGCCGCGAATGGCGTACACGCTGAATGGATGGGATCATGTTGCTGACAGAAGATGCGCTGCTGCTTAGGGTGTCGGATAAGATTCAATCGATTCTGAAAGCTACCGGTCTCAAAGTTGCTACGCAGAACTACGAATACACGTCGTCAGGGATCACGCATCAGGGTCAGAATGTCTACGCTATCATTCAGGCGCCGCGTGGAGATGCCACCGAAGCTATTGTGCTCGTGGCGGCTTGGAAGACGGTGGAGGATGAGCTGAATCTAAATGGTGTTACGCTTGCGCTGACGCTGGCGAGATACTTTAAGCGTGGGTGGCTTCCTTCGTTGGTGATTATGAGATGTGGTATGGTTTGCTAATTGGAAGGAGAGTAGGGTGGTCGCTGTGGTCGAAGGATATCATCTTCTTATTCCCGCCGGACAGTAAGGCAGGTACTCAGGCGTGGATTGACGCATACCATGATATGCAGCCGGCGTTTGTGCAACCCCTTCCCTTAAAGAGCGGTGCTTTGCAGGGAGGTTTGGTGGTCGAATATCCGTTTGACCATCGGTTCGAGTCCCTGCATATTCTCTACGACGGCGTCAATGGCCAGTTGCCCAATTTGGATCTGTTTAACACGGCTATATCCATTACCGGTGGGCAGATGGGCATTGGGACCAATCTGCAAGAGATGTGGGATCACGATGATAGTTACGAGATGCGGTTGCAGACCATCATGAGAGGAATGGTGAAGCAGGGCTTTGGCTATGCCACGGGTCCTCACAGCAGTTTCATGCCGTATCACATTGATGCTATCACTCTCCAGACGAAGGGCGAGGGCTGGCAGGATGAGATGGCGCTGGGCCGCACAGTCGAGAGTCTTTGCCGCAGTCTGAATAACCTCCTCGAGCATCTGCACCAGAGTTTCTTCTTCTACCTTCTCATGCAGACCAATCGGTTCGTCAGCATTGGTACATACCTCCCCAGCGCGATGCTGATTGCCGGTAACTTCACCATCATGGCAATCGCCCTCTGGCTCCGGACAGGCTATTACCCTGGCTCCCAGCAAGCCTCAAAGTCCACTAATGAACCAGTTGCAACTACAACTACTGAGAAGCGCGACGACAAGCAAGCACCACCCGCGAAACCAGACACCAGCAACAACATCATAGAACGTCAACTGGCCCTCCCACTCACCCTAGTCGTCGGCCTCCACCTCCTCGGTTTAATTCCCCTCTACATCTTCAACAACATCCCCCACCAGGTCCGTACCCCCATTAAACCCCTCTCATCAATCTAAACTCCCACTAACAACCACCCCAGTACTACGAAACAGCAACCTACACCAGCATCCTCGCAAACCTCATCCTTCCCCTTCTCCTATCCGCCACCCTATCGCACACCCTAACCCCCCACCCACAACAATACCACCTCATCAAATCCTTCTCTCTCCTCATCCTAGGCCTCTTCCTCTCCACCCTCGCAACCCTCAACTTCTCCCTCTCCTTCATGGTCGGCCTCCTCTGCGCCCCTCTAAGCTTCATCCATCGCATCAACCCGCAATCCACCTCCCGTCCCCTCAGATACATCCTCAGTACGCTGGCTCTGGCGCTACTGAATGTGCTCTCCCCACCTGTTGTTCTGCTCGCGGCGTGCTGGTACTTCGGGGCTGATGTCGAGACGGTCTTGACGCAGGCCGCTTTCGGATGGGATGTTTGGGGCGTGTGGACGCAGGTCGTTGTTTGGTGTGTTTGGTGGCCTGCGTGGGTAGCTGGGTGTGCGTTGGTGGGGTTTTCGTTGTTTTCTTGTTGATCGAATGGGTTGAGTATGTTTGGGGGATTGGATCAAGAGTCATGAACCTGTGGTTCGGTCGGTTCTTGATGGGTAGAAATCTTACTACGAAGGTTGGGGGGGTAAGGATGGATAGATCATTAGTTATTTCTTCTTCCGTTTTTGTATTATACTAGGCATGCATTTATGTATAGGCTGAATTATATTATATCAGGCGTTTTTGTCGGAATGTGAGTGTAGCGAGCTAGGGAGGGCTTCGTAGATCTCAATTATAATGAGGTTCTAGTACTTGTTCGTACATACATGCATGGTAAGGTAACTCTTTTACCCAAGTCAGGACAGGACCAATCATAAGAAACAGAAGGCGATTTAATTAAAGGAGAAAAAGGGGACTTATGCAGCCCACACATCCTTTCCAACGCCCTCAATCCAGTGACCCAGCTGGTTGACACCAGCATCCCAATCCCTCAGACGGTTCCGCATGCCCTCGATCTGCTTCATATCCAGCACCTTCGGCTGCACCCAGTTGATCTGGGCGACCTGAGCCACCTGATCAATGGCACCCTTGAGCAAACCCAGCGACAGGGCCTTCATGATCAGATGCTCGATCTCCTGGGGCTTGACCTTCGTTTCGGCGGAGATGGCCGAGAAAGTCAGGTTGCGGTCGTGCGGGGGCCGGCGGAAAACCATCTCCGTCAGCGCGGACAGGGAGATCTTCTGGTATAGGAAAATGCGGTGCTGCTCAAGCAGCTGGTTCTTGGAGATGTTTCCGGCGAGGACGTCGTAGGCGGTCAGGTCGCCGCGGTTGAAGGCGAACAGGAGCTCGCGCAGCCAGCTGTGCGGCGTCTCGGTGAGGGAGTCCAGGATCGGGTGCAGGAGTAGTTCACCAAAGTTGTAGATGGTGTCGGAGACGAGCGCGGCCACACTGAGGTTGTATGCGCGGGAGACGCGCTCGGCTTCGCTGAGATCCTCGAGGTTGATGCAGGCGAGGTATAGGAGGGCATTCTTGTAGAAGGAGGCGAATTCTTGTTTGGTCTGTAGAAGGGGGAGAAAGGTTAGTGAGTCCCAGGTGGCAGGTGCGGGGGGTACATACGTGGTAGTAGTCCGCGTTGACTTTGTAGAAGGAGGCGTGCACCACGGTCTCCACGGAGTCGAACGTGTCCAGCACTTTCTGGCATGTCTCCAGGTCCTTCTGCGCACCGTTCAGGTCTTGTAGCCGTTGCTTGACGTTGGCGACATCCGCGAGGGCGTAGATGTAAGCATCTTGTGACTCGGGCTTGTTCACTTTGTCTGCCAGCGATGTGAGGAAGGTGAGGCGTTCTTGGTCATCTGTTGCAGTAGTGTTAGCGATAGCTTTGTATTGCGAAAGCTCTAGCGATCGATAGCTGGGATACAAACTTGAGCATTCTGTTGACGCCATCAACCCCAGCGAAACGAACTTGAGCTGATTGATTCTGTCGGCGAAGCTGAGGACGAAACTCTTGAATATCGGTAGTCGCTGAGCTGCACTCTCTGGTAGACGGAAGAACTCAATCAAGGAATCCGTAAGCTGATGCCATAGTTTGCGTTCCCAGTAATCTTCGAAGCTCAGGAAATAGGCCTGGCATTGCTCGGGAGCTTGCTGCAGCTGGTCGGCGAGGAAATCGGAGATCCGTTGGTTCTCCATGATGGAGGAGGATTATGAAATGCGGCGTGAGGTCTAGAATGTGATGGATGAAAAGATCGGAGGGAGTGAGAAGGCTAATGGACGTAATGGGGGGGAGATGGAGGCAGGGAAGCTGATCTGAAGTGGAAGCGGAGCTGGTCGTGATGCAGCGCCGTCGAGCTCGGGCGGTGAGGCACATGACATCCTACATCATCTTCCGTCTACTATATCGAGATTTCTCCGGCTTCACTTAGGATGAGAAGTAGCGTATCCAATCAAATCATTGGGCAGAAATTGCTGGTCCTTCTGCGAGCGTGTTAGCTGGAGGTGCCTGATCTTTGCCGCTTTAGGAGTTAACCTGGCGGCGACATTGGATGGTTTACAAGAAGTATCCGATATGTCTCCGAACTTGCCTACTGTCAGCTCCTAGTCAGTCTGCTCAGCCATGGTCAAGCAAGCTATAAATATGGCTCTCTACACCCGTATTCCTCCTTTCTCGTAGTCATCCCAAGATCTTTTCCAAGCGGCAGTTGATCAATTAAATCATTCATACATACCTATACTGTGAATACCTAAGTCGACTCTCTATCTAAACATGGCAGAGCACGCAGAGCACACAGAGAGGAATCGTCAGTACTTTGAGTATGTGCACACCCATCTTTAGTTTTATTGATCATTTGTCTCACAATCTACAGCAAGTTGGCCAAGTCCTACACCAACGACTTCAAGAGTGTCCTGGAATTTATTTGCAGGCTAGTGGATCGTCACCGTCCCTGGATCAGTGATGCATGGGTCGACACGGAGGCTGGAAAGGGGAAAGAGATTAAGATGCTAGAGTATGCATGTGGGACTGGGCCTGTGTCTTTGGTAAGTCACTATGTCTTACTAGATTTCCTGTTGAAGCAGCCCTGTCATGAACCGCAAGCTGATTCCATAAGACATTGGCACCTTTTGTGTCGAAAATCGTTGGACTCGACGTCTCAGATAATATGATTAGCGAGTACAACAAGAATGCCGAAGAAGCGGGCTATGGAGACAAGATGGTCGCGCTCAAGGGTGACCTTCTGGCTGAGACTGCTCCGGCAGAGCTCTCAGGGCCCGAGTACTTTGACTTTGATCTCGTGGTTGTCAGCATGGCCCTTCACCACTTTGAGAGACCAGAATTAGCCATGGCCCGCTTTAGTGAACGTCTGAAGAAAGGTGGTGTGTGCGTAATCGTCGACATTGTGCCAGACGATCACCACCATGGCCATTGTCACAAGGTTGAGCATGGCTTTGGCGATGCTGAGCATACGGTCAAAAGCCACGGGTTTACCACGGAGCAGATACAGCAGCTATACGGAGGAGCAGGGCTTGGGATGGGCTTCAAATATGATATTTCGAAGGAGCAGGTCGTATTTCGCAAGGACGGAAAAGAGCATTTAAAGACCATATTTATTGCTCGTGGGCAGCGTGCGTGATACCGATGGAATAGCTGCTCATGTCTTGGTGATAGCTTAATAATGCGATACGACAAGTGCCCCGTTCATTCAGTAGCAAAGCGATGTTCAAAAATCACTACTTCTGCAGCAATTGACATTGTAGTTCTTGGTTGTCAAACGTAGATTCATTTGCATCTCGACATGACGATTATGAGCGCCTAGCAACCAATCAGAGGCTTTTAATAGTCAGACGCGCTCCGGTGTAAATTGCAGTGACGGCCACAACAACACCATCTTGGCTAGATATGCGAGTAAAGGGTGATGAATGAAAGAATTACTCATTCAGGTACTAACTTGATCTCTGAATTGTCCTTGAAACAACTGGGAAAGAGTTGGCCAACAATTGAAGGGTCGAGGGTGCTGTCCGAAACGGGACTAGCGCCAAGTCCCGTGCCAACTCCAGGATATTCGGGACCACGACTTTCGACCAGCTGCAGTACAAGTCCTGACGTCGAGCTACGCTCTCTCCCCTCTCCTCACCATTGTCCATTGAAACACCGATCCGGACGCAGTTCGGTGGTCTCATCCGTTTCATATCCAGAATTGAGACCATGCAGACGTCCCGGGCCGTCAATTCCGCCATGGGCGCCAGGGCATTTGTCCCCGCTCCTAAGATCCGATTCCAGATCCAGCGCCGGAATCTTCAGGATGTCGCGATCACTAGAACTGGAAAGCCGATTCTGAAGGTCCAGGGTGGCCGGTAAGGCGCATTGCCGTTGTTATGGAGCTCCGCGATGCTGACTAGTCTCTGTTACAGGTCCTCTTTGGGAGGTACATATCCCTCTTCTGCCCGCGCCGGTCTCACACTGCCAGATGGCTAAAATTGCTCTTCTTTAGGTCACACCGCGACCGTCTTCGGTGCTACTGGTTTCCTCGGTCGTTACATCGTCAACAAGCTCGGTATGTTGGTCAATTGGTCGGAAGGGAGCACAGGAATTGACGCCATCCAGCTACGCAGGGATGCACCGTTGTCGTCCCCTACCGTGAGGAGATGACGAAGAGACACTTGAAGGTCACTGGTGACCTTGGTCGTGTCAACTTCATTGTATGATAATCCGTCAGCAATTGGGTGGTTTGGCTTGGCCCACTAATCGTGGTCTAGGAATACGATTTGCGCAACACCCAGTCCATTGAGGAGGCTGTCCGCCATTCCGATGTCGTCTACAACCTTGTCGGCCGTCAATATCCCACCAAGTCAGTTATACACGGGCATGATACTAGCGCCGGCTGCTAATAATCGCGCAGGAACTTCTCCTACACTGACGTCCACGTCGACGGTACTGAGCGCATCGTTGAGGCGGTCGCCAAGTACGACGTTGATCGTTTCATTCACGTCTCTTCCTACAACGCCAGCCGGGATTCTCCTTCCGAGTACTTTGCGACCAAGGTCCGTGGATTGATCCGCAATTGTTAAGCTCATACTGATTTTCGCAGGCCTGGGGTGAGGAGATTGTCCGCAACATCTATCCCGAAACCACCATTGTCCGCCCTGCGCCCATGTTCGGTTTCGAGGACAACCTCCTCCACAAGCTCGCTCGCGTGACCAACCTCCTCACATCGAACCACATGCAGGAGCGCTACTGGCCCGTCCACGTAGGTTAAGAGGTTGACTTTGTTAGGATTGATGCTAACATGCTTAGGCCATTGATGTCGGTACTGCTCTGGAGCGCATGCTGCACGACGACAGCACCGTCGGTCAGACCTTCGAGCTGTACGGCCCCAAGAACTACTCCACCGCCGAGATTGCCGAGCTGGTCGACCGCGAAATCGTCAAGCACCGCCGTCACGTCAACGTGCCCAAGGCCATCCTCAAGCCTCTGGCGCACTACCTGAACAAGTTCCTCTGGTGGCCCACCATCTCCGCCGACGAGGTGGAGCGTGAGTTCATCGACCAGGTGATCGACCCCAACGCCAAGACGTTCAAGGACCTCGACATTGAGCCTGTCGAGCTCAGCACCCTGACCTTCCACTACCTGGTAAGCATACCCTTATAAACAATATTTCGGATCAAGCTAACTGGATACAGCTGGGCTACCGTAGCGCCTCGTACTACGATCTCCCTCCGGCCACGGAGCGCGAGAGACAGGAGGAGAAGAAGTACCTGCACGTTCTCGACGATCAGTAGTCTGTTTTTTTAGTGTACATAACCTACTAGACCCAAATTTCGTTTGTTCTGTCACAGTGTAGTGGTATTACTCAGTAGAAGCATAGCCGCGGCATCTCCGCATCCGGATATCCATCCATCCATCCATCCCACTTCACAACCACAACAACTCCTCCTACACCCACAACCACCACCAAACAAAAACACTCATACATCATGACCTCCCCAGAGAATACCAATAAACCTCCCATCATCCTGCTCAAAACCAAATCCACCCCCCACGACAACTACTCCGACTACTTCCACCAACCCACCAGCGACTACAATCCCACCTTCATCCCGGTCCTCTCGCACAACTTCCACACCGAGAGACTACGCTCCATCCGCGCGCTCTTCACCTCCGGAGCCCTCCTCCCTCCCCAATCTCAAGATAAAGATAAACACCATGCTCGAAAATACGGCGGCCTGATCTTCACCAGCCAGCGCGCAGTCGAAGGCTTCGGCAGAGTACTTGCCGAACTTGATGATGGTATGTTTTCCCTACCCCACCACCACCACCACAAACAAATACTAACACATATATATAAACAAACCAGACCCCTCAGCAAAGCAAACAATAGCTTCCTCCTCCACAAACCTCCCAATCTACACCGTCGGGCCCGCAACCCACCGCTCCCTGACCACCATCGTGAACAGCTACCTACCGCACGCGAGCATCCACGGCGCGGATACAGGGAATGGAGAGGCATTAGCGAAGTTCATTCTCCAACATTATAATTCTCTCTACACTACTACCCCGTCAGACACTAATGGGGATGTGTCGAAGCCACCGTTGCTTTTCCTTGTTGGTGAGCAACGACGGGATATTATCCCGCGGACACTTATGAGCTCGGAGCTTGTCCCGGAACAACGCATTGGTGTGGATGAGGTGGTTGTGTATGAGACGGGGGTGATGGAGGGGTTTGAGGGGCAGTTTAGGGGGGTTGTTGAGCGGGAGAGGGAGGTTATGAAGGGTGATAGTGATAGGGTGGTGTGGGTGGTGGTGTTTTCGCCGACGGGGTGTGAGGGGATGTTGAGGGGGTTGGGATATTTTGATAATAAGGGTGGTAAGGGTGATTGGGGGGATAAGGGTGAAAGGAGGTTCTTTGTTGCGACGATTGGGCCGACGACGAGGGATCATTTGAGGAAGGAGTTTGGGTTTGAGGCGGATGTTTGTGCGGAGAGGCCGAGTCCCGAGGGGGTGGGGGAGGGGATTGAGAGATTCATGAGGGAGAAGAAGAATTTGTCATGATGGTTTTTCTTTGTAGACTTGGGAAGAGAGGAGTGTAAGATATCGGCATGTGTAGATACCCTTAGCTTAAGAAGTTCATGCCACTCTATGAATCGCTAACGTAATGTATATTCAAGCTGGACTATCGCTGAAACTGCACGCCGCTTCCACATCAACATCAACAACAATCTCGAGATGCTGCAGTCATGACTCCCTCACAATTGGGCTATTCAATATATTACTGCGTACAAGGCCAGCGCGCCTGGTGCCGCGGCCTGTTCTCTATGCATCCATGGGTATGTGCTAAGCCAACTCCGTCCATCATGTCAGGCTCTGCCTTCGTTCCATGTCGGGTGGTATATCAATTGCATTCATCGACTCGTGAAGCCTTTACCGCATAATCTCCTCGTAGATCAGGACTGCGCATGTCAGTAAAGAGTCTCGAATGCAGATGCGGTTTACTTACGCTTCAGTTGCTCCTTGCTGAGTGCATCCTTGTTCTTGTCAAAATCAAAGAAGCCTTCGGGAATCGGGGGCGCCGTTGGCTCGTCATCAGGGTCATGGTACGGCTCGAGGTACGGATGACGCAACGCCTCCTCGACAGTGATACGCTTCGCAGGGTTGAACGCCAGAAGCTTCTCCAAAAGGTCCAGCGCCAGCTCGTTGCTCTTGGGGAACATTGCGCGGAAGGGAATCTTCTTCTTGAAGGGCAATGAGCGAATGTACTCCCGAGCCCGGCGAGACTTGATGCCGTAGTAGTCCTCCATAGTTGGCGTGCCCAGGACATCAAGAATCAGAGTCAGTTGGTGGTGATAGTCCTTTCCGGGGAAGAGCGGCTTTCCACTCAGCATTTCCGCCAGGATACATCCAACACTCCAGACATCGATCGCCTTGGTGTATTCCTTGAACGTCAACATGATCTCCGGGGCACGGTACCACCGTGTCGCGACGTATTCCGTCATGAATCCAGAGTTGTCGTCGGTTGATGCGGCTGACCGGGCCAGACCAAAGTCGCAGACTTTCAGGTCGCAGTTTGCATTGAGGAGAAGGTTGGAGGGCTTGAGATCACGGTGGAGGACGTTGGCGGAGTGCATGGCCTTGAGCGCACGCAAGGTCTGGTAGATAAAGTATTGGCAGTGGTCATCGGAGAGGTCCTGAGTACGAATGACCCGGTGCATATCCGTCTCCATCAGTTCCTGGATCCGTCAGTCCAATCTTCGCTGAATTAATGACGATGAGCGTTACCTGAATCAGATACACCTCGTTGAAGCTCTCATAATTCCGAGGCCTCTGGATATCCAGAATGGAAATGATGTTTTCATGGTTGAAGTAGCGCAGCAGCTTCATCTCACGCAGAGTCCGCAAGCAGAACATCGAGTGGTCGAAGGGGGTGATCTTCTTGATGGCGACCTTCTGGCCAGAAGGCTTGTGGATAGCAGAGCTTCGGTTCATTAGTATGCTGCCATCACTCACGCCGAGCAAGTGAGCAAACTCACCATACAACACCGTAAGCTCCCTCACCAATGACATCCTGGATCTCATACTGGTCGGAAACGTTGAAAGAGATCTTTCGCGACCCCCCTTGAGGAGGCATTTGCTGCACCATAATTGCGGTTTGTGAACTATCAAGTGTCAGTCGAAATCAATGAGCGTATCTGCTGCATTCAGTTGTGTTGGGTCGTGTACTCAGTAGACTATCTCATCACACCCCATGACACCTGAGTGAAGTGACAAGGTAGGCCCGTCACATGCAACAAGATGGCCTATTGAGTAACACCGCGACCCACCACATGTTCAGGCAACAGATGCCAGGCTAGCGCTTACAGGAGGGCTCTCAATTGATGTGGTTATGTTGGGGGGGCTAATAACCGCCAATGCGCATGCTAGGGCGAGAGTGGTAGACGAGTGACAGTCGTTCGGGAGCTGTCAAGGATCGGAAGCGGGGTACAGCGCGTCTGCAATCGAAACCACGGAGGACCCGCAAGTAGCCGCCAGGAGTTCCGGAGGCGCCTGTACGTTCGGGATGGGAGGGATTCAATGTAGATTCGGGAACCAGGGGCGGTTGGTCGTGAGGCAGGCCGGGCGAACCGCTCAGCAAGGACGTGGGGTGGATGTATGTGATGACCTGAAAAGGAACTGGAGGATGTCAATGAACCGATCCAGCACGAGCGAAGAGAACCTTTTGTAATACTCCAGGTCAAGAGGCAAGACGTCGCTGAAAAGGAGATGGACTTACCAATGTTGAGGAGCTATTTTCACACTCCGTCTGGCGTTTCACAGTTCCGTTCTATTTTTAATTCCGTTGTATGGTGTCTCCCTCGTAGCTTGCGCTATGCAACCGCGAGTCAGTTTCAAAGGGTTCTTTGAGCTTTCTCGAATGGACAGTGGAAACACACCAGGGGCAGATCGGAGGGGGGAAACAGAAGAGTAAGCGCAGAGGAGGGAAAAAAGACAGCAGGAGCAGTTCGAGAGATGTGGAGAGGGGATGGAGAGACACAGAGCAATAGTGAAGGCAGTAGTAGGACACAATGAGGAGACTAGCGTACGTAGTTGGAAGTTAATAAACCGGGCGCGGATCGGCCAGAGTGGGGTGGGGCAGGAGGAAGAAGAAGAAGAAGAGAGGGAGAGATGAAAGATGATGAGGGAGATGAGTAGCAAAGGTATGTCATCAATAACACGAACAACAATAGCGATCACGATAAATAGAGAAAGAGAGAGGTGAACAAGTGTTCTTGCTCGGTGAATGCGTGGCCTCTCTTTGAAGACACAACAGATGAGGGGGAAGAACCTACCAAATCTCGGGATTGTTGAAGAGGACCCGGAAAACGTGGAGCAAGTTATCGATAGAAGGCACCGACCCAGGGAACGACACTCGATAGCAGATAAGCCACAAGCTGTAGTAGTCGTAGATTAGGGAGGTTTGAAGACCCAGGGGAGTAGTGAAATTGATAAATATAGCACTTGAACCAACAATGGAGAAACCACCACCACCAACAACACCCACCAGTGGGAGAGACCGAAACTTAAGGGAAATTCCATCCCATCCAGTCAAGTTGGAGGGGAAGAAGATCCAAGTTCCCCGGTTGCCTGAAGAAGCTGGCAGCGAGGACAGACCAGCTGGTTAGCAACTATTTGGTTACGGTACGGTACGCGTGCCTGATCCAGTGTTTCCCACACTTCAGTTCCCACCAGGAACATCGCCATCATCAATCACTAACTATCATCTTCTTCTTCATGAAAGAGATCTATTTATCTTGATTGTCTATAGATTAAACTATACACCATTTCCATTACTATCCATCTATCTCCCATCAATCCCAAACTCGTCTTTCATCTCTTCATCTCACCTTTTACCCTTTCCATACCATTCTGGCCCCCTCCTTCTACCCAAACTAACCCCATACTAACCACTACTACTTACTCTTCCAAGAATTCGAAATGAGTCCTCCGTACAACTCACCAACTAGCTACTCCATCAAGTAGGAGAAAGGCAGACCCATCACTCACAACAGCCTCACAGTCGATCAACTTGGTCCCTCCTTACATCCTGTCATCTTAACGTGGCCGTCAATCCCCCTAGAATGGGCCCCTCCCCCCCTCCTCTAACTTCTGAGGCTACGTCTCGACCAGTGTTTCAACGCCTTTTTCTCCGCCCAGACGAGACACACACCTACCAGTCACTTTACTCCATAGATAGATACTACTATTTAGGTGTCTAGTCTACCGCCACGGCGCCAAACCGCAACCCAACCCTCCGTTTCACGCTCAGTTCCCCCCCACCAGCAGCTCCAACCAACTCTCTCTCTGTGTGTGTGTCTGCTAATCACATTCCTTCACACTAACTAGTAACTACAACCTACCTATCTACTTGGTTGCCCGCACAGGTAAATTTGACCAGGGAAGGGAGGCGCAGTACATACCCCATCCATCAATCAAATCACACTACGCTACTTTACTTCATCTCATCACATAAACTAGTCTACCAAAACTCGTCACATTTTCCCTACCCGTCCCCCTCCTTGGGTAGTAGTCTAGTAGTCGACATAGTTATGTCTTGCTCGTACTCCGTGCCCTTCCCGCGGCAAGTAAGCCATTCTCCCCACCCGATTCGTCCAGCCCTGCGCCATTCTATGCTGTGATCTAAAGTTTATGGTGCATGTCACAGGCTCATACTCCGTAGTAGATACTTAGTTTGAAAGCAGTGATTGGAAAACCTTGTTTTGTTTTTCTTTTCCCTAACTTCTGGCACGGGAGGGATGTCAGACTATTCTAATATCTAGTCTAGTAACCATCCAAGTACTACTTGACTAAAGCAAGTGGGGACAAGCACTGTGTGTGGACGGGAAGGGAAGTCAGTGCCCTGTCGGTGTGATGGCACATGCGGGTATATTTCGGGAGGGAGAGGAGATGACCACTGCCGAGGGATGATGTTGAAACTAGTACTAAGTCTAGAGACTTTTATTTCTTGAGGCGAAGCGCAGGGTTAGATGTATATACTTGACTACTCCGCAGTAGTAGATACTGTATGAAGAGAACCATGGGCAAGTGCTTTGCCTTCCATTTTTCTTCCCATTAACAACAACAGCACGGTTAAGTTACAACCAAACCACATCGCCAAACAGACAGCATAATCCATGGGGAATGTATGGTGGAATTTCTTCCGTATAATTTACCAACACGAAGGAAAAGGAACAAGGATAACTCGATTAGAAGCTTATCATTACTGAACAACCTGTAGGCGTGTTCAAGCTCGTCAGCCCGATCTGACTCCCAAGTATGTGGAACGAGGTGTCGAATGCCGGCGGAGGTAGAGCGCTTATGGGGGGAAATAAAATGGGGTGATCAAACCTTTTCCCGCAGCGAGCCCATCCACTGCACCAGGCTGACGCTCTGGTCAGCACGGTCCTCAACCAGCATGGTCTGCGCCCATAAGCGGAGTCCAGGCTCTCCATCCTCCTTCACCACATACAGGTGTGGCACCACAATGCTGCCCACGCCCTTCGACCGGTGATCCCGGCTCTTCTCAACCACCGCCCGCACCCGCTGGTTGAATTCGTTGTCCACATCCGGCAGGTTCTGCTTGCCTACGCGGAGTTGCGACTTGTCTTGCAGGCCAAAGACATCTTCGATCAGCTGAGGCACCGCATCGCGTCCAACCCACAGGAACTGCGTCTGGCCGTCATCGATGAGGTAGAGACCATAGGGAACAATGCGCTCGGATGAAAGGTTGATCGGGGGAGGGAGAAGGATCTCGCCGGTCTGCTCATCGGGCAATCCGGCAGTGTCGGGCATGTCATGAAGGGAATACATCTTAGGGTAGATGTACTGCATGAGGAGAGGAAGGGGGAGCGTCGAAAGCAAGCAGAGGGCAGCAGAGCGCATGTCGGTGGGTATTTGCGCGGATTTCCGAAGACCAAGCTAATCGGTGTTAGCAATCACGATTGAACATACAACCTTCTTTGACAGGGACTTACGTTTTTGATCATGGCAAGGAAGAGGACTGGCAAGCCTCTTAGGTTGGCAGGGAACTGAAGACCACCGCCGCTGACACTGCCTCCAGCCAATTCCTTCCGGTAGGTCGACAGCAACTCCACGGCCTTGGTCTGCAGAGCCTCGCGGGCAGGCTCCAGCCCGCTGCTCAGTGCCCGCTCAACGGCCTTGTGACTGAAGTAAGTAGCAACAGCTTGTTGATCGGCCGAAGCGTAGACATCAGCCAGGTTTTGCGTCGTAGGGAGCGCCAGAGTCAACACCCGGATTCTGCGCTCGCCGTTGCATGTAGTGTGCAGAACCGCCGTCTGCAGGCAGACAACGGGTTTCGTGACGGTCTCGTCAATCGCCACTTCAACGACATATGCTTGGTCACGCGGGAATGCAGGGAATGCACACAGATCCGAACTGCGGTTGAAGAAGTTACCGTAGAAAGTGTTCATGCGCAGACCGGTCGTAGCACGGACACGGAGCACAGCCTCCAAGCCAATCTCCGAAGAGAGGTAGTCGGAAAATTCACGAGCGAACTTGATCGCGTCCTCCCCACGAGCAGCGTTCCACCCAGGGTAGAAGTAAGTCTGACCGCCGGTGTAGCGGGGCAGGTTACTGAGAGACGCAACATCCTGGTATTGCGAAGAGAACAGGAACATGTCCACGGAGACCTGCGCCTTGGAGCACTCGACAGCGAAGCTCTTGTAGAAGCTGTTCGCCGTCTGCAGCAGACTGCTCTCCTTGCTAGTGCCAAGGACCTTCTTGTCTTCTCTCATGGTCAACGAGCCATGGCCAATGTTGGGCAGGGAGGAGCTGAGCACGGTCATCTTGCCTCCCACGGGTGAGATGAGCTTGTAACCAGCACGCAGAGCGGATCCCATGGCGCAGGCGTTGCTCTGAGTGTTCTGGAACATTTCCTGCAGCTTATCGAGGAAGATCTCAATGTTCTCACGGCACTCGCTCAGGGTCACCAAAAGATCGCCAGGAATGGGAAGGAAGGGCTCATCCAGATCACTGATGACCAGCATCCTGGGCTCCGAGTTCTCTGAGCCATCGCGGGGAATACTGAAGTAATGAAGACTGGAGTCGACCGCAATGAACCCTAGTCGCGTCCGACGGTCCGCGTTCGGGATCCGGTCAAGGCTCTCCCTGATGCAGCGGGCAGTGGTGGCCAAAAGGCCGTTCGTGACAGAAGCGTAGCTCACGTCGATTAAGAAGAGATAGACAAGCGGCTGCGGGGGCCGGACCATGTATTCTTGGGGAGCAACAAATTCGACCACCGAATGGTTGAGATCAGGCCTCAACGACCTGTCTGCGGGCTTCTGCAGCGCGGTGTCCCAATCAAATGCCTGAGGCACATCGTTTGTCAGGTTGCACATATTGCAACGCCAGCGGTGTCCATGGTCGAGGAATGTCACAAAAGGATTGATGTAGGATCGGCAACGTCGGCAACGCGAGATGACTTGGTCTGGGACAACAGGAACGGGATCTTCGGAGTCATGGAGAGCTGCATAGGGCTGGATGACCAGTGCGAAAGGCAACTTGGACTTCTTTAGCAGCGAACTTGTGGTCGGGACGGCGTTCAGGGTCGAGCGAACGTATTTCGGAGGGCAGTTGGCATAGGGAGAAGGGTAAACGCTGGTCTAGCGGGAAAGTCAGCAATCCAGTTACCCGCAACTTGAAGACATCAGAGACATACACCGGGCGGCAGAACAATGGGAGGTGGTGGGTAATCGAGCTCGGCGACATTGAAGGGCTGGGTAAGGAGATCGGTTGGGTAGAGCTGGTTGAGGGGAACAGCCCGCGGGGCCTGAGCCTGGGGAGCTGGGGCGACCGGCTGCGGTGGCAGGAGGTGCGGATCAGTCATGCCCATTGCACCAAACTGCTGGGTCATCTGTGCGACTTGAGGGCTGACCGGCGCCGCATATCCTGGGGCCGCAGCCTGCACCTGAGTCGGGTCTGCTCCATACATAGGTTGCTGGTATCCCGCAGCTTGTGGTTGCGGCGGGTATGCTCCGTAGCTGCCACCCGCGGGCAACTGACCTCCTAGAGCAGCATTGGCACCAGATCCAAAGTCGAACGCTTCGCCGGCATAAACACGCTTCTTCCGACCTCCAGCCTGGCCTTGGGCCGGAGCACCAGCAGCCAACCCCGCGGGTTGTTGCACGGGAGACCCATAACCGGCAGGCTGACCGTACCCTTCCTGGGGAGGGTAGCCCCCTTGTGGTGCTGCCATAGAGGATTGTGTGTGTTTATTGTCTGTCAGGAGTGATAGATGTAGTTTCCCGAGTGTTCGTTAGGGCGATTTAGGGGGTGTTGCGCGGTCGGCTAAATCGTCACTGGCTAACTGGATTGTCGGTCAACATTCGAAGTGGGAGGTGGGAAAGGGGAATGGAAGGCTAAAGAGAGGTCGGCGTACGAACAACCAAGGATTTACCGGATCGCANGAACACAAGTGTCAAATGGAGGGGAAGAGCACGTCAATGCCACACTCCGGAGCAGGCGAGGTGTCCTGAAAGGGTTGGGAGGAGCTGTGGGAGTCGGAAAGGCGACGATGAACGATGGGGGATGATAGGATGGATGATGGTGTACGGTGGCCTTTGCGGCTGTCTCGCCTGGGCCAATCAGCTCCCCGCGGCCTAACCGACTCTCAAACACTTTCACTGATGCCCATTATTGTGCATCTTTTGATGGACCATTTTGATATAGATAAGCTTACAATAAAAGAAACACAAGTATACTCTCTCTTTCTCTCAAACTAAACAAGTTGTACGATATAATGGTTGTGTTGAAATATGGAGTAAATCGTTTGGTGGTAGTAATAGTCGTGTGGTGGTCGCTGCCTTGCGCTTATGATCTCATACTCATCAGGGATGATATTACTATACTCGGTTCTATCCCTATGACTATCAATGGGGAGCTTGAAGACTGATGGGGCTCTAATATTCATCGACCAGATCTCTCGGGCTCCGCAAGATAAAATCAAGGACGACTGTAGTAGTCACGCGCTTCTACAGAAATGCAGCCATATTCCAGTGGGGGTTGCCAGTGATCGTAGCCCAGTTTATATTCTAGAGTGATAGAGCATTCCAAGCACACAACTTACTTGATATACACAGGCATAACAAAGAACTTAACGTACTAAGTAGCACAAGCACATTCTTCTGAATCCAACGACATTCCTCAATATGGCTCTGCAGGAAAGAAGCAAAAGAAAACATGACGATGCACGATATTGCACCCCGAACCGGGTCGGTGGGATGCCTGGGGTAGACGAACGTGGGAGGTTGCCGTGCCAACAACGCTGACCACTGCCAGTCGCACCACAACGAAGCTATCCCTGTCGGTTCACAGGGCACATTGTCTCTTACCCACCAGTTAATCGGCCCACTGTTCATCGTCAGTTTGCTTTCTGCGGTTTTTTTCTGTTTCATTTCCTTCAATTACCTGCTCATTGCCGCCTGGAGTGCTTGGATTGCGGGTTGTCGATCCAACGCCTGACTTCTCGGATCCACGAGTGCAGAATATTTCAACAGCAGCTTAATCTACGTTTAGCTGCTCACTATAGGTCCTACCTCTACGCTTAGTCGGAACTCATTCTTATGCCGTCATAAGTATCGACATATCAATTGGTCAACAGGGCTCGATCGGACTGCTTGAAGCGACCATACAACGACGTCCTGGGACTACATCCACCAACCGTTGGCGATAATCTTAGAATTCGATCTATATCACCACCACGATATACAATGAGCGTCCGGGTAGTCGCGCGGGTCCGACCGCTCCTCAAATCGGAACGGGAGTTGGATGTCATCCTACGCACAGGATCATCAAACCAGGCAGTGCCCGGCAAGAGCGATAAGACAAGCTCCCAGGGGAAAGGCGCATTGGCAGCCTTGAGGGATCGAGATAACCTCGTGCGAATCCCGAACCCCAAGAACGAAGGCGAAGAATACTCGTTCCAGTTCAATGCTGTCTATGATGCGGAAGCTTCGCAGCAGGAGCTCTTCGATGCAGAGGGTTTGTGACGCCAATTGTCTGGGAGGGGAACGGCATGCTGATGAAACGCGCAGTTGCTCCTACTGTCAAGCATCTCTTTAACGGCTTCGACGTAACGATATTCGCATATGGAGTCACAGGAACTGGAAAGACGCACACAATGCGAGGCGGTAAAAGCCTGGCTGACCGTGGCGCCATTCCCCGTCTCCTAAGCAGCATCTACAGACGCAGCCGGAAGATGGAGAAGGACAGTGACGGGGAAACTACCGTCAAGGTATCTTTGAGCTACTACGAGATTTATAACGACAAAGTCTTCGATCTATTCGAACCCCCCGAAAAGAGGACGCTGGCGGGACTACCTCTTCGAGACAACGGCGGCAAGACAGTCGTCGTGGGTTTGACGGAGAGGCCATGCCATACTCTGAAGGAATTCGAAATCTTGTATGACCAGGCCAATACCAACAGGTCTACATCTGCAACAAAGGTTTGCATCCGCGCTGTTCTTGGAATAGGTTAAATATTAACAGTTTTAGCTAAACGCCCACTCGTCACGATCCCATGCCATCCTCTGCGTGCGCGTCGCAGTCACTACTGGAGACAAAACGCGCATCAGTACCGCATCTGCTATCGACCTTGCTGGCTCCGAGGATAACCGCCGGACGGATAATGACAAAGAGCGCATGGTTGAGTCTGCTAGTATCAACAAGAGCCTCTTCGTACTGGCTCAGTGTGTCGAAGCAATCAGCAAGAAGCACTCGAGGATACCGTATCGAGAGTCGAAGATGACGAGGATCCTGTCTTTGGGACAGAACAACGGACTGACTGTGATGATCCTGAACCTGGCGCCTGTCAGGTCCTACCATCTGGACACAATAAGCTCGCTCAACTTCGCCAATCGCACGAAGAAGATCGAAGTGCGCGAGGTAGAAAATGAGCCAATGTTCAAGGGTCCCCCTAGACCAGCGTCGCGGCCTTCGATCGCAGCCCTGCGGCAACCCCTGCGGCCTCTGACAGCTTCAGTGAACGTAAACCTGACTGCCGCAGCCAAAGACACGACGAAGACCCTCGAAAAGCCTGCCAAAGCCTTCCACGTCTACTCCGATAAATCACACCCTAGAACCACCACGCAGTTCAAGAAGCCTGAGCCCCCTAAGCGCACTTCTATGAGCTCCCGGCCTTCTTTGAGTTCCGAAATCTCCCGCCTCTCGAAGCCATCTCGTCCCGCTCAACCAACACAGCCTCAAAAGCACCATGACGATATCACCGCGGCCAAGATCGAAGAGATGGTAGAAAAGAAAGTCGAGGAAATCCTGGCCGTGCGAGCCGTCAGCGAGCAGTCGAGACAAACGCAGGTTCGCGAACTGAATGAGCAAGTCCAGCGTCGCCTGGAACTTCTCGAACAACGCATCGAAGGCTCCGAAGATGCAAGGGCCGAAGGCCTGTCATACTTGCTCATGGCCAAGCAGCACCAAGCACGTGGCGAGGACAGCTTCGCTCTGAGGATGTACCAGCTAGCACTCCCATACTTCCCCGACAACGAGAAGCTATCCAGGAAGATTGCCAGCTTGAAGGAGCGTATGCAAGGTAAACCGCGTCAGGACGCCGACACCACCATCAGCCACTCCGGCCCCAAGAGAGAACTCGGCAGTATGCTATCAATCAAGAAGCAGCCCGCCAAGACGAACCTCAAGCGTGTTGCTGAAGACTCCGACGCGGACTACGAGGAACCTGAAGCGTCCCTCGAACAGTTCAGCGACGAAGACATCGAGGAAATCACTCACATACGACGAAAGAAGCGCACAAAGACCAAGTCCTCACTAGACGACGAACGCGCCAGCGTCGACATGAACGAGCAACCGCCTTCCCCACGGACAATCCACCTCCTCTCCATCATCAATTCGCGGGACATCAGCCAGATCAAGCTGCTGAAAGGCGTGGGGGTCAAGAAGGCCGAGGCTATTGTTGACTGTTTATGCGAGATGGACCAAAACACAGCCAACCAAGATGAAGAAGCACGGTTCCACATCAGCAGCCTCGCCGAACTGAGTCAGTTCAAGGGCGTGGGTGTGAAGAGTGTCCAGAGCATGCGAAACGGAGTTCTGGTATAACAGTACAGACATCATGCATTGTTTCTGCGTTTATGGAGCTGGGACATCATTATATACCTTGTCGACTTGCATTTCCAGTTGCTTGTTTGCTAGCATACCTGCTTTCTTGTGCACATTTATCATTGTCTGGCTTTGCACTGCACAGCGAAGGTGTTTGGGAGTTGCGAGAGGATTGAATCGAAGCATCTATATAGATATCTATCCGTGTCGTGCCAATTACTTATTGCTCGAGATACTCTGAAATACTATACTATCTATTTTCGTCAGCAAGCATGCATGCACATAACTCATGAACCCATCCACCATTACCATAAACCCTCCAACCACCACATCTAACCATGCCTCCCCCAAGCATAATAAACCCCAATAATCAAACCCTCATTCCCCACCACCCCCTCCACCCCCCAATCCTCCCCTTCGCAGCACAATAAAACCCCGCCCCCGAGAACATGACCACCGCACAAAATATAAAAAGCTTCGTATAACTTCCCCCAAGGGGATCCGGCAACAAGGCCCCCGCAATCGGCGTCCCCGTGAGCGCCGCAAACGAAACAATACAGAAATACGTTCCGCTGCGCACACCGATCTCCCTGATCTCAGAGATCTGAGCCACCAGCGCAGGGGCAAGACTCACCACCGTGCCGGAGGTGAAGCCATACAGGGCGCTGAAGACGATGGCAGGGGCGTTGCCGGTAGAAGGAAGCCAGAGCGCGAGAACGAGGATCCCAGATGCTAGCGTCGTGAGGATCATTAGGTTGAAGCGTCCGAAGACGTCCGCGAGGTAAGGGGGGATTATGCGGCCTGGGATACTGCGATTCCAGTCCTCCCCGGAGTGGGAGGGGGTGTTAGTGGGTTATCCTGGGTGGGGGGAGGAAAGGGTAGGATTGGGATCGGTTGGGTTAGTGGGCTTACCTAGCTGCGTTGAGAACAGGAATCAGGTACGAAGCCATGGTATTAGACATGCCGTGGCGCTGAGCCTGTGAGGGAATGAAAGAAAACGGGAGGAACATGCCCCAGAAGAAGCAAAAGGTTCCGGCGGTGGTGAGGATGAAGGGGAGTTCGCGCAGGGGGCGGACAAAATCGCGGAGATGGTATTGTTTTCTGGTGTGGACGAGACGAGAAGTCATGGTGAAGTTGGTGATGACAAGGAGGAAGAGGATCAGGAAGCCGCAGATACGCATGGCCCAGCCGAAGTTGAGGAGGTGGAAGAGTCGAGTGAGCATGATGGGGAGGATGACGCCGCCGAGACTGGCGCCGGCGGTGGCGATGCCCAGGGCAAGGGCGCGGCGACGGCGGAACCAGGTGCTGATGGAGTTGATGCTGGCGTGGAAGAGCGCGCTGGTACCAATGGGGCTGCAGATGCCTTGGGCCAGGAGGAATTGGTAGTATTCGGTGGAAATGGAGGTCATCATTATGCCAAGGACGTGGAGGATAGTGCCGGCTAGGATGATGTAGCGGGGGCCGAAGTTGTCGAAGAGGATGCCGACGAAGGGCCCCTGTTGGATGATGTTAGTGTGTGTTGTTGAGGAGTGATGATGGTGGTGATGGTGGCTGGGAGTTCCGTTAGGGCTGGAGAGAGGAGACTGACCCCGAAGAACATCATGAATGTCATTAGGGATGTGACCCATGTTATGGAGCTGGTGGACATGTCGCTCAGTTGGTGAGTCTGGTAGTAATCGATGAATATCCCCATGCCTGGATTTAATGTTAGCAACAGCACCTTAATCATCTGAGACTTCCAGCAGGTGTATATTGCGATATCACGACAAAGTCTAACATCAAGTACTCACAATTAGTCCAGCCAAAACTGACGAACATGCTGCAAAATCCTCCAACAACCGTCAGCCAGGCTGCCGTTCCGCCATCTGGAGGTCCCTCAGGTGTCGATTCTGGCTGGTCTTGGACGATAGCGCTGGATTTCTCCGAAGCATGACCTGCATTTGAATTTGAATTCTCTCCGCCCTTTTCTCCGGGCGTAGTACACTGTGTGTCGCACTGCTCCTCGCTGCTATTCGCCTCTACATCGTCACTAGTATCCGAAGCAGAAACGGGCAGTTGGAAGGGCTCTTTAGTATCATCTTCCACGACATCGCTGGCTGGAATGGCCTCGTTTGGCTGTTGCGTCATGGTTTCTGAAGAAAGATAGGGCTGGCTTCTGTCACAAGGATATCTGCTTTCCGCGGCTGCGAGTTAGAAAGTTCTACCAGAACGAACTGAGGGGTTTGGGGTCAGAGGCGTGCGGAAATCTGATGGAATCGATCTGAGCCTCGAAGACGTTAGATAACAGGCCCCGACCCCGGACCCCCCACAAGTAAAAAAGAGTCGACCAGCGGTGTGTTTCCTGTCAACATTCCGCCAGGGAGGTCCTTGGCGTGAGACTCAAGGAACGTTTTTGCTGTGAGACACTGGCGGCCCCTTGCGAGAGCCCTTCATTCATGGAATTTCCCCACCACATGTCAACCGGTTTATACGTGGATGCCTGTTGGCTAGGTAGTCTAAGACAATGCAAGGCGGAAATTTTGCTTCGATTTGCTCAACATCACGAACAATAGAAGATGATAATGAAGAAAGGAGAAAAGAAAAAACATTCACGTGGGGTGTGGTCGGACACAAGCTATTGTCTATAGTACATTGAGCCTGCAATGAAACAAAATAAATGGAAAGATACCTGGATGCCGGGCGCTATGATCTATGCATGAGAAGCAGCAGCAACAGAATGATACTGTTTCAGCTTAGTTTTTCTGTCCTACCTTCTCAATAATGACCTTGCCCTCCTTCGTTAGGGTTGCAATGCTCTGCTCCGTGCCCTTGAGCTCATTGGTCAATTCGTCCACAGTTCTGTGCGGTCCTGGTCCAGCATTAACAGCTTCTTCAGCAGCCTTCACATATTCGTCTGCTGGCTGGTGCTTTCCCTCAGTAGGCTTTGCCGGGCCAATGGTCAAGCCTCTAGGGGCACTGGCGATTTCGTTAACTTCATGTGAGGTCAGAACCTCATTGATACGAGGACCGCGGGTCTGTAAAAGAATGGTCGAGGGTCCATCAAATTGCAGAAACAGCTATATAGGGTTAGCAGCGGACTTGACGGTCTTAAGTGTGTGCGACATACCCGATCTCCCCAGATGGTCTTCCGAGACCACGTACGGATCGTGTGCATAATTCTCATTGTCGACTTCCAAGTACTCGATTCCGACATGTTCTGAATGAACTTGGAATTCTGGATAAAGGCCGGGAGGCTCTTGAGACCCGGGACCTGGAACCTCAGGGTCGTAGACTTGAAGCGATAGGGGCGTGGGGGGTTGGACGACATGATGTAGGCCACGACGTTGCTACATGACTTCAGTAAAGGCAGGTCAGTCAAGAGAACATGGCATGCTCACCTCGGGTGAACGATGTATTGCTCTCCAGCCTTGAGCTCCACGGAGTATAGTTGACCGTTACCGACCAACGCTAACAAACCCCGCCCTGTGACCTCGGAGCTACCCCAGTGGGCAAGGCTCTGTGCAGGTTAGTCTAGTTGTAGACACTAGAACTATTGAGGATCAACGAACCAGACTTGTGTTTATAGTTGGGCGGATAGAGAGCGAGCGACCCGTCCAGGCAAGCAATGCCCGTTTCTGGGCTACCATCCAATCCACGGAGCCATTCAAGTGAACGACAGCAAAGGACGTATTCGGAGAACGAACGGAAACCAGCGCGGTTACTGGACTTGCCGAGGATACCTAGCGTTTAAGTGTCAATGACCATACCATTTGCTCAAATCCTGGGGAGACCAGCCTAACCTTCTGGTAAAGGAATGGCACGCCGACGACAGCCCTCCGGAAGGGTTCTAGAACGCTCAATGTAGAAACCACCTGTGTTGATGCCAAAGTTGTTAACCCTAGAGCAGCGTACAGGGTAGAGCATTAACCACAACAACATGCGCATACATTGTCTGCCTTCCCACTCAGTCCAACCAAGGTACCCCGACGAGTATAGAGATTCTGCGAAGCGGAGAGCGAAACCGATAGTAGAGAGTATGGCGCGCCGATGACATCGAATCGTGCATCTAGTTAAGAATTGCGGCTGTTAGCGCGGTCTGCTCGGGTTTAAGGGCGGGTTCGGATACAGCCTCAAGACTTACCAGCAGACTCAGCAGAGCTAGGAGTGCTGGAGATGGGAAGATGGTCGCCATTGACGGTAGCTGGCTCCTCCGCAGGCGCCGCGCGAATCTGGACGCATCTGGTCTGCCATCCGCGGCGCAGCAATGCCCCTTGTCGCGCCCGGGGAGGGACGACTCGAGTCCAGGACAAAGTCCTCGCGGCACTCCTCCAAGGTTGAGCCAATGCCATTATGGAGGGTTCTGCCGAACGAAGTGCAGATGGAGAGAAGCTGGGGTGGGAATGCAACTGCTCGTCCTCCGCGGTAATTCTTCTTCTCGTCCGGATTCACGGTTCCAGATCGGGAAAAGCGCTGTTGCGGCTTGGCACTGCGAGCTTGTCGATATTGAAGCTCTTCGTCCACTTTTCCTCTGCGGTGAGGGTGTTATGGTCACTATTACTGGATATATCTTGTCCTGAAGATTGCTCAGATGGTCGAAGCTGTGCTAAATTTCTCACATCCGGTGGTTGTTGGGGGACACAGACTGTGTTGCACTGATGTCATACCTATCTCACGTGTCTACCCTTGAATATATTAGAGACCTCTAAGAATCCTCCGTATTACTACAGAGAACTATTGGACTAGCTGTTATACGCTGGCCTCTACTACATAAAACATTTCTCTTCAATCTCTGAAAGTAGCGATGAAGGTGGACATGCGTGTTGACCATGTATCAAATCAATATCGGCACATTACCTTCACGACGTCACATTCTCTCAAACTAATAGCGAATTCCTTCAAGCTACGCAGCAAGTGCACAAGCAGGAGTCGACAGAACAAACAGACGACTATGTTCACGTAGACTCATGGAGAGATGTGAGTAAACATAAGAAAGACAGTTTGATGTTAAACTGCCGCATGCGTACCGAGAGTAACGTAATTTACCGGAGACCTGGAGATACTCGGAATCGGCGATTGCGACAGAACTGCCTTTCCTGGTGCTATCGCTGCAGCCTCCCTCGTTGAATCACCTCTACTTATTTCGCCCTGTTCCTTCTGGACATCCATTCAATGACCCACCATACAGGGCGTCGTGGATAAACATTGACCTGATCCACCGCGGTCCTCAGTACTTTTCTATCTCACGCCCCCATACTTTATCCCCCGCCGCCGCCGACGTTTTCCTCCGAACCCGGCGGTCCCCATCACGAGGCGGAAATTCGCGCAAGGCCTCACCACCACCGCAATGCTCCATTGGCTATAAAGACGGTCCTTGCATACCTTCGGTTGCTGTGAAGAGCATCTACCGACCACAATGCTGCCCAGGGCGGCCCGCACGCCTTGCTGGCGTGCCTCGGGACGCTTTCTACACCACACTTCGGCCGTTCCGCGCCCAACGTCATGGGCATCTGCTTCCTACGGCTTTCAGCTGAGATCGTTTTCAACTACTAGAAGCCCACTGAGGAGCCAGACCCCTCCAAACCCTCCATCGAAGTCGCAGACACCGGACCCTAAAGATCCCTCAACTACTCGACCCAGCGCTGCCCATGTCGCGCAGAGTCCGCCGGGTACCCAAAATGCTACCGCGACCCCGAAGAAAGACCTACTCAGCGAAGCTACCGTGGGGAGAAAGGAGCAGAGGAAGGCAGACTGGGCGATAATGAAGGAAATGGCAAAGTATCTCTGGCCAAAGGTGAGGATCTGTGGCGTCCTGGAACGGTTGGGACATAGGGTGCTAATGGAAAGCGGTATAGGGTGACTGGGGAACGAAGCTTCGTGTCGGCACTGCTCTCTCGTTGCTGGTTGGAGGAAAGGTGAGCTGCGCTACATACTGGGTATGCTACGTCAGTACTTACCATACAACTAGATCTTGAACGTCGAAGTACCCTTCTATTTCAAGAATATCGTTGATTCCATGAACGTCGACTTTGCGACCTTTGGTGGAACCGCTTACACAGTCGCAGGCTCGATGATTATTGCCTGTAAGAGATCCCCGCATGCAGGAAGACTGTTTCTAACAATGAATATCAGACGGTGTTACTAGGATTGGCGCTACACTGTTCCAAGAACTGCGCAATGCTGTGTTCGCCAGTGTTGCGCAGAAGGCGATCCGCAAAGTCGCGGGGAATGTATTCCAGCACCTGCTCCAGCTCGATCTCAACTTCCATCTCTCTCGACAGACCGGTGGTTTGACGCGTGCAATTGACCGTGGAACCAAGGGCATCAGTTTCTTATTGACTTCCATGGTCTTTCACGTAGTGCCAACTGCCTTGGAGATCTCTCTTGTCTGCGGTATTCTGGTACGGCATGAGCTGCACATCTGTTTAGATATGGCATTACTGACTGTGATAGACCTACCAATATGGTGTCCAATTTGCGGCGATCACAGCCGCAACCATGGTGACCTATTCTACTTTCACGATCATGACCACCGCCTGGCGAACCAAATTCCGCAAACAGGCAAATGCTGCAGACAACCGTGGTGCCACCGTTGCTGTCGACTCTCTGATCAACTATGAGGCGGTTAAGTATTTCAACAATGAGAAATTTGAAGTTGCACGCTACGATAAGGCCCTGAAGGCCTACGAGGACGCTTCTATCAAGGTCACAACGTCGCTGGCTTTCCTCAACTCTGGCCAGAACATGATCTTCTCGAGTGCCCTGGCAGGTATGATGTATCTCGCGGCCAACGGGGTGGCTAGCGGCAGTCTGACTGTAGGTGACCTGGTCATGGTCAACCAGCTCGTCTTCCAGCTCTCGGTCCCGCTCAACTTTTTGGGTTCGGTGTACCGTGAGCTCCGCCAGTCTTTGCTGGATATGGAGACCCTCTTCAACCTGCAGAAAGTCAACGTGAACATCACCGAGCGACCGGATGCCAAGCCACTCCAGTTGAAGCAGGGCGGCGAGATCCGATTCGAGAACGTCACTTTTGGCTACCACCCCGACCGACCCATTCTCAAAAACGCTAGCTTTACGATTCCTGCCGGTCAGAAGTTCGCTATCGTTGGACCCAGCGGTTGCGGCAAGTCGACAATCCTGAGACTGCTGTTCCGCTACTACGATGTTCAGGAGGGACGGATCCTGGTTGATGGTCAGGATATACGCGATGTGACCCTGGAAAGTCTCCGCAAGGCTATTGGTGTTGTGCCCCAAGATACCCCGTTATTCAATGACACGATCGCGCACAACATCCGCTACGGCCGGATCGAAGCGACGGATGAAGAAGTGTACCAGGCGGCGCAGCGCGCACACATCCACGAGCTGATCCAGAAGCTGCCCGACGGGTACGAGACCGCCGTTGGTGAGCGAGGCATGATGATCTCTGGAGGCGAGAAGCAGCGACTGGCCATTTCTCGACTGATCCTGAAGGATCCGGAGCTCCTGTTCTTCGACGAAGCGGTAAGTCTAACGTTATTCTTTCAGGATGGCAGGCGGCTAAGTGTACTAATTCTGAACGGGTAGACCTCAGCTCTGGACACCTACACGGAACAAGCGCTACTGCAGAACATCAACAGCATCCTAAAGGAAAAGCGACGCACGAGCGTGTTCGTGGCGCACCGACTGCGCACGATATACGACTGCGACCAGATCCTCGTATTGAAGGAGGGGCACGTAGCGGAGAAGGGATCGCATCGCGACCTGCTGGAGCAGAATGGCATCTACGCCGAGCTGTGGAACGGTAAGAGACCCGCCGACGGAGTCCCGGAAGGGATTGGTGAGCAAAGAAAGCTAACTAAATCCTGCGCCACAGCCCAGGAAATGTCCCTCGCACAGGACCTGGACAGCGAACCGACAGTTGCAGAGGAAGAGGAGAGTAGCACTATCACTCGTAACTAGTATGGGGCGCGAGGCACGACGATAAGCAGCAAGCAAGCACCCAATGGAAGGGAATTGCGTGATTCTCTTCCTTTCTTTCTTTCTCTTGTTCTATATCTCTTGGCGCTTTAGACTTTCTTTTGAGTGAATGATACAAATGGGAACTATCTTAAGTAGATATCTACACAATAACCATCTATGTTACTAGTCAGTTGTCCACCAACTTACGTAACGCCCCTGCTCTGTGGCTGTCGTGTTAGTCGTGTACGTGCACCAATCTGTGGAATGTGGGAGAGGACCACCCTCCCAATCATCCCACACGCAATCTAAACGACGGACTAGTCTACCGAGTTGCCACGAGGGGAACGGAACCGAAGGAAGGCAAGCGGGCGGTTCCAATAAAAATAACTGGAGCCATGGAAGAAAAGCACGCAAGGCAGGGCAAGGCACGGCCAGGCCATTTAGACGGAACCACCGGCACATTTGAAACTGGCCTTAGCGTCTTCCCCGTCTCGGTTGTACCCTTTTCGACCCAGTCAAGGATCCGATCTGGTACGCAGGGTCCCTTTTCGAAGAACCAGGGATGAGAGGGAGAGAGTGCTGATTGATTTAAGATGTCATAGTGAATGGGCAAAGGAACATTAATGTTCACTATTGGAAGGCTGGGGGCCAAGTAGGAGCACGATTCCATCCGTGGTTTTATCTATCTGCCTGAGGGTGAGTCTAATAAGTTAACCGTGCGTTAGGGGGTAAGAGAAGGAAACAAATCTCCGGGCGGAAGTGGGGAGGGTTTAAGTTTGAGGAAGGAAGAAGAGAAGAAGAAGAGAGAGAGAAGTTCTGGATGGAAGATGGAAAGACTCGCCAATAGCGGGAGATCATAGACGATAGTGTCGGTTAGATTGGTCGATGACTATCTTTGATTGAAAAGTCAATTGAGCAATTCCTGCTTCTCTGCCGTTGAATGTCTCTTCTTGAGAAAGATAGTCAGGGGTATTGAAGAGTCTGGTCTGGTCTGTGTGGTGGTGACGGACGTCTAGTTCGTGGTCTAGTATTTCCTTAGTGTATTTGATTTCGTACCTGACGGTGGTGGGCATACTTAGTCACAGCTGATGATTGGCTGGACTCCCCTGGCTAGGCCCAGACAGGAAGGGACGCCCCTCCCCCAAACCACGTTGCGCCTTCCTGACTGGTGGTCGGTGCAGCAAGTCCACATCCGTCCATCGTGTCTTCTCTTTCCCACCACACGTTGTGTTCGGCTCCTTCCTCCCCAATTATTCCCCCAGTTCCAGTCAGTCGTTCTTTCCGTTTCGTTGTTTTCCCTACGGAACAAACACTACACTACACTAATCTATCCAACTATCGTCATCGTTCTCCATTATCTCCTCTTCCTTCTTCTTCTTCTGCTGCTTCTCCTCCACCTCGTCTCTCTTTTTTAAACCTTTTCTTTGTTCCTCTTCTATCTTCTACTCCTTCACCTTGCATTCTTCATTGGCCCCGTAACCCCCGGTGGCTTGTCTTCCCTGCGTAGTCGGCTGCATTCCTTCTCCACAAGCCTCTCTCTTTATAAATCAATTCCTACCAGCCATCCCACCAAGGGTACCACTAAATCACTATCGGCGCCTTATTTATCATTGACTTCTTGACTATTGCTTAGCTTCGGAGCACTATCTGTCTTGGTGTGAACACTTTCTTTTCCCACCATCTGCTGCAACGTCCACTAGCCCGTCGTCGTTCCTCTTCGCAAATCGGGTCTTTCTTCCCTCCCCAGATCGGTGTTCCCTCCTTTTTCTTTTTTATCTACGCCAACCTGCCCCTCTCGTGTCCGCCGTGTTACCTTTCTCCCACCCTTCCGAACCGTTATCTCAGCAATTGCTATCGCTTCACCTTCGCACTCTCCCCCAGTCAACAATTCTGGGAGATCATCATCCTCGAATCCCGCATATACACTCCCAGAAACTCTCTGGGCTCATTATTCGATCCGGTTTGGATTTGGTTGCACAAGAGAATTTAAGGCCATATATTGGAAGGCGCTACATACATACACAATGGGTTTCATCGAAAAGTTGCAAGCAAGTATGTTGTCCCCAGCGCCTAGGAATTTCCTTCCCGTTACCACCACACCTTATCCTCGAGCATCACGGTTATTGTGTCAACGGACAATTCATGTGCTAACCATCCATTTCTTACAGAAATCGAGCTCTACCGGCTAGAGCAGCGCTATGCTCGTCGCAAACACCGCAGCACCTTTTCAGGGGTTCCCTACGTCGACGGGGAATACGTCTACGTCAGCGGATCCAACTCCTCGTCAGGGACCGTCTCCAAGCACTCGACAGGCAGCTACTGGAAGGCCTCTACGTGGGGATCGTCTGGCGACTCGCGCTGGCGGTGATGCACCTTTTTCGTCATTCTTCAAGCGCTGTCTTTTCGTTTTGCTCGACTACCAATCCTCCTCATAATGTCCATGTCGAGGATGCGACGACCTATCCTTGTTTTTCATTCATGGGTGAAGAAAGTGAACGCAAAAAGTTCATGTTATCTTTCTCTACTTCCCTCCTTCGGTACTCCGTTTTGGCCATTGGCTTCAGCCGCGACATTTGAAAAAGCTAGCGTTGCATATTCGATCAGCCGTTTGGTTTGGTTTGCTCTCATCTGCGCAATTGCTTGTCAAATTGACTACTGCCTGCCGTACCATCAACGCGCGTCTCGGGCCGTTGGTCCAAGGGCCATCGAATACTTTCTTCCCGAAACTATCTTGGAGTTATCTGGCATCATCTTATTGACGCGATTTATGCCTGTTTGCTTTTTGGCTACAAGCACTTCTTTTTGCTACAATCCTTCTGGATCCTTTCCGCTCTGTTCTAGAGTTGGCGAGATAGAGCTTTGTGCTGCCATTTTTTGCACTTCACATACCCCTCAAGCCCATTAGCGAGTCGTTCTTGACTTGACTTGTTGGTGTATCATTTCTTCACACCCTTTTTCGCCGATTTGAGGCCATGCGCCTTACTGTACATAGGCTTTTATATTCCAATCAAGAGATACGACGATCACCAGCGTGGCCCCCACCCAAGTAGTTGCTTAAATCCTGAGATGCTTGGATATAATAGGACAATCGTCCAGATCAATACGCAGATCTATAGCCTTGCATCGGCCCCTCTACTCTACCACCTTAGTGTAATCCCTTAGATTACGTAGATCAGGGAAGTAGCAACACCACTACTAACACCATGACCCATGTATATATACCTTAGTATTTTCATTCGTTCGTATCTCATTTCATGATACCATCATCACACCTCAAGAAGATAATAGATACTGAACCCCATTCTCATTTCTAGCAATGTATGAATGACACGCTATAACGCGATCCATAACACACCAATCTACCACCACCAGCAGTATACTATACTATACTATACTATAATCATAATAATCAACTCACCTCTTCGACTTTCTCCCGCCAATCCCCAATCTCCCCAGATTCGACAAGCTAGATTTATGTCTATGCGCACCGCCCAGAATGCCCCCCGGCGACGATTTGCCCGCACCCCCTTCGTTCGTCCCCCGACCACTACCACCTTCATTTCCCCCACCGCCGGTATTCCCTCCGACTATTCCGCGCGGCGTGTCAGGTAATGCCGAGACACGGTCTCTGGTGCTACCGCCGCCGCCGCGAACCTGGTCGCCTGCGTTATTGTTGTTGTTATTGCTGGAGGACGAGGGCCCGTCTGCGTCGAAGGGACGCTGGGAGGCGCGTTGAGAGCGGCGGGCTTTCTCTTGAACGGTTTTGAACTTGTCCAGGAGTTCGACCCATCGGATTGGCGGGTCGTCGCGTTTGAGCCGGCTGTTGGTGGAGCGGTCGTAGGTGGATGTCGAGGAGGTAGAGGTTGAGGATGATAGGGTGGTTCTTTGGGTTGGAGTGTTAGTTGGGTGTGGTGGGGTGGTAGATATGGGTGTGGGGGAAATGGACTTACTGTCGAGGCCCGGTGTGGATGAGGCCAATGCTGCTGACGCTGTTGAGGCGGTTTTTGAGCGCTGCGAAGGCGGAGCTCTGCGGGAGGAGCATGAGGACGCCGTAGAGGCATTTGTAGAGGTACGGGTATCGTTCTGGTTCAAGGAGCTGGAGGCGTAGGTCTGAGGGTTGGTCGGGTAGGGTTAGTTGATGCGTGGTTTAGTGAGTGATGGGGGATGGACTCACATGTGAAGACGGGTGATTCTAGGAGTTGGACTAGCTTGTCTATTTGGATTAACATGTTCACTGTCATTTCGAGCTCGGCACTATTGTGATAGATTAGTGGTGTGATGCTGGGTTAGCTGGGAAGGGTGGAGGATGCTTACAAAACTTGGAGAAGGTTGTACGCCTGCTCGTAAGCTTGCGCGAGTAGACAGAGGGAGAAAGTAGAGACGGCATTGTGGCACCACGACCGGAACAGCGCTACAAAGAACATCTGTCCATCCTGTAGATGTCGTCAGCTTCCGCTGCTACTCAGACTGTAGATGAGTCCTTACCTTGGCATCCAAATTCCGCAAGCGCTTTCGCAATTCCGACAGTTCAGGGGCGGTTATCAGGTTGTTGTTTAGATTCTGAACCATGATACTAGCGAACTCGATATCCTTTCGTGGTGTGAGTTGCTACATTTGATAGACGGAGTAGTTGTGGGTCTCACCTCTTCCTTCTCGAGACAATCTGCCAGCGTTCGGTAAATGCGCTCTGGACTAAGATTCATGCACAGTTGTCGGATAATTAGGTTTCCCCGTACCTCGAGCAGGTGTCTGTCCGTAGAGAACAGCTGCAGGAGATTCACCATGAAAGACTTGAAGTAACTGTCCTCGCTGTTTCTGGAAATCTGAGACAGAAGCTGGAGATCTTTGGTGACGACGGCTTCGGCCGGATCGGACAGTGTCTTCAGAAGAGCAGGAAAGGTGCCATCATTAAATGCTATTACCTTCTTGGGCGCCTTCCGGTGCAACATGATAAGCCAAGAAAGCGCAGCTACTCTGGTGGCTTCGTTTTCGTTCAGGAACTGTAGGGTAAGGGAGTTCACGGCAGCAGCATAATCGAGATCGGCGGGTGGTAATGGTGTTGAAATGCTGCTTCGAGGGGTTGGCTCGACCGATGCCTCTGGCTGAGACAATTGCTTCTTGGATTCGCTCGAAGGCGTCTCGGGAGGCTTGCTAACTGGCGTAGACGACCTTCGCTCCGTATTTTCTTTGCTGTTATTTTTCAAGACCATTTGCCGACTTTCGTCTAGTATATCTTCGGACAGTGTGACAATATACTCCATCAAAGACGTGTTGACCCGGTTGGCGGCCTGCCGCACTTGATCCGAGCCACTGGACATTGCTGGGAGCACTTGAGTGAGGAGACGAGGTACGAAAGGGAGAATGTCTTCTGGGCTGATCTCGAAGAAGTTGTCGATCCAGCGCAGCGCAGTCAGCTGCATTTCCTCGACTAGTGACTAATTAGTATCGATCCATCGCAGCTGAGCATCATGCTTTGCTTACCGAACGATGTATCAACGAAACCAACGAGGATGTCTAATATCTTGGCATAGTCAATCTGAACATCTTGTCCGGGAATCCAGTCCCCATCCACGTGCAAGGCTTCTTCATCGGTAACTGACCCTGCCTCAGAGTCTTCTATGGCGTTGTCAGTCACTTCAGACTCGACAGCTACAGTCTGATCGGTAGTCGTCGCAACGCTCATACTATCGCTGGTAGCTGACTGTCTGATATCGCTGCCTTGACCTTTCCGACTTTCTTCGATCCCCTTCTTCAGTCGCGCAATTCTCTTGATTTCCGACAGGAACCTATCGAGAAGCGCTTGGGTGGCGACGTTGACATCTCTGTTCGGATCACCCAAAAACTTTATCAAGCCTCCTAGGAATTCCGGCAAATACGATATCAACTCCAGATCGGGAATTGTATCCAGCAGAGTCAGCCATGATACCAGGAACGTGCGAGTAAATGCGCTGATGACGTGGATTCGCTCTTTGAGCAAAGGTATGAACTTGGGGAGCGAAAAGGCGGTAGGAAGTTCAGCATCGTCCAAGCCCTCAGGATCTGTCGCTTCCTTTTCACTAAGCTGTAGGACGGAGATGTGGGAGGCTGCGGATTCCGATACAATATCTTTGACGAGCCTATCGAGAAGTTCTGCACCGTTTTTGACCGAAAGCTCCGAATCGGAAGCTAGCTGGCGGTGTGTAAGCTGTTGGGCCAGAATAGCAGGGACATAGGAGGAAACCCCCTTACCTTACTCAATGCATCGAATATATCATTGAAGAAGAGTAGTACCTCCCCTTTCGCAACTTTTGCAATGTTGTACATGCTCTCGCAGGCATAATACCGGACTCGCGCATCTTGGTCGGAAAAGCAAGCAAGCACCGGCGGCACGATTTCCTTAAGATAAGGAGCAACCCCTTCCTAGCAACTTTGAACTCAGCCCCTGCGAAACCCATTCAGTTTATCCTGGTGCAACTCACGGATCCTAATGCTATGGAAGCCGCAGCAAGTCCGATTAAACCGCCGTTTCTCGCGTGAGGTTGGTGTACCGCATAGGCGTAGTCATGGCAGAGTTGGTCGACGATCTTTTGAATCTCCTCGTGTTCACCCCTGAAAGCAGCATCGCGGACGACCTTCTCGAGCCTGGTAATAATCCCATGTGCGTTAGCCACCCGCCACATTATTGTCTGACATATGTCCCCTTATCGATAATGCATACTCCAAGGCCCCCTGTTTCCTTCGGTCGTAGAGCTTATCATTCAGCGAGCGCTGAATTGAGTGATCCATCTCTCAAACAAACATGGATATTGACGACTGAGTCACAAGCTCCGGGGTTGTTGATGTAGATAAGTGGTTTTCATGGCGTGAAGGCGATGTCTGGCTAGGCTGGGCGGTGAGACGACGGTCTCGACTCTCTCGTGTTCGCAAAGACCTGTAGCTATTCCCGAGCCATCGGCTATTAATGGTAAGTGTTTCAGGGTAAACAAAACAGATGCAGGCTCTTTCTGATCAGAAAACACCCATCAGATGCTCTAGCCTCGTCGCTAGGCGGTTGCTGGGCTGTCAAGGTGGGGAGGACTCACAACAAGATGCGTTGGCAAACGTGGATGGCTGTCTTAGCGGATGCGAAGTGACGTAGTGTCAGCAGCGAAACGAACGCTTTGTCGGCTTTCCGCCCGACCGTTTTGCATTGTTCATCCCTATAGTGTAACTGAATGTAACTGAATGCCATGCCCCCTTGCACCGCAGATCATGCTGTCATTCTACAAAGGAAGAGATTTCCCTTCATGCAATGCTATTATATAGTGATTTTTATGGAATACAAAACCATCGTTATTGACGTGGTGAGGTCTAGAACGCCACTGTATCATGTCTTCTAGTTCATGTTTATACAAACGCTCAGCAACAACATACACATATTCTGGATAACGCTTTCCAAAGCAAGTAGATTGCACAAAAAGTCAAGGACGCTCCAAAGAAATACAGGTCATGAAGACGTTCAACAGGTAAGCTACCATCAATGGCTGATATACTGAAAAACGGCAGAGACATCACGCTCTCCAGTCTCTTGGCGTATCAGCAAGTCCTGGATCTTGCTGAGAGCTCCCTGCTCTCCGTCATTAACAAAATGATTCCAAGTACTCGTGTCACCGTACAACATGGCTGGCGCCTTAATGTATTGTGTTCCATCCGGTCGGCATCGCTTGCATTTGAACGTGTCATGTGTATCGCTCCGCGTTTCCGGTTTGAATTGAAAGAGCTCTCGGAGGGATTCCAGCGAGAAGTGTCGTTCGACATCCTCGGCCGAATCCACGACACACGAAGAAAGTGACTGTTTATGAGACTGACGCTGAAAGATCTTCTCCTCAATTGATCCAGTCGCGATGAAACGGTAGACGAAGCAGTCTTTCTTCTGGCCATCACGCCACACCCGCGCCAGAGCCTGCTGATCGGCCGCTGGATTCCAATCGGGGTCAAAAAGAACAAGGCGGTTTGCACCTATTAAATTCAGGCCGCAGCCACCAGCCTTACTGCTCAGCAGGAACACAAACTCTTCCCCATCGGGATTATTGAACTTATCGACCAGCTTCTGTCGTTTCCCAACAGTCATGGTTCCGTCCAGTCGCAAGGAGCCGTACCCCCGGGTTCTGCACAGCTTCTCGAAAAGGTCGAGGGTCTGGGTGTAATTGCTAATCAAAACAATTTTGTCATTAGTATCCTGGCGAATACGAGCTAGCATTCGATCCAAGACCATCATCTTCCCTGAATACCAAGATTTGATATCTCGATCACGCCCTCTTGCTTCCGGCGGGACATAGTCCTCTGGGAAGGTGTACTCGCAACCCGGCAGGTCATTAGAGAGATTAAGAAGGTCCGGATGGTTGCAAAGCTTTTTCAAAAGACCGATTGCTTTCAGTGGTTGACTTCCCTTGCCTCGAAGTAAGCTTTTGATTTCAGGACTCTGAATGAAATGCTTATATAAGCCCAGCTGAAAGGCGGACATGTTGCAGAAAACAACATGTTCGTACTTGACTGGCAAGTACTTTGACAGAATATCGTTCGTGCGTCGTATGATAAACTTGTTTACAATCCCGGAGAGTTCGGCAAGACGCTCATCACCCTTCTTGAGGTCTTCTTCTGTTCCTGCGGCATCTCTTCCTCTGAGAATGGGCAATTCGAACCTTTTCCGGAACTCGTTCTGCGACCCCAGTAAATTAGGGTTAGCAAAATGGAGAAGAGCAAAGTATTCTGAAAGGTCGTTCTGAATGGGAGTGCCGGACAAGATCACCCGACGCTGTACATTCAGGCCGTTGAGCGCTGTCCATGTCAAACTCTCCTTGTTCTTCAATCGATGACCTTCGTCACAAAGAAGTAGGCCGATAGGACTGTCCCTCAGTGTGTCAACATATAACCGGAGTGTTTCATACGATATGATGAGTACTGGTCTGACAATAGCCCGTCCCGAAGCAATGGCCCATTGTTTCATCTGACTGATGAGCTCTGTCTTCGAGGCTTTACCGTCGACCGCAAAAGGTGTGATGGCGTCCTTGCCCAACCATTTCACTGCAACTGTTAGCAGTTGTGTCATCGAATAGCCAAGTCAACTCACCTAGTTCATTGGCCCAGTTTCCGACCAAACTTGACGGACAAGCGATAATGCACTTTTGTATGGTTGTTACTCCCGCTTCTGGAGATTGCTTGAGGAGCGTCCACATCAATGAGATACATTGAAGCTACCAGCGCCATTAGTCTTTTGTTTCGTGCCACAGGCCGTTCAGCTTACCGTCTTGCCCAGACCCATCCCATCTGCCATGATGCAACCATTCGCATTCTTGTCAACCATGCCAGTTGTACAACGGTAAAGGAACTTTTGTCGACGCATTAGTACATTGCAACAGAGCTTGTGCGGAGCAAATGCTAACCTTGACACCCTCAACCTGGTGAGGTCGTAGCACTTTCGCCAGCCGTGGATCTATAACAACCGGAACTTTCGGTCGCCCTTCAGTCTTCTTCTTGAGCCCAAGAATATCTGCCAAACTCTTATGTACCAATGGCTCATCCAACTTTGGCTTCTGCTCTTCTGTATCGGCCGTGGCCCCTTCCTTCACTTCTGGCTCGTTAACGTCATCGACCGTTGGGTCATATAGCACTATAGCAAACTCCCCGCTCGGATCATGCAATGGTTTCACAACAAATGTAGCGCCTTGCCTCATACCAAGCGTGGGCGCTGGTCTAGAGCTATTATAGGCGTCAGACGACTTATTGATCAGAGGAATTTTGAATCTTTGCTTGAACGTCATCTCTTTGTCCTTGACCTTGAAGCTAGGGAACCTGTTCGCATCTCTTGTTGCGAGCGCTAAGCGATCCTCGTTGGTATATGGCTTGACGCTGTCGTCGTCCACCGTGCCATCGGCCCCTGCATAGTTCACCTTCCTACGCTTCCTCGCTGGCTTGTCTGATGTTCGTGTAGCCGTGGCTATGCCTGGACATTTGAAGGGTTTCGATAGACGGTCGACGCTGTTCGTGGAGCTGGCCTGCAGCGGCTTGGACGGTGTGTCTGCACCATCTTGGTTCACGACGGGCCGTGGCCGGTACCTGAATGCGTAAGCTTAGAGTGCAAGGTAACCTCAAGAAAGTCATAATAGATCTCACATTAGCACTTTTCTATCAAATACTCGTGGCTGGCTCTGATCGTATTAGTCGGCGGTTGTGGTTGTCAATAATGGCTGGCCGAACTCGACGCGTGTTTGCCACTGCCTAGCGCGTCGCCCGCATCTGTTGGCAACACCAAAGTATCACGCTGTCACGTGATATCACATGGCAATAGTATACGTTACCCGGCTCATAGAGGAGGTATATCGCCATGCAAATTGAATTTTGGACCAGATTCTTAAACGTCTTGTTTGAGTAGGGCCAGTGCTCAAGTATTCTTCAGATGATAAAATATCCCGTGTTTTGCATGTGTACGTGCCATTGGTCTTGAACACAACATCCGGGTGAGGAAGCGCCACTTGAATGACGCAGGTGGAGGAAATGCGGCCTTCAGATATTTGTCGAAGGGATAGTGGTTCAATAAAAGTAAAAAGGGCTTGTAGGAGGACATAATACTACTTCGGCCACTTCTGGTGTTGTTATCCAGACAAGGCAGCATTTACACCAAATCCTGCATTGATCTGCACAATATATATATGTAGTCTTGTCATGAACTTAGTACCGGTACTATTATGCAGTAAGGCTGCATGAGAGACGTATACCTCTTTCAGTATAGCGTCCGGTTCGCCTTCTTGAGGTGGGACCGTTTAGTCAATGGAACCTCAGTCCGTCGAATGATAGTAACCAGGTTGTTCCTACAATGCTCATTATCACCATTTGCTGCTAAATCGTTCATTCAGCACTGGCCCCTCGGCCCATGTCTTCCGACTTCTGGGCTGGCTACCTTAGCGGTGCCATTGGAATCATCATCGGCAATCCCCTCGATGTCATCAAAGTGCGGTTGCAGGCAGGAAGTACTCCAGATGTCGCCGCCTCAACCACACCCCAGCAACTGAGTCGCTTTGATAGCGCTACTTCTCTTGTTCGAGGTTTGCAAATCTTCCGATCATGTAAATTACGCGTCTAGTATTAACCATTTCACCAGGCGCCGCTGCACCAATACTCGGATATGGGGCCCTCAATGCACTACTCTTTGTGGCTTATAACCGATCCTTGAAGTTCTTGGATAGTTCAATCATTGACTCTACAAACCCACAAGGTATCCCCTTAAGCAAGATCTGGCTTGCCGGTGCTGCAGGTGGGGTGGCCAGCTGGACTGTGTCATCTCCGACGGAGTTCATCAAATGTAGGGCCCAGCTTGACTCACGGCCCGGGGTGTCGTCATGGACAGTTGCAAAAGACATTGTCCGAACACGCGGCTGGACGGGCCTTTATTACGGAGGAGGGGTCACTTGTGCTAGAGATGCAATTGGCTATGGGTTTTAGTATGTGAATCCCTCCCCCGGATCGTCCCCCGCTATTTCATTGCGGCTCTTCACGGAGTATTGACATACATTCTTCTCTGCAGCTTTTGGTCTTACGAGTACTGCAAGCGGCTTACTGCCTCTAATGACGATGATGCGACCATGACTGCTACGAAAGTCTTATTATGCGGTGGTATTGCTGGAATTGTTACCTGGGCATCTGTCTTCCCATTAGATGTGCTCAAGACAAGACTGCAGGCGAGGACGATTGAATTGTCCCCAGAACATCGCCCCTTGGTGCAGCCCTCAGCCAAGCCATACACCGCAAGCTCCATTCAAATTGCCAAAGAAGCTTATCTCAATGAAGGACTCAAAGCCTTCTATCGTGGCCTAGGAGTTTGTAGTGTGAGGGCCTTCATAGTCAATGCTGTTCAGGTATGTTAATCTGGGCCTGAAATGTTGTACCGCATTGCTAACGATCCATTCCAAGTGGGCGGCATACGAGTGGCTGATGAAGTATTTACAAAATCCATAAACGTACAATGCAACAATGCAACAATGCCCAAGCATCTACAAACTACGGAGTACTCCGCAAGGACACGCGCATCTCAATATTGAAGTGCTGTATTATTGCAGCTCGTAAATTAATTTCATCCTAAAGGAGCCGTGTCTGATAAAGTGGGGCCAAGCTATATGGGGCTTCCGAGAAACGGCAGTTTTGATGGTTTTACCGCAGAACGAAACCGGCGTATCCGGGAACTTTCCACCCCCACTGGCGGTTTTCGGCGCATGTGGTTTCACGTGTTATCCAGCGATTTTGGCCCATCGCTGATTGGGTGATTCTTTCGTCAACATGCAGCCAGTAATATCGTCCGTGAAACAACGACGGCAAAAAGGCGTAGATGCGCGAAAAAATTTTCAAGCCCGTTGAGAGTAGATATGTTGCCAACAGAGCTCAAGCTGATGCTCTTGGAGCCATCCTGCATCGCAGTGACAGTCGAGAGAGCACTGCGATAGGCAAATTTCACTTCATGGCGAGAACCTAATCCTCCATAATGACCATCTCGGTGGTCTCTTGCGATCTCACACCATTGTCTGTACCCAAGCCGACAGCAGCCTCAGCAGCCTTCTGTGTGTGTGCCTCTTCGCGCAAGATGCGGAGTCTAACAACGAGCGCATAGGTTAGCATTTATGCGCCCAGAAAAGTACTTGCGCCCGCAGCAGCGACACCGTAGATATGTTGGCCACACACCTTCTCTTGTGGTTCTTGCCCTTCGTATGGGCGACCTTGTTATGCTCGCTCTCAAACCATTTGGAGCACTCGACGCAGTAATGCTTTCCTAGGCCGGGAAGGTCCTCCTCGTCTTTCGTAGCTTTGTACAGCTCGAGGTGTCTCGCGGATGCGATATCAGCTCGGACCTGATCATAGTCTCTGTCGATTGTATCGGATCATTAGCGTCTATTCAGCTTTACGCAACCCTTCTACCTAGGGCCATCATCATGTTCATCGTTGAAGATATTAGCCTACATACCTGGTCCTGCGCTTCGTCTTGATTTTCCTGACAGCTCCCATTTTGATAGACTGCGGCCCAAAAACAGAACTGCCTGATGGATTTGCTAGTGAGCGTCGCAAAGTGTTTTACCACCGATATCCGGAATGAAACTAAGAGTTTAGGCGGTGCAAGAGCGGGTCGCTTATCACCAAAATTTCCGCCTTTGTGTGCGAAAGAAGAATTTCCTGAAACATGTTGCTCATTATTGGTCGAAATCGGATGGGTCTTGGCGGCGGGCCGCGGGATTCCCATCGGTAGGCCTCGGCTCTGACTCGGCTCTGTCAGCGCTTTTGGTCGCTTCCGTACGGCCATTTCCCCGGTGTCTCGTAATTTATGACGTTGCCATGTTCCGGCACGTTGCTCCGGAAAGCATCGTCCAGTTGCGATCCAGGTGAAATAATACGCTAACTGCCACCATGTCTCCTAAGCAACCCAACCCAGTCAAGCGGTCTAGCATTACTTACAAGGTTGGGCGCGTAGAATCTGTCATAAAACTTCAAATTCATTGATGTAGAGGCTTCAATTATTCTTTTAAATCTGTGTTTGCAAGTCTTGTTGAAGCATTAAGCTAGGATGTAGTACTAATAGTCAGTGACGTCGATGATGACCCCAGGATGAATGGATGTAATCCAGGGCACATGATTGGACTATGTGCCTCACATGCCCTGTGCACGCCGCCGCACAGGCTGGTCGGAATTACAAGGTATGAACACAACGGTAGTGAAGTTAGGTTTTACCTAGGTAAGACACTAGTTCGTGGGAATTCATGGGGGAGAGTGCATGGGGGAGATAATAATACCCAGTAGATCAAACTATGCTTTTTGAGGGTCAGCTGAAAGGATCGAAACCACTGACAGTGAGGCCTTTTCGAATCCAAAAGCAACCTTACGTTGACCGGGTAGAGCCATTATGGGTCCTTCTTATTTTTTTCATTTACGGAGTGGTCAGAAAGGAGGGAGCGAGGTCTGCAGGTCAAACGGAAATTACAGGTGTACCCGTATCAATACAGTAAGAAAGGGGTCCCACGGATGATCCAGCCACCTTCCTTCTCTCCGGTCGCATGCAACGCTTGCGTAAAGGTCGGTACTGTCAGGAGCGGTTACGGGTCCTCTTCTCCGGTTCAGTAAATCGCTCTCGGTGGTGGAAACAAGAATTCTTTCCCACTCAAGCTTCCTTTTTATCTACTCCATTTTCCCTTTCTTCCTTTATCCCTTTCCTTTCCTCTTCTTTTCCCACTCCACTCCATCTTTTGCTGCTTCCTCCCGTCGAAGCTAGCTTTTGCTGTTGTTTGGATTGGCTCTCCTTGAATGTGTTGCGGCCCTGCCCACCTCGCATAGAGAGCTTCCACCATGATTACCACAAGGCTTGCGCGCATGGGTGCGCTGGTAAGTCCACTCCAGACACGTTGTCCCCCGTCTGGCGAAGAAGTCATGGCATTCTGTCCAGGAATGAAATGCTTCCAGCTGGACGTCTTTGTAGCTCAATGGAAACTAACCAGACCTGCTCCTTAGGCCCCTAAGTCCCGCCTTGTAAGCGTTTACCCGCAATCCAGTCCAAGCTCGCATCACCAGATTACAGCGGAAGTGCGATGATTCGATGAACAGAAAGACTAATCATATGTGCAGATGCTCGGGGCTCGGGGTATGGCCACCGTCACCGACTCTCCCCTCGACAAGAAGGTCGAGATGTCCAACCTGGAGAAGGTGAGTGAACTTTCCATTACGTCTCGGCTGGCTTCGGGTAGTGCGGGCGCCAGATTAGGGAATATGATCCGCTAACAATAATTGTGCAGGGTAACTACATCAACTACAAGTATGATAGCACTCTTGATTCTCCGGAAAAATCGGCGCGATCTCTCAATCGCGCCTTGTCAGGTCAATGAGCTGTTAGCTAACATGTCTACCACTTCTATAGGAAGATGTCCGAGAACCTCGACATCGTTCGTCGTCGTCTGAGCCGTCCTCTCACATACGCCGAGAAGGTTCTGTACTCTCACCTTGACGACCCCCACGGACAGGAGATCGAGCGTGGCAGCTCCTACCTCAAGCTGCGCCCCGACCGTGTCGCTTGCCAGGATGCCACTGCCCAGATGGCTATCCTCCAGTTCATGTCCGCTGGCATGCCCTCCGTCGCTACTCCCACTACCGTCCACTGTGACCACTTGATTGAGGCCCAGGTCGGTGGTGACAAGGATCTTGCTCGTGCCAACGACATCAACAAGGAAGTCTACGACTTCCTTGCCTCTGCTACTGCCAAGTACAACATCGGTTTCTGGAAGCCCGGTTCCGGTATCATCCACCAGATCGTTCTGGAGAACTACGCTTTCCCCGGTGGTCTCATGATCGGTACCGACTCTCACACCCCTAACGCTGGTGGTCTCGCCACTGCTGCCATCGGTGTTGGTGGTGCTGATGCCGTCGACGTTATGGCTGGTCTCCCTTGGGAGCTGAAGGCCCCCAAGGTCATCGGTGTTAAGCTCACCGGTCAGATGTCCGGCTGGACTACTCCTAAGGGTAAGTTGACTTCTTACGTGTCTTACAAGATTGGACGAGCGTTAACAGTGAAATCTAGATATCATCCTCAAGGTTGCTGGTCTCCTCACCGTCAAGGGTGGTACTGGCGCTATCATCGAGTACCACGGACCTGGTGTCAACTCCCTGTCCTGCACTGGTATGGCCACCATCTGTAATATGGGTGCTGAGATTGGTGCCACCACCTCCATGTTCCCCTTCAACGACCGCATGTACGATTACCTGAAGGCCACCAAGCGTCAGCACATTGGTAACTTCTCCCGCGAGTACGCCAAGGAGCTCCGCGAGGATGAGGGTGCTGAGTACGACCAGCTGATTGAGATCAACCTGTCCGAGCTCGAGCCCCATGTCAACGGTCCCTTCACTCCTGACTTGGCCACCCCCATCTCCAAGTTCAAGGAGGCCGTTGAGGCCAACAAGTGGCCCGAGGAGCTCAAGGTTGGTCTTATCGGCTCTTGCACCAACTCCTCCTACGAGGACATGTCCCGCGCTGCCTCCATTGCTCAGGACGCCCTTGACCACGGTCTGAAGTCCAAGTCCCTCTTCACCGTCACCCCCGGTTCCGAGCAGATCCGTGCTACCATTGAGCGCGATGGTCAGCTCAAGACCCTTGAGGAGTACGGTGGTGTTATCCTTGCCAACGCCTGCGGTCCTTGCATTGGACAGTGGGATCGTAAGGACGTCAAGAAGGGTGAGGCCAACTCTATCATCTCCTCCTACAACCGTAACTTCACCGGTCGTAACGATGCCAACCCCGCCACCCACGCTTTCGTCGCCTCTCCCGACCTGGTCGTCGCCATGACTGTTGCCGGTACCCTCAAGTTCAACCCTCTCACCGACAAGCTGAAGGACAAGGACGGCAAGGAGTTCATGCTCAAGCCCCCCTCCGGCGAGGGTCTCCCTGCTCAGGGCTACGACCCCGGCCGTGACACCTACCAGGCTCCTCCCACCAACCGCGAGGGCGTCAACGTCGCTGTCGCTCCCACCAGTGACCGTCTCCAGATCCTTGCTGGTTTCGAGAAGTGGGATGGCAAGGATGCCACTGGCATCCCTATCCTGATCAAGTGCCAGGGCAAGACCACCACCGACCACATCTCCATGGCTGGCCCGTGGTTGAAGTACCGTGGTCACCTTGACAACATCTCCAACAACATGCTGATTGGTGCCATCAACGCCGAGAACGGTGAGGCCAACAAGGTCAAGAACGCCTTCACCGGCGAGTACGATGCCGTCCCCGCTACTGCCCGTGACTACAAGGCCCGTGGCGTCAAGTGGGTTGTCATCGGTGACTGGAACTACGGTGAGGGTTCTTCCCGTGAGCACGCTGCTCTGGAGCCCCGCCACCTTGGTGGTCTTGCCATCATCACCCGCTCCTTCGCTCGTATTGTAAGTTCTCTCCAGTCTTGACTACCATAACACTCTGAACGCGAACTAACGTCATCCTTTAGCACGAGACCAACCTGAAGAAGCAGGGTATGCTTCCTCTTACCTTCTCCGACCCCGCCGACTACGACAAGATCAAGCCCGAGGACAAGGTCGACCTCCTCTGCACTGAGCTCGAGGTTGGCAAGCCCGTCACTCTGCGTGTCCACCCCAAGGACGGTGCCTCCTTCGACATCAAGCTCAGCCACACCTTCAACGAGTCCCAGATTGAGTGGTTCCGCGATGGTTCCGCCCTCAACACCATGGCCCGCAAGGCTGGCAACTAAATCAAATGGCGATTGCCAACATGCATGACATGGGCCTCATAGGCTCGTCTGTATATTATGATCGCTGTTTTTTTATTTGTTGCGAAAAGATATGATACCTGAAAGATCTGCTTGCGGGGTTTGGTTATCCTACCCTCGCACCATGGCAGTCTGCTCTGATGCCAAACAAGTGCATTGGACGCGAAAGCGGCTGCCTATGGTACCTCTATGATGGGAATATCCGGCGTCGTTTTTCGAAAAATTTAACGAATTGTTTCTGTTGCCGCCTGGGCCTGTTTTCTTTTGTACCCCTGCGATTTTCCGGTGGACTACATGGATATATCTTTGTTTTGTTTTATATCATACACTGTATGTTAGGGATTGCGTGCATACCACATTTCCTTCTGTTCCAATCTGGATCATGCCCGTAGACGTTATAACCGTTCCTCGTAGCATTGCCGGTGAGCAGAACGGTCACTACCCCCTCAATGGCGTATTCGGACTTCCTGATGTTACCATTTGCCCGATTTTGCGACTTGCTGCAAATAGGCCCGACTTTTTTAGTGCTGACATAACTAAGTTCTAATCTCTACCGAGGCCTACACGGCTGTTCACCCCGCCTCGGAACGTGACCCTGATAGTATAGCCGGTCCATCATGATAAGGAGAGTTCGGTTGTAGTAGACGCATACTAGTATGTACTCCTCCCTGCTCGAAATCCCCCAGCTGCATCCAAGGCTGGAAGCACATCACTGTCGGATCCTTCTCTTTTCTATATTTTCCACGTGACTGAGGGCAGCTGACCCACTAACCTAATTGCGCGTGAGCCTCTGATAATTCATTCCTGTTCTCACTCTGATCGTCCTGCTGATTGTTCAATTCTATATAGAAGGCTGCGATATAGGCCGGCGATAGTACGTATTTCAAGTACCAGCTTTATTACCTCTGTGACCTGGAAAGATAATTGTATGTTGGTTGTGTTCTGCGCAACTTGTACAGTCCATGCTGGCTGTTGACCTTCATTCAAGACAACCAACGCAGTGCCGACGGCTAATGCAAGTTGGTGTCTGGCAGTTGCAGATCGATTGCACTGAAGTGTGATTTAGGCCGGAGACATGGCTACTCAGCTAGTTTCTCTGGCGGAGGTGGAGAGACTCAGCGCCTCGGTCTTACGGATATTGGGGGGCAATCCCGGCAAGGTGAGCTAATTTTGAGATATCAGTCCGGCCTTGTTGGACAGATAAACTGACATAGATTTCTCCTAGTTTACACTACAAGGTGTGTATCTTACAAATCTTTTTAGCGGCGCAGGAGTGTTGCTCTAACCGGAGACTTAACAGGCACGAATACATATCTAATCGGCCGAGGTCGTCAACGCATCCTCATTGACACTGGTCAGGGTGAACCCTCCTGGGCAGCCCGGCTCAAGACCCTCTTGGCAGAAGAGAACGCAACTGTGCATCAGGCCCTCCTTACGCACTGGCACCCAGACCATGTTAAAGGCGTCCCTGACCTCTTAGCATTATGCCCGGACGCCGTCATCTACAAGAATGATCCCGATCTCGGCCAAGAGAGCATTGAAGACGGCCAGATATTCAGTGTTGAAGGTGCAACGCTACGAGCATACCATACCCCGGGTCATGCCGTTGACCATATGATGTTTGTCCATGAGGAGGAAGATTCCGTCTTTACGGGTGATAGTGAGTATTGTGGCAATCTTCATGCCATGCCTCAGGGCTAAATGTTCTTCTCAGATGTCTTGGGTCATGGCACGAGTGTCTTCGAGGACCTCTCGACCTATATATCTAGCCTAAAGCGAATGCAGTACCGGGTTTCGGGTCGCGGCTATCCGGGCCACGGAGCTGTCATCGAGAATGCGACAGCAAAGATCACAGAGTACATCAAGCACCGACAACAACGAGAGGATGAAGTGGTTCGCGTTCTCCGGTATAACCACCTCGATGTCGCAGATGGGGAAGCATCCCCGGAGCGTAAACGGTCCTGGACCCCGCTGGAACTAGTCAAAGTGATCTACAAAGATGTGCCGGAAAGCCTTCATCTGCCTGCTTCCAATGGAGTGTTGCTTGTTCTGAAGAAATTGGAGGAAGAAGGCCGGGTAAGCCGAGATGTCGATGGGCGATGGGTTCTGGAAACTGGGCGATCTGCGCTTTGAAGAATCACGAGAAGGGTTGGCTCGTTAGATTATCATAGTAGTTATATCAGTAGATCATTGTTTCTGGTTTATAAGGCTTAGTACTTTACGAGGATTCGATACTAGCCGAAAGATTCGAGACGGGCACACCGGTGCGAAGATGCTTGTGACCGCCATGGCGTGCGTGCATATTCACTTTATCATAGACCATATGACATTCCTGACGGTCTTTCACAACCCTTATCCCTTACATGCTTCTACATCATGCTTCTACATACTACATACACAGCATAGCCATACCGTGTCCATCATTGAGAAGAACATAGATTGCCACATCATTGTACTATTGAAGCTTTCAGCAAAGCTCCTCCCCCCTTCCTTCAGTATACAGAATGAACCTTGTCAGCTGGCGGTCTGATTTTATCGCATCACCCTTACCACACACAAAAAAAAAGAAAAAAGATAAAGACTCCGAAGTTAGTAACAGCATTGAAAACGGCTGTCTCAGAATATCCGAGAGAAGTTCAGATTGGGGCCTCTTCTACTAGTAGTAGTGATTGGTTGACCACTTCTAGCCAGACCGACTTCATCATGACCATCCAGACTCTTATCGTCCAGTTAGCCTTGGAGCAGCGAGATCCGAGTCGAGGTAGGGGTAATAGCTGGGTATGCTTCCTGGTTATGTCCCCACATCAGACCTGAGCTACCAAGACTTGCATCCTGCGCACTGATCTTATCTGACAAAGGGCCCCTCTCTCGAGTCAAACATACGATTCCATACTTTGTAGTAGATGCGCCGAGTGTGCCATGGAATGCCATTAGGTAAACATGATCAACTGAACTGCATAATTACCTCACCTTCAGAGACACTAGAGGGTATTTGGACCTTTTGTCTACACCAAGAAATGTGGTGGCTTTTTGCCATCACATTGCAAGACCTAGCGAGTGTTAGAGCATTGAGATATATACATCGAATCCATTAATGATGGATGGGAATAGTATGAAGTCCAGACCCTTCGATAACCGCGGGGTAATTGATTTCACACCCGATTGGAAGCGCCTCTCGGGCAGCAAGAATGAAAAAGGTTTAACAAGAAAAGACACAGAGAGAAATCCTGCAATGCTCGTGTTTGTTCCTTTGCGGGGATCAACAGGCAAAGCATGCAGATGACTTGCTTCTCTCCCAACGCCACCCAGCATGTTGGATCAAGTGAGTACTAGTAGTAGTCAGGTCGGATTCTATACCAGGATCAATTAATCGGTGGTTTTTACTGCTGGGGTGACATCACAATGTTGAACCGTCATCAGGCCACATTGACTGGGTAGACGAATCAAGTTACATGAGCACTGAAACGAGGAAGCCGTACGAGACGAGTAAGTTGTAGGTAACCCAGAGTTCCCTTGTTGAGGGGAAACTGGAAGTGTTGGCATCATCCAAAGTCAAGGACGAGTGTGAGTGGCTGGCAAGATTCCCGCATCCATCGCGACCGCTGGTCATCTCTGACTTCATCGCCCGCTTGCCGGAACTACTCTTGTCCCTTGTCTCCGAATTCCTTCTCTACTCCTCTTCACACCTCCTTTTTCCCCTCTCGTCATCTCTTGCCTGTGAAAGCGATAGGCTGTGGAGACTTACTGCTTTACTGACGGAAAAATAAATTTCAAGGGAGATTTTTTTAAAAAAAAAAGGAAAAAGGGAGTTCCAAGCAGCCTGTCAGAGTGTGCTGTGGACAATAAATCTTCATCTTTCAACCTAACAACTTTGCACATTCAGGATAACAACTGACTGTTTGCTTGCTGGCCCACCTTTTCTTCATCTTCTCTGGCTTCCTGTCGATGAACTTGCTAGTGAGGAGCTCTAGGTGGACTCCCGGCACTACTGCTCTTGGTTCTTCTTCGGCCCAAACCTGGGTCACTTGGTCCGCGCGCCGGTCTCTGAAGTGAGGTCACTCCCTCGATTCTTCCCCGCCGCCTTCAAGCAGCTTCCAGCATCAGGAAGCACCAAGCACCAGCTTCTTGGCTTCAAGGCAATCCAGGTCGCCATCGGTGGCTTTTCTTTTCTCCCCTTTTTATTCTCTTAACCTTACACACGATTCACTCTTCTTCGTCGTCCTCTAGCTTTCTTACTCGGTGCCTGGGTTCACTTGGCTCCATTCAATTGGTGACAGTGGTCCAAGACTCTCAACAATCCGGCTTTTCCCTTCTTCCTTGCTCTTCACTAGAGACCACCAAGAATAAATAATCATAATCCGATAACTACCGCCCCTGCAGCTTACGACTCCAGAGCCCCTCCTCAGCCTACTCTTACTCATCGTCCCTGGCATCTTCTTTGATAAGCCAGTCTCGCCCTTTGTCTTCAATTCAGACCCTCATTGGTCGCTTACTCGGTCTCACTAGTACTTTTGTACATACTTACATTTGACTGTCTGTGTCGGTGCCCCGCCGTTTCCGACAGCATGCCTTCCCTCGAAAACCCCACCTTTCAGAATGAGGCTCGCTTGCTCCTCGTCTCCAATCGGCTTCCAATCACGATCAAGCGATCGGATGACGGTCGCTATGACTTCTCCATGTCCTCCGGTGGCCTGGTCAGTGGACTAAGTGGCCTGTCCAAATCCACAACCTTCCAATGGTACGGCTGGCCCGGTTTGGAGGTCCCGGAGGGGGAGATTCCCGTGGTGAAGGAACGCTTGAAGCAGGAGTATAACGCCGTGCCAGTGTTCATTGATGACGAGCTGGCAGACCGTCACTACAATGGCTTTTCTAGTTAGTATTACCGATCTGCTTATCACGTCGAGGATCTGTGATTGTTGCTCCCTCATTGATCCGTGCTGAAGGCGCTTGCTTGCTGACGGATATCCACTGCTCACAGACTCCATTCTCTGGCCCCTCTTCCATTACCATCCCGGTGAGATTACCTTTGACGAGTCCGCCTGGGAAGCATACAAGGAGGCCAACCGTCTTTTCGCCAAAGCGGTTGCGAAGGAAGTTCAAGATGGCGACTTGATCTGGGTGCATGATTATCACTTGATGCTTCTCCCTGAGATGCTGCGTGAGGAGATCGGCGATAGCAAGGAGAATGTCAAGATCGGCTTCTTCCTCCATACGCCCTTCCCTAGCAGCGAGATCTACAGAATTCTCCCTGTCCGGAACGAGTTGTTGCTCGGTGTCTTGCATTGCGACTTGATTGGGTTCCATACCTACGACTATACTAGGCACTTTTTGAGTGCTTGCTCGCGACTCTTGTATGTTTTGGATGGACTAGATTCTGTCAGTGACTGAGGAGGCGCTAATCATGTGGATCTCTAGGGGCTTAACAACTACGCCTAATGGGATCGAATTTCAGGGCAAGATCATTGCCTGCGGTGCCTTCCCTATCGGTATCGACCCGGAGAAGTTTGAAGAGGGGTTGAAGAAGGAGAAAGTCCAGAAACGCATTGCGATGCTGGAACAAAAGTTCCAGGGCGTGAAACTCATGGTGGGTGTGGACCGCCTGGATTACATCAAAGGTGTCCCCCAGAAATTACATGCCCTTGAGGTGTTCCTTAGCGATCATCCGGAGTGGGTTGGCAAGGTTGTCCTGGTTCAGGTTGCTGTTCCTAGTCGACAAGATGTGGAGGAATACCAGAACTTGAGGGCTGTTGTGAATGAGCTGGTGGGCCGGATTAACGGCAAATTTGGTAGGTTTACTGCTGCTCATGGGCGACACCCTATCACTGACCGATGAGCAGGCACGGTTGAATTCATGCCTATCCATTTCCTGCACAAGTCTGTCAACTTTGACGAGCTAATTGCCCTGTACGCGGTTTCTGACGCCTGCATTGTTTCGTCAACCCGCGACGGGATGAACCTCGTCGCCTATGAGTACATCGCCACTCAGAAAAAGCGTCATGGTGTCTTGGTGCTTTCCGAGTTCGCGGGTGCTGCTCAGAGCCTTAACGGCAGTATCATCATAAACCCCTGGAACACCGAAGAGCTGGCGGGTGCTTATCAGGAAGCGGTAACCATGAGCGACGAGCAGAGAGCCCTCAACTTCTCCAAGCTCGACAAATATGTCAATAAATATACAAGGTTCGATCATATCTGAGATGGCGAGGAGCTTTGACACTGACCTCATTTCTAGTGCATTCTGGGGCCAGTCCTTCGTGACAGAATTGACTCGCATATCGGAGCATTCGGCGGAGAAGTTCCATGCTAAGAAGGCTTCTTTCAGCGACAACAACTCCGAGAACGGGGAACCTTCCAACGGTGTAGAGACTCCGGCCCAGGAGCAGGTGGCACAGTGAGCTTGGTGCCCTCGGCTTTGTATGATTGTTGCAACGGCCGAGGATCATTTAAATATGGCGATGCGTGAATGATTGATTTAAGACGTCTATTTTACTGGTATATGAGCACAAGGCGTGGTGAAGGGCTTCCTCCTCATACAGTTTTACATTTCGGTCCGCGTATGGAATATTACAAGAGTGAACACTCTATTCTGGCCTTAATTCCAGGGTATGGTTGGGCAACAGACATCGGAGCGTTTGGTTTTTTTCTGTGTATACGGGAGCATTATCGCGATCCCTCCGGCCATTGGTTCCTCTCTACTCTACGTTATGCGTTCGGCGTCGGTGTTGTTAGGATTTCAGTGGCATAAAATAGTCGGCGGCCCATTTCCTGTTACATATAAACACATATTTACAGACCCAATATTGCATTCATTAGTGAATATCAGTTACTTGCCAAACTAGAAAGATACCAGATGTTTGTAAAAGCACCCTGCGGAGGCTGCGTGGAGAAGAGTGATGCAAAACATGCAAACACGCCCGAGATTTCTGAAATTCTCGGCGAACTCGTCCGCGGCCGCCATGCTCCTCCGGCCTGGACAGCAAGCCTCACATCAAGCCCCATCGTGCTCAGCCGGGTCAATCGCCATTTAACTGCTATCTCGCTGAGCGGATAGACTTTCAACTTTTCTCGGAGCTTTCCGAAGGCCGACACCTCCCGTCGCTCCCTTGCCCGGCACCACCGCAACGGTCTACAAAAACTCCCGTCCAAGCGGATTGACCTGGCCGTGCTTCTTCCCCAGCACCACCTCTACAACAAAAGGAGCATTCAGTCCTTCATACACACCACCACAATGCGTCCCGCCAATCTTCTCCGGGCTCTCCAGCCCCTGCGCTCCTCCATGATGCGCTCCACCACCACCACTACCTCCTCCACAACAGCGCCCTCCCTATACCAAACCACTCGGCGCTCTCTCACGACCACCGTCCCCCGACTTAACGAGCAACAACAACAACAACCCCAACAAGAAGCAGACCTGTCATCCTCCTCCACTACTACCACCACCACCGTCGTCCCTCCCTCCCTCCGCAGCTACCCCTACAAGACCAAAACCGGCACTGTCGTCTCCGTCGGCCGTATGGACCGCACTGTCCGCGTCAGCCACCGCCACACCATCTGGGACGCGCACATCCAGAAGCCCTACCCCAAGATAACTACCTACCTGGTTTCGGATCCGCGGAACTCGCTGCGCGAGGGCGACGTCATTGAGTTCTCGTCCGGGTACCCGAAGAGCCGGAATGTGCGGCACGTTGTCGAGAGAATCATTGCGCCGTTTGGATCTGCTATTGAAGATAGACCGGCTGTTATGACCCGCGAGGAGAGGGATGCTGAGCGTGCGGCAAAGAGGGCTGCTAAGTGGGAGCGTAGGGAGGCGAGGAGGGTGGAGGCTGGTGTCCCTGAGGGTGAGGGGAAGGTTGGGGAGCATGTTGGGAGGATTAGGAGGTTGGTACTTGAGAGAACTGGTGGGGTTGAGGTTTGAGTTGTGATCCTGTTTTTGAATGAGGATTGTGGTTTGAGATGATGGGGATGAAGAGCTAGACAGATGGATTTATTGGTTGTGGGGTTGCTTTCATTTTATTCTGTTCCAATATGTTGTATGTAAACTTTGTGTGTCTGTATATTACTAGCTATTTACTTTTTCATGGCATATTGTGCTTTTGTCTTGGATTGTTTGTTGGGTTGGTTGAGCACCTGTAGTTGTAATATAACTAGGGTCTGAGTGTATACACCAAATGTACAATTCTGTAGTGAGATACTATCACTACTTCATGAATAGTATAAAGCTAATTGCGAAGTAGCAGTCATCTACCGGGGCCTCAATATAAATGCATCTACTCCGTAGTTCTTACAACATTTTGTACTGGAAATTCCCATGCACAATCCGCGACAACAGCCTCAACTAGTCTAGACGACTATTCGGGCATATACCTGTAATGATCGAAGATACATATTATTACCAACAAGTTTATAAGATACCTCTTCGAAGATGTAGAAGGAATAACCCAGGTGAAAAGCATATACTGTTGTTCTGAAGATCAGGTGCCTGCCATTTTACTTGCGGGGTTGAGTATAGACTCGAATATATAGTGTTCTGTAATAGTTTTTGACTGTCTCCTTTTATAGATGTGATCAGTCAATACAGTATGTAATTGATGCTGTTCTCCGGGATATGTCTGTCAAATTGACATAAAGTAACCTCAACTCCACACGGTAAATATATGTCGGAAGATGTACTCCAAAGTACTTCTACTTTACAGGAGACAACCTCCACGAACAGTGAAACATTTAGACCACAACAAGGAAAGAACCAATATTCACCCCATGATCCAGTCCTCCAGAATAATAATTATCTCCTCAATATCTCGCCAAAGATCAACCCCACCATCTATAATATACCCTATCCCCAAATTGGTACCTGAACGGGCAGGAAATACCAACAAAGTGGTTCGCCGCCAAGCCAAGCCTTTCCTTTGGGTCGCGAAAGTCACCCCAGCGACTCTTGATCCGTTGTTTACTTTCCAGCTTCCCTTTTCCCTCCTCAACTTTCTTGTTGACTTCATCAATTTCTCCCCCACTTCCGCCTCCAATAAACTCTTTTTCCTTTCTTCCTCCCCCCTGACGTCGACCATACGCGCTCTTCCCCCTTTTTTTTTCCGACGCCATCCTTTCTCGAAACTAGTACTCTAACCCGGCGAACCTAACCCGAAGCAAAAGCCCCTCTCCATCAGACCGGACTGCAACCAACCTTCCTGTCAACTTTCCGCCGCCGCCCGTGCACGAGATCTGCGATCGGAATATACGCTACTACGAACAAACCCAAAGGTGTGTGTGTGTGTGCTTGGCCATACGGTGTATCGCTATTTGGGGTTCATGTTATAGTGTCTTCGCTATAAAAGCCCTCTTGTGGAGGACTCCATCTGCGAAATCCATATCGAAGTTTGATGCTAATGGTTTGCCATTTTGCAGACTTATTTTTAGACATTCAAAATGGCCGAGGAGGAGGATTTCTCTTCCTTGCCATTGACGGATCGGTTCTCGCACAAGGTTAGTTTGTCTCTGTTTTGCTCCCGTTTCCCATCTTTCCGGTTCGCGGGGTTGTTGTTATTTTAAATGTGTGTGGCTACTGGATACTGACATGTCTACGTACTTGGTTTAGAACTGGAAAGCCCGCAAGAATGGATATGAGGATGCGAAACAACAATTCGAGAAATCGCCTGATGAATCGGACCCTGTTTTCACGCCGTTCATACAAGATCCTGGCTTGTGGAAAGGGGCAGTGGCAGACTCCAATGTTGCAGCTCAACAAGAAGGTCTTGGGTCTTATTGCGCATTCCTGAAGTTCGGTGGTGTTCAGGCTTGTACAAGGTATGTTTCTTGGAAGATTGATGCTGTTTGACTAAACTATGGTGGTCGATGGCTAACATGTATGATGAAGGACCCGGGCAACTACCGTCTTCCCAATATGCGAAAAGGGTCTCCCTTCCACACGACCCGCTGCGAAAACGAATGCGATCGAAGCCCTCTTATTATGCGTTGAGCTGGATAAATCCGACCCCGTCATCGAAGAAATTCTCCCCGCTCTGTCACACAAAGTTCCCAAGGTTATTGCCGCTGCGCTGGCAGGACTGAGGGCCATCTATCACAACTTCGGTTGCAAGATTGTCGACCCCAAGCCTGTCTTGAAGGCCCTGCCAAAGGTCTTTGGTCATGCCGATAAGAACGTCCGTGCGGAAGCGCAAAACCTCACCGTGGAACTTTACCGCTGGCTGAAGGAAGCCATCAAACCGCTTTTCTGGAATGAACTCAAACCCGTACAACAGCAGGACCTGGAGAAGCTGTTCGAAAATGTCAAGCAAGAGCCGGCGCCCAAGCAAGAGCGGCTCACGAGGGCACAGCAAGATGCCATGGCCGCAGCCAGCGCTGCGCCAGAAGGTGGTGACGATGAGTACGAAGGAGGCGAGGAATACCCGGCAGAGGAGGATGAAGGTGAAGTCGATGCTTTCGACCTGGCCGAGCCCGTTGATGTCTTCTCCAAGATCCCCGGTAACTTTCAGGAGCAGCTTTCTTCTTCCAAGTGGAAGGATAGGAAAGAGGCCTTGGACGCTCTGCATACTGTGTTGAATGTTCCCCGGATCAAAGATGGACCTTTCGATGACGTTGTTCGTATGCTGGCTAAATCCATGAAGGACGCAAATATTGCCGTGGTAACCGTTGCCGCCAACTGTATTGAACTTCTTGCCAAGGGCGTTCGCAGTGGATTCGTCAAGTATCGGCCTACTGTCATGTCACCTATGCTGGAGCGTTTGAAGGAGAAGAAGCAGAGTGTGGCGGATGCCCTGGGTCAAGCTTTGGACGCGGTCTTCATCGCGACTAGTTTGTCAGAGTGCCTGGAGGAGATTCTCGAATTCCTCAAGCACAAAAACCCCCAAGTCAAGCAAGAGACACTCAAGTTTTTGATCCGTTGTCTACGTACTACCAGGGACGTTCCGGCGAAACCGGAAGTCAAGTCGATAGCCGAAGCGGGCACGAAACTTCTTACTGAGTCCACTGAGGTCAACCGTGCCGGAGGAGCTGAAGTTCTCGGTACTTTGATGAAGATCATGGGCGAGCGGGCGATGAACCCCTTTCTGGACGGACTCGATGACATCAGGAAGACGAAAATTAAGGAATTCTTCGAAACGGCCGAGGTCAAGGCGAAAGATAGACCTAAGCCTATCGTGGCACCGCCAAAGCCTGCCCCTGGAAAGAAGGTCGTCGCAAAGAAGCCGGCGTTGGGAGCTAAGAAGCCTGCTGCTGCCGCGCCTCCTGTTGAGGAACCAGTAGCTGCTCCTTCACCCAAACCCGCAAGGTCCATTCCTTCTAAGCTTGGAGGGCCCGCCAAACCTGGTGGTCTTCCGGCCCCTGGCGGCCTCAAGAAGAGGCTCGGTGGCCCGGGAGGAATTGCCTCTCCGCAGCGGCGGGTTGTCTCCCCTCCAACGGAGGAGCAGCCGCCCGCACCAGCACCTCCCAAATATGGTCTGGGAAGAGGACTTGCAGGCCGTCCGATTGCGAAGCCAGCGACTCCCAGCGAGCCTGCGCCCGCTCCTGCAGCTCCTCAATTTAGCGGAATCTCGGCCCTGGAACGAGCTGAGTTGGATGAGCTACGTGCAGAGAAGGAGCGGTTCATGCGTATGGTTGAGGACCTGAGGTCTGAGAGAACCAAGCTGAACTCGCAAGTGATGGAGCTTCAAGACCAAAATGCGCAGCTCATTGAGGATCACACAAGGGATGTCCTGAGTATCAAGGCTAAGGAAACCCAACTGGTTCGCGCACGAAGTGATGCAGAGTCTGCGGAGCAGACTGTGCAAAAGCAGCAGCGGGAAATCGAGCGCTTGAAGCGTGAGCTCGCAAGAGCTCTTCGCGCTAGTGCCATCAGCCCTCCCAATACCCTACCGGAGAATATTGGTATGCCTATGTCCGAATCCGGCTCCTTATACCAGGAAGATGGCCGTGCACCGATCTCACGGGCTGGTCTCATGGGCTCACGATTTGAGAGCTCACGGCCGCGCTCCTATGCATCGGCTAGCCCAAGTGAAGAGAAGGAGAACAATGGCCTGGAAAACTCAGGGCTCAGCAGTAGAGAGGGAGGACTTGGTCGGCGCAAGCTCAGTCCTAGCTTCGGTACCGGCTACTCTGGCTTGGGAAGTCCGACTCGGTCGTCCGGACTGGGCTCGGGCAGTGCTTCTGGCGAAGAACAACCCGCCAGAAGTGCCGAGCCAGCTGAGAGCTGGAAGAGAGCTGCGGAAGTTACCAGCCAACTCAAGGCAAGAATCGAACAGATGAAGGTACGTAACAACAATGACCTGTTCCCATGATCTGTTCCTGGCAAAACATTGGCTGACCTAGAGAATCTACAACAGGCAAGACAAGGGCTTACACGACCACCTTCTCAACGTTGATGAATGAATGAATAACACGACTACCCTCCATCTCCTCTTACTCCTACCTATTCCCCAGAAGTGTTTTTCATTCTCCATTTCGCTGTATTAGCTTCATTGTCTCTTTTATCTTCTCATTGGGCGGGTCTTTCGGTCAATATCCTTCTTCCACTACCACCATCTATACACACTAGTTCGGATTGTATTTGCTTTTTCATTACATCGGGGTGTGCGTGCGGACATTCTCTTGCCTGGGATTGGGAAACAAATGGGTACAAGGGGGGGCATCTGGTTGCATTCGTTTGGGTTGTGATTGATTGGTTTTGTGTTTCTTGTTTGTGTTTTTGCTTCATACCATCATACCATATTGCTATACCTTTATTTGCTTGATTGAATTCTTGACTTGATGTATAGACAACCGGATCTTCCTGTATCATGTTTACATTCGATGCTGTATTGTACGCGTCACGATTTGCTTGCTCAATCGGTATGGTTGGCTTGCAATCCGCAGTTAATATTGTGGGGCCGGGTCAAAGGGCTAGATCACAGCCTAGAGAAAATTTTTAAGACTTGCTTTTTGCATGAATTCACTGGTGAAGACAACCAAGAGGGTCTAAAATTTCTAATGGTTTACTTTTGTTCTACGACTAAGATGTACATATTGCAGACGTCACATGAATGCTCAAACTCCAAGACAACTTCCTACAATATGACAAAACGACAAAACCTGGGCTGTTGTTGATGTCTGAAATAGCATTCATGGGTATCTGCAACGTGTACATGAAGAGGTATAAAAGAGGAAAGACGAAGAAGTCATTAAAGTTTCGTTGATGGTATAATTTTTTTTATCCCGTCGGTGTTGTTAGCTCGCTGCTAGCTAGCTTAGACACGGATGGCACCCTCAACGGCCTTGCGCTTCTTCTCCTGGCGGGCAACAGCCTTGGCGCCCATGATACCACCACCCCAGTGGCGGCGGGACTCCTCGTACTTGTCGGAGTAGCCCTCCTTGACGGCGGAGAGGAGCTTGGCGAACTCAGCCTTGTCCTCGGAGCGGACCTCGGTGAGAGCGAGGACAGCGGAGGTCTATTCCAACTCATTAGTTTAATGCTATTGGAGGGTAGAGAGATATATATAAGGGGATAAATACCTTCTTGTGGACAACGGTACCGAGACGAGCCTTGCCCTTAACAATAGCGTAAGGGACACCCATCTTGCGGCAAAGAGCGGGAAGGAAGACAACCAGCTCAATGGGGTCAACGTCGTGAGCAATCAGGACGAGGGAAGCCTTCTTGTTCTCGACGAGGCCGACAACGTGGTTGAGACCGTACTTGACGTTGTAGGGCTTCTTGGAGACATCCTCCTTCTTCTTGCCCTCAGCGACGGCGGTGGCCTCGGCGTGGAGACGCTCCTTCTTCTCGACCTTGGTCTCGGGGCGGTACTTGTTGAGGAACTTGAAGGTCTGGGCAGCGGTGTTGCGGTCCAGGGTGTTCTGGAACTGAGCAATGGAAGGAGGGACCTTGAGACGGAGGTTCAAGATCTTCTTCTGGCGCTGCAGACGGACATACTCGGGCCACTTGACGAAGCGACCGAGGTTGCGCTTGGGCTGGATGTCCTGGCCAATGCCGAAGTTGCGGGGGCGCTTCTCGATGAGAGGGTTCTATCCATACCATGTTAGTATATATCTCTCTCATGGTGGTTTCAGTAGTTGATGTAGGGTGTCAGCACATACCTTGGGAGCCTTCTTAGCGCCAGCCTTACCCTGGGGGTAAGGGAGGGGGGCAGTCTTCTTTCCGGACTTCTGGGCAGGCTATCATTGAGAAAAGAAGATCAGCAATCTTGTCCACCATCTTGCTGCATCTTCCTTGAACTCTAGGGAGAGACACAAAACTGTCCCAAGTTTCCTTAAGAACAGCTTTGTGTCTTCCAGCCAAAAATCATCGCTGATCCACCCCTTCACAATCGTTTTACGGACTGTGAAGAGAGCGAATCAACGGAAATTTTTTTTATTGTCGCTTCTCGACTGTTGCGAGATGAAGCGGGACGTGGAAATCGTCACACGACATATTCGCAGCGTAGTCGATAGCTCAATTCTAATTGAATAGAAGAGGCGTGAAATGGACGATTCTATGTGCTTACCATTTTGTCGACGGGATCCGCGGCGGCGTTGGGTGCAGGATTGACAGTCAAGGGAAAGGAAAGAAGAAGAACTTCAATTAATTTCGCGCCGCGAGAAGAAATCCATTAGCGCCGTTTGCTTGTGTGGGCCGCGTTCGGATTATCTTGTTCGCCGGGCCTGGCTGGTGGCTCAATCAGGTGACCTAGGGCTAACCCTTCGGGCTGCTTCAATGCAATGGACCAATCACGTTGAACTTTGATCTGTCTATGTTTTCGTACTATATTCTAGACCTGGATGACAGTCGACTACTAGTATTCCGTTGACATGCTCATTCATTGATTGTACTGATTCCCGTATAGCTCAGTGGGTCCTTAGAATATTATATGGTATGCGTATCAGTTGGACCGTGTTCACGACAATTTCAACAATTATCCAGGCCACAGGACATCCGGTCTATATATTCAATACCCAACATACATCCACTAGAAACGCCAAACTCATGCTCAGGTAACCATAGTAGTACTATCCCTCTATATGACACACCAATAGTCTTCCATCGAAGCAAACATAATCTAAACCAAACAGAACCCAATATCATAACCTAATCGTAACATAGTACCCCATCACATCACCTCACCTCACCTTACCTCCAAGCCCCCAACCCAGGCAGGCCCGTCCTCCCAATCCCCGAACTAGCCGCCTGAATAGCCTTCTTTTTCCCCAAATTACCCTCTTGATCCCTCACCGCCGAGACAATCTTGTCAATATTCGTCTCCACCACCACACCCCCAACAATCATCTCACTCAAAACCGCGTGCATGGTCTCATACCCGAAGATGAGATCCAGCTCACACACGTTCTCGAACATGCGATCCAGCGCCTCCACGAAGACCTGAATTAGATCGATCAGGGCAAGCGGCGACTCCATCGACGTGGAGATCATGATGAACGACAAAGTGGCATAGTTGCGGTAAGTGATTTGGGTTGGCGCGTCGGAGGGGCCATTTTCTGCGCCAGAGCTTGCGCCGCGGGAGAGAAGTGGAGGGAGGGGGAGGAAGTTACAGGCGCTGGCGGGGCGTTGGGAAACGAGGTTGTAGATTTGCGCGATTAGGGATTGTTTGGTTTGGGTGTCCTGTTTGGTTAGGCATTGTGAGTATGGGATGCTTGGTGGATGAGGGGGTTGGGCTGGGTTGGTTATAAAGACGCGATCAAGTGTAGACTCACAATCTGTGTGTAGAACTTGGTTAAACGGGGTTGTCCGTTGTTGTTGAAGACGAGGACGGCGTTGATCATGTTGGTGCAGTGTCCGCGGGGCACGGGGTGATTTCTAGCTCGGTGGATGGAGGCTTTCTGCGAGGGGCGAAGTTTGAATAAAGATCCCTAAGTATAGAGTAAGGATAGGCGATCAAGTCGGCTGGCGGTGTAGAGCTGCACGTAAACGTAGTGACCGTGTATGGGTGGAATAATCACTGATGATGAGTGATAGATGAAGCTGTCCCTCGAACCGCCTTATCGGCCTGGAGCGGAGACTCGGCAAAGGTTCCCCGAGCTTCGAACCGCAGCTCGGAAGACTTTCTTATCCGGGGACAATTTCTGGAGAAGCTCATTGATTTTAAGAGGAATCTTGCCAAAGACTAAAAAGTCAAGCACAGTACTTCACCAGCCAAGATTGACTCAACAGCATATCATGAAGAACCGAATCCCCTCCCTAAGGCCTCTCTGCCACCAGCGAGCGCAAGTCCTCCCCCTCCGTCGCAACCATTCAACAAGCAAACCTCCGAATGCGCAACCGCAACCGCGGCCGCAGCCCAACAACAAACTGCAATTCAAAGACATCCCTGCCACAGCAGTGAACTACTACTGGGACACGCAAGCGCCGGATGAAAGCCAGCTAGCCTACGCGGACAAAGTCTTCGCACCATCGCGCCACTCTCCAGTCAAGCTCTGGACTCTGAGCAAGTTCCGCACGACGCCGCTCTCCTCGACGACCCCGGAAGTAGCGTTCCTAGGTCGGTCGAATGTTGGCAAAAGCTCCTTGTTGAATGCCCTCATGGGGCAGGAGATATGCTGGACGTCGTCGAAACCAGGGCGCACGCAGACGATGAACGCATTCGGAATTGGAGGGACAAAGGGCGGCGAGTCGAAGGTAGTATTGCTTGATATGCCGGGGTACGGCAAGGGAAGTCGATCAGAATGGGGGGCTGAGATTATGAAGTACTTAAAGAATAGGAAGCAGTGAGTATTACCAAATGGCATATATCACACTGGGATACAGGCTAACAAACTGTCTACGTCTATAGACTCCGCCGCACCTTCATCCTAATCGACGGCCAGCACGGCATCAAGCACTCCGACGAAGGCATCCTCGAATTATTCCGCCACTACGCCATCCCACACCAGATTATCGTCTCAAAAGTGGATAACATCATGGCGGCGAGAACGAGCCAGCTCGCGACTGGAGTAACGGAGGAACGTCTGCTCCAGACGCAGAAGAAGATACAGGAGCTGCGTCCTATCATCCAGCCTGTTGGTCGGGATGAAGGTCCTGGTGCTCTAGGCGAGATTTTGACATGCAGTTCGAAAGTCCTCAGAACTCCTGGGAATTATTTGGGAATTAGTCCCATTCGGTGGGCTATCTTGTCTGCTGCTGGCTATGATGGGACGATGGAGGTGAGGTCTAGTCATGGCCAACCTGATTTGACGGGGGTGAGTATGTCCTCTGGGGCTGGTCCTTGAGGAGGCTCAGTGCCTTTTTGTCTGTTTGAAATGATAGCGGGGTGCTCTCCAGTTTTCTGAGAGCTATACAGATGCTCTATCTCTGTGAGGGGCCGTGAGAAGAGATTGGCTCTCTCGATCATAAGTGGCTGAGCCTGTAGAGGTTACTCTGTTGTTTGTGGTGACTAAAACCACTCTAGGTGATCAAGTAGGTCACCATCTGAAAGATTTGCTACACTGGTCCCGCGGAATGACCAAGGTATGTGTGGCCTCCATGCAAGTCCGTTGTTGCACAAGCTCCACATGCCGTTTGAGCCTGCACCATGGTCTATGGACCCCTAACGACCGCGCCATCTTACACCACGCTTCCCCGGGGGGCGGGGGATCCGTAGTCTTATTTGACTATGTCAACGACGGAGCTATGCGCTTCCAGGCTAAAGATGGTCGACAAAGATAGTCTGATTCTAGCACGGAGATGCTTACGAAAGGGTGAGGTAGCTGAGTATGTATGTACTAAATCCTTATCGTATTCGATTGCAAAATAAAGCCACTTCAAGTCTATACTATTCGGATATAAAACAGAGACAGGGTAGTCGGAATATGTAGGGGTTCGGGAGCGGAAGCGCACGTGTTAGACAGCGGCGCACATGAGGATAAAAGGATGCATATCGAGCATGCGGATGTATGATCAAGGAGGTAAGAGAGAATAATGATTAGACAAGAGGCTGGGTTGGTGAGTCCGTTTTGTATGCCAAAACGCCTGTCCGTCATGATGCAGCATGTCAAGGGATGCTAACCGCGCTATGCAAACTCTCATAAAGGTAATTATAGTTCCATTGATTGGGGGGTATCGTAGTTATGTCATGGTTCGAATATGTCGCGAAAAAGAAAAAGGGGGAATATAACGTGAGAAGACAGCCGTTTGTGTTGCCTGTCGCAGGGGTTTCAAAAGCCCCGGGGAACAAAAATCTTTCATCTGCCCAAGCAGTGAAATAGAGGTAGAGTGGGCGACAGACGTAATGTTTTCAGGCGTCTGAAAGGTCGTAATCTTCGTCAGTGTCACTAACTTCCTGGCCCCATCTATTGACGACGATGCGTCTTCCTAACTGTTCGCTTGGTACTCCATCGCGCGAAGCGCCAAAGTCAAGGACCTAATGCTTCTTAGTAGGCGGCAATTGGATGTTTGATAGACTGAACTCACCTCAATGTATGTTAAACTGTCACGCTGCACTGCAGCAACGCATCTTCGGTCGTTGAACTTTACCTGCCACACGCCACTGAGGTCGGTGAGAAGGTCTCGGACGCAATCTCCGGTTTTTACATCCCACATCTTCAGTGTCCGATCTGATCCTGAAATAACCTTCTGGCCATCATGCTGGAAACAAGTGATTGCGCCAGTGTGAGCACTCAGCATGTTCCTGCACTGTCCAGTTTCAGGATCCCAAATCCTCAGCGTAGAATCCGCAGCTGCCGACACTAAACGGTCACACTTGAGGTCAAGCAGACCAACTAGGGATGTGTGGCCTTCCAGGTTGTACAGGATAGAACCCGTTTCCAATGACCATACCTTGACCATGTTATCCATGGATCCACTGATACAACGATTCCTCTTGTGATCAAGGACAACGCTATAGACCTTCAGTGTATGACCCTGAAGCCGGTGAACGGTCTCTCCTGTGGATATTTTCCATACCCGCACAGTGCAGTCATAGCTTCCGCTCACTAGCGTGTCACCATGTGCTGCAATCGCCCGGACAGAGTGCTGGTGTCCACTGAGGACACGGACAAAGTAAGGGCAGTCCGTGTCATCGACATGAGGTCCGCTTTGGTAATATCCCGGATCACCTGGTTTAGGAAGTTTCCATACACGAAGGTTCGAGTCACGAGAGCCCGTGATGATCAACGGTTCCTTTGGCATCATCTCGGGCGTGCCATCGGCCTTCTTTCCCACCTCGACCGGTAAGACAATCTGCAGGCAGCGCACTGTGGAGGTGTGGCCATGGAATATCTGAGTGCACCGAGCCTTCTCGATGTCCCAAACTCTTACCGACCTGTCGGTAGACCCAGAAACCAAAGTGTTGCCATAATACTCAAGTGCCCATACACCACCTTCATGGCCTTCAAGGGTGGCCTTTAGCTCCCCAGTCCTAGTGTCATAAACATTGATGTTCGTGTCATCGCTCCCGGTAAGCACTTTCTCCGTATCGAATTGGAGACAGGTGACTACGTGCCGATCATGGGCGCGGAAGGCGATGTGTCTCGGCTTGACAATGGGTTTCATCCATGCCTTGTGGATTGAGTGGTGACGCTGATACAGCGATTTGTAGAGGTGAAGACCGCGGAGCGACGGCAAGCCGATGTCCGGATATGGGACGGCCGCCGCCGCCGCATTCGCAGCCGCATAAGGCCCCTCAGAAGCAGAAACCTCTTTCCTCCAGTCCGAAGATTCGGAGTGATCAGTGCCACTGGAGGAGATCTTTCGCTTCGAAAGTTTACGGCTAGACACGCGGGTGCAAGCTTTCCTTTTAGGCCGGCGACTCACGGACAAAGTCCGGTCACTAGACTCGCCAAAGGATTGCAAGGCAGGAACAGAAGATTCCGGATCTGGCTTGATGAACGGAGACATACTCATGTCCTTCTCATAATCTTCGCAGCCATTCGGAAATTGCCATCCCCAGCCCTCCCTGATCGCACGATCCAACTCCCCTTCAGGGAGAACATATCCGTCCCTATCAAAAAGTTCCTTCCAGGACTTTTCGTCGGAATTGATTATATGCCTCCATTTCTTGGACACCTGAGCCGCGCGGCACATGGTCTGAACGTCAAAATATTTCACGATGTTCAGACTGAGCTCAAGCGGAAGAAGGGACAGGAAGTCACATTTCAAGGCAGGGTTGACAACGTCCGCAACAAAGTGCAGCGTTTGTTTCGGACAGCGCCTCAGAAATTGATACATCATATATGTTTTCATTCCGTCAGGTACCGAGTCAAAAAAGTCCAGCACATTGGGAATATCCATCATGGAAGTGGGGCGTTGCATCATTGGGCCTGCAAGCTGTTCGGATTTGGCAACATACGTCGCTTCGCCATTGGTGTCCCCTACGGGCAGAGGCCCAATAAAGCGAGCATCACCGTTGTCAAAGCTGGAGTCCGTATCCTCTTGGTCTTCAGCAGAATCAAAAGAAGAATCGATGTTCGCAGCATTCAGAGCCGCCACTGGAGACAGACTGGGACTGGGCAAGCACATATCTTGGGCAACGATATTGTCAATAAAAGGCTGCGAAGACGACTCCGCAGGCAAATTCTGAGAACCGTCACCTGGTGCATCGTATCCTGAATCCTGACTAGCAGCAATCCCGGTCAGGTGTTGCCTAGGGTCAGAGCCTGTCCTTTCCAGTGCAGGTCTGGCAAAAGCGGTCTCGTTCGCGCAGCCAGATTGTCTGTCATGTTCCTGCATGACAGTATTTGTACGCAAGGTCTCTTTCCTGGCGTCCACCGTCTGCGAGGGCCCCTGAGACTCGACTTCTGAGGATAGCGGAGACCGTAGTAATGTCTCCCTACGAGCATTACTCGCACTGTGGATCCTCCTTCTCGACAATATTCCTTCCATGGCGTTATTGCTATTGGTTTCCGTCTCCGGGGTGGCTAAGCCAGCCACGGTAGGATGTACTGGCGTGGAGCCATGAGATCGGGCGGAACGGAACGAAGGCTCTGACGGCACTCGCGCCGGACGTGCCCGTAGTGAGCCCTGTTGTGCTTCCGTAAGCCGACGCTTGGAGATCGACAGGTGGTTAGAAGGTTGGTTGGAGGTTCTATGTGCAAGACGCCTTGATAGCTGGGTATCGTCCGAAGTAAAGGAAGCCACCGATCGCACAAGACCGTTCGAACTTTTGAGCGCGTCATTCTTCTCGTGCAACTACGAAAGTCAGTTCACAAGATCCAGAAGGCCGGTCGCGTGACAGGAGAGTGAAAAGCTCGCGAATAACAAGAAATAAAGACATACCTCGTTCAATGTGCCCGCAGTATCTTCAGGTTCATTAAACACAACCGATTTACCACCAAGTTCAAATCGAATATTCCGTAACGCCGATGGTGTAGGGGCAGATGCCAGTGGGTAAACTTTAGGATCCAAATCCTGCGTCGCGCGTGGCGGCCTAATGAGCACGGGAGGAAACGTGGTGGTCGTTGTGGTTGTCGTCGTAACAACAGTGGTTCGGGTAGCAGGGGCGAAGGAAAATTGACCGACGGAGGCACTGGGAGACCCAGGACCGAGGCCACGACCATTTCCATCTTCCTCCATGATCAGGTTGCCGAATGAATATGCGACTGGGTCAGTGGTTTGTCCGAGATTGGGTTCCTAGGAAAGAAGGCGTGTAGTAGCGTGATGGCGTGGCAAGGATAAATCAGCTTCGACAGACTTGTTGGCTATGACGCATCAGATATGGCTGCTGGAGGGCCCTTTCGTATCGAGAAACAGGTGAGGTGAATGTGGGAATTTGTTGTTTATGTGAGGGAGTTGATCGGCCGTACGTCCAGGCAAGAAGTCGGAGTCAAATAAGGACCGCTAACAGGTATACACGCCCAGAAAGAGCAACCGAATGCGCACAGCTGTGGAGGAGTGTTCGTTAAAACATGACCGTGGATACCGATCGAATAAGGGCCTGGGTGGGTGTGAAGATAGGCCGGTGTGTAGAGAGAAGATAGAAGGAAGTGAACGAGGGCAGGCTGTGGCGTGCTCTCTGCTGACAAGGAGGTGTTGGGCGGCGGAGAATGATCGAGGGAGCTGAACCAGAAGGTGGTTGGTTGTGCCTCCTTCAGGTCAGGCTTAGGCTCTTCGCAGCAGCCGGCGGTTCTGTCCTCAGTGGCTCCCGGCTAGCCCAATCTGGCGGCTTCCCGAGGCTGGTGGCTCCGCAATGTGAAGACTAAATCCTATTTAAAATATTGACGGTTCGATGATTCCCCATAAGGTGAGACAGCAAGGAAGAGTAAGAAAGAGGGGAAGAGAGAGGGCGGTAGAAGAAGGATAGTCTACCAGTGATGGAGAGGGAAAAGGGAATGGACAAGAAAGAAACCAGGAGCAACGGAGACAAATGAAAAAGGGTCAAGGAAAAAAACCTTAGAGGCAAGGCGGGTTCTGAATCTGCCGTCCTGCAGTCGGGGATCACCCAGCGCTCGGAGCACTTCTCCCTGGGGTGAGAACCACTTTCCAGGATCGTTAACGATGTATCCAATGGTGGAGTTGACGGGTGTTGTGCCTATTAGACTATGACTAGAGTCTTTCTCGGGAGGGGACACTGGATACAACAGCACTAACAAGATTGATTCGCAGTCCTGCTTGCCCACTTTTAAAGTAATTATTACCAGATAATTATACTACTAGTACGTAGTAGATACTATGAGGGTAGACTACTTTGTATCAACATGACGGTGCCTGCTTTGTCCCCACTGAGCCATCAGGCTCTCTAATGCTCATCCCAAAACAAGGAAATTTAATCATTTTGTCGGACCGCTCTTGGTGCTTTGTGGATGGATGATAGCCGCCGCCAGATTCCATCATCCCAGATCTCTTCACACTTGGCAGATATTGCTCCAGCACACCAACTGCATATGACATCTCACGTTTTACGTTTTTTTTTTCTCGTGCTTTCGCAAATTCATTCGATATGTGACCTCAGACTTTCGCAGAATTTCCAGTTAGTCCTTTACCCGGTAACGGTTGGTTTTCCTGGCTGGCTTTGCCACTGGTCCAATCCACGTGACATGGTGGGGTCCAAAGGTATCGTCCACAATCCTTTCGGCGTCTTTTTCGATTCGATGGTTCAACTGCTTGCGGTAGATAGAATACATAGTTGACTTACTCGCTGGAATATTCGGTTACCGGTATCCGACCATACATTTAGTGGGCATAACAACAACCCACATCAGACGCTGTTCAGATAACTACATAAAGTGCCTTAAGTAGGATAGGATGGCAACTGCCCAAGTGTGAAATGTGAACAGAGGACATTGCGGGGAAGTGCCAGAGATAAGTGCGCATCACACAGGATGAGGGGATGGGGGTTGTGGCTCGTAATTTCATCTACCGCGGGACTGCCCTATCAAGTGTTTCAGGCCAGCGTTATCAGCCGGGGCATGTGTGATTTCTAGCCAAACCAATTCCATCACGCTCCTCTCTGCGAGGGAGTATATGACAACTAGTCTGGATGTACTATCTCTTAGGTAGCGATACTAGTATTTGTCCTCTAATCTACCAACCCGCAAATGGTACTGCTTTATGAAAGGGGGATACCCTTTCGATTAAAGCCAAGCAGATCAATTGATGCATCATGTTTATCTTCCCTACACGATGTCTCGGACAATCTTCTGCCCGTTGTTCAGGAGAAACCGCTCAAGAATGCAAACCGACCACTTCATCGCTATAGCATTATTGGTTGTACCGCTTTTCAAAAATGTGGTATCTGCAGCATTGAAGTGACGGGTAATTTTCAGATACCAACCCAACTTCACCCCCTCTCTATATATAGTTCCAAACCTGCCGGAGACGACGTTACGTGAGACGTAAACTTCAAAGACTAAGGAGACATACGAAGTAATCGCACTATTCTCTCCATACATACAGAGCAATTCATGGCCATTGCCCAATTCTGTTGTAAAGAAATGACAGTATCGATGGAGGGACAAACGCACTGGCGACTCCCGTGACCATACCGTGGGTATTCGTTTGTCGTCAACCTGACTTTGGTTCTTCACACGGTGCCTCAACTCCCAGTCTCATCCTTCATTAGCATGATTTGCTGACCGCCATCTTTCATAGTATTACTCCTGAAGGCCCACATGTAGCGCAGTTGCACCATATAGCTACCCAGCATGGTTCGAATTAAGTTCACTGGGCCTCCGTCGACGGTCCAGGTACAGACTCCGCAGAATCTCCGGTCCCTTGCCGCTGACAGCAGACCTATTGCTCGCATCAGGGCACAAGATGTGATCGAAGCTTCCGCCATATTGAAGCTCCAAGAAAGCATGCATTTGAAGCAACTGCAGAGCTTGGAGATGGTCCAGATCATGCTACATGTCTCGGTAAGCGGCTTTTTCTCTTCCATGATACGCATTCATATCTCTAATACCAGAGCATAGTTCGGAACACTTTTCTATCTTCGGTTAGTTGGATGTCGACCTAGATCATTCCCAGATCAGAGCTAGTCTTATACGTGTTGCGCAGGGAGTTTCTACCGCTTCCATGTTTCGACGATCGGGACCTGAGAGAAGCTCAACGAGAGGGCGATCTTTCTTATCGGCAATTCATTGACAAGAAGACACACAGCGAAGTCCTCGCTTGCAAAGAAGATGTACCATTTGGCAGAGGCAAGAAAGGTCAGCCATTGAAGGTCATACTCCGGGGGTCAGATCCCAAAGCGGATATGATACTTGATATTCTGGTCAGTTTCCTTTAACGCTAGTAATGATCCTCGCTATTTACATATTTAGGAAACCGGCATCTTCGATGCACTCAGCAAAAACGTGCTTGAAGCTGTTCAATTGACCATACTCGTCGATAAAGATGCGCCCGAGAATGTACTAGAGTCATACACATTCTCCTTCAGATACACAGGGGTGGACAATGATGTCAACAATCGCCTTGAAAGCTTATCTATCGAGCCAATGGGCTGTGTGGCCGACATGAAAACAGCACAAACAGCCCGGATAGGCCTAGAGACGATCGTAAGGCGTTTGATCACTCTTAGTGCCTTTCTTCCCACTCTGCCAAGTATGTATCTTTGTACAGTCCCTTGTACTGCCGCTCATTTTATTTCCAGACAAGAGAAGCCTAGGGGTTCACCTTTTCTATACGGAGGATTGCCCTCCTGACTATGAACCTCCGGGGTTCAATGGGGCAGAGGATGATACGATCAAATTCCCACTCAACGAGAACTGGAAAAGGGAATCGCAGTCTTGTGGACAAATGAACAGCGGACGACATACGTAGGTGGCTACCCATGTTCTGGTTACCTTAACTGATTGATGGCGTAGTGTTGGGCTTAAAGTCACCTCGCTCAAGTGGATTGGCCCCGAGCCCGAGGGAGCAGAACCGCTACCTCAGATACCTCCTGATCTTGAGTTCAACGACCCCGTGCGAAGAATGAAAGATATAGGGTTTGATGACAAGGAGGGCATCTTGCGCACACTGGGAGGTAGTGGCAGTGCATCTAGGGAAAATTCCTTACGCCAGGACACCGATCTTTGCTTATCGTTTTGCCAGAAAGCTGAGTATGAGAAAGTGTCTACGCAGGATCTTGTGGAAAAGCATCAATTACAAATGATGCTACCTGTAAGTTGAAGGCCCATGAGACTTGAGCATTGAGACGGTTGGCAAAGTGACTGATTTGAATAGTCGCAAGGGACCGAAGGTTTGGATGGTGAACTGGCACCTACACAGCCAATTAAACCTGGCACTACGTTTGAGAACGGCAATTTAACGAAGAGTCGGAGATTTGTCCTCACAGAAAAAAGCAGGTACAGAATCCAGAAATATCTGCATTCACACCACTCCATTGCTACGAGAACAGCCGAGGATCAAAACCGTGTCAGATGCCAATGCGGCTGGGATGGTGAAGAGGAGGCCATGGTAAGTTTACAACTCATAGGTAAATTAAAACTAATCTTGATAGGCTCAATGTGCCTTTTGTCAAACGCGCCAACATTTGTTATGCTACGGATACGAAGATGCCCATGACCCAAGAGTCCCCGACATTCATGCTTGCTATCGATGCTTGCTTACGCCAGACGAACCTCAATTGCTCCATGAGATGAATAGTTTGGTACTTTTGAGGAGAGCAGTGAGGATCATATCAAACGAAGGTTATCCCCATAGAACGTCATTATTCACACAGAAGCTTCGTGGGTACCCCAGAGTTCACATTGCTATATCCTCTAATCGTTTACAGATTGCAACGGGCATACCACTGTCCAAATCACTGATCTGCTGAAGAAGCGCAGACTCCTTCAGCCGACTCCGGGAAGTAAAGTCAGAGGATTTTCACTAAAGGGCTTGCCCAGGTTCATGTTCCCTAGCTCGGGGGACATCCAACTCAGACTACAAGCAGAGATACTTAGCCCCATGATCAAAATTCAGCATCATGTAAGTTCACCTGCAACGGAGGGCAGACCACAATGCTAACCTACTACAGTACGTCCAAGATATTCCGCAGGACTCGCTTCAGCCATCTCAAGTAGTGACAAATGATGAGTTACACTGCATCACAAGATCATTTTCTCAGGAAGATGAACCGGAAGAATCGCTTCTTGATGCCCAAGAAAGTGGAAGGAAGACACCCGAACCAACAGAGAAATCCACTAGCATGGTAGCAGAAACCCGAAGTCGGAAGAGACTGGCGTCATTGGCAAACGAACACAGTCAACCCAATACCCCAAAAGATACCGCTCAAAAAGATGCGTCCCCACCAAAGCTAGGAAGTGATCGAGTCTTGAGGAAAGACAGTAGGAATCAAGCCGAACAGCAAGTCAAATCCGTCAAAAACGTAACCCCTCACTCCAAGCAAACACACAATCGTCGGGTTTCCAGCGAAGGCAGTCTACGCCGCAGCAACCGAAAGAGGCGCAAGATCAGCAATTACTCCAAATTTGTCGATGTTGGCGCGGAGCATTCTGAGAACGACAGTTCCTAGTCGGATACTCACCCCGAGCACGAAGGTTGTCGCTGTCTCTTGAAACAACCGAAGAAAGCCTAAACCTCGCGTACTGAACATTACAGGTCGACCATATAAGTATCAAGGAGGAGAGGTTGGGACAAAAATGGCGTCTTTGGAGGGAACTCCTCTCAAGATAGTGGTTAGAATATCCGTGCACTCGACAATTGAGGTATCCGGTCAGTGCAGTGCACCCGCAACCCCGGTGTTTCAACCCAGCAACTATTGATTCAAGAATGAAGATTATGGGTCCGGTATGGGGGAGAGTGGAGGGAGTCGAGCCAGGGCTCGAGCAGGACCCTGGAATGTATGAAGAGGAAGAAGCTTAGTGTTTCGCAGCTAGCTACCTTAACTACTTACCTGTTATGTATTATGGGAGCATGACCACCCATCACCATACTCGGAGCTATTCGGCCCTTGAGACGGACTGTATTCTAGGTATTCTACATACCATAGTAGCTCACCGAGATAGCGAAAACGGAACACGCACCCTAGATCTACATATTCTCACTGTTTCGTAGCCAAACAACTGGGTAGCTTAAGGAGTGTAGAAGAAAGGGTTGCCCTTCTGCTCAGATAGCTACAGAGTACTAATTATAGCCCTATAATTCAGCGCGCTCTTTCAGCACGTCTCCACGAATAGTAGAAGTTCTACCTTAGAAGCTACCACTACAAATATCATCCGGATCTCGTACATATCAAAACTACCGAACGAGAGCTTCAAAATCTCGCTATCTTTTTGTCTCTTCCCCCTTCCCCTGCCCAAATTAGCGATGACACTCTCTGACACAAAGGGTCCAGGAGTTCTCCATTTGTTTGTGTCGTGCCATGGGAAACATGACCCTGAAAGTCCATGACAGGTTTAAGCTCATGACTAAGTTACAAGGTGAAACAACTCCAAGTCTGGCCCGGCAGTTCCGTGCTTGCCGGACTGCCGAACCCAATTCTCATGACTTGTTCTTACTCTTGGAAATTTCCTTATGACCGGACGTTTCCGTTTACTGCTGCTAATGAGTGATTTAGGATACCGTGGAGAAAGAAGGGGAAGTCTGTCTAGGTGTGATCGTGAAACGCGCGATGCGATAAGCTAAGTTCGCTTCGCACTTCTTCTCCTTATGGGTTGCTATGGTTGTGTAGTGTAGTGTAGAGGCAATTGGGGTTTATGATCGACGGCCATATACCCACTTGCTCACTCACTTACTCCTTATTCACATGATTGTAGCCTAGTTAGTTAGTACACAGTTGCACGCTGCACGTAAGTAGTTATCCGCTCGCGTATCGAGCTCGGCAAAGTGCATGTGCTTAGATAGAGTAGACTAGATAAGGACCAGTGTCTGAATAGATCCGATTCAAATCAAATCTGCTAGGAAAGTAAAAGAGTCTGCTCCGTGGTGCTGAGCCGTCATATTCGGAGCATTGTCGAAAGGGGGATTAGATCGATCGTTAGGGATGCGGGAGTGGCTACAGGCTAACAGGGGAGTTATCCAGAGTTCCAACTAATCCAGGTCCCAAGAGCTTGTAGGGATGGGGCTAACACTAGGCCGGTACCGATAGTTAGAGAAGTGTCAAGTCAGCAATTTCTATTTTCGGGTAGACGAGGTTACAATAACTTAATGCGGGAATGATAGACGTGGGGATCCGGACTCGCTCGGTGCGGCAGTCAAGTCAAGTTCATGTTGAAGTCCCTCAGGGCTGAACCAATCCTTAGTAAGTGCTAGCGTCTGTGAATCCAAGACGTTTGAGACCAAGGTGAGGAAGATGCTTTTTCGGGCTTTGTTTTCTGCAGGTTGTACTATTGGGACGAGCTTCTCTATTTTTGGTTTATGAAGATTGGTTCAGGTGTTTTCTTTTTCTTGTTCGAGGGAGGAAAAGCGAGTAAACATCAAGGTTTGGTTGATCGTCACGGACCCGATAAAAAGGGGCACTAAGATTCGAAACTTCCCAATTCCCCGCAATTGAAGCTCCTTAGCAAGTGGATGAGGAGGAAGTGGTGCTATTGTCGACTATTTGACCCCGATGAAGGTTAACTTGCGAGTATTTGGGGTCTGTGTTGATGTTTGTAACTATGGGTCTGTTTGTAGATTGAATGGAGGAGCAATGGCAGTGCTTGGACCGAAAACTGGGGATGCTCTACCTCATTCCGCCTTGGTAACTAGAGCATCTTCACTACTCTGAGATGGTCTTAGCCTGGAGCTTCGGGTCGCGAAGTATGCACTGAAGGTATTGAAATCGCTAAACACCTAATGGGCTTGCAGAGAAGTCCGCTGATAATGGGCTTTGTGTGTCCAAAATACGAAGACGCTATTATCCCCTCAGCTGCGAGTTATGCAGAATTCTGGCAGCTTAGAAGAGCTTGATATAGAGTCGAATGATCTGAATACTCGGACCTGCAGTAAGCAGTACAAATGTTCACCAACCAGTCTCGCATACGTTTGGAGCCTAGAGCTGTTATTCGCCTTTCTGGAGCACAGTGGCATCTTATGTAGTACCGAGTCGTTAAGGAACCCGCAAGTGATCCGACATTGTGTCTATGCAGATTCAATGATTTGCTGTTCAAGCTTATCAACAGTCCGACCTCCCCGATAATTTCTGCGGAACGGCGTGGAGCAGGCTAGAGCTCTGGATACTAAGGTTTGAGAGTAGACAACTCCCCCGAGTACAGACGAGAGGAGTCGGAGAAAATCACCGCTGCAGCAAAGAGATCTTCGAGTAAGCCGTTTAAACCGACAAAACAACTCTATTGACTGAAGAGTGGTATTGAACCGCGGATCCTTCAATGTACGTAGTAACTGCGTGCTGGAACAGTGGATATAGCTATGGAGGCTATTCGGCAAACAGCAAGACCTCATGGGGGAACATAAGCTTTCCCTTTTCACAGGTAAATATTGTTAGCTTGTATAGTGCTGTTAATCCTTTCAGGTCTGTTTGCGACTCTATACGTTGCGGGGGGTACTTTCCATATCCTCGAGATCGTCTAGGGCGGAGGCTCTAAGCTGAACCGATGTCTCAGTGATCAAAGGAGTCAAACTTGCGACTTTCCCTTAGCACCCATCCAGAGGGGCATATATGGATGCTGCTTGTGATCTGTGCCGCTAGTGGAACTGGAATGAGATAATTAGGTCTATACAGCAGAAGATAACAGTTGATCCATTTAAGACGTATAGGAAGAAATTGAGGATAAAAACGCAAGTCACAAAAAGATTTACGATTTTGTAGGGCTCTCTTGATCGTAGGATCATCGGTAGAGCTTCTCTGATAGATGTCTCACCTGGAGTAATTCAAGTCACGTCACCAGGTGCGCGTCCAAAACCTCAGCGTCCGGACACATCCGGTAAGTTGACGGTCGGGCGGATGGCGGCTTGGCCGATGATCTGCAAAAGCAATGACTTTGACGGACAAGGGGTACTGATGAGCTCCGGACGCTGTTCAATTTCGGTCTTCACCTACTGTAGTTACTTCCATGATGGAGGGGTTAATGAAGCGGCACGTAATAATCTGTGTGAGAGTGTGTTGTGGGTGTAGACCTGGTGTGTAGCTGATCCTAGTTCTGGTTACAGCCAGTGTGTTATGTTCTTCTATAGGGGGCGACCTCCCAACAATGGCAACCATTGCACATCACAGGAGCTGATACAGTTCCCCATGACCAAAGGGTCTAAACACTCAACTATGCTGATGTCAATCAATTTTGTTCCGATGGCCTGGTAGGTTTGAACATCAACCTTCGATAAGGTGTCTTAACGGGGCGCTATTCCAGCAACTTTCCATGGAAACCTAGCAATGGCTTTGTCGATTATTGACGACGATCGAGTAGCACATGCATCCAAGATTTGAGATTATGCGTTGAGGATTGCATTTCCATGGCGGAGACTGATGCCCTGTGCACGACTATTTGCCTCACAGCCATTAGCGGGATTGTCACGGGCGTCAACAGGGCCAGGGGATGGTACGTAGGAATTAGAAATAAACAGACCCAATGACATCCCGTTTACAGCCTGAAGGGTCGACCTCTTGAGAGACCTCTGTTCCTGCTTGGATCAAGTTCACAAAGACTATTGAATCGGCACTTGGGGAACCCCACTACTATGGCGCTTGAGTATAACATTTGGTGAGCGGGATGACGATCAGCAGCAACTGCAACTCCTATTGGAAGACTTCAAGGGACGGCTGAGCGGGCAAAGCGGCGATGGTAGAGTAGTTCTTCACCAGTTCACTCTCCATCGATCGCGAGTGGCAGAACCCGTGGAGAAGCCCGAGCGGCTGCAGCCCCTTAATTTGAAACCATGACTGGTTCCTGACGGAGTGCACGCGTCGGTCCAATCTCCGGTGCGGACGTCAGAGGCATACGACGTGTAAGTAATTCCGAAAACACACAATTGACCTATTACATGACGGAGAAAAGATGGTGGCAATGTCTTATTTGCTTTTTGACATGAATGTATTGTAGGCAGAAGAAAGAATAGACTGCTGGCAAGAATCATGAAGTGGCTGCGCTGGTTTCCTGCCGCATCGCCCGAATTGTTCAAATCGAACCCGGGCGCACGTGTCCAGCCGCGTCTAAACCAGAAAGAGACGAAGGACTGCAGCGACTATTGGCCTCTAGAATATCCCCTGGAATTCAAAGAAGACGGAAAGGAAAGACGGTCGAAGTTTACGAACGAGAGACGGCGCAAGGGGAGACCAGACTAGATTCAGATCTATGATGGTGGGATATCGCGGTTGTTCATCCCTGCTGGCCAACTCATACATACTTCTTAATTATCATCAGGTACGAGAATGCGCTCCCTGCTGGATGATGCATTTTGCTGGGCTCTGACGATTTTCATGCGTATATAGCGAACACTTATTGGGCCACCACCAGAAAAATGGTCTGATTTCGGAACAACTAATTTAGAAAACAGAAAAAAAAAATACAAAATTATGATAATAAAAAATAAACAGCTGCAAGACACGGACATTCCACCCATCCTCCTCGAAATCTTGCCTTGCCTTGAATGGGAATCGCTCGCCTCGGGCCACCAGCAGCCATTGAATCCACCTTCGAACCTCCTCCACTGGATGGGCCACTCAGAAGCTCTCAGGAGCCGCTTTGCGATCTATGGACCCATGGTTGTGTGCCTGTCGATTCTTACTGCTATTGTAGGGTGCTAGGGTGCCACTACCGGCTTGCAATTGTCTGCTGACACGAATCTTAATTCTCTGGGCTAACGTAGGTAGCCTGTCGCCCGTCTCTTGCTCTCTCCTGATGGACCATTCTGCCGGTTCTCGCCCGGCTGGGAGTACTATGACAACCGGGTATCTTCTGGGCCCACGAGAATGGCCTTGTTCCCCGTCGATTTTCTGGTTCCAAGCCATTGGCGAATGAGCCTTCTATGCTCCTCGCGGATCTCTTCAACTCTGAGCTGGCCCATGCTGAGTTTAGACTGTTTCTGGCGTCTTTGACTTTGCCCCTTAAGCCGCGACCCTCCACGCTTCTGAAATTCTTTCCCCCCCCCCCATCCTCAGTCGCTCACATGTAATGAAATCGCGGCCACTTATATATAGTACCTAATAGGTCTCTCGGCTCGCACGGCCGGTTCTTCTCTGATTCTGGTCAATTTCCCTGCAAATTTTGTTTACATCATTCACAACTTAGCTCCTCGGGGACCCTCTTTTTTGTATTCCTGCGAGCTGCTACTATTAGCCAGGTCATATTTCACTCGTTCCGCCGGACCTGCATAGTCCCTCTTTTCCCTTTTCCCTTTTTACTACTCTTCTAGTTCTCTATTTATTTCTCCGTGACTCGCCTGATCCGTCTTTCCAGTCCCTGCTCGGTACATTGACACACTCTTTCAGAAGAACGCCAATTCCTGTGAAATCTCATTCTTTTGACCGCTTCTTCAATCTCGAATTGGTGTGTCTGGTGGCGCCCGGAAACGAGGATCTTTAGTGACCGAAACGGTAAACATACGGGCTTGGGGGTACTCACCGACTTGGGGTGGGGAACAGTGAAAGACACCTCCGGCTTTCTACCAAACCTCCTGAATCCTCCGACCAAAAGACGTCGGGATCAATTGTTTTCTTCAGTTCTTGCTCCCTAAAACCTTCATCCACTTCTTGCTATCTGGTTTATAGCTCGATTTTCGGAGAAGAGACCTTGGGATTGCAGCCCGGAGTGTCGACCTGGGTCACGCCCATACTAAATCTATTGATGCTCTAGCAGTCCATACCTATCCCACCAAGGACTTTCAGCATGCATGCCTCTAAAAGTGGAGTGCGTTCACCCGCAGCCAGCCCGGGAGATTCGAGAAACGAGAACACATCAAAGGCATACAAGATCCTCGGCGCAACAGATGCCTCCGTTCACGAGACTCATCCCAAGCGTGACGACAAAAGACGCTCGAGACGACCAAGCTTCATGAGGGCTCCGGAGATCAAATCGCAGAAGAGTGGTGGTTTTGTTCCCTTCCCGACTGCTGCTCCAGAGACCAATATCCCCCCACAACACCTTCGTGTTCGGGCATCATCACCTCTACTGGGCCATGAATTTCGCCCAGATGATGCTTCTGGACATCCTATGCCAGCATCGACCAAGAAAGTTCATCAATCAGGTTCAGCCTCCGCCCTATTCTCCTACTTCAGTTCACGGGATTCGTCGGCCAATGCAATTTCTGGCATTGGAGTTGCGACATCCGACTTCGGACCTGCAGTTGATAGTAAATCAGAGTCACAACATAGCGCCGAGTCTGGTTCCAGCCTCAGGCAACCGAAAGGCTCCATGAAAGACTCAAAGCGTAAAATGCGCCCACCTAGGATCGATCTCTCTCTACTGTTTCCAAAGCCTAAGGCAACCGCTGAGCCACTGTTGTCGCCGCAGCGCTTGGTGGCCTCTCCCTCTGCTATCTCCATAGTTTCTGAGCATCCGGTCACCAAGACAAAGAACGTCGAGAACCATGCAGCTGTTACTAGACTCACAAAGACGCCACCTCACTTGGTGAAGACCACCGACCAAGCCTACAGTGATCGGGCTCCTGAGACATCATCCTACGAGACTAAAACTTCGAATTGGCTTGATCCGTCCTTGGAGAGGACTGTGCGGGCCAGTGAGATGGACTTGGCTCTGCAGAAACTGCAGCAAGATTCTCGGCGCAATCCTAAGGGTCGCTCTAATCGCTCACATTCGCGATCCCAAGGCCAAGAGAAACGGCGAACCAGTGATTCTCGCGCCCCGGAGGATAACTTGTGGAAGGTTACCTCAAATAGTTCCGGCAGTGAGTGGAGCAAGGAGACCTATTTATCTCCAAAAGCTCGCCCTCGCCAAAGCTCACATCGCGCTTCGAGTCACTCCGACCCTAGGAGACCGAACTTGCATGCGTCTGCTGCATTGGAGAAGTGCTCGGTGCCAAAAAAGAGTAGTCGAACTACACTGAAGACTGCGGACTTGAATAGCTCCAGCGTGCTTTGCCTCTCCTCTTCGGAGGATGAAGATGATGACGAAGACCTCAACAGCGATCGACTAAACAGAGATCGAAATGCTAGGGACAGCGTTGCAACCTACGGCGAATTTGAAGCAGAGATATGTACAGCATCGGCGGCACAAGCGACAAAGGGCACATTACGGAGCATTGATCAGCCAACGTCTGTCACTAGCCGTGGATCGCGCTCATCACAGAGGCTTCAATCTGCTCGACGAGATGTGTCTCAGTCATCAGCGGAGAGGTCATCTTATATGGCCAGCTGCCAATCTCGTCGATCCAGCGAAATACCCACAATCTCTGAGCCAGAATTCTACCATGGAGATCCGATATTCAATCATCAGAGACAGAGCCAGCTCAGAAAGCCCCCCTCCGCCTCCCAGAAGGAGGTGAACAGAAGAAGCCGAGTCATCGCGGTGACGAGACAGGAGGAGCATCTCCTTGAGGCAATGAGACAGAGGAAGGGGAAGATTACGCCCAGCATCTTCCAGGAGAGCCGGTTCAACAGTACCTTGGAGCCTGACCAAAGTTCCATGCTGTCTGTCCCTTCGCGGGATTCGTTTTATGGATCAGACATGTCCTTTTTACGCCTTAGCCCTGCTTTCCCTCCTAAATCGGCCCAAGCCAGTGCGAACCGCAATGAAAGGGAAGGTTCCGTATGTCAAAGCACTTTTTCCGACGAGGAGCAGAGGACCATCAACTCATTCCCTTCTCCACGTGCTAGCTTGGCGTTCTCCGAGGGTCTTTCGTCTCCATCGACCAGCGCTGCTTCTCCCTTAACACCAACGCTCCCCATCCACCGCTTTTCGCCTATACCGTCTCAAAAGCCACCACCTCGTCGGCCTATTCCCGCTGTGCCACAAGACAAGAGGCGGCACTCGCGGCGGCGTACAGATAGCAGCGAGGCAATCGTCCTGGAAGAGTCCGAGGAGCCGAAGCAAAGGGAGGAGCTTCCCATGTGGACATTGCGGTGGAATAACGACAACGGAACTATGACGGCTGTACACTGAACATGATGTTGCTTGTTTTCAAGATGCTCGCACTCATGATACCCACTCATTTTACCATTTCGAACTTTCATGACCTGTTTTACTCAATCTTTACAATACCTACCAGCGCTCGCACGCTCACTCACCCGTTTCCATACCTGTGACTCAACATACGCTCTTTGATTTTCCTTATTCATGTTCTCCTTTTCAAATTGATCAAGCGAGATACGGCCACTTGGCTCTTATTTCTGAGTTTCTAATATTCAAATTTTGGTTATGGTTACTCATGCTGTATGGCAGAAGACCCTTTGTAGATAGATGACCTAGACTTGAGGAGCCTACTATCGGACACTGTCCACATAATTGAATCATCTATGCTGATAACTCCACTATTGGGCTTACACCCGCAATCCATGGTTTCCTGCTGCGTCATACGTGATTAGAAGTCCTGGGACGTTCGCTGGCTCAAACTCATCCAGATAATTTCTCTCGCAGAGTGTATATCGAGGAGAGTTTCAGAAGGTGTAAATAGTAAGGGAAAGGATGGGAAATGGGGTCGAAACAGTGACATGCATTAAGAAGCAAACGGTCACCCAACGGAAGGTGTCAGTCAGATGACATAGCAAGCTATTGCAAGGAGAGTTGCAGTTGCGACGATCTCGCTTTTATTAAGTATCATGGCGGTAAAATGACCACTTCGTATAGTCTCACCTTCTTGCTTTTTTTTTTCCCCTCCAGAAAGTCAGGAGCATCGAACACTGGAACTTAAGTCGGCTTATACGGGTGTTGTCAATCTTTCGATTTCACAATGGCAAGGCCCACCTTGCGGACTTCGAGAGTCGGCTTCTGTAAGTTTAACCTACATGGCCTAGGTTTAAGCATTAGTGAAGAATTGCTGTTGGGCCCCCAAATCTCTCCGGTCCGAGCCGCATGGACTGGGCTGTAATGACCCCGGTGAGAGAAAATTCGATGATGATCCCGCCCGACGACATAATCCCACGTCGAGGCCTCACCGGCCGTGCGTTGCGAGTATAGAGGGGAACTGGAACTCTGGTACACAAACCAAGGTTCTGAGTTCTGCCAAGAAACGTCCGTTCGACTGGGTCTGGCCCTGCCCTCCCTTTGTTGAGTATTGTGTAGCTAGGCCGTCGGCTTTGATTCCCGTCAAAAGACCAAGCCTTGTAACGTGATAAGATTTACTGCAGATCATGCATGCTTACTATTATTGATATCACGGTGATATTAGCTGACTGCAATATCTTGTGTCGCCGATCGGACCTCACCAAATAGTATCATGGCACGTTGATGATGAGCGGAACGTAGCGTAATCTGCAGATTGCGCGCTTTGTTGTGGGTACAAAGGGCAGATATTCCGTCAGCTGGATCTGCGCAGTGCAGTGACGAGGTCGATCGAGGCATGTATGTCTTAACCTGACGTCAGATGCGATCCTCAGGGGGGAAGTTCTGGGCGAAAGTCGAAGCAACTTGCTTTGGATCTGAATTAATGTATGGCTGGGAGGAACCAAAAGTGCCCATCCGAACAAGCAAAGGGACTAGACCGCCACCTGCCCCGTGATCCACACCGCCCAAACAAGCGTCTCAAGAATACCCCGGATCCCTCATATTTTAGTCCATTCGCTCCCTCATTCTTCTGGTTCTCCCCCCGTTTGCGCCTAGTTTTTCGACCTCCATTGAGGCCTTCATTCCTTGAGAGCTCCGTTCTCGAGCTCTCCGATCTCTCATATACTCCGCGACTCTGTCGGTTCCCTTTGTGCTGGTCTAGTTCGCTAGCAAATTCCTTGTCAAGCGTGAAGACGCCCCTCTCCCACCACGACCACGCGCCCAATCTGTATGCGACATCCTCGGTAATCGAGTGCGGAGTTCCTGTCCCTTCGCCGCCCAACAATTCGACTGCTTTTTATAACTCAACCTGCTGTTACCTTTCAAAAAGAAACGACAGTTTCGCTACGGGGAAGACAAGTATCATCAATATGGGGGAGTCCGCCCAGCGCCAGTCCTCGGGACTGGGATCGGTTTGGAAACACCTGTCTTGGGCACTGGTAAGTCACCTATCCTATGCACACATTCGCCACTATGGCAATGCTGCTGCTTGTCTGGTAAAAGCTCTGGAATATGTAAACACTGACATCGTGTTTTTGAAAATAGTTGACCGTGCAGTGTACGTCCTTTGTCTTGGTGAGTCGCTCCCGTCGGCTTCGATCATAGCGTACCTGGTTGCTTATATCTTGTCCTCCCATAGCTATTGCATTATTCCAGGATTATGTCGCCCGCTGGCGGCAAGCGCTACCTTACGTCAACCACCGTTTTCTTCAATGAGGTCGTCAAGCTCGCCATCTCCCTGACCATGGCGCTCTACGAGGTTTCGAAGACAGCCCCTCCTTCAGTACCTGCGACTTCTCTTTTCTTCTCCCTCACAACTGCCATATTTTCCGGTGATAGCTGGAAGCTTGCTATTCCTGCCTGTCTCTATACGCTTGCGAATTCGCTGCAGTACATCGCTCTGTCGAACCTGCCGCCAGCCACTTTCCAAGCATCATACCAATTGAAACTGATCGTTGTGGCCATAGCCAGCTTGGTATTGCTCAAGAGACCTGTCTCGCTCCGGAAGTTGGGACTCATGGTCCTTCTCTTGGCGGGCGTTGCTTTGGTGCAGATGCCCACTGGAAACCCTGACGATATGACCCTCCAAGATGAGACCGCGCGTCTTGCATTCCCGCGGTCTCTGGAAGAGTGGAAAGCCTCCAAGCTAGGACGTGAGAGTCTACATAAGCGTTCTGCGACATATGAGGGGATTGAGGAGGATATGATGACCGCCAACCCTCGACTAAATGCTACCGTTGGCCTCTTGGCCACAGTTGGCGCCTGCCTCGCTTCCGGCGTTGCAAGCGTCTACTTCGAGAAAGTGCTGAAGGACAGTGCGAAGTCGACTTCGCTCTGGATTCGCAACGTGCAGTTGTCCGTCTACTCGATATTCCCGGCGCTTTTCATTGGGGTTGTTTTCTTGGATGGCGAGAAGGTTGCTGCCAATGGCTTTTTCGAGGGCTACAACTGGATTGTTTGGTCTACTGTTGTCGTACAGGCTATTGGTGGCATTGCCACGTCCTTCTACATTGGTTATGCATTCCGAGATGGCAAGAACATGGCCATGGCTGCGAGTATTGTACTCACCACGGTGGCTAGCGTTTGGCTATTTGAGTTTGAACTCACTGCCAATGTATGTGACCCGTATTCCTCCCGTTGTGAGTAGGTGCTAATCTTCACAGTATCTCCTGGGGTCGTTCGCAGTATTGGTGGTTACTTGCCTTTGCGAGGATGCAAATTCTGCATCTGCCCAGGCCAAGCGTCAGACCTTCCGTCCACCCCCAATCCGCGTAGATCGCTATGAGAAGGAAAGCAAGAGTGGGGATGCTTCACCAGCCTCCCCATCGCCTAACGAGATCTCCATAAAGCTTCCTGGTACGCCCTTTCTCTCTACTGATGGGCTTTCGACGTCCAGGCCTACATCTCCGGGCCACGTACGCGCTGGCCGCACCCCAAGCGGTGGATATTTCGAAAAGCACTCACGAGACAACTGAACTACAATTTGCGGATATTATATTCGCATCTTTCGCGTAGGAATAACCTTCGCGTTGCTGTATCATGTTTTTCTGGGAAGTAAATAAGGATGGATAGAAGCGATGATGCCACTTTTGCTTTCGTCATATAGGTTCCACTTTCTTGTACTTTATTCACATCATTCCTTTCGTTGTTGATTCTTTCG